ACATTTACAATTACTCAGATGCGAGTAGGTAGTTACCAGTTTCGCCACCAGGTGGCTGATTCGGGGGAATTAACATGGCAGGGTATTACAAAATTCCCTTAAACTTGAATATGCCTCTGTTTTAGTGGTTCACTTTTCATATTACCCTTATGTATCTGATAGTTTAGCCTTGCCCAAGTCGGTCTCTTTTACTTATCTTGATTTCTATTATGACCGCCTTGTACCAAAGAGAAAGCCACGTGCTTTACCGACAGTTTGTTGATGTCGGTAAAATCTGACCAATCAACGACGGCCCTGTAGCGTTAGCTCATTATTATGCAAGGTCAAAAACAAGTACACTTTTCATCGGGACTTTTCAGAACAAATCTTGCAAGAATCTGAGCACGAATTTATCATGAAAATACAAATATTTTATCAGATAAATATCAATGAGAGTTTAGTGGATGCCGGGGCATCGATCGGATAACCAAAGGTGAGAAGATTTCAACAATAAACGTTGAAACGATCGCTGAACACGTAGGCTGAGATTCAATCACCGATCGACGACAACATGACCCGCTACATTAGACTAGGTCTTTGTGCATTTTCATCGCGAAATCAGTTTTAAATCAACATTGAATCGCATGATTTAATTTATATTAATGACTCTTACCTTCCGATGTACATTTAATTACATAATATATTGTAACCCTAAAGAAACACTCGATCAGATCATTGAATTTCAAGTCGTAGATGGGAAGTTTGTTTTGTTTATGCAGCTCAACCCGATAACGTTTTGATTGGTCATTCAGCCTGAAGTCACACGTCGTGTCCACGCGATATCTGTCAATCAATAAGGTTTCGCGATACCCCTAATAGCGTAGGTACTATGGAAATCTCGAAACCGTTGAATATTTCAGCATAATAACAGCGGAGATGTATTGGATTGTACAAGGCGGTAATAATTCAAGATCAGATAAGTAAAAAATACCGACTTGGGCAAGGCTACTGATAGTTATACAAACTAAAATATGTCCAGTAAAAGAAAATATTATCTGCCCAACACAACAGCTGGAGCGCAATCATTGTGAAGGTCTTCTAACTATAGAAGAATGTAGCCAAGCCCTAAAAACAATGGACAATAACTCAAGTCCAGGATTGGATGGACTAACATCGGCATTTATGAAAGTATTTTGGAGTAAAATTAACACTCTAGTGGTGAATTCATTGAATGATGGCTATGTAAATGGTCAATTATCATGGTCTCAAAGACAAGCAGTTATAACATTAATTTATAAAGGAAAAAACCTTCCCCGAGAGGAACTGCCTAACTGGCGCCCCATATCAGTTCTAAACAGTGATTATAAGATAGCAGCCAAATCTCTTGCAAATAGGTTGAAATCAGTGATTAAATCGATTGTTAATGAAGATCAGTGTGGATATATCAATGGTAGATATGCTGGTATGACTCTTCGATTAATTGATGATATTATTGAATATTCATTAGATAAAGAAATAGATGGCATAATTGTAGGAGTGGATTTTTCGGCTGCGTATGATAGTATATCTAAAGACTTTATTTTAGATTCATTTAGAAGATTTGGCTTTGGTGATTCATTTTTGACCTGGATAAATGTTTTAAATAATGAAACAGTGAGTTGTATAAATAACAATGGTTGGATTTCTGAACCCTTTAGACTTGAAAGGGGCATTCGGCAGGGCTGTAATTTCGCCCCATTGGCATTTATTGTAGCGTGTGAAATATTAGCTTGTAAAATTCGTCAGTGTGATCAAATTGAAGGTATATTGATATTCAATAAACAAGTTAAGATATCACAGTATGCTGATGATACCACAAATTTTGTTAAAGATGAAGCATCACTTAGACAACTATTTACTGTTTATAGCTCATTTAAAGAAATATCAGGTTTAGATGTAAATAAACGTAAAACAGAAGCCATGTGGCTTGGCAGACAAAGATATAGCCAGGAACAATTTTTAGATATTAAATGGAAGCTATTCCCAAACAATGTTATGAAAATGTTAGGTGTATCTTTTTCCACAACAAAACATATATTTGATTTAGATGACAATGTGCAGTCTAAATTCGAAAAATGTGAGAAAATAATGAACAGCTGGCAAAGTAGACATTTAACATTACTGGGTAGAATTACACTAATTAAGTCATTATTGACATCTCAGTTTAGTTATTTAATGCAAACTTTTGTTATGCCTGACAACTTGCTTAATCGAATCAATGTTCTCATGTTTAAGTTCCTCTGGTCAAAAAGCAAATTTAAAGAGGAAGACCTGAAACGGGTGCCAGAAAAAGTAAAAAGAGATATCATAATACAGGATTATAACAAAGGTGGTTTAAAAATGATTAATGTACATGATATCCAGAAAGCTTATTTATTAAAGTGGGTTAAAAACCTGTCAACACCAGGCAATGGTGCATTTAGAATATTACCCTCATTGTATTTTAATAAACTAGGCAAAAACATGAGTGTGTTTAAGTCTTCTGTATCAGAGGCTAAATTCATAGGTATTGACAACATTAAGTCAAACTTTTATAAAAAATTGTTAATAACATGGTTAGATTGCAATAAGAACCATGGAATTGAAAATGATAATTTGTTTAATAACAGAATTGTATTATTTAGACAAAACCCTATATTTTTTACAAATTGGATCAGATCAGGTCTAATTTATATTTCAGATGTACTTGTAAATAACACAATGATATCTTATGAACGACTGTGTGAAACTCTCGTAAGAAATGGTGAAACTTGGTTTCAGTATACAACAGTCAATTCTATTATTTCAAGACTGTTAATAAACAGAACTATTCCACAGCACAGTGAGTCTTTATCGTTCAGAAACATTAGTGTAAAAGATTTAACATGTAAAAATGTAAGAATTGAATTAACTAAAGATAGATTGCTCATTGGTCCAGATAGATTTAGTGAAAAACAATGGACCCTTACAAAAGAATTATTTATAGAAACAAAAATGATAGAATTACAGTGGAAAATTATGCATAGAATATTTCCTACCAGAAAATTAATGTATAAATATCAAATTGATGAAGTACAAAATGAACTGTGTCAAGATTGTTTAGTTCAGGACAACCTGGTGCATTATTTTTATGAATGCAGAAAAGTTAAATATTTTTGGGATAAGCATTTCCCAGGTATTACATGTAATGAAATATTATTTGGTAACCCTGAATTATCCAAGACTACCTCTATGAAGATTATCCAATTTAAAAGTTGTATAGCCAGTGGTAAACAGAACAAGAACAGCATATATTTTTTAGCTGACAGTATTTTTAATTCTGATTGATTTTTGAACATGTCGAAAAATAGTTAAGTGCTCATCTAATTGATTATGTATTGTACACTGTAAATATTATGTACATATTTTGTCGTTCATTTTAAATAAAAAAAAAAAAAAAAAAATCTGCCCAACACAAGAAAAGATATTTCACTTTTTGTGGTTTTACAACATGGGGTCTATGGGGAATCTCCCCGACCTAGAAGTCACATTTTCAAAGAAAATTATTTTTTCAAAGTTGATAAACTGTTTTCAAAACCACATTTCAAAATGTAGTTTTGCATGTAGATTCCAAATATGACATCAGTTTGACTGAATTGTGAGTTTTTAATGACGTAAATCAAGATTACTTCTACTCGCATCTGGGATATTCCGAAATTGGCTATGGCTCCTTGATATCTAACAATGATTAATAAGGGGTTCAGGAAAAGTGTACATGCCAGTTAGAGTCTAAAGGTCCTTATCCATGTCAGAATGGTTAGTGTCTCCAGAAATGCCATGCTGTTATATTAATAAAAAGGTGCAGTCTTTGACTCAAAAATACCCCATTTTTAAATCACAATTGCTCTGTATTAAATAGACCTTGATATAGACTAAAATCTTTCTTCAAGCCTTTCGTATAAATTTTGGTATATTTTATGATCATAGATTAGAGACTTAGCCCCTGAACTTGGCTCATTTTATGGTAGCACATTTTACCAAACATGGTAGAGGCATGGCAGGGTTTTATACTCACTGACATTAAGGTTGTAAACATCGTTGCCAATCTTCCCAGGCTGCCAATCAATCTGTTGCCTACTACTACTGAAGTTACCAGTTAATTGCCAAATGTGAAAAGGGATTACCATTTGCAGTGACGCAGCGTGGAGTTTTTAACACTGGTCATATCATCAATATTGGTTTCTGTAAATCAAATATTTTGTCAGCTCTACATGTTTGAGATTGAAAATCCCTATTTGTATTTTCTTAATTGATTTTGGCCAACAAAGATGACCTTGACTGGATGAGTATGACGTCACTATTATTTTTTAATCTGGTCTCAGCTATTTTGAAACCAACCTGAAAGATTTTATATTTGAAATACGTATGAAATTGACTTTCCCATGTCATGTTGACTTGTTAGTCTCATCACTTCTAAAGGTAATCCCTCAAGTAACTCATGTATTGTAATGATATGTGCAGTTAATCTGGTAATGACCTTTAATGACCTTGACCATGAATTTACCCCATCAGATCTTTCACCTTCATAATATCAACATGTTTTAATCGTAGTTCAAATCCTTGCCTGGTAATAGTATATTTATTAATTTCATTTCTTGGAAAGTCGAGATGTTAGTATATTTGTATGTCAAAACAGTCATTATTTTAGCATGAATTTCCATCTTACCTAATTTTTTATGCATTAAAGAATTTGTATATTTACAAGTTTTCTATTTTTAGCTTAGTACTTAACATTGCCAAATGTATTCCAACTCAAATAATTATTTCAAGGAATTTCATGTATCTGTTTTCAGCATTTTCCCATATTTTATGAAAGATGTAATTTAAGGTTTTTTCAAGGCAAGTCAAGATTTGTCTGTAACAAATTTGATTCACTGTAGAGTTTTACGGAGACAAAATTAATTAAATAAGGCTATATGCATAATAGATTGTGTCTGTATCTAGATTATCTTTTGTTGTTACAGATCCAGTGGAAATACCAACTGATAAAATTCTCACAAATGTCAGCCGATGCTATTGTATAGTGCATTCTAAACCGGCTGAGTCTAGGATACAATTATAAGTACATTCACTTATTGATCTGAAGAGCCTGCCTCCTGAGATATTTATATATATACAGTGGAATGTTCACCTTCTGGATTCTAAATATGTGCAATGTTTTGGTAAACTTGAACTGTAAACAGTAGTCTGAAATCTTCTACCCCCACTGAACACTGCCGATGTAGAACGCATACATGCAGCAGATGAAACATTAGAATTCCTAGTGAATTTAACACCGCAGGATTACAAGATACCAAAGATAAGCGAATATTTTAAGGTAAGGTACCAACTAACTGCCAGGTGTTTTGATAATATTTCGGATTTCCCAACTTATGGTGGCTCAATTTGTATTTTCAACATCCAGTAAATTTTTGGCACTTATAGCGAGAATATTTGCAGATGTTCAAATCAAGATCATCAAAATAACATACATGTAATATAAAAAATTGTTATTGGTCATGATATAACCTTTACATTAATGCAGAATATTTATTTGTTTCTTATGAGTGTATATATATCGTATTCAAATGAAGATGATGCAGTAATGTATTTATCTATATGTCATATAGGTAAATAGGTAGCAAAATAGTAGTTTAGCTGCATAGAACTGTTTAATATCGTGTATCCTGATAATTTATCTATTTTTTATTAGCATGCGAATCTAAATACGTTCAAGGCTTATATAAAAATGTAATAATACAGACATCTGAGCGAAAACACAGTGAGTCATCGGTAGGTTACATGTCTATTTTATGGCCTGGTTGCGAAATACAGTGAAACTTCTTTGTAAACACCTTGTTATTCTATACATTTTCATGTCATCATTAAGAAGTGGTGACATATTGTTATAACCACTTTTACTTATGACCCACATTCATGATTTGGCATTTGGCAAATAGTTACATTTCTGTTAATAAATCTCAATAATTTGTTTTTACTTTACCCCAATCTGATGTACATATGTAACAGAATTGAGAAAATACCACATTATACATCTTAACACCAAAAAAATGGAATTCATCAAGCTGTGATCCTTACGATGCTCAAAGCTTTTAAATGAGATTATTTTACGCATCAGATATTCTATAGCACCAACAAGATTCTACTGGGATAGCAAGAGATATGCATATCACGTCTATAATCTTGTAAAAGTTTGCATTTCTACTGAGATTCTCTTTTCATTAAAGAGTTGAAGAATTTTTCCATGGGATCAAAATTGATTTCCCCGCCACATCTTATTTTACCCTGAAATAAAGAGGCTTGTAATTGTGTAGACGAAGTTATCTTTTACAGAAGTAAATTAAACTATTGAAAAGAGTAAACATATTTATAAATATCAATCATCTTTCTATATAATAGAAATAAATTGTAGTTTTTGATTTATAATGAATTAAATTAGTTATCTTCATTATTCAATGATTGACTTCATTTTTCAATTATTTCTTTCAGCATGTAGCATTCAGCGAGATAAAATATGAGATATTGCAGAAAATGTGCTATTATAACTTCTGCATAATGGATATAGGAAAATTAAATGAAAAATGTTTTATCGATAAAGATCATCCGCTGCATGATAAATATCAGAGATATTTTCAGTGGCATGCTTTTCAATTTGCCATTGAGCGATTCTGTTAGAATCTCTTTTATAACAATCTAAGATACACCATATTATCCTACACTTAGTGTACTAAATGTATAATAACATGAAAAAATAAATTTGATATTTATTGGCAAAATGAATATCCGGAGGATATCGTAACGATATACTCCGGGCGGAGGATATCGTGACGATATACTCCGGAAAACCCAATATGCGGATGATATTGTGACGATATACTCCGCTTGTTGATTTCCCGCCAAATTGACTCTATTTGGCATGAAATTCATTTTACATTGATATTATACATTCAGTACACTCCTTGTAAGTGTAGGATAATAAGAACATCCTATGATTTTTTTCAGAATATTATTTTAATCTACTCGGTGATATTGATATATGCACTCGTTCGCTTCGCTCTCTCGTGCAGATATCAATATCACCTCGTAGATAAAAATGATATTCCTCAAAATCATAGGATATCCTATAATTCTTTCACTTTCTTTCTTGGCATGATAATGTCATCACCAGCTTTGATCATTTCATCATTAAATCAATTAATGGTGTAATTACACCATTAAAGAATATGGCACAACATGCAATGTCATTTTCTATATTAATCCCATTCCATATACTGACTTATATTATCCCTATTTTCTGAGATGTAACATCTTGATCCATTGATATAACTGAAGGAATATACTGGTAAATTAGTATGGAGATGTAAACGAATGCAGGAATCCTCTTGTATAATTTGCGTTGGTATGTTTTTTAAATGCTATTAACTGGTTTACAGGAGGTCCCTGGATTTCTAAATTTACCTTATTAGTACAGTTCTTGTTTATTGTCAGAGAACTCACACTAAAATTATTTCATAAACCTCAGTACATAATAAAGACATGTCTGAAGTACCTTTCTTCTAGTATAAGATTAGTTTTCTATTAGGTCACATGGGTGAGCTATTATAAGCGCCCAATTGTCTGTCCATCCATCTGTCTGTCTGTCCATTTGTCTGTCAGCACATTGGTTGCTAATTTAAAATCTTCTGTGACAATTGAAATCATTTCACTTTTAAAATGTGCCCCATACATGTAAGTAATGTCTCAAAGGCTCACCTTGTGCCAAAATAATGTCTATTTTACTGTGGAGAAATCAGGTTTTCATCCCTTTTTTGGTCATAACTCCTCAAGTTTTAGCAAAATGTGTCGTAAAGTAACAATAATATTTGGAATACAAGCCCAGCACCCATGGTACTACTTATAAAAGTTTCTGGTCTTAGAAAGTCTACCGAACATATAATATCTATTTCTTTTGTTACAGAGATATTGGGGAAATATGGGGTTTGATGCAAGACTCAGAAAAGACCTCCAAGGTACCTCATCTCTCTGATAAATATAGGCAAAATATGTAAAATCACCATACTTTTTCCTTCAAGCTAGATACATAAAGTACATATCAGGGGTTTTGCTAGAATTTCTCACAACAGGCTAATAAATGAAAACAACAGGCCAAATTAATGGAAATCATAAATTTAACATGGAAAAGTTGAAAAGTCCCTAAAAACAACAGACTATTTTGTGAGAACAATCAGTGAAAATTGCCTGTTGCCTGCTCCTAATGAAAACCCTGCATATATGAAGATAAATATCCTTTTGAAGATGATCAATTTGCCAAGGTTTAACATTCAAATGGGAACAGTTAATCTAATTCTGGCTTGTTTTCTAATATAGCAATAGCAAGAAGTGTTACAGGGTCATATCAATATTTTGTGATGTAGCAATAGAAATGTAACAAGAACACCAAGAATAACAATTTTGGAAAGTTAGGATTTAGTACAAGGGTATTATGATTAATAGTTCACAAATGGCAACCTGTTTCAAAACAGGTTATAATGGGTAAAGCTATAGATGGTAACTGCATGCATATTTGTCATACTTTGTATTTACATGTAGTTGGAAATTTGGGTAGTGAGGTTAAAATAAATGTTTTTAAGAAATCTTGCACATGATCATGTAGAATTATGATCCTGATTATGAGGGATAAGTTCTCTCCTTTTTATTTGTATTTATTTGCCATTTGAGTATAAAGGTATAAGTAAAATAGCTGTAAAAGGTCCCTGGGAAAACAATTTGAGAGGGGGACAGAAATTCCTATTACGCATACATGTTTTCTTAAAAATGTGTAACTTAACCTCCCTTATAATTTTGTTCTTTAGATTGAATGCTAAAATATCAGGCAGTATTAACTTATCCCATTGAGATTATCCCTTGATATTTTGTGCTTAATCATCTAGTTTTTATTATATCCTTTAACTCATTTATCCTAAGATTTCACAGAAATAAGCTCTGGAGAATTCTAAAAAGTCACATTGCCCTGCAATATCAGCATAGTTTCTACCACTATATTTCTAAATTAAAGTTGCTGTCAAAATTGTAATCCTGGAATTGCAATTCAGATTTAGTTATTGTATTTCCAGGTTTGCTTCAGTGATGCCCAAGATGTCAGGGTGTGTTGAATGAGGTATCACAATGTATCCACTCCAAGCTGCAGTTCCCCTCTGTAACCTAAAAACTTATTTTAGATCGGATCTAGAGACCAATTTATCAACCAATGGCTGAGGCCAAATACAGTACCCAATCTTCAGAGGAAGGGGGCTTTGATCATGCTTTAACAAATGGTAGTCTCTCAAATTCACTCAACCATGGGAAGAAAAAAGTCCTTGCTTTGTCCGAGATTGTGGATCAATTTGCGGAGAGACTCCCGAAGTTGTCACGGCTGGATGATTACAGTAACTCCACAGCTTACTCTGATCTGCGATTTATCCAGAGACAAACTTTGTATACACCAAATGAACTGCTCAGAAAGGCTATTGCAAGGAAACTGTTAGAATATGGAATGATTGATGTCTTTACCAAAGTTTGGCAGTGTTCGCATTATACAGCTGTAACATCGACAACAGCGAAATCTGACGCTTTTAAAAATCTACGAAAAGTCATATCTATTATTTGGAACATATCTGATATTTCTCCCGAAGTGAATGAAGCACTGACCCATAAAGGGGTAGTGGAACTGTTATTATCGGATTTAAATGATCCTAAACTATATTCCACCGAATTAGCCAATGAAGATAAGCTATATGTGATAAAAGGATACCTAGGAATCCTACATAATATCATAAGACTACATTTTGATAGTAGGCAGAACTTCCGCGATGCCAATGCGGTGGCCATCATTGGAGAACACCGCAAGTCTGAAGTATTAATAGTCCGTACCAAAGCTGATCTCATAATGTCTTACATAATATCCGAACAGGAAAACGCCATAATAAACGCAGATGACCGAAACATTATTTTCATCATCGGTATCTTGCAGTCTGCGATAGAAAGTGAGAATCATTTTAGTAAAAAGTTTGCATTTCACGCGAATGAGATAGTGTCTGGAATAAATCACCTAGCCTCAAATGACAGTAATAAGTCCAGGATTGTGAAGAATGGTGTGTTGCCACTGTACGTGAGGCTATTAGATTGGGAATGTACAGAAGATGAACAGAGTCTTGCCGCACAGGGACTTTGGACATTGGCCTTTGATGAGACCAACAGAAGAGCTATAAGAGAAGAAGAAGGATGCATACCAGGTGGGTAGATTGGTAGATTTAACAACGTGGCTGTGTTGGATATCATTATATTAAAAATATGGGTTTACATGTATATTAGTTAATGAAAACACATGATGAAATCCTGTGCTAAGGGCTGATGACTTAGTATAAGAGTCATTTGTGTTTTATTTGGTCTATCTTCTGCTCTTCTTGGCTGAAATGTATATCTTCCAATTTGCAATTCTGTCCTGTCATCACATTTGAGTTTGTTTAAGTTTGACTGGTGCATGACATTTGTTGGCAACATACGAGCGTATGTTTACATATGTATATACAGCTCCTTGTCACTTATATTCAATTAATTCAAGTATTCAGGAGACTGCTGATGGGAGTCAGTTTTCATTCCCTTTACTGACTCCACTATTATAATTCCAGAAATACCAGTGCGCGAAATAGACGTCCGACATCGGCCATTGGCCTGACAAAATTATAGATGGCTTGTTTTGATAAAAACACCCAGACATTTTGGCCTGCCAGACATTTGTGGCATTCGTTAGATTGCCCATGAATAGAACCCACATTTCAGTCCGGAAATCCTCCGAATTCCCCGCGATTTCGGCTTATTCCATGACTTTTGTTGAAGATTTAAAAAAATTTCAAATATTTTTGTTTTCATACTGAAGCCCAAGATATAACGTGACTTTTGATTGGCTGTTGTTGTTTGTTGAAATTACGGTGATTTTGATTGGCTATGGATGACTCATTTCTTCATCGTCGTTCGCAAATCGAGTGCATTATCAGTATGCCGGATGTAGAAAAGAAATTGAAAAATCGAGCCGGCATCTAAGTCCAAAAAGTCGGCAGTTTGGAAGTATTTTGGGACTCCGATATCACAAGGTAAACGAATTGGTGATAGTTCACCATGCAGACTATGTGAAATGCCGATCACATTCACGGCAGATGCTTTATATTCGATTTTAATTGACGTATTTCTGAATATGATTTTGAAAAGTGAAACTGAAAGTGAAACTGTCATCATCAGACATTGTATCATTTTTAATGTTCTGTCCCGTCCTGTCTCGAAAGTATCGTGTCCCGAGACCATTTGTACCGTTCCGTACCGAAATTTATTTGGACCGTGACACCTCTAATATATACCTTGAATTTTAGTCTGTTAGTGGAGTCTGTGTACGTAGTATGTGTTTTTGAATACCTTGAAGCTTCTGAGAGCAATTCTAAACCGACCAAAATCAGTACAATTTAGTTTGATCAATATGTACATGTTCCTCATGTTTTTGTAAGGTGAATCTAGGGGGGAATCAACACACCCAGGCTGTTGGTTAAGTCATCAAGTAGTGAATGATACATGACATGCAATGGAATTAGTTTTACTTTGTTAATATTGAACTAAACTAAATCTCATTTTAGAGTGGTTGTGGAGAAATATGGAAAATGAAATTTTTGGCCAGAGAAGTAAGAAATAGGCTGCAAAAAATTGGCCTGAGAAAAAATGATATGGCTGGTTAAAATCTGGCTGGCCTGCCAAAATGTCTAGGTTAAAAAAATCCTTATTTCACGCACTGAATACAAAATGAAATGTCTTCCAGTGGCCTTGCTCTCAGTTTGATTTGATTTGATTTGAAAACTATATTTATTCTTGGTAGCTCACATTGAAGGCCAGTTGAAATCAACTTCTGTAGTTTTTGAAAAATGGAAAATACAGAACACAGCCATGGTGCTGTTTTGCCGTTCTGGTCTTCCTTTACTTACTGTAATTTTCTCCTTGAAATAACACCAAATGTTTATAGGATCTGATTAATGTGTTGTGACATATGAAATAAAATGTTTCTTGATATTACTTATTTAATATTCAGCTCAAAGGTTGTCATTATACATCCCTATGTAATCAGTGTTATGTTAGGTCAATGTGAACCCCTTAGTGACTTGAATTGCTACCAGGATTGCTTGGATTCTGTGCCGATTGAATATCGATTAATATTGGCTTTAGTAGATATAAGTGCTACAAATGATCTGTATGAGTATTGTATGAAAGTACCGATTTACAATTGTAAAGAATGAATATTTTATGTCATTCCCATTAGTGATGGGGCTCATTATGTTTTATCACACTTTCAAAAAGTGCTATGTTGTTGCCCTGTGCTACTTGGTAGACAGGCAAGACCAAACCAGATCAACTTAATATGCAAGAAAGTCTTGCGGATAGGGAAGCAATGATTTTTAATATAGAAGATTTTAGCATGCTGTGCTGTACTTATTTCACATCTATTAAGAAGAGCGCTTGATTAAGCTCTTCAGCTTCAAAATGTCAATGTTTACAAAAGCCAATTTATTCGAGACCCTATCTGTTGCAAGACTAACGCCTGGCGTAACCGTCACCATGTTATTTAGTGTTTTTTAAGTAGCGCAAGGATCCTGCCATGACCGTGATAATGTTATCGTGAAAGCCTGGTATAACCGCGACAATGCTGTATTATATTGCAATGCCTGTCATGACCGTGGTAGTATAATCGTGTAAGCCTGGCGCGGCCGTAACCTTTATATGACATTGATGACCTTCATGTTTCAACCGTTGCTGTTAGTATTTTTTATGGATAAAGGCTTATTAATTGATCATTATAGAAAGTATGTGCTTTCGAATCGAACCTCCTTGAATGATAGTAGAGATATATTTGTTCGCAAATTATTTATGAGTTAAAAATTAGGGTTTCGTTGTGAAATTAATACACATTTTTAGTAGTCTTTATTTACATATTTAAGGTAGTTAAACACGAAGAAAAATTGTCACTACGGTGTTCTCATGCTACTTTAAATACAACCACGGTCATGAGAGGCCCTGCAACTATTGTCACGGTCATATCAGGCTTTAACCTTACCACGGTCATGACAGGCTTTAACATTCTCACGGTCATGACAGGCCTTTCAATCATTATGACGGTCATACTATATATACGGTAATATAATACAGCATTGTCACGGTCATGGCAGGCTTTACAAGCATTGTCACGGTCGTATCAGGCCTCAACATTACCACGGTCATGGCAGGCCTTGCAACCATTGTCACGGTCATACGGGGCTTTAACATTACCGCGGTCATGACAGACGTTGCAATATAATACAGCATTGTCACGGTTATACCAGGCTTACGCGATAACACTACCACGGTCATGGCAGGATCCTTGCGCTACTTAAAAAACACTAAATAACATGGTGACGGTTACGCCAGGCGTAAGTCTTGCAATAGATAGCATGTGATTTATTCCTTGAAATCATCCTCATCTCATGCTTAACACAATCTAGGGAGTAATAAATCTATGGCTAATATTGCAGACATTCTTGTTTACGTCAAGTGTTCATTTCAGTTCATTTGCGCTGATGTATAAAAAGCTTCCTGATTAATTAGGAAGTTACCTGATTGGCTGAATTTACTTTGTCGCTACAGTGTCAAGCTAACATTGTAAATTTCACGGTTTAATAGTTCTCGCTTGATAAAGTCTAATATCTGAGAGTAGATAATGATAGACCAAATGGCTGATCTATGAGACACTAAATATATTTTATGACGTGTACCTTTATAATTACATCATAAAGTATTTTTTATCAGAACAAAGTCTTCATCATTTGCTATCATTTCCATCTTAATCTTCAATACTTCTTGATTAAGCTTTGTTGAGTTTTACAATGTCCACTGGGGTTCTTTGACAATAAAATTGCAAATATTGTTTTAAGATCCTTACTTTATAACATTTTCAAAGTCACATAAATGTCAACGCAACATGTTACATTAATCTGATCTCTAGTCAAGATTAAGTGCCTCACCTTACTAGTGTCATGTTGAACTCATCCGCAATATGGAAAATTAAGAATTAACCACATCTATTACATTTGGCATTTTTTCAAAGAAATTCATGTTTTATTTTGGTTAACCAAAATGAATATTGCACGATTCAGAATGAATCGAAAGCAAAATCAAAGCTGTAGTTGAATAAAATTAGTGTCAGACTAAAAGCCAAGAGATAATAACATAACCAAGTAAAAGAGAAAGTGATTGTCATTATACACCATTTTGGTATTCAGTCTATTATCTAATAGGCAACCAGTTTTCCCAATGCATTACCTAAAATGATTGACATTGGCCATGAGACAACTGTTCACTTCAGACCTTAAAGGTGACAAATGAAATCACATCATCAAAGCCAATATTAAAGATCCTATGTGTCGTGTATGAACACCATTATAGGACAAAGAAAAAGAGCCTACACGGCTTTAAGACAAGAGTCTCAATCCTTGGATGCTGATGTATCACGATTAACCAAAGCCAATAATTATTTCTGATTGTATGTTGTTATCCTCGCTGGAGATTGTCCTGATATTGTATTTATCTTGATATTGATTATATGCCATCGGACAATAGGCAGTCTCTGTTCTATGGATATAAACACTCCCTTTAGTGACATTATACTGGACATAGATTGCTTTAATTTTATCTACTACAGTGGTTATTTGTAAAAGTATATCATCATTATAATATATCATTCTCAATATGAAGGTATGGTCCAGGAATTGTTTCATATTCTGAATTTAGTTGCCCTTATTACCTATTTATTTCTAGGGTACTATGTTTATTTTGGGTATTAATCCCTAAAAATACAGTAGATTAGAATATATATTATTATTGTTGCTAAAATCTTACGGCTAGCATAATCCTTTAAGAATCTAGAGATTTGGATTAACATGATGTACCATGAGAAAATATTTTATTCAAAGCTTGAATCATGGGATTTCTAGAGTGCTTGAAGAATTTGTGTAAGTCTTGCTTCGTGCCCTTGTGGCCCTCCTACACATTTGCCCTAACACACCTCCACATGGTCTTGTCGTAAGATGAAGAAGACTCGAAGCAAGATGTTGTTTTGCTTTTTATTCACATTTAATTTATAAAATTTGATGTATCAAAAATAGATCACCATTAAAACTGCTAGAGCATGGAAACAATATATAGTTTTATGACTTTTACAGCACTACAGGAGCTCGCAAGTAAAAGTAAATCTGAAGCCGTTATCCACGCTACCAGAGGTGCATTATGGGTGATTGAAGAAAAATGTTTTCCAACTGAAAAAATCGTAGCTTTAGCAGGTACAGAATTTATCACCATTTAGAAGGTTCCTTTGAGAATAATCCCAGACTAAGCCGTCATTATAATCAATAGATTATGTCTAAATGATGTAAAATACAAAATTTAAGCAAGCTGAATAGAAGAGAGATAAAAATGTTGATTGGCCATCATGATCATTGATTTGAAAATTATTTATTATAAGCTCTAAAGCGGTCGTCATGGACATGATACTGCTATATAGTATTTATTGGAATTACTTCTTTGATTGCAATAAATGCAATTTATGGTTGCAATGGTAACCATTATTTAAGGTAGTACACGTAGAGTATTTTAGCTGTTCTTTTCTAGAGTCCGAGTCCTTCCAGCCGCATGTAATGCTCAGCTACCAATGGGGAGCCAAGGAAACAATGATCCGTGTTAAAGATAAACTGAAGGCTGCAGGCTATAAGGTCTGGATGGATGTAGAAAATATGAGTGAGTTAATGTCACATACAAGTATACTGTACTTGCTTTGTATCTTGGAAATATCATAAAAAAGTTTGAGATGTTGTTATTGAATTTCCAAATTAAAATGAGATATCATAACTTAAAAGCCATTGTACATCTTAGATGCGATAGAATTCCCAGGATTTCTTCAATGTTTATTGTTCATGTCCAGTGTACTTTTAACATGGGTTATTGATGATTAAAACTGTTCATAAATAATATCCTTTTTCAATGATTGTTAATAGATTTGAAGTTCTTTGTAACAACCTTATACTCGACTCATTATTTTTCTTTGATGTCTTATTTATGTGTGTTATTGTGTTGTAGGTGGGTCTACCCTAGAAGCAATGGCCCTTGCAGTTGAGAGGGCCGCAGTAGTCATAGTTGGCATGTCCCAGAACTACAAAGACAGCCCCAGCTGTAGAACAGGTAAATATGTTATCTAGCATTAATCTAATGTTTCTACATGTATGTTTGACCAGTATTTTAATGAGTGATGGAGAGGGGGTAGAACAGGCTAGGTTCAGTACTAATTTTAAAAAATAAATCACCCTCATACATGAAAAAATTCATTATATTTCTGTTGGAACCTATAAGCTATCCAGCCCCAAACTTGACATTCCAGTCCCTTATACAAACCAGAAAACACATTAGGATTTTGTCAAGCTTGTAACTGAGCTGCCTTATAAATAACCTCAAATCTTTTCAAAAGTTTTCTCCTTGAATGCAGCTGTGACAGTCAACTCGACCCTCTGTCTCTATTTAACAAATATTATAACCTCGTCGATTTGCAATATTTTGTTATAAAAATAGGGAGGAAACGAAGCACAATGCTAATAAACATACAGGATACTTTTGTCTCACCTATATTTTATTTTCACTTAGATTACATCTGAAAGATCCATCAATAATTGAATAATTCAATTAAAATGACTATTATAGTTTCCACTAATTCTGTTAATCTGATTCCCAGTTTGAAATATTGTATGATTCAGAGGATTAGTTTGGGAATTGTTTCAAATGCCATACATTCTCAATTACAGATCTCTGTTTTAAATTATGATGTAGATAATTTGATGAAACTATTTCAGCGACATTTATATCATGATTTAGCATCAAAGTTACTACTACAGTGGTACAAACTACAACGACTTATGGGATTTTTTGAGTACTTTCATTTTGAGGATATAACTATGGGTAACTTGCACAAACTTTTTCTTCTAAAATCATGGGCTTGTGGAATTTAAAAATTAAGAAGGATTAGATTTATAAAATGCAAAAATATCTGCTATTTCATTCACATTTAAGAGATAAAAGAAATAAAGTAAGGAAGATAAGTAACTCTTTAATACACACTAGAAAATAATAAACAATTAACAGTATACATTATCTGTTTGTAGAGGCGGAATACACCTATAGATTACGCAAAGACATTATACCAGTTAGGGTACAATCCCAGTATACTCCAGATGGCTGGCTTGGTATTATGATAGGAACGAGGCTGTACTTTGACCTCAGCATAGAGGACTCTTTTGATATGAATGTAGGAGGATTGGTCAAGGAGCTGGGAAACAGGGGCAGAGTGGGGCATGATCTCACACCAAATCCTTACAGTAGGTTTAATTCACGATTCTTAATTCACAATTCTTGTGTTATTATTAGACTCCAGATGAAAATCTGGAGTCTATTGCTTTTGCCAGTTTTCTTTATTATTATTATTATTATTATTATTATTATTATTCTTCTTCCTCCTTCCCAGATTTCTCACCAACTAGAAGAGCTTACTTTAAGCTGCTTACATGATCAACTAGGGAATGTATCTGGCTTTCTGGGAAATTAGGTCAAATTTTTATCTAGGTCAAAGGTCAAGAACTAGGTCAAATCCAGTACTTTGTCACTTTTTTCAATTTTCTCGGTCGTCCTTCAATATTTTCAATCCGGGTATTTTTCATTGTGTTCCTCATAAAAAAGTAGGGGAAAACAGGTCGATTTAGTTTTTTGATATCTCAAACCGATTTCGAGATATCAGTGTCCGAAAACGAGGTCCAAAAAAAAGTTCTCCCAATTCAATGTCCACGCTACTGGTCTTGTAGGAAATTTTCTCAGGATTCCGAATCTGAAAACCAAATTTCGATCCGACTTCCGGTTCGGAAGTTATATCGTTTTGAAAGCTCAAAAATCGCTAAATTTGGTGCCCATGTTAAGTCAATGGGAAAAAAGATTTTTTTGAAGTGAAAAATACGAAATATAGACTGAGTTCAGCTAAATATAATGGAAGCTTTTAAAAGAAGGGGACCTCAAAAGCCATCTAGCTTAAAAATTTGGACACAAAAATGGCAAGGTCAAAATCTAGGTCAAATTCAAAGTTTTTCCTTATTTTTGCGATTCTGACACTACACTTTAATTATATTCTTCGAAATCGTGTATACATGTAGCCAAGAGTGTGCTAATAGTGTTAGCCTTTTGCCGTCAGGAAGTATTTTGACCCACTTTTGAGATATGGTGTCCCAAAAGTAGGTCAAAATAAAAAAATCTTCAAATTTAACTTATGAGTTATGAATCAGGGGTAGAATTTTGTCAGGAATCCGAATCTGCAAACCATATTTCGATCCGACTTCCGGTTCGGAAGTTATGGCGTGTCCAAAAAGTAGGTCAAAATAAAAAAATTCTAAATTTATCGTATGAGTTATGAATTAGGGGTAGAATTTTATCAGGAATCCGAATCTGCAAACCAAATTTCGATTCGACATCTTGTTCAGAAGTTATGATGTTTTGAAAGCTCAAACATCGCTAAATTTGGTGCCCCATGTTAAATCAATGGGACCGAATAATTTTTTGAAGTGTAAAAATACAAGATATAGAATGAGTACAGCTAAACATAATGAAAGCCCATAAAAGAAGGGGACCTCAAAAGCTACTTTCCTTCAAAATTTGGACACCAAAATACCTAGTTCAAAATCTAGGTCAAATTCTTAGTTTTTTCTTATTTTTGCAATTCGGACACTACACTTCAATGATATTCTTCGAAATTTTGTATACATGTAGCAAAGAGTGTGCTTATAATGTTAACTTTTTGCCGTCAAGAAGTTTTTAGGCCCACTTTTGAGATCTGGTGATCGAAATGTAGGTCAAAATAAAAAGTTCTCCAAATTTAACGTATGAGTTATGAATTAGGGGCATAATTTCCTAAGGAATCCGGATCTGAAATTAAAATTGCAATCCTACCCCCAGTTAAGCCATTTTGAAGTTTGAAATTCGCAGTTGCCAGTATTCACGATGCAGATTGATCAAATAAACTTTCAAAAATTCCTACATACCCTACTTTACCTCCCTACCTACTCAGCTACTTATTTGACTACTTACTCAATTGCTTAATTAGTTATTACTTACTTAGCTACTCACTCAGCTACTAACTCAGGTACTTACTCAGCTACTTACTCAGCTACCTACTCAGCTTTTTACCCAGTTACTTACTCAGCTACTTACTCAACTACTACTAATAGTCCCCGATCTGATTTCCAAAAGGGCTCTAGAAAAGGGGTTTTGTTGTCCGGTACTTTCCCACATAAAATGATTGTACCGTTTGAAAGAACAGACTTCCCTCTTAAAGAAAACACCTCTTCTATTGATGTAAACAGGGGCAAAAGGCACCAAAACGGGGTTAGACAAGGTGGCATTCTGAAGTCTCACTTTCTTGTCATCACGATTCCAGGTAACCCATTAGACGGATTTACTTCAAATTTTCACACATGTTACATGGTAAGAAGTTCTAGAGCTGGTTAACTTTGCGGCGTCCATCTTGCATTCTGGCAGCCATCTTGGAATTTTTTTCAGATAAATATTGTCATCGCGATTCCACAAAAACCACAAAACAGATGTACTTCAAATGTTCACACATGTAACATGGTAAAAAGTCCTAGACCTCATTATTTTTTCGGTGGCCATCTTGCATTCTGGCAGCCATCTTGGAAATTTAAAGATAAATCTTGTCATCACGATTTCAGGAAAACCAAACGAATTTACTTCAAATTTTCACACATATTACATGGTAAGAAGTTCTAGAGCTAATTAACCTTTCGGTGGCCATCTTGCATTCTGGCGGCCATCTTGGAAGTTTTTTGTTGGATAAATCTTGTCATTGTGATTGTGATTCAAGGAAAACCACTTTACTGATTTTCTTGAAACTTTTACACATGTTACAAGGAAGGTTACATGCTACCTTTTATATTGATATAAACAGGGGCAAAAGCCAGTAAAGTGGGGTTACACAAGGTGGTATTCTAAGGAGAATGTTATCTATTTTTCTGTATTATAAACCACATAATTTGACATAAATGCATATTTGGTGTATGATATCATGTTTTATATTGATAGAAACATGGGCAAGAGGCGCTACAATGGGGTAACATATAGATATTCTAAAATACATTGTAGTTGTAGATACTATAGTACTCGTAAAAGCTGCAGATAACGTTTCTTCATCGGGAAAGCAAGCTGTCTCTTAGTCAGATATTAACTAACGAGCTGGTTCAGAGCACCAGCATGTCAAACTATGTGAATGGGCTCTGTATCCACAATGTTGCGAGTTCGAGACACATGTGCTCTTTGCATTTAATAATCAACAAAAATCACTTAAACCTGCACTAAAACTGTGTGTCAGATCGATATAAGTATAGGGTTTGGAAACTAATTGTACCAACAAAAAGAACTTAAAAAACACTACTACAATATCAACATAAGCTTTCAATAGTAGTGACGATGCAGAAACATGCAAAATGTCACCACACCTTGTTAAGTATACAGTACACATTAACTACTGAACAGTGTCAAGATAAACGTTCGAAGCTATTACAATATGTCACCCAATCACTAGTGGTGGTGACATAAAAATAATGTATAGAAAAAACTACTGAACCAAAATAAACTTTGAACTGATTGTTTACTCTAAGTTTTCAACTAAATATATTTCTAATAAGCAATGTTTTATCGAAAAGAAAAAATAATTTCATGTTATATAAAATCAAATAAATTAATTATATTTTTTTCGTTGTGTTAGTTACACCAGTAATAATAAACCTGTTTATAAAGTGGTGTTAACTAGACTATATAATTTAACAGTCATAAAAGTAATAATAAACCTGTTTATAAAGTGGTCTTAACAAGACTATAGAATTTAACAGTCATAAAACCTAAAAAAATATACCAGGAAGGGACCATTGTGAATGTAAATGTATAAAGCACAGATGCCATAGGAAACGGAACAAAAGTTATAACAGAACCTAGCATGGAGAAAGTGTAACTGGTAAATTGTAATAAAAATAGTATAGATCATGATCTAACATGACATAGTATGCCTTACAACTCATCCTCCCTAACATTATTAAAGACTACTAAAGTATATTATAGTGATCCACTCGATTATGCTGGTTACCTAAACGGGTTGTTTCGGTAACAAAATGTGGGAACATCGAAGGTATGATTTTTCCTTTTTCCTTTCACACTTTGTAGGCAGAATTCCCATGACATTTTTTCTCACAAACGTGTATCAGTATCATATGTTTAAGAAAATGTGCATATTTGGAAACAAATAGTTCAGAAGACAACATACTGTAATCGTACATTTAATTCCTCACTTAAGTTACATAAACGGTGTTTCGAAAAAACAGTTCAGATCTGCACTTTTAACCCAAACCTTTATGTAACTTAAGTTAGGAATTAAATCGACGATTCTGTCGTCTTCTGAGCTATTTTTCGCAAACATGTACATTTTCTAAGACATATGATACTGATTCACGTTTGTGAGAAAAAACGTCGAGAGGATTCTGCCTACAACGAATGAAATAAGGAATAAGGATAAATCGTACCTGTAATCGAGCGGATCACCAGTGTATATACAGGGTGAGATAATTCATATTATGGCATCAACTTTGACAAGTTGGTTCATCCAGTTGTCAGGTAAGAGATTTTCAGGTAATTCATTTTCTTCCTGATCTTCATTGTTTGGTGTAATGGTGTCATCAACTGGTTCAAATTCATTGTCGCTCTCATCAACATCATCGTGCTGATGGATTGGACAGTTCTCACACACACCTTTGCGGCACTTACATGAACTTCCACAAATGAGATCCTGTTTCTTACAACTACATCTCATTGAGTCACACGCTCCTTTACAACTACAAGCAACAAGCTCCATTATTTCTTGTGGGGCAGGACCGTTTTCCATCCACTTAATTTGTAGTTTTTTCCCTTTGAATGTCCAACCATGTAATGTGGGGGATTGATAATCAATCATTGATTTGCCTGCGTTTCGCCAAATATAGGCCTGATAGTTGGCTCTATTTATATGGAGAATGAGAGCATCCTTTGTTGGTGGTAAATGCTTTGACTGTATTTTATATTTATCTACAAACTTCCAAGATGGCCGCCAGAATGCAAGATGGCTGCCGAAAAGTTATTCACCTCTATATTTTCTTACCATGTAACATGTATGAAAATTTGAAGTAAAACTGTTACGTGGTTTTCATGGAATCGTGATGACAAGATTTATCTAAAAACTTCCAAGATGGCCGACAGAATGCAACATGGACACCAAAAAGTTAGTCAGCTCTAGAACTTCATACCATGTAACATGTGTGAAAATTCGAAGTAAAACTGTGAAGTGGTTTTTCTGGAATCGTAACTACAAGATTTATCTATAAACCTTCTAAAAAGGCCGCCAGAATGCAAGATGGCCACTGAAAAGTTAATCTGCTCTAGAACTTCATACCATGTAACATGTGTGAAAATTTGAAGTTAATCTGTTGTTTTCCTGGAATCACGATGACAAGATTTATCCCAAAATTTCCAAGATGGCCGCCAGAATGCAAGATGGCTGCCGAAAAGTTATTCACCTCTATATTTTCTTACCATGTAACATGTGTGGAAATTTGAAGTAAATCCGTTTGGATTTCCTGAAATCGTGATGACAAGATTTATCTTAAAACTTCAAAGATGGCTGCCAGAATGCAAGATGGCCACCGAAAAAATAATGAGGTTTAGGACTTTTTGCCATGTAACATGTGTGATTGTTTGAAGTACATCTGTTATGTGGTTTTTGTGGAATTGTGATGACAATATTTATCTGAAAAAAATTCCAAGATGGCCGCCAGAATGCAAGATGGCCACCGCAAAGTTAATCAGCTCTAGAACTTCTTACCATGTAACATGTGTGAAAACTTGAAGTAAATCCGTCTGATGGTTTACCTGGAATCGTGATGACAAGAAAGTGAGACTTCAGAATGCCACCTTGCCTAACCCCGTTTTGGTGCCTTTTGCCCCTGTTTACATCAATAGAAGAGGTGTTTTCTTAAAGAGGGAAGTTTGTTCTTTCAAACGGTACAATCATTTTATGTGGGAAAGTACCGGACAACAAAACTTTTTTTCAGAGGGTCCAGATCAGGGACTATAAGGTACTTACTCAGCTAATTACTCAGTTACTTACTCAGCTCTTTACTGATCTATCTAGGTAAAATAAATCTGGAGTCTTAAATTGAACTTGTTCAATTTCACAAATCTAGTTATTATTATTATTATTATATCTTGGTTACCGCCATATTTGGCGAGCAATACCTCATTGGTATATTCCGTATTTTACACTCGAAGATAGAGCCAGAAACCCCTCCTTGGAGGAGCCCTGTGTTCTTTTATGTGCACAGGTACACAGATATACAGGTACACACCACAGCCTTTTATACGAGTCGTGAACCACTCAGTCAAACACCCAGAATTACATAATGCACAAACAAACTTGTCTGAACCGGGAATCGAACCCGGGGCCAAGCAATATTGGTAACCTCGACTCTCTCTGCCACTGAGCCATAGCGGGTGGACGGGTGTTAAACCATCGTAATTTTTTCTAAGATAATGAAATGTAGTGTGCATCACACTGTATAATAATTTTTATTTATAGTTAGAATAGTTGTAGTAGTAGTTTGTAGTGTTTTAGTGACTAATGTATCATGTAACTGATATAAATTTTCAATAAAAGATATAATAATGACAATTATGATCACATAATGTTATTTATAAATAAGAAAAAGATCTAATTCTAAAAAACAATAATTTATTTGAAATTGAACCTGAATACAAAAATGTGACAATAATTGCTTTTGAAATTTTTGAAAAGTTTAAAATATGCATGTTCAAGATGAATTGGAAGGATTGTATAAATTTTATTGACATATCCTATCATTTCATGATTTCATTCGTCAATGATAAACATGTGGTATGTATATTTCTAAGATTCATCTACGATTTCACATTTCAGGCAGTACTTTAACATTTGGAAGCTCAAAATCATACGCTAGCACTCCCGCCAGTCAGTTAAGCAAATCCTCTACCCATGATCACCTCCTGGACTCACCCTGCCCTGTGCTGGGTTGGAGATGTGAGGATGTTGCCCGCTGGCTAGCAGAAAGTGGTTTAGAGGAATATTGTGAAAGGTACATTAATGTGTATTTTTATACACTTCATTTTCTATTTCCTCACAGATCATATGTTCCAATGTGGCGTTAGGTAGTGGGATAAGGGGCTTGATTATTTGGGGCCTTAAACTTGATACTAAAACTTAAACTTAAATATGATATACATTTTGATTATTCAAAATTCAAATGATTGTATCACTCAACAGATGTGATATTGTAGAGTAAGATTTATTCAACATATACATGTGTTTTGAATCTTCAGATTCCAAGAATTAGATGGTGAGTTGTTACTCGAACTGAAGAAGATGCACAGACAAGCGCCTGAGTTCTTCTTTAACACATTAAAAGTGGACTATAAGTTCAAACTCATCACGATGCTCAAGTTCACCAAAGCTTTGGAGAAGATACAGTCTTAACCCAGACTACCAGTAGTATTATAGACTACATTTACAGGGTGGGCCCAAAACATATAATTTCATAATCAATTTAATTTTATGAATTATCTGGGACTAAAAACAAATCAATTTATAGTCATTCTCTTGTTGAATGTTACTGAATTACCTAATATTAAAATATTCCAATGATTTTGGTCCACCCTGTATGTGTGTACCTGACTCCTCCAGTCATAAGGGGAGTCATGAGTTGAGTGGCATTAGTCATTGGCTCAATGTCTGTGCTACAAGTTTTCTTGGTGTGTAGTAGCGCTACTTCATGCAAGAATTTCCTGGTGTAGGCTTCAGTCAATTCATGTAATACTTGTACTTGAATATTCTAAACACTTATATATACTAAGTAAAAATTGCAGTATATGCTCTTGAAAAGTGGAGATTATCAAGTTACAAGGATTTCTACAGAAATCCAGTCTTATTTAAACACCTCAAAAGAGATACATTTGTAGCCATGAATACGCTTTAAGCTTAATGAAGGTCAGTGTTAGGAATGTTTCGAGTTTCCTCGAGAGAGGCTTGACATCACACCCATTAAACTGTTAATACATATTAAAATTCATTTGGAGTTTGATAATAGTCTAAAAGGCAAATTGTTTTCTTACAAGGTTAAATATGTTTTGATTAGTTAAATTATTTCCCAGTTTAATGGAAGTTAAGATGATCTGTCATATGAAACATTTGGATATCAGTCACAGGAATGCTATTGATTTATAGAGCTCAGGTCAGTGTACAATTGTCTATGTGTATATATTGTAAGAATGTACAGATGAGAGATGAGTACAGATGAGATTGTACAGTATATACAGTAAAACCTGTTAGGCCATAAGAAATAGATTCTTTGTTTTGCGTCCTGGTAAAATCCAAATCATGCAAGGGTACAAGGAAAACAAACACAAACTCAGGAAAAAACACAAGCTTATTTGCTGAGAAATGTATACATTTCAAGGGCATAAAAAGGGATGACATACCAATTTGTAGTGATTAAAAACATATATCTATACATTTTATACAATACATTTAAACATATAGCTATTATTCAAGGGTAAAAAATAAGAAAATAAACAATATATGCCAAAGTCATCAATAATACTGTCAATTTTGACACACATCAAATTATCCGCCATTTCCTCTGATTCTGATTGAACGAAATGCTATGGTACTTTCAGACCCTTGTGATTGCTATTTGGATGTGTTTGTTTTTTCTGATTTACTCAAAATCGTGCAAGCAAGGGGACGCAAAACAAAGAATCTATTTCGTATGGCCTTATATGTAAACATCTGGTTTATACACCTTTAAGGTGTTTACATGGAGCATGAGCATTCTATTTAAAGCCCATCCACGGAGTCAATACTATAAACAGTTGGAGTTTTTTCTATGCTGCATGTTGTTGGATTTTTTTGCATGTACGGGTTATGCTGTATGTGCATTATAAGACTTACTCTTAGATTATATTGAGGCCTTCGGTCTTTTGAAGACTTGGTGGGTTAAAAGTAAGAAATAATGCGAAAACTTATGGGCATCTTTCTGAAGATTAGGGGCATATTTCTGAATAATATTGTGAATTATTATTCAGTAGAATTTTACAGTATTGCTAAAGGCAGAATGACAATTGAAATTGTAAGAAATGTTGCACAATATATTTCAGAAATGTCAATATAGTTGAATGATCACTCATGTTAAGAGAAACTCATCAACTCATCAAGCTTGTAAATTATATTGACATTGCATTAAAATTGCCAAATAGCAATACCAGCCCTTATTTATTGTACTAAAATTCCATCCATATTGCCATTTAATGTGGTGCTACATAATGATGCTATGTAATGAAGTATGTATCTGACTCATAGAGCATACTTCCAGGGAAAGAGGTGTGCCATCTATTTGTATTTATTTGCTTTTTTACAAATATTGATTTACATTACATGCATAATTTTAATTTTTACAACTAGTCTGATCTTAAGCAATATACAGTACTTATCTTACTATTAAGTCATATCTTACGATTAAGTTATATCTAGGACTAGTCATGACAGTACAGTTGGATCATGAAGCAATCAGAGAACACGAAATAAGAATAATCTGTTTTTATGTTACATTACCACCAAGGAGTGTATTTATACCATTTTTGTAACCATTTACAGGTACAGTGTAGTGGCATTTCATCATTTTCATTATGTTAACCTATGTAAAATGCAATTTGCAATTTTTTTTAATTATGTTATGAAGAGCAACCGTCTAATTTGTTCTCTAAAATATATACAGTCAATATTTGATTTATGCAAGTCACTTGACAACAATTATATTTTATTAAATTATAAGGTACTAAACGTATGCATTTGCAATATGCTCTATCGAGTGCTGTACTTTATATACTGGTGCATCATTTGCCTAAGGCTTCATAGTATGTGGGAAATTGAGATTTTTATGGATACAAATGGTGAGACATTGCAGATTCAGGAACATGGGGAAATACTTCCAACTTTGTTTTACAATACTTTGCTTATATTCCTCATAGCAGCATATTCAGATGTGAAACCTATAAAAAGAGGGGAATCAATATTGGGTGAAACCGCCATCTTGTATCCATAATTCTCCAATCTTGGCTATATGGGTATGTGCCATTGCACCAATGTTGTTTAAATTAAGACCATTGCTATAAACATGAAGCAGAAGCAGATGCCTTGTCACATTTTTGAAAAAAATGAAATAAAAACACGTTATTTGTTTCTGTGCTAAAGTCCTCACTATTAGTCTTACTATGATACTTATGCAACACTGTCTACTTTGGTTAGAGTCAATGTATGACAGCATACTTAATTCTAGCCTTGCCCAAGTCGGTCTATTTTACTTATTTTTTACAAATGATCTTGAATGTAATAATTCAAGATCAGATAAGTAAAAAATTACCAACTTGGGCAAGGCTAAGTTAAGTCTTTATGCTAATAAATGTACTCTTCAGATGTAACCCATCATCATATCATACTAGTAGTTACTCATAGTATTGCCTGCTCAATGAGAAGCTTCAAGTTGTAATGGCTGTAGTGAAACCATAAGCTGGATGTATGGTGGTACTTACAAGTAAAGCAGCCTTCAAGCCATTCAATTACTCAGATGCGAGTAGGTAGTTACCAGTTTCACCACCAGGTGGCTGATTCGGGGGAATTAACATGGCAGGGTATTACAAAATTCCCTTAAACTTGAAGATGCATCAGTTTTAATTGTTCACTTTTCATATTACCTTTATGTATCTGATAGTTGTCCAAATTAAAGTATGTCCAGTAAAAGAAAATATTATCTGCCCAACACAAGAAAAGATATTTCACTTTTTGTGGTTTTACAACATGGGCTCTATGGGGACTCTCCCCGACCTAGAAGTCACATTTTCAAAGAAAATAAAATTTTTAAAGTTGATAAACTCTTTTCAAAACCACATTTCTAAATGTAACTCTACATGTAGATTCCAAATATGACATCAGTTTGACTGAATTGTGAATTTTTAATGACGTAAATCAAGATTATTTCTACTCGCATTTGGGATATTCAGTATGTACTAAGGTGGGTGTGTAATTGTACATGCATTTGTATTCTGCAATGAGGGTGTAAAATCACTACCCCTCTTGTATGTCAGAATGTTAGTTATGATTTCATATGCAGTATTTTGTAAAATGTAAGTCATAATGTTGAAGAATAAAGGAATTGAGAAACAAAATTTTGGCTTGATTTTGATTTTGAAAATCCTACTTATCATCATATTTACGTGGTGTCTCATACCATAAATATTTGGAATCTGATGTGTGACCAAAGAGGAAGGAATTTACTGGGCTAAAACAGCATATTGAACATAGATCTAGTACTAGCTATAGATAGAGAAGCTGCCCATTCATCTGTCCAGGTGATATTGTCTGATACAAATATGGGCTGATGTCATAGAACCTCTACTCAAAAGTGAATTTCGAAAAGTTCAAATGTCCACAATGAAGAATGTCAATTCACATTTCAAATGATCATAAATTATTGATGTATCTTTCACTTTGATTGATGTAGAGGAGGCCAGCACCTTCTTATTCTGGTATTTTGGCAAAAGTGCTCTTGTTCCTTTATAAATATTGAGTCAGGAAAGGAATACAAGGAAAAAAACAATATACATGTATCATAATCCACAAAACAATATAACTTATATAATTTCTGCTTTATTCAGTATTTGAACTTCAAAATACAATTCATGAGTACAGACAGCATGATTTCATTTGAGAATTATAAAATGATAATGAAAGTTGGTAGAGTGGAATGAATAGAAGAAAATTCAAAAACTCCCAAATAGTTTAAGTTTGTTCGAGGGCTATACAAGGTTTATATTGGATTCAGTTTATAAAATGTATTTTATACAATGCCTTTTGTACGAAATCAGTATTATGCGTTGGATATATATATATATATAAATATTGGAATTATACATGTATATGGAAAATTATTAATTCCACTCAGTGTTGTACGATTTTTGCATACAAAAACATATATTTTCTTTGACACCAATTTCTTTTCATACTTAGTACATGTTCAGTTGTTAAGGCAGAGCAAGATTACACATATAAGTAAACCCAGTTGTGACATGTCAGTTTCTGACAATTGATAGTATTATGCCACAACTGATGGCTTTATACCACAACTGATGGCTTTATACCACAACTGATGGCTTTATACCACAACTGATGGCTTTATACCACAACTGATGGCTTTATGCCACAACTGATGGCTTTATACCACAACTGATGGCTTTATGTCACAACTGATGGCTTTATACCACAACTGATGGCTTTATACCTCAACTGATGGCTTTATACCACAACTGATGGCTTTATACCACAACTGATGGCTTTATGCCACAACTGATGGCTTTATACCACAACTGATGGCTTTATACCTCAACTGATGGCTTTATACCACAACTGATGGCTTTATACCACAACTGATGGCTTTATACCACAACTGATGGTTTTATGCCACAACTGATGGCTTTATACCACAACTGATGGCTTTATGCCACAACTGATGGCTTTATACCTCAACTGATGGCTTTATACCTCAACTGATGGCTTTATACCACAAGTGATGGTTTTATACCACAACTGATGGCTTTATACTACAACTGATGGCTTTATACCACTACTGATCATGACTTCTTAACACAACCTAGGGACTGCACAAATTTATACACATAAAAGTACAACAATAAAACATGTAAAATCAAGTGTGTTGATCTATTAAACAGTACAGTCTACTAAACAGCCCCCTAGAAACATCTCAATTAATAGCAATGTTATATTGTGGCTGATCACTAGACTGTCCAAGTAACATGTAATATCTGGCACCATTAAACAAGCAATATTGAGCATTCTTTATATTCTAAACAATGATAAAATGATTTCCTCATGACAGGAGGTTTTTTTCAAATCAAAACTGAACACATCGAATTAACATGTTACTTTTTCGTCAATGACACTGTACTGTATGTCATGGTAAGATAAGAATTTAAAATGTACAAAAGTAAATCAGAACATGTAAAAACATTTAGGTATGTTCCAAAACATTCATCCCATTATCTTGATAAGTTCGCCCTTATTGAAACATAAATGCCCTATTGGTTGACAGATGCCCTTCATGGTTAGCAAAGATGCCCTTTCAGAACCAGGCATCTAAATTTGGGCATACACCAACCAGTACATAAATCTCTATGTGTCTACCCTATCTAAACACCAGTCTATGGTTGTGTTTTCATGATAATAATTGCTTCTTTATACAATTCTAAATTTTAATATTACATTAAATGTACATATTGTTTTAAGTAATATACTTAATACATGTATTACGGTATATACACATCATAGAATTACATATATATTACACAATCACAGAGACTAGGTTGACAGTGGTGGAGCGCGATCTTCTCTTGTCAGATCAGTGCTGCCATCTTTCTGTCAACCTAGCACCTATACATACAATTCAACAACTGGCATACACTTTGACAAAAGGATAAAATCAATTAAAATAATTGTCATTCTTATGTATCCAGTGAATTTCAGGACTAACCTCTCTTGTCATATGCTGAGTTCTAATATTCTTATGTTATCTAGATAAGATAATACAAATGAAAAAAAGTACTAAAATTATTTATATGATAAATACATATTGTTATATAATAATATATTTTGCTTATTGCGTATAGGAATTCACTTTCAGAGGTAATCAATGCAACATATAGCAATACCAAATATCTGCATACATCTAGTATCCCTATCAATATGATATCACATTGCAATAAAAAGTTCATCATTCATACATTATTCCTCATTTGCTGAGCACTCATAAACCTATATTTATTGTCTTTTGCCATTCCCAGGCATGCTATTACCATGACAAAGTACATGTACCTCAAAATAAGACCGCACTTTGCTTAAAGGAATAATGGAAGCATGGGTCATCTCTTGAAACCACAAAATGGAAGACAATACAATGTATACAAAGCACAACAGGCTTCCAAATAAGAGAGAATATAAAATGATTTGGAGTTATTACTATAAACATCCCAATATCATAATCTTCAGTTCAGCTGCAAAGCATATTTGTTCTAGTATAAAGGATTTCAAATGCATGTTGAGTTATCTTCAATCATGCTATTATTCATAAAGGATCCCATTCCCAAACTCCACCTCCCCAAGGAGGAAAAATGAATCCCACAATTTCTAAAAGTTCAGTAGTTTATAGGACTGCTCCTTTTTAGAATATCAAATATTTTCATTGATAAATTCATATAGAATAATATGTCTCAGAATTAATCAATTAAGAGGCTGGTTTTTGGACCAGCCTGTATGTACCTAACCTATGGTTTCTTATCTGTGACTCTGTACAACTGGCCATACATAATTTATGTAGTTTCAACTACAGATTAAGCCCTTCAAAGTTGAATATACATTTTTTGTCACCACCATTCTAAGATTTAGGCAAATTTTCAGAAAACAAAATCTTAAGTGACCAAATATATGAACTTGAATAACGACAGAAACTCTAAAATTGACCTTTGGTCACAATAGTGATTTTGTTTCCCCCACCCTCCTAAAATTAATGGCCCTTCATCAGGATGTTAAACATATAATAATTAACTTTGAATGGCCTTGTACACTTTGTAATGTAGGAAACAGCTAAGACTCTATGAAATGAATTTATACAATTTTGAGTAAGGAGGATGAAGTGAGATACATGACTAATAAGAATACATGTGTATAGAGATATATGTATAAAACGTCAAGTCTGCAGTAAATGGATGTGAATGATGGAATGAGATGGATGTACAGTAGCTGTGTCTTATATAATGCCTTAGGTAACTAAAAATAGTGTTCAAATTTGGATGGGTTCAACTAACAGAGGTTTGTTTAACATTTCGTTTATCGATAACAGATCAGAATTGGTCGCAATAAAGAGATATATATATAACAGGACTTTGAAAAGTGTTTCACTTTACAGGTTTTACTGTATAAGACAGTTATAAACACACATACTGTTCATGCTATATTGAATGTCCTACTGTAAGTATATGTAATGAACTGATAATATAAATATGTTCTAATCCATATAAGGTACATGTATAGATATATGTATCTAATGATGATAACAGGTATGAGAATAGTATGTTTAAACTATACAGTACAGGTATATAAATATGTCGTAAGCTCTGCATATGGAGTATGCCACATAGCACTATATTCTTTTCGTAAAGTTCTCAGGAAATACTCCTTTTTTACCATTTAGATTTCCCATTAGCCAACCATCATCCTGAAACAAAAAATATACAATCGCTTATATCTACTATTACTGCTTACAATTACTATCAATATTAGTACTATCAATGAATTAGTAATTCAGAAAGCGTCTAAAACACTAAAAAAGGATGGTTACATAGTAAGTAGATATTTTCCTTAATATTCAATTTATATACAACATGTACACAACCAAATTTAAGATATTACAAAAGTCAAACTGAACGTTTAATGTAGGAAAATTCAAACATCACCTCAACTTTCTACCATGAAAAGCCTAGAATTATGCATGTAAATACACTATGAATGTCTAGTAGATGGAAATACATATTGTAAACTGTAAAAAAGTTATAAAGACAAAAAATTTAATTGATTCATGATATTTCAAGACTTACCTGATCTTCAGGATCCTCAAATGGGATAACATTGACCAGGTCACCTGCCTCAAATGACAGTTCATCTGAGTCTTCACCTTGGTATGCATGGGTGGCTCTCACCTGTAAAAATCAAATTGAAGATTATTCATACAGGTTGGCATAAACATTAAAACTTCGAACTCTGGGATGAGTGGAATTTTTCAGACTTCAAACACAAAAATAAAGGTACAAGATTTATAAATTTTGATAGTTGGGAAAATATTTTTTAATCAATTCTGTACAACCCTGTTGACAAATAAGTATATGGTACATATTTATCTTTCGAGAAAAAATGAAAATCCTTGTAGTATATGAGGTGGACACAGCTAATACTAAAATCATCCGTGCAAGAGTAAGGTTCAATAAGTAATAATACTAGCATTTGTTATAAATCTCAAGCAATGGAAATATCCAGAGGTTGGGAGTGTTTGAAGGATGGTAAATGTTGGACTCATGAATACCCATACATCCTTAAAGAGATCGGGCCTCCTAAAAACACAATTAGAGTAACCCCTTGATTTTTTCGTGTTATTTGATGTAAACCAAGTTTGTTTATCAACTTATCAATTTTGAGGCTTGAATTAATTCGTTAACAGTATCCATTCGATGATTGTTCCTAGCCATGAATTTCCACTTACATCAATAGAAATTAGAATTAAAATTTTAAAAAAAGCCCGCTCAAATTTGTTCCAGTCTTATTGGCTTTTTCCTTCAGATTATTTTGGCTCAGAGAAGCCATATTTATTACTTCTAAGGGGTTACAATATAGATAAATCCCCAAAAAAACATTGTATTCTATTGAGACATTACTGAGTGTCCAGAATAGAAATCTGGATGACTCGATCTCTTTAAGACATCATATATCTTACTTTTAACCACTTACCTGAAATAAAACCCCAGCTGGAAGACTGGCCTCAGCTTTAACTGGCTGATTAGATTCGGGCACCTTATAAACATCTTCTTGGATGTCTGTTGCTAGGGAGTAAGCATTGTTGTCCTTGTCACTATTCTTATGCACATTGTTGTTTGGAGTGACCTTGACCTCTGTGTTTGTGTGAGTGACGGAAACTTCCGGGGATGATCTATCAGATCTGTCCTCTTGCAACTAAGGGAGAAAAAATAAGGTAACTTTTGGATCATTTATCTCATCGTTATTTATGAAAATTCCCACAATTATTGTTACGAAATAACATAAACAGCCATAGAGTTACCAAACAATTTTATAACCACGAAATTAAATCACCATGTTAAAATTAAACCAAAAGAGTTAAACATAGACTAAAAGTCACAAAACAATGCGTAAAATGAAGCAAAAATATTTTGTTTTTTGATTATATTGCACCAGATTATTGTGCTGATAGAGTAAAGCCTGATTGGATTGTGACTAAATCTACAAGTGAGCATAGCTATAGAAAAAAACAGATGTGCAACCCCGAAATGCAATAGAAAATTGAACATGCCATAGAATAGTTTAAAGGTACAGACTGCCCAAATGTGTGGGCATTTAGTCCAGATATAAAACATATTCAAATTATCTGTATTCAAGTTTTCTAATTAAAATCTACAGGGAACAGAGAAGAATAGACAGTTGGGTCCAAAATATTTAGGTGTATTGTGTTTTGAAAATGACACCAAAAAATAAAATACAGTCTATCCCTTTACACTTCTATAATGGCATGTTTCAAATATGAAGAGTAAAATTTTTAAAAAAAACAAGCAGATTAAGAAAATATCAAGAAAACAATTCTAAAACCCCTATAATACATGAAACACAGGCAGCATTGTTATACCTTATTAGGGCCCTTCACCACCTTTTGATTCAGTGCAGTTGCACTCATGGGTTTGGCATTGCTAGTGTTCTCATGCATCTCAATAGGTTGGCTCAGGGGACGATTATTAGTAGGTGTTGCATATACATGTTTAGTCTTATCATTCACAACAGCTGGATTGTCAGATGTGACATGTTTACTAGCTTTCTCTGACCAGTTATCATGCATCATTGATTCAATGGGTTCACTCAAGGGGCGGTTATTAGTAGGTATGGCATACACCTGTCCAGACGTCCTAGCTACTTCATACACACTTTTAGTGTCTCGATATGCTGTTATTGGTGCCCTCGTTTCAATATCTTTTCGTTGGGCTGGCCTGGGGGTCTTATAGTCCTTGGGAGGATGTGACATGGGGGGTGCTGACCCCGTAGGAGCAGGGATATTAGGAGTAGCGCCCCTGGGTACATGCTTATACTGCAACAAGAGGTTAGTGCTAACATGCTAAGAGAACAGAAGTTGATAGAACTACACCAAATGTGAAAAAATTAGTAGAAACTAAAAAGCTTTAAAAAACTTTAAACAAGGCATTAACATGACAAAATGTCACCACCTAAAACAATTTGGTCAATTTAAAGCAAGTTGGAAAATACCTTTTGACCTTAAGAAGAACTTCTGAGAACATGTAGATGATTTTGAAAAAAAAAATTAGTCAATTTGAAGCAAGTTGAAAAAAGACCTTTTTGACCTTGAGAAGGTCATTGAAGGTCAAAGGTCAAATCTAAGTCAGATTTGAACTTCTGAGAACTTGTAAAGTCAAATTTGAACTTCTGAAAAGATGTAGATGATTTTGAAAAAAAAATTTGGTCAATTTGAAGCAAGTTGAAAACAGACCTTTTTTGACCTTGAGAATGTCATTAAAGGTCAAATGTCAAATCTAAAGTCAGATTTGAATTTCTGGGAACATGTAGATGATTTTGAAAAAAAATTTAGTCAATTTGAAGCAAGATGAAAAAATACCTTTTTGACCTTTTTTGACATTGAGAAGGTCATTGAAGGTCAAATGTCAAATCTAAAGTCAGATTTGAATTTCTGAGAACATGTAGATGATTTTGAAAAAAGATTTAGTCAATTTGAAGCAACTTGAAAAAAGACCTTTTTGACCTTTTTTGACTTTGAGAAGGTCATTGAAGGTCAAATGTCAAATCTTAAGTCAAATCTAAAGTCATATTTGAATTTCTGAGAACACGTAGATGATTTTGAAAAATCTTTTTAGTCAATTTGAAGCAAGTTGAAAACAGACCTTTTTGACCTTTTTTGACCTTGAGAAGGTCATTGAAGGTCAAATGTCAAATCTTAAGTCAAATCTTAAGTCAGATTTGAATTTCTGAGAACACGTAGATGATTTTGAAAAAAAAATTTAGTCAATTTGAAGCAAGTTGAAAACAGACCTTTTTGACCTTGAGAAGGTCATTGAAGGTCAAATGTCAAATCTAAAGTCAGATTTGAAGGTCAAATGTCAAATCTAAAGTCAGATTTGAATTTCTGAGAACATGTAGATGATTTTGAAAAAAAATTTAGTCAATGTGAAGCAAGTTGAAAAAAGACCTTTTTGACCTTGAGAAGGTCATTGAAGGTCAAATGTCAAATCTAAAGTCAGATTTGAACTTCTGAGAACATGTAGATGATTTAGAAAAAAATTGAAGTCAGTCTAAACAGTATTTGTTAAGTTATAGGAAGTTGTAAGAAATTGTTACAGACGCCAACCGCCGGACGCCAACTGCCGGACGCCAACCACCAACCGCCGGACGCCAACCGCCGTCGCAAAAAAACGGAGACCATAACAATATGTCACCACTTTTGGTGGTGACATAAAAAATGAAAAAAGCATTTTTACAAATCAATACAAAATATAAAAAAAATATTTACATGTAGTATGTTACACGTTAATTTATATTCTGTACAGTTTTCAAACAGTAAATAATAAAGAGTTGTATATATATTTTATTGGCTCTTACATAAAAGTATAATATATGCTTAAAAGCACAATGAGGTAAATATTGAAAGTGAACCTGGACTGGAACCATAACTATTATGTTATGGGCTAAATGAGCAGTCAAACTAAATGAACTTGTTCTACTTTTTAGTAAAGCAGTCAAGCATATTGTAACGACTAAAATCAAATCAAAAATCAATTTTCAGGGAATAGGCCCGGGGAAACTTGCACCACTTTATCTCATTAATCATCAGACCATGCAAGAAACTAAATATAAAAATTTGACCTTGGATGACAAATCCATCTTGTCTCAGAACACCGTAAGCCCTTTCAGTACATTTTACCACTTCAATATAATTCCAAAATCTGGTTTTTAAAAAAAATATGCGGATTGTTCAAATAAATGCACTACAAGGCATTAACATGACAAAATGTCACCACCTAAAGGTCAATTTGAAGCAAGTTGAAAACAGACCTTTTTGACCTTTTTTGACCTTGAGAAGGTCATTAAAGGTGAAATGTCAAATCTAGAGTCAGATTTGAATTTCTGAGAACATGTAGATGATTTTGAAAAAAAAAATTAGTCAATTTGAAGCAAGTTGAAAAAAGACCTTTTTGACCTTGAGAAGGTCATTGAAGGTAAAATGTCAAATCTAAAGTCATATTTGAATTTCTGAGAACATGTAGATGATTTTGAAAAAAAAATTTAGTCAATTTGAAGCAAGATGAAAAAATACCTTTTTGACCTTTTTTGACATTGAGAAGGTCATTGAAGGTCAAATGTCAAATCTAAAGTCAGATTTGAATTTCTGAGAACATGTAGATGATTTTGAAAAAAAAATTTAGTCAATTTGAAGCAAGTTGAAAAAAGACCTTTTTGACCTTTTTTGACTTTGAGAAGGTCATTGAAGGTCAAATGTCAAATCTTAAGTCAAATCTAAAGTCAGATTTGAATTTCTGAGAACACGTAGATGATTTTGAAAAAAAAATTTAGTCAATTTGAAGCAAGTTGAAAACAGACCTTTTTGACCTTTTTTGACCTTGAGAAGGTCATTGAAGGTCAAATGTCAAATCTTAAGTCAAATCTTAAGTCAGATTTGAATTTCTGAGAACACGTAGATGATTTTGAAAAAAAAATTTAGTCAATTTGAAGCAAGTTGAAAACAGACCTTTTTGACCTTTTTTGACCTTGAGAAGGTCATTGAAGGTCAAATGTCAAATCTAAAGTCAGATTTGAAGGTCAAATGTCAACTCTAAAGTCAAATCTAAAGTCAGATTTGAATTTCTGAGAACATGTAGATGATTTTGAAAAAAATTTAGTCAATGTGAAGCAAGTTGAAAAAAGACCTTTTTGACCTTGAGAAGGTCATTGAAGGTCAAATGTCAAATCTAAAGTCAGATTTGAACTTCTGAGAACATGTAGATGATTTAGAAAAAAATTGAAGTCAGTCTAAACAGTATTTGTAAAGTTATAGGAAGTTGTAAGAAATTGTTACAGACGCCGGACGCCGGACGCCAACCTCCAACCACCAACCGCCGTCACAAAAAAAACGGAGACCATAACAATATGTCACCACTTTTGGTGGTGACATAAAAAGCCATATATCCAGAAAAATTTTAACTTCTGAAAGAACAAATTATCATTTTTTCTGAATTGCATAAAGTTTCAGGAAAATGCATTTTGACATTTTTTATGACTTAAATACAACCACAAAAAATAGCCTCTAACAATACAGTACACAGCTCTCAAAAAAGTATGGGTGCCTGTAAGCTTGCGATGTAGCGTAAGCAGTGAAACTTAACAAATATCTTTTAACAAATTCAAGCAGCAGACATTACTTAAGTATTATATACCTCTACAATTACTGCATAATTATCATCGATCTAAATAAATTTTATAACACGCAAATCATTATGGGAAGGATTTCATGAAATAAATTGGCCAAAATTATTCAACATAAAATCATAGTATTAAAAAAGTGTATCACTCAATAAGTACTCAATAAGGATCAAATCAGAAAAATCCAAGTGTTCAAAATGTTAAAATGTTGCATGGATCATAGAATCTCAAATATTTATGATATTCTGGCAGGACTTCATCCAAGTAACATAACTAAATGGGGGAGATATGAGTGAATCTTGGATGAAGATTTTTAGGTTCTCATTTCGCATAGGTTCAAAACCAAAATGTTTACATGTAGTATGTTTACACATTAATTTATATTCTGTACAGTTTTCAAACAGTAAATAATAAAGAGTTGTATATATACATTTTATTGGCTCTTACACAAAAGTATAATATATGCTTAAAAGCACATTGAGGTAAATATTGAAAGTGAACCTGGACGGACTATTATGTTGGGCTAAATGAACAGTCAAACTAAATGAACTCATTCTACTTTTTAGTAAAGCAGTCAAGCATATTGTAACTACTAAAATAAAATCAGAAATCAATTTTCAAAGGGAATAGGCCCAGGAAAACTTAATCTCATGAACCATCTAACCATGCAAGAAACCACTAAAAATTTGACCTAAGATGATAAATCCATCTTGTCCCAGTACACCGTAAGCCCTTTCAGTACACTTTCCCAGTTCGGATTATGTAATTCCAAATTCTGTTTTTTTTAAAAAACATGCTGGTTGTTCAATAAATGCACTAAAAGCCATTTTAAAAAATTTTGAATTTTAATTTCTGAAAGAACAAATTATCATTTTCCTGAATTGCATAAACTTTCACATATCAGCTCTCAACAAAGTGTGGGTGTCTGTAAGCTGGTGATGTGGTATAAGCAGTGAAACTTTACAAATATCTTATAACAAATCCAAGCAGCAGGCATTACTAAAGTATTATATACCTCTTCAATAACTGCATAATTATCATCGATCTAAATAAATTATATAACGTGCAAATCATTATGGGATCCGGGAAGGATTTCATGAAATAAATTGGCCAAAAATTATATGACATGAAATCATAGGTATCAAAAAAGTATATCACTGATTTTAAAGAAGGTACTCAATAAAGACCGATAATATATCAAAGATATTAAATAAGAAAAATCACAGGGTTCAAAATGTTCCAATGTTGCATGGGTCATAGAATCTCAAATATTTTAATATTCAGGGAGGGCTTCACTCAAGTCACATAACTAAATGGGGAATAACTGAGTGAATCTTAAAACGTTCTTATTTCGCATAGGCTCAAAACCTTATGAAGCAAGATGAGTTAGGTGAAAAACAACTAAACACAAACCTGTGCTCCTAGATCAACAGGTTCATATGGTCGATCATGCTCTTCCTCCCTGCTCGCTTCCTCCCCCTGGGGTTCACTTTGAGGAGATAATGGGATGCTATCAGATCGACTTGTCTCCATGGTAACAGCTGCTGAGTCCTCGCTAGATGGACCATTCATGTGACTGCTGGGACCTGGATCAGCTACAAAGGAACAATGAAGAATCACCTTTTCTGTCTGTTTTCCAAACATCATGTCACTCAATAACATTGTGATGTATGATTCATGGAATTCAAGTGTCTTTCACAATTTGCAATAGAAATGAATTTTTGAATTTCACAAATCACAAAGCCAATATTTTTGAGGAACATCCCATTGCGTAAGCCTCTTACATGGCTCCATTTATAAAATGGTTGTAATTTAGTTTTCACTGTTCAGTGAACAAAGATCAGTTATCTTACAACCATGTCAAACAAGAGCCTAACAAGCTGACGACAATATCGAACCTTTTTTAGGTACGATAAAAAGCAACTACATGTACACATATAGGCTTATCCCACATCAATTTGTAAATTAAATAATATCATTTCAACCTATCAATTTTTCTACATCAGGGCTACAGCACATTTCCATATCAGTCTACTGCAGAGTTCCAAGAAAACTAATATATATGAATGGAGGTCAGAATCACCTCAATTCCAAATAATTCCTGGATCTGTACATGAGACTGTCTACTTTAAAAGAGGAATTGAATTATGCGGCAGCCCTATGTACTTATGTTGGAAAGCTAAGCTGAAAATGATTCATAAAAGCTCACAATTTACATTGATTTACCTTTATATACCAGGGTTAAGATGTTAGAGCTGTCTGACTGTCAATGGGAACACGTTTTACTCTTGGCAATGAACAATGGACTAAATGCCAACATATTTAACAATGGCAATCATGATTTCAACCTAAGTTGGGAACCCTGCTATATACCCTAACTATGAACTGAATGACATAAAAAGCTTTAAATATTTATTCTAAACTAATGTCATCAACGTTTCATTCATAATAGTTTGTTTCATTTAGTTCTAATATCAAGCATTAATATTGTTTTATCAAACCACCAAAATGCAAATATTATCATAACAGTGCAGAAGTCTACGTAGAGTCCATAAAAAGAGATCATCAATCATGTTAAAAGTTACTGAATAAAGGATATTTCAGGTCTCTGGGATTAAGTATCAAACAAAAATGTCACGAACAAAAATATTAAGGTACATGTCAAAGTGGAGATTTTACCAATAAACATGTTTGCCTCAAAATGGGGCGCTAGTGGGGCACATGACTGAAACCAACCAAGAGCCTCAACTTTTTTATCTATTTTTTTAGCCATTTATGAAATCTGAAGCTAGATGAACCCAAAAAATCAAATGATCATTTTAATACGTTTCGGAGAATCCAAGATTTTAGTGTGTGATTCCTTCTAAATTCGACTCAACCAAGTTATTCCAAGTTATGACATGAGAATATGGTAAAATCTCTTGAAGTGTTACAAAAGCAACAATCATCTTACAACATGAAGAAAGCAGTCTTGCTAGAAAGCAAACAACACTTATGTTAAGCACATGCTTGTCATAGGACATGACAAGTGCCAAATTGAAATTATTAAAACATAGATTTCAGGACAACACTGTCGCAAAAGAATCATTCATGCTACATCAGAACAACACATCGCATCATGGAGGTATAGTCACTCTGACTAAAGACCATGGGGTATAAATAGGTTGAAATAAATGTACTGGCTATTTATAAGGCTACTTTCATTTCTTATTCAGTGATTTATCAAAATACATATAAAGATAGAAATTACATCATGAATGGAATCGTAAAAGGGTAAACATATGTGCAGTGCATCATGGGATAATAAGAAGAGGGGAGTTATCTTATAATCATGAAAATAGCCTGTTCTAAAACTGTGCTACATACTCAAGGTACAACATCCAGTCTAGAACTATTGGCATGTTACACTAATCTACATGTACAAATGTAGACCATGCAAAGGGCATAAATCAATGTCCTCTTAATAAAAAACATTGCAAATGCTAATTAAAACACCTCTGCAGTGTGAACATGGGCCTAGTTTTTATCATGCCAATACTTCTACTATTGGGGTACTATAGATCTAGAAACACAACATTACCAACTGGGTCGTATAAACCATTTTTGTCTGGAATCCTAGAAAATACATACAACATTCTAATGGTTCTATTGTAAGAAAAATATGACATCATTACATTGTGACATCATGCTTCATATTAGCTTGGTGCACACACTTGTGATGGGAGCATAAATTGTGTCATGAAGGGAGTGTTCAGTAGTTGGTAATTCAGCGCAATGATCAACCCTGAGTGAACTTTGGATGTTTTTTATGTATAAGGTTCAATTCACTAAATTTTGCTGATGTTTGAAATTCATGTGAAATTTAAATGTTGCAAATAAATACTTTTTAGTACAAATCTCACACAAGGCATTAACATGACAAAATGTCACCACCTAAAACAATTTGGTCAATTTAAAGCAAGTTGAAAAAATACCTCTTTGACTTTTTTTTGACATTGAGAAGGTCATTGAAGGTCAAATGTCAAATGTAAAGTCAGATTTGAACTTCTGAGAACATGTAGATGATTTTGAAAAAAAAATTAAGTAAATTTGAAGCAAGTTGAAAAAAGACCTTTTTGACCTTGAAAAGGTCATTGAAGGTCAAATGTCAAATCTAAAGTCAGATTTGAACTTCTGAGAACATGTAGATGATTTTGAAAAAAAATTAGTCAATTTGAAGCAAGTTGAAAAAAGACCTTTTTGACCTTGAGAAGGTCATTGAAGGTCAAAGGTCAAATCTAAAGTCAGATTTGAACTTCTGAGAACTTGTAAAGTCAAATTTGAACTTCTGAAAAGATGTAGATGATTTTGAAAAAAAAATTTGGTCAATTTGAAGCAAGTTGAAAACAGACCTTTTTTGACCTTGAGAAGGTCATTAAAGGTCAAATGTCATATCTAAAGTCAGATTTGAATTTCTGAGAACATGTAGATAATTTTGAAAAAAAAAATTAGTCAATTTGAAGCAAGTTGAAAAAAGACCTTTTTGACCTTTTTTGACCTTTAGAAGGTCATTGAAGGTCAAATGTCAAATCTAAAGTCAGATTTGAATTTCTGAGAACATGTAGATGATTTTGAAAAAAAAATTTAGTCAATTTGAAGCAACTTGAAAAAGACCTTTTTGACCTTTTTTGACTTTGAGAAGGTCATTGAAGGTCAAATGTCAAATCTAAAGTCAAATCTTAAGTCATATTTGAATTTCTGAGAACAGGTAGATGATTTTGAAAAAAATTTTTAGTCAATTAGAAGCAAGATGAAAAAATACCTTTTTGACCTTTTTTGACATTGAGAAGGTCATTGAAGGTCAAATGTCAAATCTAAAGTCAGATTTGAATTTCTGAGAACATGTAGATGATTTTGAAAAAAAAATTTAGTCAATTTGAAGCAAGTTGAAAAAAGACCTTTTTGACCTTTTTTGACTTTGAGAAGGTCATTGAAGGTCAAATGTCAAATCTTATGTCAAATCTAAAGTCAGATTTGAATTTCTGAGAACACGTAGATGATTCTGAAAAATTTTTTTAGTCAATTTGAAGCAAGTTGAAAACAGACCTTTTTGACCTTGAGAAGGTCATTGAAGGTCAAATGTCAAATCTTAAGTCAAATCTTAAGTCAGATTTGAATTTCTGAGAACACGTAGATGATTTTGAAAAAAAAATTTAGTCAATTTGAAGCAAGTTGAAAACAGACCTTTTTGACCTTTTTTGACCTTGAGAAGGTCATTGAAGGTCAAATGTCCAATCTAAAGTTAGATTTGAAGGTCAAATGTCAAATCTAAAGTCAGATTTGAATTTCTGAGAACATGTAGATGATTTTGAAAAAAAATTTAGTCAATGTGAAGCAAGTTGAAAAAAGACCTTTTTGACCTTGAGAAGGTCATTGAAGGTCAAATGTCAAATCTAAAGTCAGATTTGAACTTCTGAGAACATGTAGATGATTTAGAAAAAAATTGAAGTCAATCTAAACAGTATTTGTTAAGTTATAGGAAGTTGTAAGAAATTGTTACAGACGCCGGACGCCGGACGCCAACCTCCAACCACCAACCACCAACCGCCAACCACCAACCGCCAACCACCAACCGCCGTCGCAAAAAAACGGAGACCATAACAATATGTCACCACTTTTGGTGGTGACATAAAAACACTAAATTTATCATTAAACAACGACTGAAACATTTGGAATTGCATGAAAATTGCATGCACAAATGAATTATAGTTTGACGTACATAAGGAATCATATTACAGTAGTTCATAATGAGTATACTCTCAAAGACATGTTATAGGGTTGAGTAATTGAATAAACAGTGAAATAAAAATTAACATGCTCTATAAATAGATGGGATGATGGGAGTGAGGGTGTCACGAGTTGTACACAAACACTAATTGAAACATGATGCTATACATTTACATGTATAATTTAGTAGCCAGAACACAACTTCCTATCAAACATTCAGTTGGTTTGTAACAGTTCTAAAACATGTGAATAATTAACATGTTTACTCTGATTTTAGAGGAATTTCACTTAACCTCATATGTTTGCATTACCAACTGAATTATTGAGGAAATTGATTTTGGCACAATATCACCCTGATCACCCTAACTTACACCGTTGAGAAGGGGCCTCCTCTTTTTGTTCCTTACTAGGGGTCTCCAAGTCAACCTCCTCGCTCTCATGTAAAGAGGGTCTAGGTGCAGGGGTTGGAGATGAATCGTCCCTAGATTCACCGTTAATGTCACCCAGATTGACGTTGAAGGTGTCAGCAATGTCAGGTCGGCTATCAACGGGGGTAGTAGGTAAGGATGAGGGTGAAGTTGAACCATTGTTATAATCTCCACTTTTTCTACTACAGATTAAAATATTTTCTTATATTCTGTTTTGGTGTTAAGTGACCACTTTATTGTATTATTATTATTTATATAAATTACATTTTACCATCATTAATCAGTTCAGGATTATGTTATCTGTGATACTGAATAATTTATAAACTTACCTAAATTGTGGTAATTTTTTAGTTTTATAAGTTCCTTTATCATTTTCTACTGCTAAGGTTTTAATTGCATCATTTAACGCATCTCGAGTCTGCAAATAATAAACATATAAAATTAATGACAAAATTTCAATTATCAGTTTATAAAATCAGAAAGCTTCTTGATATTTAATATGTTTACAATTGACAGTCAATATAGCATTTCTATAATAATTAGTTAATTTTAGTTTATTTTCTGGTTCCATTTTCAAATAAGAATATTAAAAGATTGAGCATTATAAATCATAATAGCATACCTTTCCGGACTCTCTGTGGAATTTTTCTTCGATCGTGAATAAAGTTTCAAAATGACCCGTGTAAAATGAAATTCGGCTGAAATAAAAAAAGAAAAACAGGTTTAATATTGAGAGCCTGTTTAGTACCTTGTAATAATTGTGTTTTAACATTCAGTTATTTCGACAGTAGATTAAACTATAATTGTGTCCTGTTTTCCTATGCATGATGTAAACACACATAATAAGAGAATCTTTGTGGGGTTTGAAATAATATTAACCCATCCCTAATACTAAAAGTTTTGATTTCATCATTATTTTGTATAACACTTACAGACAGGAATATAAAAATAATGTCAAATAATAAGTACAGTAAAACCTGTGTAAATAAAACACCACAAATGTGTTCCACTTATGGAGGTGTTTCACTTCCAGGTGTTATACTTAACAGATTTTTCAATAGGAGTAAAATCATCTTACTTGTCATAAAGGTCGGGAAGTTCATCGTGGAGGTGATAGTTTAAATCTTCATAAACTTTTTTAGTTGATGCCAGTTCTTCTTGAGCCTACAACGAACAAGGTTCATTTCATTATTCAAAATTTGTAAAACTAATTACACTATATACTTGCACATGTAGTTTTATTCAAATTCAGATTCATTGATTCTGTATAGGCGAATGATCCTACTAATGATATCTAATCTGATTAGTTGATTTATTCAAGAATTTGATAAAGCCTCACATTAAAAATGACAGGTTAAGGACATACAAAACATGATATTTTTTAAGTATGAATGAGTGTGTCCTTTCAAGATGATCACCACATCATTAGAGAATGAACTAAACATTTTTGGGTGCAAAAATGTATGATTCATGAAAATAAATTAGAATCAAAATGACATGAAACGTGTAATAGACACCAAAAGACAATTTATGCCGTAGCATTGAAATCTTCATGCATAATTCAAAAAGTCAAATATTTGACCTCAGATATGAATAAAAAGTTGTCATGTTAATAAGTCAAACTATGTAGTCTATTTTACTGTTCATGTGATCCACTTTAAACAAGTACAGTATATTTGTGCCTGTATATTAACACATTCTTCTTGAAGTATTCTTCTTATCTATTGAAGTACTTTTGTTGAAAAACAATTATTTCAAACAGATCTGTAATAAAAAGTAAACGTGAAACAAACTTACCTTCATTATTTTTGTTTCATCTCTTTTCTTTGCATTTTTCAGAGAGTCTAAATTATGTCTTGCACTGTCGTAGTCAACTAGCTTCCGGCCCCGTTTTGATATTTTTGACTGAAATAAAATTTTGATAATTCCTTTAACCATGTTATCATTTTTGAATGCAATAAAAGTGTACTATAAAGTGTTTAAGGCAGAATCAGATCTAGCCAGCAACCTATGCAAAGCGTTATTTGAATTTCATGATATTTTTGGCTTCAAATTAATCTAAGTTAATACTTTATTCCCATTTGTCTATATATTCCGATTCTGCCTTTAATGGTTTTTCATAGTATTCATTAACACAGTGTGTGAGTACAGTAAAACGTGTCTAATCTGAACCCCACTGAGACCAGCATTTGTGTGGGTTAGCAAGTGCTCACAAGTTTTTTTAAATTTGGAACTAAAATAAGTGTTCACATTGAGGGGTGTTCGGATTAGAGGTGTTCGAGTATCCAGGTTTCACTGTAGTTGAAATATGTTGTATATTCTAGTGTTTAGAAAAACATGTATTTAACATGTAATCATTTCACATTACACCTGTAAAGAAATCATTGAGGTTCTTAAAACACAAATGGATATAAAAACTGATATGTGTAAAATATTCAACAAGGGTTTTGATTAAAAGCATGTTTTTATCCATCAAAAGATGTTGTTTACACTTGTGAGGTCACAATGAACTCATGTTGGTTTGTGAAAACAGTATTGAAAATATTTGTAACAACTGGTATGTATCAGACACTTCCTTCCGATACATGCAAGAGAATGAACTAAAAAACACAATACACTGGAATTCAGTTATTTGGAGAGAGCCAAAGTAATCAATTATACGTTTAATAGGGATGAGGGAATAAGATTTTTCTTTTTTCTTATATCCTCAATGAGGTTTATTAAGCATAATAGAATATATATTTTCCCATAAATGCAACACATTCCATATTTGTTATATACATGTACATGTAGTAAAAAATGCTGCAAGAGGATATGTTAAACATCTACCTATTTACTCTAGCCTTAAAATGCCTATAAAACACTCCTAACCTGATCTTAACACATAAGTTGAGCTATTAATCAACATTAAAACCAGAGTCTACTTCATATCAAAAATATATTACTGTTTTTTAAAGATATCTTTGCTAGATTCAAAATACTAAATTCATCCTGAAGAACCAATACCAAGATTCTGAATACAAGGTTCTAGTCTCCATCCACTTTGATGAACAGAGTTCCATTGATTTTGGGGATGATACTTTTGCAAATGGTTCAGAAAATGTAGGAATGAATTTTCCTGAGCTTCCACTGCCTCTTTTGAAACAATCATTTCACATATAAAAATTAGGATATCAAAATAGAATCTGATTGGTTCACAGCATGACTGGTATTATAAAATATCATACTTACTTTATATTCTGGGTACTGTGATATATATGTTGCGAGAGGTCCCTGTACTGAGTCAGTCAAACTATTTAAATAATCAGTCCAGATCAAGTCTTGAGACTAAGAGAAAATAAAATTCTTCATTAATCATGGTAATCGGTTCTGAGTCTTTGCTGGATTCAGCACTTAAAAATACCAAAATAACAAAAATAATCATTGCCACCTAATGTTATTGCAAGATTTTTCATGGTGGAGCAATTCATTATTGAATAGTTTACTTCTCCCACAGGAGACAATGGGATACATGTGTGGAATTATAGAATAAAACAAAATTGAAAATTGTTCTGTAATATATAACCTTTATGTTTTATGGGAGCAAGGTCAGACAAAACAAGGCACCAAAAACTGTATAGATATGAGAGAGAATACACATTGTAACTCAACTCTTGTTAATTTACTGGTTAAAAATACATGTTTTTGAAAAAAAGCAGACCACAGGTTTAAATCTGGGAACTAGATAGAATGAAACTGGGAAATGAAGAGTTAATCGAGGAAATGGTCCAGCAGGAAATGGTCCAGACTGGTAAGAGTTAAAACTGGGAAATGGTCCAAACTGGTAAGAGTTAATACAGGAAATGATCCAGACTGGTAAGAGTTCATCCAGGATATGGTCCAGACTGGTAAGAGTTAATCCAGGAAATGGTCCAGACTGGTAAGAGTTAATCCAGGAAATGGTCCAGACTGGTAAGAGTTAAACTGGGAAATGATCCAGACTGGTAAGAGTTAATCCAGGAAATGGTCCAGACTGGTAAGAGTTAAACTGGGAAATGATCCAGACTGGTAAGAGTTAATTTGGGAATGGTCCTGACTGGTAAGAGTTAAAACAGGGAAATGGTCCAAAGTAAGAGTTTATCTAGGATATGGTCCAGACTGGTAAGACTTAAACTGGGAAATGATGCAGACTGGTAAGAGTTAATCCAGGAAATGGTCCAGACTGGTAAGAGTTAATACAGGAAATGATCCAGACTGGTAAGAGTTCATCCAGGATATGGTCCAGACTGGTAAGAGTTAATACAGGAAATGATCCAGACTGGTAAGAGTTCATCCAGGATATGGTCCAGACTGGTAAGAGTTAATACAGGAAATGATCCAGACTGGTAAGAGTTCATCCAGGATATGGTCCAGACTGGTAAGAGTTAAACTGGGAAATGATCCAGCCTGGTAAGAGTTAAACTAGGGTATGGTCCAGACTGGTAAGAGTTAAACTAGGAAATGGTCCAGACTGGTAAGAGTTAAAACTGGAATATGGTCCAGGCTGGTAAGAGTTAATCCAGGAAATGGTCCAGACTGGTAAGACTTAATGCAGGAAATGGTCCAGACTGGTTAGAGTTAAAACTGGGAAATGTTCCAGGCTAGTAAGAGTTAATTCAGGAAATGATCCAGACTTGTAAGAGTTAGTTTGGGATATGGTCCAGACTGGTAAGAGTTAAATTTTAAAAATTGCTATGCAATAACATGCTTCTCACACATACTGGAATCTACTTACTTCTATATGTTTTTCGAATGACCCATGTTCTACCCATTCTGGCTCATATATGTCCTGAATCGTGCTGTATAAACTTTTACTCGCAGCAGCCATCTCTGAAACAACATAACAACATATAATCTCTATTTAACAAGGTGGGAAATATGTGGAAAATACATACATGTAGTAGGGTACTTCTAAATATGGCATTATTAGTTTCTAGCCATAGTTCCAGAAACACATCCTATTAACTCAATGGTATATTTCCAGCTATTTCTAGATTTAAAAAAATTGGTTGAATAATTTGTAAAAAATCATTTACCATGATATTCATTTTACTGAGGAATTTTAATGAGCATCTTTGTATTCGGTCAATATGACCCATATTACTGTATTTTATATTAAACAGCAATCAATTGCCTGACATTAATTAATGTCATTGGTGTATTCCCCAAGGCTATTAAATCACACATAATAAAATATTAAAACATATTACATGAACTTGTACCTGTTATATACTTTACACCTCACATGACAAACTGGTTTGATGTCATACATATACAGAACATGTAATGAATGTGTAAATGTAATAAATATAACAAAGATGTTTTTACAAAATAAAACAAAATTGTTAAGCTTTACCATTTCACTTTTGCCCTATACTTTAGTATTCTATAATTAGTATTAATTACAGTAAATCACACTATGTGATCAATTTTTAGATTTAAACAAAGGTGTACAATATACAATTGTTGACCTCTTCAGAGGTCAACCGGCAAAATTGTATACCGAGACTGTAAACCGAGAAACTACTGTTGACAGAGACCGAAGGTCGAGGTCAACAGTAGTTTCAAGGTTTACAGTCGAGGTATATGATTTTGACGGTTGAACGAATGGAGAGGTCTACAATTGTTTTGTTAGTCTGAAGAAACTAATAATACACATATAGACGACAGTCATCAATCATGGCTTCATTTCACAATCTTTTCTTCGAACCACGCCAGCAATAATTTTTTAAGAAAATCTGAAGACAGTGTTAGCTAGACTCTCTGTTTTCGGCACATAACTGCGAACTCACTATGTTTGTATTTGTATTTTTGCTATACTCGTCGTCTAGCAAAGTCAAAATATCACTTTCATCAACGTTTACAAAATATCCGTCTCCCATGTTTTTTCTGTAAACACTATGACGTCATATTTCCCATAATTCGCAAGTGTAGTACAGTAACATACGCGGTCAATAATATGATATCCCATGATGCACAGGTGAGGTACAGGCAAAAATGTTGACCGCTAATTGACCAATCAGATGCGAGTATTTACACTGAGGTACTAACAATAACTCCTGTCTACCCCTGGAAAGGTAAACAATGAAAACCTATGGGGATGTCAACAATGAAAACCTATGGGGATGTCAACAATCAAAACCCATGGGGAGGTCAACAATCAAAACCCATGGGAGGTCAACAATCAAAACCTATGGGGAGGTAAACAATCAAAACCCATGGGCAGGTCAACAATCAAAACCCATGGGAAGGTCAACAATCAAAACCCATGGGGAGGTCAACAATCAAAACCCATGGGGAGGTCAACAATCAAAACCCATGGGAGGTCAACAATCAAAATCTATGGGGAGGTAAACAATCAAAACCCATGGGAGGTCAACAATCAAAACCCATGGGAGGTCAACAATCAAAACCCCTGGAAAGGTCAACAATCAAAACCCCTGGAAAGGTCAACAACAATTATGTTCTTGTTTGTCCCTCAGTATGTTGCAGGGAGAGATAAGTGAAGTTGCCATGTGTTTGTGACAGAACTAGACACTAATTGGAAGTTACATGTGACATATCCACCCCTATACATAAATCAAAACCATGTTAGGTATGAATGCATCATATAAACTTCACATTACCATTGAAATACCCCCCTCTGTTTCCTTGTGACCACCCATAGTTCAAGGGGAAGAACCCAGCTTTATGAACACTTTCAGTAATTACAGATGTGGATAGAATAACCAGTTCTGCTGTTTCCATTTATTTTGACATGGTCTGTGTTATCATAGATGTAATCACAGATGTAATATAGAATCAGGTAACTCAATTAAAAAGATGAGACAACTAAATCAAATATTGTCTCTTGTTGCCTGCTCTCAGTGGGACCTCAATACGTGACTGATATTGATATTTCTTGGAATTTATTCTTGAGACAAAGTCTATGTCTAGAAAAAACTTGACTTAAAAAAATACTTTTTCTCTGAAAAAAAACATGTTTGGACATTTTTTAAATGATGCTCATAAAATGATCATAAGTCACAAAAAAAATATTTAACTACCAAAGATGAAAATATAAGGATACTTATTTTCTGATGCATTTAATGTAAACCTAATGCAAGAGAAAGGAATTGAAAAATCTCACGAGATTCATAAAGAATGACAATGTTGAAATGAGTTAATTGAGAACATGTGAATCATGTCACCATGGTGATATCTAAGACTTACAAATCATACTTGAGGGACCAATTTCCTAGGGATATTCCCAATAACTTATATAAATGATATCTATAGGAATACATGATATAATATAAATGATATCTCTAGGAATACATGATATAAAAGATGTGAAAGTTTACATCTTACAACTTTGAACAGGAAAACAAAGCCTTGTTGTCGAATTGTTTATGTGATAGGAAATGAAGACCTCCTCTGAGTGTCAGTAATAAGTAATAAGATTGTTAAAGAACTGAAAAGGGTAGCAAAGATCAAGTGATGGTCAATTATGATCTTGTCTATTGATTGGAGCCCCCTGCAGCTCAATATAATTTTTATGATCACACTAGACTTACATTGGAATTTTTACAATATAACAACAAGTATGCATGGCATATGTCCAGAAATATATGAGAAAACAATTTGTTTAATTATATTTCCTTGTAATCTTTCCAACTCACTTTCTTCTGGGCATTGTCCATGAAAGAAATTTGATCAACAAGAAGTTATTGAACAAGATATGATGGGAGATTTAGGTCACTCTTGTTTGTACTATGTGAAAGAAACAATTTTTCCACAATCACTTATATATATTTGGGAAAATCATCAGCTACTAAGGGAGGGGGCTAATCGTTAACAATCAACTGGAATATTTTCTTCTATCGCAACTCAATTTCCTTGAGCTATCATCCTTCAGAATACAAAATATTTTTTGTCTTCCCAAATAGGCTAAAATGATAAAGCAGAGGTAAGAGATCATGAACGCATTACTTCTTAAAAGGTCCCGACTGTTGACAGTGATAGAATCCTACATAAGCCAAAATGTACATAAATCTATCATTTCAAGGTTAAATAAATATGCTTGAAGGTTTAATAGTTTTACTGCATGCAAGCTTTTCCTAAAACACTGAGACAGACTATACCACACATGTACTTTTTATAACCTGAATAATACTAATAATGGGTCTAATGATCCAGAAGATAATTTTTAAATTATGTGATCCAAAATAAGGTTCATGTATAGGACTATGTAGAAGTGTACTTTGCAGTGGCGTAGCTACGTGTACGCCAAGTACGCCCAGGCGTACTCTCAAATTTTAAGGAAAAATAAAATTTACCTGATTAATTGTGATGAAAAATAAATATTTAACCAAGAGATAGAAATCGATAGGAGATCTATGAAGATGTCTACACGTGTTTGGTCCAGCTGCTAACATTGCCAGTATCCACTTGCGTGGCTGAACGAAGCTTTAGCAGTTTGAAACGCATTAAGTCATACTTGCGTTCCACAATGAACGAGGAAAGACTTTCTTCCTTGCCCATGATACATATCCATAGGGAACAGGATATAAACATTGATACTGTTATTGACATGTTCGCAAATGCAAAAAACAGAAAGATAAAATTTATTCTATAGAATCACGTACAGATTGTTAAGATCCGAAATGGAGTTGAGACGGTCGTGTAACTGTTCTTTTATTGTTAATCATCTTGTGAGCTAGATAAAAACAAACAAAGAAAAAATAATAATATTTCATGGAGAATGACCACAAAAGCTTAAAACAATGAGCCTCATACATACAGTTTTAGGTAGCCTAAAAAATAAAATCGCCTTGATAGACGGCTTCGATCGCCGATGGCATGATTATATAGAATCTGTCTATTTTGTTTCCCGAATATTATTTGTTAATACAGTTAATTCAATACCTTTAAAAAGCTATGTCAAAATGATCAAACAATACATATTTCCTTCATTGAATTAAGCTTAAGAGTGTTTAGTGTGTCCCCTATCTTCTGAACACCCGGGATCTTCCTATTTTATGGAACCATCGTTTTGTTAATTTTGATAAAACCGGGAAATCATACGGGCGTACACTCGCAAAATGGGCTAGCTACGCCTCTGCTTTGTATAATCATTTATCAAGCCTTTCTAATTTCCATATGTGCTTTATGTTCATGAATATTTCTACATGTACTCGAATGCATGAATAATTATTCAATTTTAGATAATTCATCTCATTTTTACTCAGCTCTGAATTCAACAATTGTAACCATGACACTGTAAAAAAAATTCTCTATGAGATAAATGTGGTATTTGCTTAGGTGGGGCTTATCTCAGTGACTGTGCAACAAGACTCAACAGCATCTTTACTGATAGTGTCATATTTCTACAAGACACACTTTGTACAGGGTGAAACAAAAAATCCAACACTTTATTTTTGAATAACTATCAACATGGAGGTATTATTTCTCTACATTCCAAAGTCATCGATGATGTTGAAGTAAGTACACCACCGATTTTCTGCATTCACAATCTATCTATACAAGAATATTCATGTACATGTAGATTTTATCATAAATGAGAAAGCTGTTCTAAAATTAGAGGGTTGTATTTTTGTATCACCCTGTACATGTAGGAGTGTTTTACAAATAACAGTAAGAAAACACTGACAATTTCATGTTGCTCCTCACTGCCTTGTGGAATTGTATGATGACATGTTTTGGCATTGTGCATTGTCATCAGCACATTTCTCATGCAGCCAGTCTTATGCAGATTCCCAAAAATTTTCCAAAATCAAGGAAATTCATAATTTGTTTTCCTGACTCTGTATATTGATGCAGACATTCACTCACTGTGTGAATAAGTAAAAGAAAATCAGACATACTCTTTATTAAAGGTAACATATTAAATTGACTAAAAGAATTGAGCAAATTCATGAGTATGTGATTGCATCTCACTGATCTATATCAATGCCAAAGTTATTTTTACTTGATTGCTACTGATTGATGATAAAAGCTGAAGTATGTTGATTACACATGAACCTCTGCCAACAATTTCAATATATGTATGTACTGTTCTACAATTATCTTGCTCTATATGGTTGCCAAATGATGTTCTTGAGTCATTGATTGCTCATGGGGAGTATGTTCCTTACTCCCCCTCCCCCTCTCCCTTTTATGAACTTTTTTAATCAGCATTAACTTTATTATACCCTGCGTGCAGAGTCTAGTTAAACTACACTCTGCCTAGTAGAGACCATATTACAGTTAAGTAGCCCTGCCCCCACGACGGGTACCGGTGACAGTTTGGGTAATAAATCACTTTTTACCTACGCGCTGACCTTTCTAACACCAATCAGCGAGCTTGAAGAAATATACGCCAAATGCGTTCTATGCGCATGTCATTGGTCAAATCCGGGCTCAACGATGACGTCAGAAGGAATGACCATATATAGAACGTCGGTCAAATTTGGCCGACGAACACTGATTGGCGCGGTGAGTTCACAGGTTTATTTTAGTTTGAAAGAGTGAAGACGAAGCTCTCTTTTGAGAACTAATAAGTAAAATATTATGAGCTAGAGCAGTTAAAAGTACATATATATTGAATTATCAATGACATTCATATTATCTGTTCACACTTTCATGTTTGATGTTTAACTCAATTTACATTAACATGAGAGAAGTGTCAAAAGCCATAGGAACGGTGATTTTTATTATTATGTTCATTGAATATAGAATGAATAATTGCTAGATTGCAAATCACACCTTCCAGAGTTAAAGAAGCTTTAGGCTGAAGATGACACTGTCTAATAGAACTGTTAGGTAAGAAAAGAAAATATATACTGGGTTCTCCCCAGAATCTAATTGCATGGCACTCCCCCCTGCTCACTCAATTTACCCCCCCCCCTGCTTACTTCTAGGAAGGGAACGGGGTACAGTCATACCCAGTTCAAGGAAATACATTTGTACAAAAATTCCTAAAGCTGCCGCAGTTATTCATGACATCATTAAATATCAAACATTTCTCTCCCGAGAATTACATTCAACATTGACCTTGTTCTAATGCCTGTTCTGTTTTCCTTTGAGTATTATTACAAAAGCAAATATCTATTACTCTAAATGAAAATGAAATTGGTTAGTCATGTAGCTACTATGTTGAAGTATATAAAAATAAACAGTAGCATTATGTTGACATTTACTTTATCTCGTATCTACACTTATATTTCACACTCTATCTGCTACTATCTCATAACATTACAATTCACCTTGTTCACAGAGATCATCAATTTCTGCTTATCTTATAGGGGTTAATCCATCTAAGAATGTCATCTAGCTTTATAATGGGGGGTGTGGTTCTACTAGATAAGGTAAACAATAAGATGTATATTAAGACTTTAGCGGGCCCCATTCATCTTGGATTTCCAAGGTATGATATGAAAATCAAACTGGGAAACGAGTATGGGCCCCATTACCCCATCCCTATTTTAGAAATGACAGCATATAATGCTTCATGGACCAAGTGCAACTCTCGAACTATGAGATAATAAAAACCATGTTGACGATTCTCCTGAAATATTTATCAAGTTATTCTGGCCTCTGGAGTTCTTTGTTACATGAATAATGAAATAATGAAATAAGCATGCCAAGTTATACACAAGTGGGATTAACTGCAAGAATTACACTGACTGTGCTCTTTATCCTCTTCATATCAGACAGTTGGGATGTTTCTTAATGTATTGGTTCCATAGGTTATTTCTCTTGGACATGTAGTGAGTCTTACTTTTTCTAATTTTACTCCAATTGTTAGGGTACAAAGACACGTACAGCTGCATAATCAATACACTTGACTTTTGCATTTTCTTGAAAAATAAAACAAATATTTTTTCATTTTGGCATTGGCACTTTCATTGAGAAATGAACTGAATCACTGAATGATGAAAAAACATTAAGCAAACCCTTTATATGTATGAAAGCAATAATCCTCTGGTCGTATTATGACACTTCTTTTTTCTGAATCTACCATAATAGAAATGCAGGCCATTTTTTGCAATGTAGGAGGCAAGACAATTTTATTTCATTCTACTGGACATTTACTATTCTTTTGTACCCTTAAATGATGTTTTTAAACTTAGAAGACCTTTTAACCTTCCTGCGTCCATAAATCAAGAGGCTTTATACTGACATTTACTATAAATGGTTCCTTTTGCTAGCTAGGTTAAACCATGTAAAGGTATTTAGTTCTTCACATCTATACTTTAATATGCATACCTGTTTTATGTACATACTTACATAAAACAGTTTTCAAATGGGTGACGTGTTTGAATTTTTTGTCAAAAATGAATAGATTCACAAAGCATGAATTCAAAAGTGAACATGACTTTATTAGACTCGGCTATATTAGGAATCAGCAAACAAACTCAGTATTTATAGACTCTTCAGTCTTGAACTGATTATATGTAAACGCTTTTCAATCAAGGTAGAATGAAAATACTTAAACATGACTTGTATATGAAAAATAACTCTTAGAACAATGTTGAAACTCTTAGTGAACGAGGTTAAGAGGGTATGACAACTACATAAATGAGAATTGATCGTTCTTTATTTTTTAAGTTTTCATTCTTTGGAAGGATGTCCTTAAAATTCATTTTGGTATCTTCATATTAAAGTATACAAAGATACTACTAAGATAGAGGTATGAAACTGACCAGTCCAAGTTGTAATAAAAACTGACACTTAAATGGACAGAGACTTTGAACTGTGAGATACCAATGTCAACTTGCGATTTTACTATATACATTCATCATAAAAGCTAAACATACTATATGTGGCGTAGAATGTACAGGCACCTACATATTTTCATCCAAAATTTTATCACGCTAAGTTCAAGGTACGGAAGTCAAGATTTCTTTTCGACTACAGTATATATTCAAATCCCAAATGTAAACTGCATACAATAGCTGCATGTATAATATATACACATCATGCATAATGCACAAAATACATACGTACATTGCCAACTCACTTTTCATTCACATGTTTAAACTTTATGTTTGATATTTTTAGCAAATACAATGGTGGTAGCTCATAAAAGCCTTGTTAACCTGAGAAGTTAAGTTTCACACTACCCTCAATAAACATTGTATCAAAAATGTAAACAAGCTTAGATCATTATTTTGAGCATACAAAGCACTTCAACATTATAATCTTTACAAAAATAATCAATGTAAATTGAAATTGTTAACCCTTTTGGAGTCTGGATTCTGTAATTCCAGTGACACAAAGTTATTTCAATTCAGTATTTCATAATATTGAATAATTGCAGAAACCTGTAAGTTCCTGATTGTAACGATATTGAAAGGTATTTTAACATCCCTTGAACTATGAATTGTGAATGTGTGTTTTAGGAATTCATCAATAGACTTTTGGTTTCCATAAGTACACTCAGAATTTCCTATGGGCTTGTTAGAAGTATATTCCAATAGTTATAAATCATGTTTCCCATATGTATGTAAATGTATTCTTATTTATTAAGGCACATTGTGGTAGTTTCATTAATTAATAATATGATATATAGCTCTACCTGAGAGTGAAATGAAAATAAGTGAATGAAATATTACAAACTATTAAAGAGGGTAATACTGAACTGAATTTGTTAGAAAACTATGCATTAGGTATCCAGAAGGGCCCTTATTAACCGAGTATATGCCTTTCCCTGGAAATTCTAAAGCCTTATAAGGTGTCTGCAATTGTGAAACACTTCTCAACATTCTCTGAAACTTACATTGCTGTATTTAAAGCATTGAATGCACATGTATACATCATGTATGTATTAAAAATAAAAGCAAAACATACCTTTGACACAAACTAAATATGTTTTCAACTCCTTTTGAAGTCTTTGCGCTGAGGCCTGAAATAAAATGAGGCAAAATATTAAAAAACTGAAAATGATCGCCAATTTCTAGCTATTCAGCTATTTCGATTTAACTTCATGGAAATGTCTAACATTTCAGCATCTAGTAGCATAATTATATGGTCACTATAGATAATATGCAAAGGCTTATGACACACTATGATCTAAGACATACATACCTGTTGTCTGTTGAAGTTTGTAACATTTTCATCAAACACATCATCTGTAGTTCTGTCTGCTTTGCCTAGATTCTGTAGGACCTTAAACACACAAACAATGGGGTATAAAAAGATGAACAGACGTGTTTCGTGTCTATAGAACATAGAAATATCCATGTCAAACATTCCACAAAGATACAATGCAGGGGCTCTTAGTATAGAATTCAATGTAAGTTACTACCCTGAGCGCAGAGTCTAGTTATAAACTACCTTCTAGCTAATATAGACTATATTACCCTTTAGCAACCCCATCCCCATGACTGGTGCCCATGACAGCCTGGGGCATAAATAATTTCAAACCTACCACACTGTCATTTTCTTAACAAATCAGCGAACTATGCCATGACGTCAGAGGAAATGACCATAAGAAGTTTGTTTGTGTTTCAACTATAAATTCTGATTTGCTAGGTATGTTCAGAGAAAAATGGAGACGAAGCTCTATTTTAAGAGCAAAGCCTATAAAATGCAAGGGTAGTTAGTAGCTAGATCTCAGGGTAAATATTGATCATTAAATAATGAGAATTGCAGCCATGGAATTAAACTTGTGTTTCCTTACTTAAACTTTCAACATAATTCAACAGATTATGATTGAATACCACCGGGACAAAATGTATATTTAATAATAATCTGAGAGATTTATTTACGTTTGATGTTAAATGTTACAATAGAAATCTGACTTGGGAATTATGTTTCTATTAGTCGAAAATGTTCCATGAGTAAGAAATACTGCGGGGATTTGGTTGGCAAAGGGTCAGAACCAATCAACATTATTTATAGCCAATCAATGAACATTTGAGAAATCTGAATGAGTACTTCATGATCACATTTGCAATAATCAACAAATCATTGATATTGGTATGTTATTAGATCTTCAAGATGTCAGAGTCAGAATTAAAATAGATTTTGGTAAAATGATTGATGTATTAAAACAGAAACTAATATCTCGCAATTCATGAAGAACAAAATGGCCACGAAAGTCCTTCTTCTGATTCAATTAAAACACATGTTCATGAAAATGAACAAGATCACTTTCAAATTAAACAGGTTTTACTGTATTACTATATAGTTTATACTATTATAAAACGTTTCACTTCATTTGCCTATTCATTACTACATGTACTTGTAATTACGGGAGTTGATTGCTGAATGTATGGAGGAATGTGAACCAGTTCATTGATTAGTGATTCACTGGCAAATAGATAATGAGGACTCATCTTGTTAATTATTCAGAGTACAGATATTTAAGTAACACAGCCGAGTATCTTAACATGCATCATGTATTGCAACATGTATTGTAACATGCAACATAACATGTTTCCCAATATGTACATCAACTTTACCAAATATATCAAGTATTTCTAAAGCAATTTTCAGTTTTTGGGTCATTCATGTGGTGTAATAATATGAAAATAGCTAAATTAGCATTAACATTCCAGTGTCCCTCAAATAAAATAGAATACCATTAATAAATGTGAGACAACGATGATATGTACAGGGTGATCAATAAATAAAGTAAAAGTATCTGGCATTTTGTGAATATTGGTACAAACATCCTGAAATTTGGTCAGAATATACCTTGTACTATTCGAAATTAAAACATATAAATATATAACTTCTTCCATCTGAATGGTTAATATTATAGTTACTATGGCAACTAGAGTCGGGGGTACCCGGGGCAATTTCATTGCTACCAATTTGAACAAAAATTGGTAAAAAGCATATCCTTTTCAAACTGAAAAGAAGTAAACGTGGGTGCCAGTATTTATTGTTTTAATACTTTGTTTCCATTATTACATATTTTCTCGCAAATTTGATGTTTGATGTCACGGAAAAGATAAACATATAATGAAAACTGATGTGGTCATTGAAAGTCTATGACACTGAGGTCAATGATAAAAAACAATACCCACAGAGGAGATTTGATGAGATCAAAGAGGAAGAAGCTAAGGGGCCTGCAAAACGTTTCACATTGCACTGGGGTAATGCTCCGTCTCACAATGCTATTCTCATGGTACAAACCATTGAAGCACTGGGTTTCCCACAGTTAGATCATGTACTATTCTCTCCTGACTTGTCCCCTTATGATCTTACCTTCATGCCGGTGAGCTGAAGAGGGAGTTGAGAGAGTTTCTCATGGGATGACTTAAAGTCAGCTGTCTTTTGCAGTCTATGTTAAAATGGGTTTAAAAAGATGTTCAAAGACTGGAGCAGAAGACATGATCTATATGTTAAAAACAAAGGACTATTAGTAGCAGTTATGAAGTATGAAATAAGAATATGATATTCCATTTTAATTGTGATTTGAAATATATTATCAAAAGTGTTTCGACTGAAAAAATAGTTTTTTTGATAGTTGCCCCTGGTCTTCATGCTTTTTGTTGCTATGGCAACCATAACTTCAACCAATCACATCACTTTGATCTGTAAATTATTATATCAATTCAATAATGTTTGAACATTATTCTGTGCAAATTTTATGAGGATTGGGTAAAATCTGAAGGAATGCCAGATACTTTTACCTTATTTATTGATCACCCTGTATATGTATTTGATTGCAAGAAATATTCTATTGATTTTTAGGCCAGTGTAATTACTTTCAGTGATTTGTGTTTTCATATTTTCGATTTTGCTCTTGAAAAGAAAGCTTCACTATGACTGCTGAGGGAACATATAAATGCAAGTTTTGTATTTTACTTATAATTGCTTCACTTTATTAGTCACATTTGCATGTTTGCACACAACTATTTAACTATAGGTGTCACTGATAGGAATTTTATGTTTAATGTCAACAGGAAGTTCATGTCATAAGAAAAGACAATGGCATTGTTGCAAACAATCTATACTTTTGGAGGTTTAAATATTTTTAAGTATTCAAGTAGTCTGTGCTCTGTAAGGTGTATGATGTATTCTAAATATTCCATTTACATACCACATAAAATGCTATTAATCAATTCTTAAAACATTCCTGAAGTTTTTAAAAATCAATACTACTGCAGATTTATGAATGTAGCAATATGAAATGTTGAATCTCTTCTAAATTCATTCTTCCATCTATGAAACCTATTTAAAACACATTTGAATTATAAGATTTTATACTGTACAAGTAAATCGGAGGCCTTATCTCTCTGTGGAGATGATGTAAATAAATTTGGCCAGAAAGTCAAGAGACATGACTTAAGATTATACTAATGACCATTCTGATACTTGAACTTCTCTATGTACCTTGCAAAGAAGATATTAAAAGGAACTGAAAGAAACTACTCTAAGGGTAACTTATAATAAAAAAACAAACATGTTACATCATAATAGTGCACATATTTTAATGACAATGAAGAGGTTCTAAATTTGACAGGTTTTATTTTAAGAGGTTTTTACATTATGACAGATATGAGGATAAAGATGATAATGATAAGTTTTTATTTCAAGAGATGACAAGATCTATTATAAAAGGAGATCAGTGTTGCAGGATATATCAACAAACAAGAATTGAATTGACTATAGAAGACTTAATCTTCGTTCACTCGGCTCCCGTTGGTCGATGAACGTAGTAAGACCGAGCGTGCGAAGATGACAAGACTTTGCTATATCAATTAACTAAATGTTTATGTATGTTATGCATGAACCAAGCTTAAGTTTCATTCACATTATATTGCACTATAAATTACATATACAAACATGTATACTCAAGAATATTATTAGTTTCAAGCCAAATAGTAACTATTTTATCAGACTCTGTGACAGATAATTTGCAAAGAGAAGGTGAGTTATGGCTTTTATTGTAATTATTACAGAACCTGAAGTCCATGTATGGTATGTGCAATATGTCTTACTATCTTCAAAATATAAGCCTTGTCCCAAAGTGATAACAAACACACTGCACTGAATCATGTTGAACTTGGGATAGCCGTACTACCATTATAAACTGGCATCTGCATGACAAACTTTGATTTTTGAATAAATATTTTCTAATTAATGGATTACTTAAGTATTCACTGACCATTACTCTTTTTAACTCTTTCATGCGTGTATACCTGGAGGTTTTAAATATACAGGATTTGTCCACCATACTCCCGAGATACAGATATATCAAAAAATTCCAGGGGGTTCACATTCGACTACTTTAGCCTAAAATCACTTGGAAAGTGCTTAGCATGAATGGTGAAAAACAGCAAAATTTTGAACGAATTTCTGAGCAGGGGAGTCACTCCTTCCCCAAATCACCCCTGGATATGAGCCTGTATGGGATATAACTATGGCATTGTAGGTATAGTGTAAGCCTTCTTTGAACTTGTAACATATCAAACCAGTTGCCACTTATACATAGTTTGATATATATGAAAATATCAGGTACTGTACATATATAGTATTATCAGCCCAATTATTCATTAATATTTATTAGGGATTAAGGTATAAATCTATTTGTTGTACAGGTATATTATATAGGAATTAAGGTACATGTATAAATCTACTGTTAATAGTATACAGGTACATGCACATATGTACTCTGATATATGGTTGAACAGGTTAATAACTAAAATTACTTGAATAACTGATGTTTTTTCATGTATACATATACTACAAAGATAGAAAAATTAAAACAAGAACGCAGATGTATTTGAACTCTGTAAATTATATGAAAGAAAATCAGGTAAGTAAAAAAGCGGAAACAGCTATTGGATTTAAACCAAAGATTTTAAGGATCAAATAAAACTGTTCCAGTTGACTACATCCATCCGGCTCAGTTGACCAGATCTGTATAAAGGTACTTCCCATGAATTAAATTGAACTCTGGCTTTACCAAATTTTTGTATTTAAGTACAGTAGCAGAATTATCAATGATAAACATATGAAATATAAAGCTATCATCTTATAGTGGCGGATCTGAATGGCACTTACGCAGAAAAAAATTTAAAAAATAAGGCTCAAAAACAAAATGTTGTGGGGCCTCTATTAGTGGGCCTTTTTTGGGTTTTACAGGCCAAATTATCAAAAATGGTCCTTAAATTTTCAAAATGGGAAAATGATCAGAACCCTACATCTCGTTACATGCTGGCTTCAGCACCAGACCAGGGTGCTACTGTAATATAAGGGAATTCCCCTTCTGCCATCTTGAAAACAGGTGAGGAAGATCCCGATGAAGAAGGAAAATTTCCTCGTTCTGCCGGTAAAATTATATGATTTAGATTAGGGATTCAACTACAAAAAAATGAATCCTAAAATACTCAGGAATGTATTGAGGTAGGTATTTTACGTAAAGGAGGCGTGGATCAATTTCCCATGTTGAAATCATATATGGTAAAAAATTAACCCTTTCCAAGGACTAGTCCTGGCAGAGGATAAGTCACCCCCACACCTGCCCCCTCCCCCTTGTTATCTTCCAGATCCGATCCTTTTCCATCGACTGACTTCTGGCTTGTCATATTTTCTCACACCCATTACAAAAGTAGATCTTGTCTACACCAGCGATAACGTTTCGAAAATGTATAGTACGCGAGCCATTCTCTGAATTTGAAAGGTTGCAATTCAAGTTCAAAACTTTACAAGTAAAAGTCAAAAGTAAAGTGAATTTTTTTTCTTTTTTGGAAAAATATGATTTTTACTTCTCGATTTCATACGTAACCAGATGACTAAATTCTGAAAACAATGTCTCCAAATAATATTTATAGTCAAAATAATATAACAGGAATAAATTCATATTCTTACCTTCTCCTTAGTTCTTACAAATCGTTTGGCAATCCCTTTAGAAAACGACCCACCCTTATGTGGTTCCGCCATGGTGTTTACCTGCCTAGTACTATCACTAAAAGATGGCGGCACAATGTTGTCTAATTTTGGGGACCTGTTATTCTCTCTAGTTTTTGTTCACCATACTTGTATGCCATCTATTAATTACTGTAAGCAACAAACATTCATTCCATTTATCATGACATACGGGTTGGTCCAAAAAAATGAACCCATGCAACAGACTACAATTTCCTTAATACATGCATGAATTTGCTCATATCATCACATCTTGTAGAGAAAGGTCTAAAATTTTTGTCGATGCCATAATTTATTCTCAGTTTTGAATTTTGAAGAAATTGCAAGACTTTAACAAACATGCCTAAAATTAGATATTGTGCAAGTGATAAATGGAAATTGTTGAAACACATTGGATGATCTTTAAAAAGCTTACAGTGAGAGATATAAGTTTAAACCATAACTTATGACAAATGGGACACTATTTGGACATACTTGTATGCCATCTATTAATTACTGTAAGCAACATTCATTCCATTTATCATGATACGGGTTGGTCCAAAAAGTGAACCCCTGCAGACTACAATTTCCTTAATACATGCATGAATTTGCTCATATTATCACATCTTGTAGAGAAAGGTCTAAAATTTTTGTTGATGCCATAATTTATTCTCAGTTTTGAATTTTTGAAGAAATTGCAAGACTTTAACAAACATGCCTAAAATTAGATATTGTGCAAGTGATTAACAGAAATTGTTGAAACACATTGGATGATCCTTAAAAAGCTTACAGTGAGAGATATAAGTTTAAACTATACCTTATGACAAATGGGACACTATTTGGGCAGAAAACACATTTTACAAGCTCATTGACCATTTTGAAGCAGTTTTAAGCATTCAACAGTTAAGGGTCACGTTAGTTACCCCCTGTAACCCAAAATCTGAGAAGCCCTTCATATAAATTTCTTACAAAATCAAATGGAAATCTAATTGAAGTGTTTTGAGCCATATTTCATTAGAATTGGTCAATGATTGATGAAGATATTGACATCTTAAGACCATAGAGGGGTATGTTGCAATTTCACTGGAGGATGTTTTCGTCTTTGGAAACTTAGAACATTTCTTAGGATCAAAATAACTTTGCAATTAATGGAGGCAGGATGCTACTTTTTACACTATAATGTGCGGGATTTAAAACCAAACAAAGTCAGAAAACATTAGGTTTTTCAGACTGAGGCTAAAAAGATTTCCACAGGAAGATTGTTGAAGGGTTGACGAATCGCAAATGTTGAAGTTCACATTTCATAGATTTTGAGACCACCCTGTATATGTATAGTTTACAAGTTGCAGCCTAGTGGTATCAAAATCATTGATCCCTTTATTAATAAGGGAGTTGCTATATAGCTGAATAAATAGCTGTCAGCACTTGTTTTTTGTTTTAGTTGGGCCAGACTGCCATAGGATTCGATGTTAAAAACTTGCAATCATTATCAAAAAGTATTGGTTGAATCTGTCTAAAACTTATGGTGAGTAATCGTGAAAATTGGGGTTTGTGAATGAATGAACCAAGGTTTTAAAGAATATTAGCATTGCAGCAATGGAGATTTGGCCCACATATTTTTTAAAAACTGAAAAAGTTTTCACTTTTCACTGAATTCAAAATACAATGAAACCTGTATATCTGAACACCTCTCTCTCTGTGAACTTTCTATGTGAAATGTGAACAACTGCTTATTCAAACACTTTTGGCCAGCCACAGAGGAGTTAAGATTAAATCTCTTTAGATCTCAAAAAATGAGACTTCGCAAGATTTAAAGGCCCCCCTTTAAAAGCTGAAACTCCTCTCCACTAAATTACAAAGTCATCAATTCCCAAGCAAACTTTTAGTTGCTTTGATTTTTGTCAAAACTAGTATTTAGAGTTGTCAAATTGACAATGTTGCCAATGTATTACACAAAACTCTCAGCGTATTTTATCTATTTTAGAATACCCGGTAAAGTGATTTGCCCGCCTTTGATTTTACAATAAACGAAATGGATGCACATTCCATTCACCTTACTAGTCAAATTGATCAGTCCCCAGATAAATAAATATAAAGTAGGTCAGTTAAGAAAATAATTCTACAACAGTTACTGCAGTTTATGCTTTTTCATTCTCTATGGAAGTTGAATAAAGGTGATATTAAGTGATTGTTTCGCTATGTGAATGATTTCAAGTCTGTAAATTTGTAAAACAAGTTAGGTTAGGAAATGTTCAGATTGGCGCGGATTGATATATATCAATTACCCCTTTACACTTATGTTCTATCGCGTCGTTGGAAGGTTAACATAGCGGGCACCGGCATTTAACCGAATTTCGTTGGATTATAGTATTTTTTGGTAAGTTGTATATTTATATAACCTGCAGATTAATACATCCTTTCCGTGTTTTGAAGTAGTTGTGCTGACTTGACTATCGATGGTCCAAAAACTAATATAGTATTTGAAAATGGTGATTCAAATTTCAATCCGCCATGTTGTTTTTCTGACCCGGAAATCCGAATCAAGGTGTGCCTGTTTGTCTATAACTTGGCTTTAACCTTGCCTCAGTGGTTTTGGATGTTGAAATATGAATGTTGTATGTTGTGTTGATTGTGTAAATGTTAATGTTCCAATATGTGACCTTGTTACGTTGAGTGCAACAGACCTTACGAATTAAAAGTTTTGAAACAAATCAACTCCTGCAACAATCATTTGACATTTGAAATATGATTGTCGGATAGCATAAACAAAGTATCTACTGGTAAACTTCTCAAAGAGAAATTAAAAAGTGTAGATCAATGAATACACAAAAATGATGTACAGTGGGGATCATAAAGAATTGCAAAAGCTATGAAAATTACTTGCTGTCGCACATGTAATAAATTCTTACCTCAGTGTATTCAGTGCTCTATCTTCTCCGTCTTAGTAAGTCCAAATATAGTGGAATTTGTGTCCCTAATGACAAATAAGAACTTCAAAAGTTGAATTGGATATTCACACGTTATGCCGACTCTTCAAATGTTGAGGTGATTTTGTCGCCCGATTGTGCCGGAACGGAGGATTGGCTCCCAGAATGCAACATGACACGTGCCAGCTTTCAAAATGCTGTTCCGCCATTTTGAAACCTGTCATGAGGAAATACGGTTAACTGATGTTGCATTCTGGGAGTCAACCGTCCTTGGATAACAAACATGGCGATTCATGAAAACATTCATTCGATTTGGTAGGGATTTATCCATTATTTGCAGGTATGAAGCTTTGGATTCATTTATTGTGCTACTTTAGTGAACGGGAATTATTTTTCTACCGCTTGGGAGAGTTTGAGACACGAAACTTGGAAATAAGCTCATTGTGACATCTTGTGAACGTGAGTTTTATTTTTGTCCCCCACTTTAGAGAGAGCATAGACTTTAAATACATGATGTTGCTTTCCAGTTCCTGGTCTCTCCATCTTACTCTCAGTAACCAAAATGCTCGTGTAAGATAACATTTTTAGGATAAAATCAGTAAACGGAATTTAGGTTCATATCTTAGGAAGAAGGAAGGTCCAAACATAAATACCGCTAGAGTGGAATTTGACAGATTATCGGTTACCTGTTGGTATGGTTTACTTAATCCCATTGGTCAAATACATCGATCACACATCAAGTTCTTTATTTTGGGTCTATTTGTTTCATAGATTTTAGGAACCCTTATGAACCTACTCAGTGTAAAGTTATCATCTTGATCTACATCCTCCTCCTAAGCAGGTGTTCAGAATCCGTACCTCCTTCTTCCCCCCTGCTATAACCAATTTTGAAGCGCCCGATTAAACTGAATCACGTGATCTTATTATGTGCAATGGCTTATACATGATTTCTGCCGCAGTGTTGCAACAGCCAATCAGATTGCGAGTTCTAAATCGGGGAAATGCTAACTGCTTATCGCAGGGGTAAAAAGAAAGAATATATTCTGGATTTTGAAGCCCTGTGATCAGAGGATGGATCTACATAGATAAAGTTGTTCTTACATCCCATTGAAAGTAAAAGATGTGTGAACCACTCATTTCATTTCACATTTATAATATGAATATTAAAATTGAAATAATAGCAGTATTCAGTATTAGGCTGCAACGCCATCAAGTTTTTTATTGCATCAAATTGATTGATCATCTGTGGAGTGAAATTATAGTCCTGTTTAGAAGTGTTGCACCTGCTACAGTGATTAACCTTAGCACCATCTACTTACCACCTAGACCTAATATTAATTATACAGCTATACGTGTCTATTCATAACACCTTCCATTACTCCTATATACAAATCTTTTAGGACATTTTCAAACTTTGTCTAATGCATCTTCGTTCACTTGGCTCCCGTCGGTTGAACGCAATGAAGACTGAGCGTGCGAAGATGTGTCTAATGTGCCCTAGCACAAGATGGATGAATTCTTTTATAAGGTGTTTTGTTGTTATTTATCTTGCAACATTACAAAACTTAAAAATATGAATAATTTTAGGCAGTGTTGTTCATTAGCCTTGGATAGGTTTTGTTGTAAGTTGCTTTGTCATTTGTAATACTGCGAGGGGGTCCTTAGAGGTCAGGTTACTCTGACCCTAGATTTCTTTATATGAACTTATCAGGCTTATCCATCCATATCCGTTTTAATCCTTGTGAGGATTTTTGGCGCCATGATTATGATCCTATCAGATGCTGGCTAGTTATGATATAATACTTATATTAGCCCATTTTTAGTAAGAGTTACTTATATTTAATCAAGAATTAATGTTATTTTTTATTAATTGTATTCTATGTAGGTTTGGATTTAAACCTCCATTTCTATATGCACATTAATATATGGTTTATAAGGTGTTTTTACTACGCTCTTGAAATATGTTGTTAATGGACTGACTCGTATCTTAACTAGTTACCACTCTCCCCAAGCGCTTATTTTTTGGTTGAGGAGTCAAGTGCTGCTTTCACATTTAATTCTCTGACATGTGCCATTCGTAGCCTTATAATTAGATAACTCAAATTTCATCATATTTTTTTTACATCCCATCCCACGTCAAAAAGGTACAATGTTTTGTTAGTACTGTAGATTCTAGTTTGATATCACTGCGTAAGGTGATGTAAGAACCAATGCTACAGATTCTGGGGGTTTGTTATCATAGCCACCCACTGACCTCTCCTGATAGCTCAATTATGGTATCTATTAGGGACTTGTATCCCATACTAAAAATATAATCTGACTTGTCACATTTACTTCACCCAACTTCTGTGTAGAATTATGACTGAGGTATATGTTTTTTGGCATTTCTTCTTACAATATGGTGTTTAGTTTATGCAAATATATCTTATGATTCTTTTTGTTGCTGTCTTAGTTTCTGTTTTGCATTAAAAGAAAATGTCTTGAGAAATTTTGTGTGAGTTCATGCCATGGGCTCTCTGTGGAGATCTACTTACCCAGGAATGTAGATTTGTTGGTTTATTTGAAATATGCTGACTAGTATATATTTATATACAAAACTAAGTTTCTCTGTTTTGTCATTTTCAGCAATGTAATTCTTAAAATAAATATGCAAGGAAAACAAAAACAGAAGTCAATATTTTTGTATATTGTAAATGTTTTGTCCCTGTGGGTGTTTCTGCCAGATCTGAGTTCATATCAGTTAAATACTGGGTTCTGATGGGGATTATTTTCTAATATCAATAATACATGTATACTATATTTGCAAGGGGTTGATCTGCTTTTAATGGTACATGAACTGAAATGACACATCCCAGATGAGGCTCCACTCTTACATTGGTGCTCAAATGATGACAGCATCAAAATCATTCTGTTTTTAAATGATATGTTCTGTGTATTCATTATGTCTGGTGTGGTAAGCCATATATGTACCTTTTACATTGTAGTAATAATCAGATCAATTGATTATGTGTATTGTATTGTTATAAACAATACCAGCAAAGCAAGGTTATTTATAGTAAACACATTAATTAATCATGTCCCATATTCTCTGTTTTCCTTCGGGCAAATAGTCTGCCACTATCTGGCATATTAAAATTAAAAAAAACAGTCATCATATACTGCTATATTACACCTATATATTTGCATGTCACCTGAGTAGGTGTTATCGCTTCAGACAATTTTTTTTCTTTTGTTTGATTAACATAAGAGTTGCTCTTGTAAGAATAAAATCAATATGCTGTCTTTCACAATTGTTTGAGAGCCTAGATCGTCTTAACACAACTTTCGCATGGCCCTGTCAATAACAGTAGATATCAAATCAATAATGCCATCATTGGTTTTCGCAGCTGCATTTTGATGTCAGAATGAACTTGATCCTTTGTATAGAATCTTTCATTTTTTTATTAAGCAGAACTAATGTTATTTTTACCTTATTATATTATAAAAGATCTGGTTTTTGGATAGCACAAACCCTCTCTCTAAGGCCTAGAGAACTCGTGTTAGAGCATAAAAACCAAGTGTCTTGGGTATTCTCTCTACAGGTTCTTGATCAGTCATATTTAAAAAATACTTCAAGAGACCAAAACATGTTTCATACTTTTACCAATATATACTAATATAAGGTCTATGTATCTAATATTATTAAATAAAAAAAACATATGGATCAGCATTCATTGTTTTGTGAAAAGATAACTTGCTAGACCTACTAAACAACCGTTAACCTACTAGATAACCTACAAGAAATTACCACTATGAAACATCTCATGTCTTTGTTTTTTAAACTTGTCTAGTTTACAATATGAGAGAGATATCTTATAAAAAGAAGGCAGATCTGATCCTCTTATTTATAAGATGTGTTTAATGTTGTTATGGTAACTAACTCCAGTTGTTATGGTAACCACTTTTCAGTTGTTATGGTTACTGTTATTTTACATGGATCGCTGTTTTGGCTGGAAATCATTGCAATGTTCTGGAAGTGATTGAGATAGATAAAATTCACACAAACTGGATTGATAAGTTCGAACCACTTCACTCTAGATACCTGTCAAACCGACATGTAGGTACAAATTTCATGGAGATAAAATTCTAGAATCCATGGCTATGTAGCAGTTTAGTATTGATAAGTTCGAAAAGTACTTTGCAATTTAATATTTGTGTGTTAGTACGATAGCTCGGGATTGTTTGCATGTTAGCTTTGAGCCAATCACCAACTAGGTCACATTGATATCTTGGCTGCTTCGATTGGAGAAGTGCCAGATGATATCAGATTGATATGTTCAACCGTTTATGGTATGTGTGTATGACTTCATCATAGTTCAGGCTGTCTCATGGATTGTTTTGTTTTTGTGGACCATATGTGATGTGATAGGACTAAGGGTGTAACTTATCTTGCTGCAAATAAAGTAGATACTATCTTACTGAAACATGGTGTGTTGGTAATCGGGATAAGCTTGGATTATATATTTGGATTTCTACTATCCTATCTTACAGTTAAAGCTGCTTAACAGTTGTCAGGAAAGTAAGTTCAAAATATAGGATTTCAATCATGTAGGTAGACATCGTAAACAATGCATTGATCTTTTGTATTCATGTATTGTCATGAAAAAAAGTCAAAATACAGAATTATTCTTTGACCTAGTGGTCAGTAATGGCTTTTAAAATGCTACTCACTTTAGAACTGAATGATTTAATGATTTTGTTTAAACATAATGCTTTTTGATTATTGATAATTATTGATTCTTTTTTTGAATATTCAGTGATCCCCGGGATTAAAGCAAGTAGTTACAACAACAAGGCTACTTTCTATTTTCAAAAGAGGTTATACCTATTTTAAAAATGATAAAAGTTGCACTTAAATACTTTAAAAATCCTGGGGAAAACTGATGTTGTTATATGCTTTTTTTCTACCAATTTTTTTTATCAACCTCAGATATAAGACTCGTCATCTCTATCATAGATGTAATGAGTTCCCTTATGTCAAGTTTTTTGAGGAACAAATTGAAGATTTACCTTCTATTTATCAATACATGCATGAGCTATTCACTTTCTGATTCAATTTTTTCATAGTTGTTGCACCCTTGCACCCATGTAGTCTTGCATCAAATCTATAAACCACAAATTCCATTTCCATGATGGAAATCAAGTATTATATCAAACAGATATCGCCCTTCTCCCATTCCACCCTAAGTTTGAGAATTAAAATTCTATGGCTGAACCAGAGACTTGATACAGGACTTCCTATCCTCTAGTCTTGTATCAACCCCCTGTATTACCTCAACCTGTTCTTTCTCAGTCCCAAGTTTTGGAAATAACACACCTTTCAAGTGTATATCTCTAAGAAGGCTATATGTCCCTCTCCAGTATTACACTGCCTGACCCTGAGTTTCAAGGTAAGAGAATAAAGTATGTACCCTACCCTTTTGGAAAATGTTGATTAGGATAAAGTGAACCAGACTTGATGCAAGACTTCTTCCCTTATAGTGACTGTTGTTATTTATTTATTATTTATTAGGGATTGTTGTTGTTTTCTAGCTTGGAGTAGGCCTAGAGTAGGGTAGCAAGATGGCTGAGGAGAAGGATCAACCCCAGCCTGATCCAACCCAGGTAGGTACTGTGTGAAATCTCGAAAAAATCCAATCTAATACAGGTTGGTTGGAACTATATATCCTCTGATTGCTACCTTTTCAATGGTTTGATTTCATCATTTTAAGAGTGTGGCCTATATTTGCCTACATGCATTGAAAACAGGGTTGCAGGATGTAAATCTAGAATTCATAGAAGAGTTCTAGTCTTGCAAATGTTTGGAAGTTGTCATATGTATAATGAGATACTTAAACATGCACAATACATTTTTTACTTTTGATAGATTATGCATGTAAATCATTTTTCACATCAGGAATATGACCTGAAGCATGCATGAACAGCAGCAAGACGCATTATGCATGGAAATTATTTTTTATGAATTTATTATTTCAATGGCTATGCCAAGTTAAAAAAAAATACTGCAACACTAAATACGTATAGACCAAAGTATGGAGCATACAGTCTGATGGACACCTCCAAGAATTGGCTCAAATGAAGCAAACTGAAACATAGGCCTATAAACACATTTTGGGGTAATGTGTTCAATATGTATTTTAATGCAAAAATTTAAATACATTTATTTGTAACTGTAACAAATGAGACCATAGGTGTCTCACAACTGCATATGGTTCCATGTACTTTATTATTGCACAAATGCAATGGTATCTATCAGTTAACCATATTGATGAACTTTTTTATTTAATATATTGTCACTATTTTTTGGCACTGATATATATTGTGTCTTTTTGATTTGTTTGCTATATGTCACATGCTCTTTTAGTTGGTAAGCCATTTTGGATTTGATGGCTTTTCAAATTCAGTTACAAATATTTTTGTCGATGCCAATTTGATTTTAATTTGTTTCGTTTAACTACTCTATAATTTTTTCATAACCAGGTGTTTAGTTTGTCTATTCAATCGCGATGGGGTTTTAAAAAATTCAAGTATGTTCAATTACACTTCAGTGCTGCATTACCCGCCACAAAATAATTGACATGACCTTAAAATTTATATTGAATGAATGCCGGTTGTTTTATCAGTGTAAATGTAAGGTTTGCTGTGAATAGCGATTTTCATGATGTACAAAGAATATGCAAATATCACTGCTTTGTGCAAAATGTGTATATTTTTATACTGGTAAACAACTATATAATGCCGAGTACATTGGCTAGAATCTACTCTGTATTCAGTGCAGAGATACTCTAGCGATCTGATTTATTGGTCTCTCTCTCAATATCTGAAAGCCTGTATGCATATTCCAACAGGGGATCGTAAAGCTATGGGGATCCCACAATGATACTTTAGGTTTTGTTTAAATGCTAACTCACTTAACTCAGTTGTAAGAGATGGTTGAATTAGTTTTTCAATTGAATCAATACAATAGACAAATACAATAGTATTTTTGTGTAACATCACTTCAAAGAGAATAAATTGATTAAATATGTCATTTACGATTAAACAAAATATAAAAACAGTTGAACATTCCTATTGATATTTAAATCCTGGAAATTTTGAATTTGTTCAAATCAATGTAGCCAGTTAAATTTTACATATTAAAATACAATATGATGGGAATTCTAATTACATGTCTGGAAAATTAATGTATATTGATTTAATGAGGTACATTTACAACTGTACCATATGTAACATTAAGGTCGTTATGACATACATAATATGTTAGAGATAAAAATACTTGTAATTAGGGAATATGTAATTTTAGTCTATATCAGACAGACATGTATCTAATTTTTAATATTCAATATTATGTTAGCAGCGAACACTGTGTATGAAACAAAGAATTGCACCTGTGCATAAATCTGATTAAATCTTCAGTTTTGTTCAGTAATTTGGGAATTAATCTTGCAAAAATTTTACTGACCGATCTGAGAGGCATTTTGGTCAAAACATCAGTTGAGGAAAATGTGCTGACGAAACCTCTGTGTTTTGCACTTTTCCAACATTTTAATCTCCCAGACTCTCTCTTGTAGCTCTTAGCAACACAAACTATTCTTGAGAGTATTTAGAGTAGGTGCTGCAAACTATATTTTAAGTGAGAATAGTAGACATGGATACCTCAATGTATTCCCATTAATAGTACTATTCCACTATAATCCCAGAATACATGCAGTGTAGAGTTATGAGCAACAAGAAGCAATTATGATAAACTTATCTTGACCAATAGTCCTATTCGCGTTAGGAAATTACTGGTCATTAACATAAATATTTCCCGCAATGCAACACGATAAAATGGACAATTTTCTATTGGTCCGCAAAACACAACGTCATAGGCATTATCCCCGATCCAACATTAGTACATATGTATACTAATATTCTATAATCCAGACAATAATTAGAAAAGAAGATGGAAATTCAATTTGCTTCGATTATTTTTCTATGGCGTCTGAGCAAGTTCCGGGAGCTGAGCAAGTTCCGGGAAATCTGTGACGTCACTTGAATTTTAAACTTAGGATTTTGACGATTGCTGGTAAATATATTTTTTAAAAACTTGTCAAATGTCTTTATAATGATCATATCTATCGTATGTGCAAATATAATTCATGATAAACCTCTAATAAAGTCACAATGCGTCATTGAAAAACACAGCCAATGTTATTCCAATGGGGAAGTGCCCGGATGTTGAGAAAGTTGTACCACGAAACTGAACTCTCCAACGCGGAGATAAGAATATTTCGCACGTTAAAAGTTAGCGCGTATAGGTATATTCACAACACAGATGGGGGTATATTAAACACCAATAATACCAAGATAATTTTCAAATATCAGCTAAATGCAATACTAAATGGGATATTCTCAGCATGACTTGATTAATGTTTTTCTTTTGCGCAGAATATGTTTTGAAATTATCTAATCTGTGGCTTGTCTCATTATTGAAATGAGATGATGAGTTATGTGTGGTTTAATTAGCACTATGGGACTAACGCTAAATTGATTTACATCAATTAGGATTATAGCAACATATGTTAATGTAGAGTGCATCCATTATAATCATTATGCACTCTTGGTTGAACCTTATCAGTTCATAAAATGGCACTTTTATAGTAACATACATCATGTCTAGGATTTATTAAGACATCAACAGAATTTGGGTACTAGATCAATACACATTCTCCATGCAGTTGCAAAACATTACATTTTATTTATCCAGTGATTGGAGATCAATAATCCAGTCTGAATATTCCTACTGGATTTTCAGGGTTTCTGTCTAATATGCCAAGTGTGGCGAGACTACGGATTTTAATACGGCCAAATGTGATCTTGTAGCATTTCCTGCACTTGTACATATTGGAACTGGATATCAAATAGTGATCTTCTTAAGATCAAATAAGGATCTAAATCAGGGATTTATTGATGCATTTTGGATCATACTGCTGACACTGCTCAACTATATACACAAACTCAGGTATAGCTAGCTATCAGTACATTTCGACTGATACATGTATCAGATTTTAATTACATTTATGTTGAAATACTTGAGAAATCAAGTGTGATATTTAAGTAGGTACAGAGGTGAGCTGTAAAAAAGATCAGGTTTTGTGAAGCCTGGTGTTAAAACAGTTAAATACATATACATGTGACTGTCATATAAATGGAATGTGTCCTTTGATACGTGCAATTAACCACTTGCTTATGATCAGTGAATGATAATTTGGTCATGTTCAAATGTATATGGTAAATATACAAATATAAAACTGATAAGTAACACAATGTATACATGACTTGAAATTATTGGTTTGTTCATTGGGTGTGGCAATATGAAAAGATATCTGATGTAAATCATATTGCTTTAATAAGGGGCCATAATGTTGCATTATAAATTATAATCAATATACTGTTAAAAAGAGTGCACGTGTATATTATACATGGAGATATACACTATGTTGTATTGCCCCATGATGTTACTAACAAAATGAACAGACTTGCTGATTAACATGAATCAGACACGAACCTGTGACTAATTCTATAAGTCGATTCCTAACAATTGATTTTATAGAAAAACAGGGTAGCAGAATTATGTTGAATATAGATTGTATAATCCTCAAAGGATTTGTCCCTTGCAAACATGGAATTTCAACCCTTGATTAATTGGTTCCGACCATGTATACAGTCCTCGTTCTGTAGATAACATTCAAATATGTCTGGGACTGACCAAGAAAAAAGTGTTTACATCGAGAAGTGTTCTGATTAAGAGAGGTGTTCGGATATACAGATTTAGATTGGCTCATATGGATTGATTAAAAAGGGATCCTCTAATAGAACGGTGGTTTCTCTAGGTTTATTGAGAAAAGTATCATTTTCTTCATGCAAGTATTGTAAAGTCTGTTTTATTGCCTGATGATGTTATAATTCCGCCTTTGCACTTTGTCCAGTTACATGTTTCCTTGTTTATAGTCTTGATTTTTCAAGGGAGGGGGTCAGTCTTGCATTAGTCTATGCCCTCCTTACCCATTTACTTCATTTTTGAGGTGAGGTAATAACTTGATGCAAGACAACTTCACCTTATTATTGGATGCATGCTCTCATGAGGATTCTCAAAATTATTCAAAGCTTTAAACTTAACTATAATTGAATTCATACTCCTTCTATCTATCGGGTATTGAATATATTCACTTGTATAACAGATTTCTGTATAAATGTCAGAAGTTGTTGATTAACAGAAATTGAGATTATTGTTTATGTTCTACTTTAACTTAACTTTATGAGTGTTATTTTAGTATCTAATGAGTTCAGAATATACTGGCCCTTATTCTTTCCAAAAGCTAAAGAGCCTTGAAATGTTAGGAATTTCAATCACATAAAAACGGAAGTCAAGTCTCTTAATGCAAGGTTGAAATAAAAATTAGAGATGATATTACATAAGTAGAATATCAGTTATCAATTTCATCCCAATTACAAACTCTAAGAATTCTATTTGCTGAAATGTTTCCTTAAAACCTTATAAAGAGTTCCCTGGTCATTTTATTTTAGTTTGGCTTGAACCCAAACTGTTCAATGAAATATTCCCAGTAATCTGATTAGATTTGAGTCTGTTGTCCTCAAGATTTTTGGCAATTCTGTGGTGTGTTATGATTCAGTAAGGAAGTGAGTGGATTCCAACTCTACTTCTCATAGTCTTAACTTCTACACACCGAAAAGCACCAGGTCAAAATACACTAGGCTAGAAATATAATGCTGACTTTTGTTTCCAATTTAGCCTAATGAGTAGGTAGAGATGTTGTGAACATATGCCGTGGGATATATTATATCTGATTGGTATTGCTTGCTGAAAAAACAGAAAACGGAACATTTGCTTGAACATCTTCTTTTAGACAGATAGGATAGCCGAACAACTTGAACAACTTTCGAATATTATTACTAGACAGGGTCGGGATTTCGAATTTATTGGATTATATTTATAAAGGATACATTTCAATTTATATCAATTGAGGGACTTTGTGCTTTCGAGTAAGGATAATCCAAATATGGCACCATATGCAGTTGAGGTAAACATCTAGTATCCTAGGTGGTTAGTTGAGGTAACCATCTAGGTAGATCATTATTCTAAAATCTGGAGTCTTGTGGACTTTCAGTATTGTTAACAGGGGTTTGCTTAGGTTTAACTGAACATTTTTATCTATCAATACTGTTTCAAACAGCAGTATTCTAGTTCTACAGTATAACAGAAATTGTACAAAAAGCATAAATATTATTGTTTTTGTAACGAGCTTCTGGGTTGTCCTTAACATATGAGTACCCAGTAAGTGTCAAGGGATAATAAGGGAGGGCCTTATGCAAGATTAAAAGAAAAAGTACATGTAATTCAATGCTAACCAAGTCATATTAAACTATTCCAGGCCGCTGACAACCACACAGATCAACCAGCTGAAGCTTCTCCTGATAAAAAGAAAAAGGACAAAAAGGAGAAAAAGGTTAAAGAAAAGAAAGAGAAATCTCCTAAGAAAGAGAAACCTCCAAAGGCTGAAAAGGCCCCAAAAGCAGAGAAGCCTCCTAAAGCTGAAAAGCCTCCCAAAGCAGAAAAGGTGAAACCAGTGAAGGAGTCTAAGCCACCAAAGGAGGTGCGACAGGTTCAGAGTGTCAAGATGGCTGTTGCCAGAGTCCTCATGTTGGATGGTACAGACTTAGAACTAGAAGTTGAGGTAAGTCAAACTTGTTATTTCAAAGGTTTTGATCAATTTTCATAGTTCAATGAAATATTATTCATTGCTGGTCTTTTTTGAGGCCTAAATGAGTTTGGAATGTACAGCCTGGCACTACATGTTGAGTAACATGTCAGTAAATGTACATGAATTGATTGCAGTCAGATATTACCTCATAGATAAAATAAACTCATAGATAAAAGATAAAATGAAAGTAAAATTAAAAATGCTTAATTAGAAATAATGACAAGGAGGACATAGTATTTATAATCAATTACACGCAACTTGTTCTTATTTGTGGCTTCCTGGATTGCAGTTGATAGGGAACAAGTTATCTGCCAAGATTAATTGATATCATACCTCATCAAGTGCTAACTACGCTTCCTAGATACTCTGAATAACCATGCGAAGAATTTCCTAAATCTGTGGTTTATGTTACTTTGTTTATAGTAATTCAATCTTTGTGGTTTACTGTTAATAATTGTGTTGTACTTTGAGTGGGATCATGGATGTTGACTGTTATGGTCAGGACAATATTCATGGGGTATGTTTTGAAAGATGGTTTTCAGTTTGTCCTTACCAAACTTGCTTTCATATCAGATTGAATGCCTGGAATAACCCAGTATACTGTATCAAGTCTTTCCCCCCTAAGACAGTAGAAATCCTGTTCCAAATCTGATCTCCCCTATACAGATAAAAGTATCAAGTCAAGGTGTTTTTATAGAAATACATTGTTACTTTCTGTTGAAAAAACTTATTCCAGAGAAATCCAAGATGATAATATCCAGCACCAAAGTAAACTAAACATTGATTTTGAAAAAAACAGCCAAAATCCATTGCATTTACTCTGTCAAAGATTGCATCCATCATTCATTGATTGTCTACAAACATGTCTAGTCTGATGTAACTGTAACAATTCTGAGACTGATTACATAAGATTGCCATCTGGTTATACGATTCTAACATGATTAGTGGAACAAGTGATAAATTACTGCCTATTCTTATCTGCTGGTTATCACAATTATTACGTGATTGGTAATATATTTAATGTAGGGAATTTGGACACTTCAATTTCGAACATTTTATCTATTAATTTTTTATAAAATGTGGGGCCCCAAAAGATTGTCGCATTATCATAATCTCTAAATTTGAACACCTCTCTATTTGAGCACTTATATTGAGTTCTAGTGCTGTTCACTTACACAAGTTTTACTGTATTTTTAAATTCCTTCTTTAGACATTCTAATATTAGAGGAAAACTTCTATTGAAAGCAGAATCCATTGCAGTACAGATGGGTTGATAAACTAACGAATAAAGTATGTGAATTGATGTAAATATTTGGCTGATTGGAATGTTTAATGTCTGGTTGCCCACTTGCTAAATTTAAACATCATTACAGTTGTTAATCCTGAATAATCATAACAGAAATGGGTAGAATTATCAAAGTTACTGGTTCTTTCATTGTAAGGAAGATCATAGTTCTAGAGGGGAGGCCAAGGGGATCCCTCTCACTCTCAAATTAAAATTTGTCATCAAAAAATTGGAAATGCTATCTTATTATTGTACTCCAGGCTAAAGATTATGCAATTGTGTCTGCTCAAAATAAATGTATCAGATGAATGGGACTGTGTATTTCTCAAGCTGTTACCATATCAACATGTTCCTACAAACTATTACACATCAACATATGAGGGGCCTTACAATGTGAAATTCTTTCTTTTCAACAGACTCTATCTGCTTAAAAGATCAAATATTCCACATTTATCCATCCTTCTTCAAAGGACTTCATTTATGCTTAAATATATAAAATGCTATATGCCCTTGCTGCAAGGATCACATTTACCTGAATAACCCCATCTTGATCGATCCATCAACGTATGTCATGACAGAAGGAATACACTGGTTGAACAAAATAAATTAATGAATTACACTGTATGTGCCATTACTCCATATTTAAAATGGTGCAATTGCCAAACATAAATGTTACAAACTGGTTGAAGTCCAAATTTTAGATAAACCAAGAGATGTTCATGCTTATGTATATACCGTATTCTCTGTAATTAGCGCCCAGGGCATTTAGAAAATTGAAAATACATTATTTAGACCATTCTAATAAGCGCCCATGTATGAAAGAAATCAGAAATCCCGAGGAATTTCATGTATGGCAATTTTTCTTGACAAGAATGCATTTTCTTCAACATATTTTTATAATAATACGACAAGTGCTGTTATTGGAGAGAATACGGTAAAGATCGCTTAGACAATATTGACAGTGGTTGAAGACCCGTCTATGTCTAATTTATTTCCGGCACGCCCACTTTGTCATTATCGCCGATTACCTTCAATATTTCCACTAGAGACTGCTGGATATCGATCTAAAGTTATACATTATTTCTAATTTGATGAGAGATCATCATTATTCGTGCAAAAGTCGTGTAAAAGTCGAGAAACATTAAAAAGAAACCAGAAAGTTCACGACCTTGACATGCGCAGAACATCTGCGCAGTAGCTTTTGAAATTTCTGAATGCCGATAAAGAACAATTCCTTCATTCATTATGGACTATTTGGAGACAATATTAGCATGGTATGGTGTGGGAAGCACCCATCGATAGATATGTATCGAGAGGATGCATAGAATTACAAAACGCGTCGTGTTTACAGCAGTTTTAGGGTAAGTACTCTATTATCGCCCGCTCCTGGATTTTGAGAAATATTTTTTTCCTGATATATTCTTCAATTCTTGTTGATTCCTCGATGTTTCTTGAACTTTGTGAAGCGGGGTGGGCGCTTATTAGAGAGTGGGCGGTAATTACAGAGAATACGGTATTCCCCCTAAAGAAACAGAGGCCACATTTGCCAAAACCACACTGTTTATTCACTGAGATCACATTTGATTCATGATGTCTGATTGATACATTCACCCCAAAGATGAATCTTCTTATATTATATTACATACAGCACCCCCTACATACAACACTTGCTATTGGAATGTTATGACTAATTGAACTGTAATTGTGGATATCCAGAATCCAGTAAATCTCCATAAAGTTTTGATTCATGTTCATGACCCGAGCTGACCTCTGTCAGATTAGTGATAGGATATAGACAGTAGATGGATTAACTATGATAGGATTATGATTGCAGTCTTCTACAGAGATAAATCATAACCTCATTTTGAATCAGTGGATTAGATATATTATCATGATTGTTTCTAAAAAGGGGCCTATATGATATATGTTAGGGTTTCATACAGAAATCATATTCGGGCATGCCTTGGAAGTCAAATCATATGTGGATTTTATAATGATGTAATTTTTCATATATAAGCAAGCATTGCTCATAAATTTTTTCTCCAAAATTAGTTCATCTCATATTTCCTTAAAATATTTCCATTTTTTCTCCAAGTAGTCTTCTAGAAATTCCATGTTATTGCCACGGTTCGTTCAAGTCTGGCAAAACCAATCTGGAATCTCAATTTCGACCAACTGCTAATACAGTTTGTTATATCATCCATTTTATGTCATTTTATGTCTCCATTTGAGATCCTATATGGAGATTGTTCCTCAGAGTTCCATTAAACCACTGGGAATATGACAAGTCTATTCTAGTGTGAGTCATTCTTCTCAACAGGCCTAGTGGTAAAGATACTACATGTACCTTCAAAAACTATACCAGGCATCATCACTCCTCAAAGACTAGAAAATGGAATCGGTTGAAGATTTAGATGAATAAATTGCATAACCAGGTATCTTGCAGTACCTCTCTCTAACACATTACAAGAATTGAAAGGAAAAAGCTATGAAATAAACAAATCTGGATTGTAGTACTAGCAAGGGGAATTCTTTACCTACACCATTGAATCTATTGTGGGTTAATCATTGATTGAGCTGGCCTGTATTCATAGCATGCTTGGATTTGTCAGGGATGATAGATTGTACATTTCATTGAATAGACAGGGGAGATATTAGGACATACATTCCCTTGACTCCAGCATGGTTGCATGTCTCTATCTACTCTATCCCAATCCCAAATTGTAGTGGTTTCCTCAATAGGAAGGATCCTTTGAGTATTATCACACAAAGCATATTTACTTATCTCTTATTCAAACTGTCAAAGAGGTTGCATATCTGTAGTTTATGCATTGTTTGATAGATTAATACCACATATTCAAAGTATCAGGTATATTTTCCATAAACAATTACAACTGCCTTTTTTATAAGAAAAGTATGTAGCACTTATCAAGCCTTTGGAATACATGGTCTAATTTTACATTTTGTCATGTACCATATTTTCATATTGACTAATGGCTGTGAGAGATATTTTTAAATAGCAATTTATCTTTTATGTGTTGGGTTATGTTTTATGAGTAGTGCAATTTTCATCATTAAGGCACATAATTAAACATTCAGCCATATTCTCTGAATTGGTAAAATACCATTCTGGTAATTAAGCTAACATTGGTCCAGCCAGAACTTATTGGCACAATACATCTGGTCAGTGTTTCCCATGTGGTCTGTTATTCCCTTTGGCAATATAATCAAGGATTATCCCATAGAATCTGGGATTATTTCATAGAACATGGTTTACCATGGTTACTTGTATGTATTACCTAGATAACATGTTTGGCGGAAATGTTAACCATGTTTACAATGTATGGGTTCCCACCCATTTTCTTGATGGTAGAGTAACTTAATATTAATATGTACCTGGTCATCTTCTTTTCAATAACCAACATTCTTGTGCACATGTTACTTTTTCCAGCCTTTCAGACACTATAGAGTTATTGCTAGTTAAATAGAAAAACTTGAATATTGGTTCAATGAAAGGCAGAAAGGGTACATGTCAAAAACCTGAGATAATCAGCAGAAAATATCAATCATTAACCACCTTATGTCATGAGGAGTTATATGTTTTGAAGATGGATAATTGTATTTTAGCATTGGGAAACCTGGTAAACATGCTTAAGAAGTATAATCAATTTAATTTGATCCCTTGGTACGCAGGCACTCAAAAGGAATACCTAATGCTATAACTGCAATCTTTCTGCTCTGTATAATATACTGTATAATTTAAATGTAGTTCATTTGTGTCCTGTCTTAGCTTCATTCATAGCTGTACATATACTGTTTTGACATGATTTTCTGCATATGCTACAAATCACATGCTCACTTGGCTTGAAAAATAAAACAGTTTTTGACAACATGTACATTGAATCCTTCTTTCACTAAAATTTCAGTCACTTTTGTGTTATCGGCAGCTCAAAGGCAGCATAGCTAAACTTGGGCCACAAAATGCATTTTTGTATTTTGCTTGTTGGTCCAATTAATTTTAGACTTGCTGTAATTGTGAAAATATTATTCAATCAGTGAATTCAGAGAGAGCTGACAAAACTAAATTGAAATTGATGCAACTGGAAAATTGAAAATATCCAGTTAAGTATTCAATATGGAAATTAATATCCCTTGGTATTTGTTTTTTGAATACTAGTTCCTGACTTGTAAGTTTTATGAGGGATTTTTCCTAAGGCCCCTTTTTATTTAGGGTTCTTTTTCCTCACATTTAGGGGTTTCATTTAAATAAATTATGTGTTTTTCTTGCGTTTTATACCTGTCTCTGACTAAGAGTGAGACCTTAAGTTTATATATGAAACACGATAACTTAAACTGTATTATTTTATGTATTTCAGAAAAAATCCAATGGCCAAGTTCTGTTAGACCGTGTGTGCGACACTCTTAACCTGTTAGAAAAAGATTATTTCGGCATCACATTAAGAGATGCTTCCGACACAAGGGTAAGTCATGAATATATTTTAAATCTATATATTAAGCTAAACTATATCTAAAGCTAAGATCGAGGTCATCTTGATTTTTAACTAATCCTCCACAATAATTATTTTGAAACAAGGAGATGTGGCAACATTGCCGCAACAATCGTTATAGAGATAAAATTCGTACATACCTCCTTGTAGTCTGGGTTGCCGGTATAGGTACTTTGGATAGCATAATATATGGAAAACTGCTTTACCTGGCATTATAGAAACAATTTAATTGTCTTTTTATGATGGGGGCTTTATCAGAAATACCCAAGGTTCTCAAAATTATAGCATTCAAACTTTGCCTCAATCTAGATACTTTTGAAACAGTCCCTTCTGGCATGAAAAGAAAATATTGAAACTTGGACTTTGTACCTTTTGTAAAAAAAATCAGACAACTCTGCAAATAGTATGTTTCTCATTGCTATAGCATCTAATTGTGTAGTTTTGGAGAGAACATGAAATCGATTCCTTTGAACTAAAAGGTTGCTGAGAAGCATATGTGAGTCATACATTTGACAAGTCAAGATTTATAGAGAGGCTGAGCAGAGATTTGAATGTCAGGACATCTTGCCCCATAACTTTAAGAGTCTTGAAGATTTTGTATATAACTGGGCTTGTAATTTCTCAACAGTTCAACACCTACTTTGTTCCTCAAGAGCATGGTGTTGGTTGGTGTTTTGATGGATTTCATGCTGAAATATATGCTTCATTTTGATTTGTGCTCCAATGTTATTATTGTTGAGTAAGGTTAAACTCCCAGATTCACCTGTGCTGGTTCATTACTCAGGTTGTCATGGTGTATATCACTTGGTTATCAGTTAACACTAAAACCTCCCTGCAAAATTATTTTCTGCTGATTTGGCCAAAGATGTTCTCAACTCGCTAAAACTAAAGACGATAATTTTTTTTTTTTGAGTCTCCCTTTATTATACCTATAATATAGCATCTAAATGCTTCTGGGTGATTCCTTTCTTTTTCAGTTTGACTTTATTAACATTTCTAGCAATGTCAGTATTTTCCTTACACAAGAGCCTCGTCGAAATGCTACAAATAGCAAGATTATAGTTCTGTACTCTATCTTCTTCGAATCGGCGTAAAAATAGCAAAATGAATGTGTTTTCTATTCGGTGCATGTAATTTCTGAACTGTACCATTTTACGTTGATTGGTTTAAGCTTTTAATCTAAGTTTGCAATATCTTGTAACCATTCATACATGCCTCATATATTCTGCATATTTACATAAATCACATATTATTTAGTTGATAACTATACCAACTGCCGTATCTCATAAAAAATGCCACAAACATCTGTGGCTATGTTTTCCAGGACAAATGTTTGCTTTCCTTGGAAGTCTATTTTGATTTATTTTGTTCTCTATGTTTCAGTACTGGTTGAATGTAGAAAAGAAAATTGCCAAGCAAATTAAAAGTAAGTATTTTGTTTTTATCAGCACGATTCTGATCCCTTTACATTAGAAAAAGTCCGCTACAGTGGACATCATTGGAACTAGCTTTTTATGTGTTCTCATAAATAGGTCACGCTAGTGTATACACCATGGAATATCCTAAGATAGCACTGATATTTTGAGGGGTTACTATAGTGGGTTGTAAATGTACATTTATTTTTGCATCTTTGCACATTCCAAATTTCAGCACCAATACCCCATAAATATATGTATAATAAGATAGAAGCAACAGCTCTATCGCCCATATTAACTTAAGTACTACCTTAGGCACAGCCCTATATTGAACAATGGACAAAGGCATATCTTACTTAATTCTCTTGTGTGACTCAGCCACTGGAACTTAACCTTAGGGAGATAATATTACTGCTTTGTACTGTAATTAGCTCTTTATAGAACACTCAGATATTAATGGCTTGTAGCAAATAAGATGATATATTTTGTAAATGATTGTTGAAAAATGTGCCATTTGCAGCTGCATATGTCAGAAATCCAAGAAATTTTCAAAAGCTAAATTGTTTTTTAAGCAAGAAATACTGAAATGTGTACAATACCATGATTGGAGCTCATATTTTACAAAAATGTTTCCCCAAAATCAATAGCACAAATGACCAGGGAGCTGGAAAAAGTGATCGCAATTCACAACAGGATATTTAGTATGCAACGCAGGAAATCAGGAAAAATGGACTGCTTTAGGCATTCTGTAAATGAAATGCGCTCTGCATAAAACATTTTGTTATCCCTGTATATAAAGTGCTGTTAGGGTCATGCACTCTCATTAAGCACTCTCATTTCAAACAGAGGGCAATATTTCATGACACATGGAAAAATTGTTGTTTGAATCTACCATTCATGCGATACTTGCTTGCAAATCAGCTTAGCTCTGATAAAATATTAGATCATCAATATATTTTAGTCATAGGCTCTGATTATATTATAATATAAGGATGATACTCCTAATGCCCAAGACAGCAGAATTGAAGCAATTTCCACATAGCGGTCTTAAATGCAACCCCAGAAGTGTCTGAACATGGAGCAAACCCTCCATCTATTTACATGAATTAGTTACTTCTGGGATGTTTTTTATCTTTTGAGTTTGGTTCGAAATTTGATAAGCATGTTAGCACTGTATTTCACAAGAACTGTGCCAGGCATCATTTTTATGGCATGGGAATGTTTGTTCAACATATACTTAGTAGCTAATGATATAAATATGTAACATTGGATTTGGATTCTAGCTTGAAACTCTAGAGGAAATAACTTAAAACATTACACCATTATTAAATAAAACTGTTCCTTATCATATGAACAAGAATGTTAAATACAATGCAGGTTGATATTACCAGAACATCAGTGGTAACTTCTGAAAGTAGAGGGTATTTTTCTGTAGATCAAGGGTGGAGAAGACATAGATCCTTTCCTAATGCAATCTGCCTTGATTCTTGATTAATCACCATAGATGATCTGCTCAATCAATCATCAGGCTATAAAAATTCAATCTCCTCTGAACTCATTTGAGGTATCAAAATTGGATGTAAAAGAACTCAGTCATACTGAGACCTTATTGCTTGGAGATTCCAATTGAAATGATTTGGTTAATTTTTATTTTTGACTTCATGGTGTATTCCTCAACGCAATCTGTGTTACACCCCTCTCTATCTATCCATATCTTCTTTTCCTCACCAAAGGCTAGACTCTTGCTGCAAGACAACATGGTTGTGGTTGTTAACCACCAGTTGGGATTTTGACCTTGGAAATCTATGAAGTACAGTGATCAAAAATGTAAATATCTAATGGTGAGAAACTGTCACAATCATTTCAGTTAGTTTCTCTGTAATTTTATTATACTCGTATACATATAGACATTTGGTTGATACAAGAGAAAGAGGAGTTGAGCCAATATTTACATAGACTTATGTCTGTAGATATCAATCTTCACTACCTGAGAAAACAAATGTGAGAAATCTTGAGGTAATTCCATGAGTGAGATGTATTACAGAAAGAACTTCACTTTTTTGGAATCTCATACATTATCCAACATATGAACTGTCAGAATTATATTGGATTTACTCTCTTGCGGCTTATATGTGAGCTCTCTAATAGATGTGTCACAGGTCAGATATTCTTCGGGTCGGGTTGGGCCAGAAAAAAGTGTTTGGGTCGGGTCAGAAGAAAACAGAAAAGGAATTTAGTACTAGCATCTGAAACGTCTTGATGAATACACGGCACATTATAAGACTGCTTAAGCCTGCATTACTGCATATTACGCTTTAATAAAGGAAAAATGATAGAAACTTAGCATTAAATCTTTAGAGAGGTATTGTAAACTATTTTCTGCTTGTGATCTATATGTATACAAGAAATAGGCCAGCTAGAAGTTTGAAAAATTTGCCAGGAATAGAAAGCATTTAACAAAAATTTACGATATTACTGAGTGTTCTGACCTGACCCGATGTCAGTAGTTGTTCACCCGACCCTTCCGATTCGAGATTCGGGTCATCTTTGGGTCGGTGTGACACCTCTGCTCTCTAGCCTCGCTTTGTAGAAGTGTTCATTTCACCATCCTATCATTTTTGTCATTTTCTCCCAGTCTGCCTCATCTTTTAACTTGAGTGTCAGAGCTTATTACATGTAGATGAAGCTCTCTTTTGAAGAAGCAAAATGAAACTATAGGAACTGTTTCATATTAAACAAAACAATGAGTAAACGCATTATGTTATTGTACTTATTGTACTTATGGGTATACTGGCATCAAATCTGATGCACATTTTACAAGAATTGAAGGTTTTAGTCATGAGTAGCATATGATGAGTTGATTTCCATGCTGTGAGCTTAGTCAAAACAACAGCTGAAATAATGCTTAATCAACAGGCTATTTCCTATAAATAACTGGATATTTGCTACAAATATGTCATTCAGCATATAGATATTGGAGTTTATAAAGAAATAATGAAAATTATTTCCATTTCCATATAACCAGCAAGCATATTTAGTGTTGTCAAGTACAATGATTAGAGAACTGTTCATGCATTTGGATGGAATGCTTTATTTTGCCATTTATAAGGACAAACTATGTGGAACATGTGTTTTGGGTTTTCTCTTATGTTTGTGCCAGCAATAGAAATTCCTTGCAGTAGTAATCATGTGCTTGTCTCATAGATAAGCAAAAATACATGATTTCCTAGGAGACCCCATTTGAAATTCTGTAGATTAACCTAAATAGATTTCTAGTCAATACACGTAAAAATCTCTCAAGTCCAGCCTTGAAATCTTTGTGAAGTATGCTAGGGTGTGTTGCCTTTCTTATTCATTTACTGCCAAACATCTGATCTGATGCAGTTTAGAACATTTTCACAATTTGGTCTGAACTGGGAACTTGTTTTACTCATACATGTACATTCTCCCTCTATTATGCATACAGAATCTAGGGCAATCTGACTTATATACGTATCTGGGTGCAAGTTTAGTGTTCATGTACATGTCAGGTTTTGCCATTTCTTTGATTTAATTGGTTAGTTGCGTAAGCTCAACATCAGAGTTGCGTATATCAGTTCTGACATCCTTCAACTTTTCTGATATGAAGATCCTATGTTCCTATCAGTCTAAGACTTTGAAGTTAATAGTTTCAGTTTTTGTGTGCACCCTGCGTTTAGATTGTATGTTATGATGTTTTGTGGCATTGAACTAGTGAGGTTTGGAAGGCCTTATAAGATGACTTTGAAATGCATCTACAGTAAAACATATGTATTGTTAATGTGCTGGGGTGCTATGTCTTTGTTAAGTCTTGCATCAAGCTCTTCCTACTCTCTCCCTACACGTTTCATCTCTACAAGTCTGGAGGTGAAGAAGATGAGGATGATCCATATTGGTGCAAGACTACATTGTGTGTGGTGGCCATGTTATAAAACAGTGAGGTACCCACATCATCAGTGAAGTGCCCACATCATAAGTGAGGTACCCACATCATCAGTGATGTGCCACATTCATCAGTGAGGTGCCCAATTCATCAGTGAGGTGCCCAATTCATCAGTGAGGTACCCACATCTTAAATGAGGTGCCCACATCATCAGTGATGTGCCCATTTCATCAGTGAGGTGCCTAATTCATCAGTGAGATACCCACATCATCAGTGAGGTGCCCGCATCATCAGTGAAGTGCCTAATTCATCAGTGAGGGGCCCGCATCATCAGTGAGGTACCTAATTCATCAGTGGGGTATCCACATCATCAGTGAGGTTCCCGCATCATTCACATTATCTCTTAAGGAAGGCTTTCATGTATCTACCTAAATGGTTGTTGTTGTAAGAAAAATTTTAAATACTCTCAAATCTCTCATTTTCAACTCCCAATGTGCACAAGTAGAACAACTGAAATCTGAGATCAAGATGAAATACTATTTCTATAAAAAATATAAATAATGATAGATGACAAGATGAATGTGAATTCATACTTTAATTCATAGAGCTGGCTCAACCATGCATATTAAGAATAACTCATTAACCTTATAATGCATTATTAGTTGTATTCCTACAAATGAGCTTCTAAGAGATGATGCATGGCTGAATATCCTGTATGCATTGTTCTGTGGATTGATACAGAGCATTTAATATATGCCTTACTTGTATACCTGGACATGATGGCGCCAAAATAATCTAATCGGCTCATATGCATAAAACACAAATCAACAACTTCTATAGGCTGAATCCTAGCAATATCAATATAACTCTTATAAGGTCAGCATGTCAGTAATGTGTTATGTGTAATACTTTGTATTCAGGTGGTAAAGTACTTCATAATGATAACATATTAGAATACTCTACAAATGTATATATTTACATTGTCATATCAGGTCTATTACTGTAATCAATACGTCATTAACAATGTGGCTCATTAGTAATGAGAATACTATAACTATCAATTGCATCACTCTATGGTGCTTGACAAAACCAAATAGTAGCATACGAAGGTAGAATTCCTAGCCCAGTAAGGGCATAGATGAATATGTTACAGATGAAATATTGTCATACATTTAGATTAACTTTCTGCATGCTAACTTAATCCAGCAAATATATCCCACGCGACTGACTTATTTTTCAAAGAGTGCAAAAAATGATATGCCTGGACTAAATAATTAATATCTCAATAACTACTGAATGAATCTCGATAAAATTTTCACAAAGAGAAGATACATTGGCCTGGCTCATGAAAAAAATGTTCTCATGAATTTTTTACATAAATAAACAGGACTGGGCATAAATATACCATGAATACTCCTCCGGAATCCGCCGCTTCGCCCCTGTGGAGATTCAACGTCTGGTCAGAATCCAAAACTGAATTTGCAGCGATCGAATGTTCATTTTTCAGGTCAGAAAATATTCTAGTTTCTATTTTCGATGACCATTATTGGCTTCCAAGAGCCTAAAGAGCTCGAAATCGCGATCCATTTCCTCCACATGTTCGTTGTGATCGTATTTGGCCGCCATTTTGTACGATTTGTTCACTAAAAACGACTTAAACACTGTTTAAATCGTTGAATTGAGAAATATTTTTCGAAACATCGCCATTTCTAGGTCAACAGGAAGTCCCCACGTAAGGACTAAATAAATTGGGCAATCTGATTGGATCATAAGATCGGCGGGAAAAAGTTAAGTTTTTGAAAGTTTAAATTCGACTGGAGTCGCCGGCAGTTGCCGGGGATTGTTAAGCACGGGCGACTACGCTCGCCGGTAGCATGCTAAAGGTTAATGATGCATCTGAATCACCTTGTTACAACCTCTTAGCTTTCATTTGATCCAGAATGACCACCCGACATGCACACCATCATAAAACCCCATTCTACATTAGTTAGATATGTAGAGGATAGGATACCACAAATTGATTCTTCATCTCATACATCCTAATTGTTTACTCGTCTCCCAAAGGTGGGAAGTAATTTCACGTGGGTGTTAAATCTAACACAGTTTTGGTAACCTGATGGTAAAAATACAATTGGCGTCTTTTTATATTGATTTTTTGATGATCAACAGACATATTGAAATTACACTCACCTTTCATAAGTAACTTTTGGAATGCAAAAGAAATTCCCATTTGATTTTGTTGGATGATGTGTTTACTGCAAGTTGTCCATAGTTCAGTTGAGGACATAGAAGAATGAAGTCTAATGCTTATATATGACCTGTGTGCATGAGCATTAGAGAAACTTCTCTTATCTCGTTAATCAAATTAACAACAACTTATTAGTAAACATTACTCTAACTTGCCATGCATTTTATTGCTGCTTTTTCAGTGTTAACTAGAAAGATGTGACGAAGTAGTATATTTTGCCCCATCTTTATATGTGACCCAGTCATAAATAGAGGATATCCTTTGATTTATGAGTGATATAATTTTTATCCACGAATGGATCGCTCGTGCAGATATCAATATCCATGAGTGGATTAAAATCATATTACGAGTAAATCATAGGATGTTCTTTTTATTCCATAGTTAAAGTCATCATCAGAATCGTCGGAAATTAAGTTATTTAATTCGAATTTTCCAAGCCGATCCGGTGATGTTGACACTTAGCCTCGTTTTGAGTCTGAAGTAGCAAAAATCCATAAACCATCGCATACGGCGCCGTATGTCATGGCTAAAAAACTGTATGCTATGGTTAAGTGAAAATTTGTCAAAAATATCATATTTTACCACTGTTTACATAAATACCATTTTTATTTTCACATGTTATCCAATGAAGATCATGCTAACTATGGAATAAATTTCATTATTATGATTATCACACATATTATATTCCCTTTCTCCTCATTTGCAGATTTTTTCTTTCTGTTATAAAAGAGATGCGGTCAGAGTTTACATCTTTCACTTTTCTAGGTTGAATGACTTCTTTTGTCTCGCTCTGCTACAAAACAAAGATGCAAGGACTTAGTCTGAGACTCTTAATTTTGAAAAAAGACAGATCTTATTACACAAAATATATGCTACTGGTAGGCAATATATGAAAACTGTCTCAGCTGTCTGAATTAAAACAACTCAAGTGATTGAATTTCTCTTTGATCAAAGAGATTGAACTTATAGCAATATGAGTACTTTAAAATCTAACATGCGAAAGTGCAAAGTTGTATTCAGCTATCCATTCTGATACTCATAGCATCTTTCTGTTTCACCTGAAACGTCTCAGGGCTGAGAAGGAATGAGATGTCATGGTTTATCATGATGTCAGCTATCAGGTATTTGCACAGTTTGCCAAATGAATAGCTGCATTAGTTTAACTCTTCTTTCAACTCTCACAGATATATGTATCGAGGTGAAGGTCGGTTTAGTTCATGTATCTGTATCTTGTATACAGTACAATATACAGAACCAAGAAAATAAGCAAGATAGCATTGGTTATCAAGAGTTAAAAGGGTGATTTCTTGTATCTGTGTTCCATACTGTACATGTTAAAGCTGGACTACGCTCCGAAACGCAATCTTGGGTTGTTTCGGGGGTGAACTTTATCATTTTGAGCTTAATGAAAGATTATAGAATGATGAACAAATGGGGCAAATCTTGTGTAGAAATACTTACGATAAATGTGTCATTTCAAAGATTTTTCATTGAATTTGCTTCGATCGGTGCCGGCGATATGATTTTGGAAAGGTTTCTAAATGAAGAACGTGACGTCACTTCCGAATCATAGCATTCAAAATAAGTAGCGTTTAATTACTTCCTCCTTTCATAATAATACGGTGGTGTAGCGGGTAGAATCCTCGCTGAGCACGCAGGAGGCCCGGGTTCGAATCCCGCACTAGCCTTTTTATTTTTTAACTAAATGATTGTTCTTTGATATTACGCAGAAAAAAACAATTTTTATTTACATAAACTTTATATTAGAGCTTGAAAATGTAAAAACAATATATGTCAACATTTTGCGTTTCGGAGCGTAGTCCAGCTTTAACTGAACACTTTCTACGATAAAAGCCTGTGATACCACCAGGGTATGAAATATCAGCCATGAAATAATACTACTTCACAATATGATGCTGTTGATGGAGTCTTGTGTCTGGAGATAGAAATAGATGAGTGTGCAGAAGTTAATTTATGTGTATTATACTTCTGTGAGATGGCTGTCATTTCTACTTATGCTAGCTCATGCTTTGTACCCATAAGTCTTATGGCATCTGCGTCATTGTAATATAAAAATGTCTGTGTCGTTGTTATGTAAAATGTCACCTAACGTGATAGTGTTTCATTGATGACATTTCATTTGAAGACATATGAGCCGTAAAATTAGAAATAGATTTTCCATCAACCTTTTAACCCTGAGCTGACTAGAGGAAGCAATATGAATAACTAGCAGTGGTGCAAGACTTAATCTAGGGGTGTCTAATAGCAAAAGAACTATTGGTTAATATATAGAAATATTAATGTTTTCTCTAGAGAAGAATTATGATCTATTAAAAATACTTGATAATCAAAAAATGACTAACTATTGTCAGTTTTCTCCATGTCATTCTATCCCAACCATTCTATCCTGATCTTGATAATCATCTTTATTAGGAAATGCGCATTGAATTTGGTGATGATCTATGGGGAAATCTGTTAAAATATGAATGGTCATCGCGATAGGAAAATCTATTGCAAGGAACAGCTTCACTTTGAATAGATAGATACTGAATGAATGGTATAATCCTTGATCCAAAGGTTTTTCACTTCTTTCCAATTTTCTGAATTTAAGCATAAATGAAGTCATTTGAAGAAGGATGGAATGGTATGGATATCTAAGGTTTCGTGTATCAAAGAAGTCTAAGCTAATAGGCTACATGTCATAAAATATAGAACACTTCTCAGTTTGTCTATTATGAGTGAACATGTTGAGAAATTGTTTTTGTTGTAATGTGATCTCAATATATTGTCCACAATGTCAAACAAACAGTTTGAAAACTGAGTAGGTAGAAGTTGTTTCGTTAGATACTTTGGTGAACCGCAACTATTTTAACCTACTTTGTATTGTGTTATAGAGGATATAGTCATAGATGTGGCTAGCAAATTGTACTGATCAAATATGGTATATTATGGTAAACATGAATTTCCTATCATACATGTAATAAAAAGTAATTGCAGCACATGGTATAAATGGGACATATAATTTTCAGATGTTACCCATGTAGCTCCAGTTCAATATATTAATGAGTTAATTTGATACATAACCACACATTTTAGTAATAAATAAAAAAATAACTGTTGTAACTATTCTATAAATATCAGGCAACATCCATCTGAGTCACATATACAACCAATGTCATTGTATTCTACCCAAAACACAATATGAGGAAAACTAACTACAAGTAAAATGTGATGTGAAAAGTTGCTCTAAAATAGTACCTTGTTATTTATTTGACAAGACATCCATTTAAAGCTAATTTTTTATATTTTGTTTATTGCAGATGGTCCATGGGTGTTCAGTTTTGAAGTGAAGTTCTATCCCCCAGACCCAGCCCAGCTACAAGAAGATATTACCAGGTAAGGATAAGCAATAACCCCTCCCCCCCAAGTGGTACTGTATTGAGTAGTCCTAGCCAATGTTTGAACATTTAGTTTAATACTGAAAAGTTCAGTGCCTCTGTTTTTCTACGACGAGGTTTCTGAAGCATCAACTTCCAGTTTTAACTGTTGCAAGTAACCTATGCTTACACGACATCAAAAAATTATAAAAACACCCTTATACATTGCATCTGATATATGGTTTGGCAGCTTATAAGGCTAATTAGAGAAAAGATCTATTGGCTTGTCAGAGTTATTCACTAGTGGCTCATGAACCAAAGCTTATTTACTGTTCTTATCGTCAATGTGTTATTCTATTCCATGTTATCAGGCATCAAATTCTTCAAAATTCCTAATAGACCCTTGTATTATTTTGCAAAGAGTTTTTTTGCTTTCAGTAAAGTCAAAATGTTCTTTTGTATTTTATTGAATAAAAGTTTGCTTTTAACTACAACAAACCACCATGGATGATTGTAATTCTGTAAAAGAATTCTTACTTCGTGGGTCTACCAACTATTTTACAATATAAATTATCTTATGTAAGCTCTCGTAATGCAGGACTTAGCCAGTGTAACATACAGTAAATAGATAAGCCCCTTGTTAGTCATACAATATCATTCATTAGAGAACTAAAACATATTTTTCACCAGTTTTTCTAATTTAGTCATTAAAGCACTTTGGAACCAATTATAATAATGGATCTGGTATCTCTGATTTCTTTATTTTTTATTTATGTATATATTTGAGGCTCTCTGAAAAGACTACCCCATATATGCTGGTTGTATTGTTACTTTTAAGGAGAAAAAAGAATATAAATATGTAAAAACTAATCTTGTTCCTTGACCTAATAAGTAGAGCTGGTAAGATTCGGCTGTAAACTTCTGGGTATCTGGTAGTTTGAAACAGTTGTTATGGTGACAAAGACTGGTTCTAGTGATGCAGACCCACGTGTCAATTGATATATTCCTTGATGCTATACTTGAGGTTGAGTTGTGATGCAATTTGGATATATTTCAGATTATGACTGAGGACCTGGTATAGGTTCAGTATCAAAGGACAGATGAATCAATACATGTTATAATTATTATAACCATAAATATAACATATTATATTTATCTTTTTTGCTTCACTTAGTATTAGGTTTTTGTATTCTCTCAGTTTTTATTATTCAATCCAGTTCAAGAGCAAATTACTTAGAGATGTAGCAATTGTGTATATGTTTTAGAGGCTGTGTTTCCGTCTGTTTATAGTTCTGTTGATTAATGTGAGCTCTGTGTATTGTTACAAATCCAAAGCTTTAAGTAATTCCCTCAAGCACACAATGTGGAAATCTACTGCAAATGTCCTTTGGCTATGCTGGTTGTTCCTTTGAGGTTTCAATGAACACATTTTCCCTGATTGGCTTAATATGATATATCAGCACAATTGTCATAAATGCCCCAGTCAGTAATATATGATTCAAACATGACCGTGCTCTATTCGAATTTCTCAACCAATCAGAATGCAGCATAGCCAATATAGAACGTTCTCTAATTCTCCATAGATGCACGACCATGCTCTATTTAATCTGCAATTTGCATTGTTTTGAGTGACGTCACATCTCAGCTGCACATCTGGGTCTGTCCGGGGATAGCTGTTCTTCTTTACTCCCTCCGTAACTACTGTAACTATTTAACTATGGCTGACTTCAGGTTTATACATCGTATAAAATCTAAAACGGGGAGTAAAATAGAACAGCCCAAACAAATTCTAAAATTTTTCCGGCCGACTTCAGAATCTTGACAGCATGCGTATTCTTCCTTCATGCCCGTTCCACAGACACGGCTTTTACTAATTTTTATGTTTGAATCGGAATAAATAATGATAGGCCATTCAATATGGTGAAATTCAGCACTCGTTGGACAGAATGTTAGTACAAATGCACTCACCTTCGGTTCGTGCTTTGTACAACATTCTGTCCAACTCGTGCTGAATTTCACCATATTGAATGGCCTATCATTATTTATTCCTTAAATATGTGATGTAACAGATATAGAGTAAAACCTCTCCATGGTACAAGCTAACCATTTTGTTACAAGGAGGCTTTGGGAAGAAGCCAACTGGATATCTGCAAAAATAAGACTGGTTAAAGTTTTCAGCTTAGAGATGTGTCTCTTTGCAGGGATGGTCACATTATTATGCTATTCATTCACAAAAGAACAGTCGGAAAGATATAAATTTTAAATAAGTGAATTAATTTCTGTGGCTGTGCATCTGACTGTATAGTAGGATATCAGGTGCCCTAGAAAGTCTCTTTGTCTTTTACACTGATGTTATTATACATCTCAAATATTATTCTGATGCATCTGTTCAAAAATGATCAACTGTTACTTGTTTTCAGTTTTGACATGAATGGTATGTGAATGCTCAGTGCATGTACACCCTTGTATTGGATAATTGAAGTGATGCTTCTTTCTTTTGATGTTCAACTGAGTCTAATACAATATAATAATGTGATATATGTATATTGAGTTAAATAGAAACTTCAGCTTTATGAAGATTAAGTTTTTATTTGGATGAAAATGAATACCAAATTACCAATAAAGCATTGAAATAATCGGTTCTATGTATTTTCAGATACCAGCTATGCCTGCAGATTAGAAATGATATCCTAACTGGAAAGTAAGTAACTACATTGTACTTGTTTAGTTTAACAACAATATAAATAGCTGACAAAATTGAAACATATACTACATCTACAGCATAAAAGGGAATAGACGAGGTTGTTAGGTGAATAAGATCATTTTTATTATCCCTAAAAAGGTGATATTGTCATTACCTGATTTTATTTAGTATATGACTGGAAAGTTAATATCTTTATCTGACTTCTATACAACTGCTTGATCAGTAAAGCTTTTGATTTTGTTCATACATTTTGTAAATGAATCTTATTTGTTTTGTGACTATCACACAAACTCTGTGTTAACTTTGAGGTAATAACCAATACAGGATAGAAATATCAAACATGTCCGTTGGAGGATTGTTTACACAAGTGTCTACTCATGATCCAAACATACAGATCTATAAACTCCTCTTTCTGTATTCAAGTTAAAATTAGGAGGTATTTTATGCACAAAAAATCTCTAAGTACATGGTTTTCCTTTTATCCCAGGAGAGGCCAAAGTGCTGGTTTATGATGTTGGAGATTCTCAAGTTTGTGTCTCAAGATTATTGATATTGTGAACTTGAAGTTTTAGAAGTTCATTATGAATTCACAATTCACAAAGTATATGCCCTCTGAGATATTATGTCTCACTTATCAAACATTCATCTTGGGTTAGATATTTGGTTGCTTCTTGCACTCCATCTCTCAATATTGTATAAAGAGAAAAAGTAAAAGGGAATGGAAATTCATAAACGGGTTACCTAGCTCAGTTTTTACAGTTATAATCGTGTGATAACCAGTGGTAGTTAGTGATAAAGGTATCATTATACTCCAATAGAGGTTGTTTGTATTTAAAGTCATGTCTTGTACATAATTCACTCCCACACATATTGTGACAAAGACTAGACCTTTTCACTCAAATATTTGTTTAGACCTTTTTGCAGTGTTGACTTGTCTGATAAAATTTGAAACATCTTATACTATACTATGCTTTTTCAAAAATGATTGTCATTCAAACTTGAATTATTCTACAAGCATTTTGAATTGTTTTAGGAGGTACTAACTACAGTGCCTGAGATTTTGGCAAGCAAGCATTTTAGTATTAGCTTCATTTCATTATTTATTTTCATCTTGTGACCAAGAATATCATGTACAGTTGACTGGTAGATGCAATGTTTTGGTCTTACTAGATCTGAACTAATATATTTACTCTGCAGACCAATTATTTTTCAAAGAAGCTGGTAATCATGAAGTGAAGGAGAAAATTGCTTGCTGAATTGCATTCTAGTCAGAAAATTAATAAAAGCCATGGTTTATATAATCCCTCAAGAGCCCTGTTTATTCGTAGCATAACCCAAAATTAGTTCTTAACACTAAAATCCTCATAGAGAAACCTTAACATCTACCTTGATTTTAGTACAGCTTCAGTTATGACCTAAGTATCAAAAAATTACAAATTGCCTCTAAATTGTCTGTCGGAAAAATGCCATAGACTTATAAGCAAGGGCAACCTTCAACATTGCTCATGCATCAATGTCATTCCCTAGATCGATTGAACCGATTTACAACTTCACCCTACTCTTAATAGACCTTTAAAGAAACTGAAACATTACTGAGCCATTAAGACATTGAAGTACTGAACATGAGGTTTATACTTCGCTCTGATAGTTTCTGAACTTCTGACATTTTAGTTATTTACTTTTAAGGTCATCTTAACCTTTTTCTAATAATATTTCACTGTTATGGATGCACAAATCATAATATTGCTGAAGAACTTGTTGTTTATGTTAAGATTACATGGCGCTAGATGTGCTCTGAACAAAGTTAATAATTGATATTTGATCAACCAGGAAAAATATTTGTTTAAATCACCCATACACATGTGATACAGTAAAACTTATATAGTACAGTAAGACCTGTCTAAAGTGAACACTGCATCAACCTTAAGTGTTCACATTGAGAGGTGCTCATAAGGAGCAGTTCTTATAACAAAGAAATCAAGAGAATGAAAGAGGACTTTCCCTGTCTTATTCCCTGCATGTTTTCAAGTCTGAGATTTTGCTTGTGACAGAACATTCCGACCACCCATCTAGAAATTTTCTACAAACAGATACCAGATAATTTCTCAACTAAAAACATACCTTTGTTTCTTTGATTTCTGTATATAGTCATTTGTGACATGCATTTCTTCTTATGTTCCTACATTTGTTATATTTGTCACTATAATTGTGACCCACCATTTCCAGATTGTGTTTAACTTAAAAACATGCCTGATTTCTTCAGATTACTGTGTTCATTTATGATGCACATGCACATCCCCCTGTGTGTCTATATTTGTGACCCCGAGCCTCTCTCTCCAGAGCTATAAAATCAACAAATCCATTTTCTTCAGATTACCTTGTTCATTTGTGACCCACGCCCTCCTTGGATCCTACACAGTACAGTCAGAGTTAGGCGACTTTGACCCAGAAGAACATGGGACAGATTCAGCATATATCAGTGAATTCCGCTTCGCACCAAACCAATCTGCGGAACTTCTGGAAAAAATTGCTGAACTACATAAAACACATAAGTAAGTGAAATATTAAGTTTTATTTCAATCAATTATATTACATTTGGTTATTGCTAAACAACACAATAATGAGTGTTGAATTAGAAAAAGATTTGTATCTAGTTTATAACATTCAATCAAATTTTTAAAAATGTTACAGTATTTGTCAATAAAGCTCATATATTCCAGAGATACTGTATATATTGCATTGTTTCCAAGTCGTGTTTTGTTTTAATGTATTCCATCATCATATCTATATTGCATACATTTATATGTATTACTTCTGTTCTTCCAGAGGCCAGACTCCGGTTGAAGCAGAGCTTCACTTTTTAGAAAATAGCAAGAAATTAGCAATGTATGGTGTAGACCTTCATCCAGCAAGGGTAAGAACATAATATTTAGTTATAGAATTCTTGTCATCTTTCTAAAACAAAACTTGAGAACCACATGTCTCAATTAACCATTTTCTTCATGTCATGTTCCATTTTAAATGCCAGGAAATTGGGGATAGAAAAATATTCATTTAATATTTAGTTATTACTATATGTACATGTGTGTGAAATATTGTGGGAATAAGAATTTTATGCAGGGATATTGGTGTGTTGGGTGATTTTGATCAAGTGAGAAAGGAAGATACCATGCTTCTCTTTGATCAAAAATGTGGAAAGTGTACTGTCTCATTTGTCCTTTTTATCATAGAATTCATGTATGTTGTGTTTGTTTTAGGACTCTGAAGGTGTGGACATAATGGTGGGTGTATGTGCAAGTGGGCTTCTCATATACAGAGACAGACTCAGGATCAACAGATTCGCCTGGCCCAAGATTCTCAAGATTTCATACAAAAGAGATAACTTTTATATAAAGATCCGCCCTGGAGAGTTTGAACAGTTTCAGAGCACCATAGGTTTCAAGTTGAATAATCACCGTTTGGCGAAACGTCTTTGGAAGACGGCAGTTGAGCACCACACATTCTTTAGGTGGGATCTTATTTCACAGTTGTTGTTGTATATTAGTAATCAAATGTTACATTATGTTGCAAAATTTGATATGGCAAGAATGCAAAATTGGTTAAGAGCTCATTAGAAGTTTCATCATGCCAAATATTTTGATTTGCCAGCACATTTTTGAGATAATCAGTATAGATTCAGGTGTATCCAGATGTTATTACATACAATGTAATACATATTCCAGCTATTCAACCAATCTAGTTAGTTACTTCCCTTCTAATAAAGACTCAAACTTTTCTTCCAAATTTTTGCTTATTCTCATCCCATAAAAACCTATTTAAGCAAAACATGATGCGATTACTTACTTCGTAAAAGTTGATATGTTGTATCTGTGTATAGGATCTTATTTCTGGAGGCTGTTGGCAAATCATATCATGGATTACAATCTGTAACATTTAGTTCTCATAAAACAATGCGGAAGACAAAATTTTAATTGAAAATTGGCAATTGTAATTCACCATTTATTTTATTTTTTTTATTTAGTAGCAAACACCCAAGATAACAACTGGTCAGCCACCAGATATGTTGACATATCTCACCCCTGAATATTGCAGTAACTTTTAATAAACATGTATGTATGGATTTATTCCTTATTCGCTTATAACTAATATATTACTTCAATATTTTAGGTTAAGGGAGCCAGAACCACCAGCAAGGCCAAGCGTGTTCCCCACATTTGGTTCTAAATTCCGCTACTCTGGACGAACACAATATCAGACTAGACAGTCTGCTGCCCTCATTGACAGGCCCTCACCGTACTTCGATCGTACACTCAGCAATCGTTACAAATCAAGAAGCATGGATGGTGGCCTCTATCCCGGCCAAGGAGGTTAGCATAGTTTTGGTTTCTATTGGGTAATTTAATGGGTAGTTTAGATTAAAGGGAAGGAATATGCATCATTGAAGGAATAAAGATCGAGATTCTATGATTTATGGCACAATATATGACTGAAAATTTTATTCTGTTCATTGTTGAAAGACCGAAATCACGTACCGATTGATGTCTTTGGCAATGGTCAGAATAATATCTTAACTTATATATTTGCAATAAATCATAGAATCGAGGAGTTTATTACGATTCTAATATGATAATAAACAAACCAGAAAAATAACTTTTTAAATAAGTGGTCATATCTGCCCAAATATAGATCAATAAATCAATTGTTCCACTTATTGTGTCAACACATATCATATTAGAATCAGTAATAGATAAATATGGGTAGATTTAAATTCTGGGTGGAGGCTAAATAGTACTGTATAATGAATAAAACTTAAAACAAGGGACTTTTTGTATGGTCTTAGCATGACGTTGAAAAAGTAATATGTTTGTCCCATTTTTTTGCTAGAGATTTGATAGCAAAATATTATTGCAAAGTTTAAGATTGTATATGATGTTAGTATAATAGGTATATGTCTGATTTGTTGTATATAGTCTCAGGTTACCAAGGAACTGGTATGTGCTTGTTGCTATGTTAGTTGTTGTTACATGTTACACTACTAGGAAATCCCTTCATTATAATACTGTCCTTCGATTTGTTAACACTCAAGTAATTCCAAAATTTAGAAAAAGTTGTTGATTTTAAATTTAATATTCAGTTTGTCGAATCGAGTTAAAATACAGTTTGTCAACACAAAACAATTTGTAAATTCAGCATTTAGTCAACTCTTTGAAATAAATTCCTATTTCAATTTCTTTTTCAATATATGAGCCACTGTTCAAGAGGAATATCAATCATGCCATGATCCTAGTCATAAAGCAGTTGATGTGATGGAACAGTACTTTATCTGAACAGCAGAGCACATACACGATATAAAACTATGAAGTTATTTCATGTGTGCTTTAAGTTTATGATAGAAATTGTTCCATTTGTGCTTTAACCTAATGCTGATGCTACATGAATCGGATCATGGTGATTGGATTCTTCATTGCATCACTTAACTGGCTTACTGTGTTAAATGTGTCTTGTGAATCACTCTTATAGGGTCAATGCCTGCTCTCGATGAGCTCCCAGGTAGAACATACTCTAGCATGGCATGTTAAGCACAATTTCCCTTACCATCCCTTTGTGGCAGTTAATGCGTGTTAAAGTGTAACTCATGGCATGTTAAGCACAATTTCCTGTGGCAAATCCTCTCTTGAGCACCATTGTCAAATGTTAAATTCTTAGATCAAGTATATGTTTTAAGATCCCAAAATGGTTTATGAGGAACTGTTCTTGTTCGTTTATTTGAAAGTTAAACGAGACTTATTTATAAGTTGAAGTTTGACTGGAATTCTACCGAGTTACACTGCATCAAGAGATTACGTGAGATGGTATTGCGCATGCGCGGACATACATCACATCAGTACTTTAACTAAGCTAAAGTAGCCAGATGAAAAAGGTATTTCCAAATCATCATAAGTATAAATCAGTTATCAATATGGATTTTGGAAATCAAATAGAACAAAGATTTGGCAATTGATAAAGCTGGCACAAATATCTAATAAAAGATAATGTACACATCAATGTTCTCAAATGATGAGAAGTTAACTACGTGAAGGGTTGGGCCCTTAAGGGTGGGCACGTAATCTCTTGATGCAGTGTAACTCGGTAGAATTCCAGTCAAACTTCAACTTATAAATAAGTCTCGTTTAACTTTCAATTCTACCTCGTTACAGCATCAATGATCACGTGAGAGATTTAAAGCCATCTGGAAACTTTAGCCAACAACGATTTTGAATAATTGGATATTTCATATTAGAAATATTGATGGAAATGCAATCGATTGCATAAACTACAGTTCAAAATCGAAACACAAAAATATAAACTTAAGGTTTATAAAGATAACATATATTTAACAGATTCAGACTATATCTGATTGTTCAAAATAGAATTAGTGAACTCATTAGAATCCTTAATACAATGAACAGGTTTATTGTAATACTTTCGGAAAACACAATCTGTTTTCCAACCTGCTGTTTTAGGATACAGTCTATTGTTGCACCGCCTATCTTGGCAGCTGAACTGGCTGCTGACCTTGTCGAATTCGCTTTAAAAACGTCAGTATAATGCCAGCATTCTTTAATTGGGTTTTAATCACAATTACGTATACATGTAGTTCTAGTCAAATATTCTTTCAACATTGAAACGACTCAAACGCGCGTACGTTCATCGCCGTACTTGTTCAAGACAACTTTGGGAACCACATTGCCTGGCTTGTTTTGTTTGAGATTGTCAGAACTTGATGAATAAACACGTAGGATCTGATTCTGATACCATAATTGTAACGTTGAGCATGTGTAGCGTTTGGCAACGTTGAGCCGTGACAAGAGCAATTAAAGTTACCAACTTTAAACTTAATGTCTGAAGATTAAGATCTTTCAAAGGAAAAAGTCCTTTTAAATGTTATAGAACTATACTAACGTCCCAAGTAGTCTTGTAACGTGGAGTCGGAGACTCACGTTGAAGATACCACTCATAAAACGCACATTTAACGGGTGCTTCCCGAAGAAAATATTGTCATTGAATTGTACACAAGTAGATAGTGCTGAGCGAGCTATATTGTTTGAAACGTAACTCAAGTTCTGAATATATAGCTCCGTAAAAAGTCCCGGCCTACTTGTAAAGGTGGGTGAAAGAGATCAATTTTCCTCGACTTACAGAACTGAACCCACCTTCGGAGATACACTTCGTATTGATGTTGTGTTGTAGGCCTCCACGATTGCATGATAAAATCGGAATCTTGGCCCGAAACGCCTAAGCTCTGGATGTATCCCCGGATACATGACATGCCACTAATGTCAAATGCTTCCTTAATGGATGCAGAGCGTATGGTAAAGTCAACAGGTTGTTTTTCGAGGAATTAGGATATGATTGTTGATCAACAAGCGAAGCATTTTGGGCCACCAGGGTTGAGTTGGCCAGACGGGAACGATCAGAATAGCTTCCGGCGATTTGTCCAAGTCAATCTTTTGTAGTACACGCATCAGAAGACTGAAAGGATGGAAAGCATACATTACATACGAAGCCCAAGATCTAGAAAATGCATCAATAAAAATAGCTTCTGGATCTGGTCCCCAAGAAACATATGAAGACAGTTGTTTATTCAACCTGGATGCAAACCTAATCTATATCAGGCTTTGGCCATCTGGCATAACTACAAATAACATGAAAGACATCGGGTTGTCCATTTATGCTGGTCGTGAAAAACCCGTGATTCATGGTCGGCTTCAATGTTGGCTACACCTGCAATATGAGAACAAGATATCCAAATATTTCTGAATATGCACCACTGCAAAATTGCTTTCGTTAATTTCTTGCATGTCTTTGATTTAGTACCACCCATCTTGTTCACGTATGCCATAGGAGTAGTATTGTCAGTCTCGATTCTCACATGTAAACCACTATGTGTGACCTACAAAAAGACTTCAAGCCAATGAAAATTGCCATCAATTCTAAGTAATTCATGTGGTGACTTGATTCCTAAACTCCTAAACTCCAGCGTCCACCAGTGTGAACGTTGTTTGTAACGACATATGCTCCCCAATCAGTAGCGCTGCTCTGTGCGTATGATATGTTGGGGATCTGAAAGTGGAACATTTTTGAACGCTGATTTTACGTTTTTTATACACCAATGGATTTCATTCAATGCATCATTAGAGAGTATGACCTTTGCATCAAAATTACCATGACTCTTTGATAAAGCCGCAGTTTTCTCTAATTCAAGATTTCAATAATGCAAATGGCCCTGGGAAAGAACTAACTTTCCGATCAACTGAGCTATATCCCTAATGGAATAATGACCATTTCGTTTTACGATACCTTGACACAAGATATTAATTGAGTTTGCTTTCTCGGATGTAAGCGAGATTCTCATGGATTTTGAATCTAATTGAAAACCAAGAAATGTCAATACCTGCTTTGGGCCAAGGTCAAACTTCTCAGGATGCATTGATAAAACCAAGGCTCTGGAGACGTTCAATAGTCTTAAACGTTGTCCCTGCAGTCGTCATATGAATTTGCAAACAAACAAGCGTCATCTATGTAAGATACAGACATATAACCCTCATTCCATAATATCGAAAAAACGGGTTTTAACACCTTTGTGAATATACGAGGGACTGACGACAAGCCTTGTGGCAAACATGTATTGATATATTTTATCACGCCATCGAAATTGCAAATATTTCCTCGATTGTTCAGATATTGGTATACTATATAGAATGCGTCCTTTACAGGTACGTCGACGCAGGACATGAAACAATCTTTAGTCATGAGGTTTATTGCATTCTAAAGTTTTTCCATTTTAAAGTGATGGTATTCCACGTGTTCAGTGAGTTTCTTCAAAATCAAGATGGTTTTGATCCATCTTTTTTGGGCGTCAAAAATATGGATGAAATATACCCAATTTTTAATTCATCGTGTACGACTTATAGAATGCCCTTACTCATAAATTCATGGACCTCATTATCAATTGCTAATTCCTCTCCTTTTGAGAAATTCATTGAACGTGGACTACCATTTTGATGAGGAATATCATCACAGTATTCAATGTTATAGCTTCTGCCATTTAATATAGATTGGTCAGATGTAATTGAAAACCAAATGTGATATATTTGTTTCAAACGACCACCTTTGAATTCAGTAACCATATGTCTAAGTGATTGTCTTACCTCGGAGATATCACTACTAGATGACATGGTTGCTACTGTTTGGACTCTGGGCTCTGGCTCTTGCCTCGTCCGCGTTTCTGGTTGCCGTTGCGATTGTATGGTTTCTTGCGACCTTGACCCCGGCCTAAAAAATGGTTGTTAGAACCACGGCCATGTCCTTTACGTCCACGAAAACCACCACGACTTCCATATTGTTGGGACGGAAAAACACCCTTCAGCTGTGTTTTATTCATTTCCGCTATGTCGCGAACTTGTTTAGTAATATCATCACCAAAGAGATTTTTGGTTATGGGCACTGTTTTAGCACACAGATGTTTAAAATTCTGACTAATTTCATATTTGAAAAGTTCTCGACGACGTAGATTGAGCTTGTAATTAGCATGGCAGGAAAGCTCAATGTTATCATACATCAATTCGGCAATTTTACCCAATTTGTCGTCATACAGGTCGGTCGACAAGCCCAAATCTTGCTTCATCTCATCGATTAGTTCCAAAGCACGAGTTGATGCAACTACGGCCTTGACAAGTGGAGTTTGGGCCTTTTGGAGTTTCAGATCATTAGATCGAACATCTGTCGAAACACGAGACCATATCTGCTCGTTCACTTTAGCTGCGCACAATAATGGAGCATTTGATGGAGTCTTGTACTTGTCGTATTTTGACTTTTCCTCATCTTCATCCAAATTTGACTTCATAATGTCTGTCAAAAGATCAGCTGTCGAATCAACAAGGAGAGGTCCTTGTTCATCGACAGATTTCACTTTCGATTTTAAAGTCTTCATTAAAGATGAAACCTGGCTGGTACCTGGCTGATCTAATGGTTCAGAGACATTTCGTCTCTTGAATTCTGGTTCATTATCCAGAGAATCCTGATCATCTTGATCGTAATCCATGAATTGCGACTCTTCTTGGTCGTCGTATTGGTCAACCTCATAAGGACGGCTCTGAATGCACTTCTGTAGATCTTTTACTGAAGAAGCCATAATCCCTGACATTGTGTCCTTTATGGCACTTAGTCCAGTGGAAATAGAGGATGTTATAGCCTGAGAAAGAGATTCTAATTCCATGTCCTTCGACATTTTTGCCTTCTTTGAAGATCTTTTGGACTTATCCAGATCTGATTTTGAAGTCAATTCTGCGTTACAAACGCCGGAACACGAACCTCCCGCACTCAACTCGTCAGGTTGGTCCAACAGACTATCGTCGAGGGATTTATCCCTTCTACAGTATATCTCTGTTTTTGACATGATTTTCTCTAATTATAAAGAAACGTGGTGGCCTATATCGGACCAGTACACGTGTCAAAAGCTATTGAGCGTGAACTAGAGATATTTATGCATGAACACGTTCGCAACGGTCTAGCAGTAAATTAACCGTGCACCTATTCGGCGTTCGAATTTAGGAAGGAATATCAACTTATTGATACCGTTTCCAGAATTCAAACACGTTTGCAACGGAGCAATAAGTAAACCGTATGGTTTACTGGCAAAAGTTCTAATTAGGAATTCTGCATAAAATACACCAAACTTATTTGGCGTATAATTAGGAAGGGTTATCAAATTGTTGATACCGATTCAAATGTATAAACACGTTTACAACGGTCTATCAGTAAGTAAACCTTGAGGTTTACTGGCAGGAATCCGAATAAGGAATTTTGCATGAACTACACCAAACTTATTTGGCGTTCGAATTTATAGGAAATAATATCAAATTATTGATACCGTTTCCAGTGTAAACTGTAATATTAATCACAGTAGCAATACAAGACAAGCTATAGTAACAAAGTGTATCAAATTATTGACACGCATTAAAAACCTAATGCAAAGTATTACCTACGCTTGACTCGTAAACACGTCCGCTTTCGAAGTGTGCCTGCAATACACTGATGTGATGTATGTCCGCGCATGCGCAATACCATCTCACGTGATCATTGATGCTGTAACGAGGTAGAATCTTGTATTTTGCCCTAAACATTCTTGCATGTAGATAGCAAGAATTGTGCTGCATGTCTGTATAGGATATGCTTGTTTTTATGTTGTATGTGTGTTAGTATATTGTTGTCTGTATGTATTGTATGATTTCAGTTATTTCACAAAAACAGTGCTTAATAGGCTCATTTCCTTGTGGAATGACTTAAGAATCTGTAAATGACTTGTATTTATTCACCAAATAATTTTTTATTTTTCATTTTTCAGTTCTACTGATTATTCTTCACAGCATCATTAACTAATGGCATTCTAATCATCAATACTAATTAACCATCACCTCGAACCAAATTCTTGAAAATATCAAGAATTACAATTTGTAAAGTTCAGTTGTCCTTTGTGGTATATTTTAACACTAATATCATGAAGTACAAATGAATTTTACAATTTGAATTCATGATATTTTTGAAGAACGGGTATCTGCCTAATTTTCATTTGCGCATGGATCCTTCCAAGGGAAATGGATCATTATTATTTTGTTCCCCATAACTTAGCTTAACTTGCCCATTTTGTATATTGTCTTGAGTGGATTAATTGCTTGATCGTGTAAGATGCTTGTATTCTGAATGTCTATTGCATAAGATGACTTCTTATAAACTTAGAATATTAACATTGCATAAAATGACTTGAGATTAAAATATTGCATCTTAGACTAAATACAGTATTTTTCTGAAGCTATTATTTAAATTCTATATTAAAATAACTTAAAGAGGTATTCCTTGCCAGACCATCTCACTCCTAATATGGTAGCTATAACCATATACATACTTTGCAAGTTGATCAAAAAACAGAAAAATGTTTTGAAATGGTCAATATTGATCACTTAAAAATGTAGTGCTCAATTCCAGTAGGCTGCCATCTTTTAAAATTTCACTCAGGAAGTGATGTCATTGACTCTCAACTTTGCATTTTGCATTAGGTGAGGAGCTATTAGAATTACTAAACCAGCTGAATATTTTTTTCAATTTGGTCTATGATTAAAATCCTTTTGATGATCTCTTCATTAGTTCTAAGTTGACAACTCCTGAAAATATTTTTACACAGAAGATAAGGGCTTCTTGTTTAGAAGTGATTTTGTACTTCTTTCCTATACTGTAATAGACAAGGTTATAACAGGTGATAGTCGATGACATCACTTCCTGAAAGAAATCTGAAAAGATGGCAGCTTACTGGGAATGTGTACTACATTTTTAAATGATCAATATTGACCATATGAAGACATTTTCCCGTGTTTTGCTAAATATGTAAAGTATATATATGATTGTAGCTACCATATCAGGAGAGAAATAGTCTGGCAAGGAATGTTCCTTTAAATCCAGGCTAAACTTGTTGAATACCTTGTTCTTGTTGAATAACCTACTTTGAATTTGATCTAGTGTTTCACTAAAATGGTAATGATCCATTTGCAACTGCTCTATTACTGTTAATCCTCTTTTGTTTCTTTACTAGAGCCTAGAGGTCAACATGACATGACCATCAGAAGAATAAGGGGTTCATTATGGTATCTTTTTCTCATCATTTGAAGTCGATGTGTTACTCTTACACCAGATAAAGAAACCTTGAAATAAAGTTTTTTTTTAAGTTAAAGCATGTGTACCTGATATCTGGACACCTTACATTTCGCCTGTTTAGAAAAAGGATAAAGACTTCTGATGGACATTCATGGTATATATTATCGCACTTTTTCAAAGATCTATATTCTCGTTGTCCTGTGCTGAAATTTTTACAGATTCAAGAGCAGACCAGTTTCAAGATCTGCTTAGATTTTGGGCATGCTGGGTAAATTACTTGTTTGTCATTTTGATTTTTCAAGAAAATGTGCGATATTTATCACTGTATGTGTCTTGTTAGATTTCACACCCTTGTTTTAAACCTTTTCCAGGATTTGATATTTTACATTTTGCAATTGTCTTGTATGCTGCTTGAATGGAATATGTTACCTCACAGAATTAAGATCTGAAATGTTTTTATTACCAGAGATACTGGTCTTTCATGGCATAATTGCACCAGGATTTTAGGTGTTTGTGAGGTTTCATTTTCATCAGATTTTATGCTGTTTGTGTCCTTTTAGGTGCATGTGAAATAACTTTACAGTACAGGAGCTACATTGTGTGTTTGGACATGGATATATAATATACTTGGCCCTGGCAGTAGCAATATGTGCTAAATGTGTGATTGTATTACAGGTTACCCCGACCAGTACAACCAGGAGGGACGTGTCCCAGGAAGCAGAAGTGGCGGAGAGGTTCCATTTGCTGATATGTCAGACACTCGTCTTGCCGCAACAGAACGATTGGAAGAGGAACGTGAACCACAGGTACGTCATGATTGTGTTTTATACAATTTCTGATCATGTCACTACTACATGTGTATTCATCCTTCAGAGTTCTCCAGTTATTTCTGTACATCTGGTAATACTTCAGTAAAACTATTTATTTCACTTTTGTTTTATAAAACATTCTTCAAAATATTGATCTGTTAATCTTCTGGAGTGTTCATCATCTTTATTTCCATCAGTGTTCTCTCCCAATATTCCCAGTATTCTACTTTTCTTCAAGAACTATTCCATTATTCATTTCTATCATGGTTACATATATTCCTTTATGGCTATTCCTTTATTCATTAAGTTCATTGCATGTTTATTTAAAATAAGAATCTTCATCTCCATAAAGTTTGTATATCTTTTAATTTCCATAACCATGTTTATTTTAATTACATAACCATGCATATTTCTATAGGGTAGAGCCCGCATTGACTCCCTCGGACGACCAGTTTCGGTCAGTGGTTAAATTCTCATGAATGCTGCTCTCTGATATGCCGTGTACCCAACCCACTTTGTGCATTTGGTCGCAATATTTTGGCATTTTCCTTCAGTTTACGGAGAATTGTAGATCCATTTTGTTAAAGTCAATACATGTATATTCTATGGGAATGGTAGCAAAGGGATCAAATCAACCATATTCTGAAGGTTTATATTGCAGATTTGCACAACTAAAGAAATGTTTTAATTTTACTCATTTTCAGAATTGTTCATGTTGAAATACTAGATTCATATATGTATGTGTCATCCATACATCGTTCACTAATTCCAGTCGCTTATTTTGATTTTAGTGTGAAAATTATGGTTTCATATTAGGGAATTTTTTCGACTAAAAGCATGCATTTATCATCCACCATAGGCCTGGTTTGAAATCACCAAGTATTCACAAATATGAAACTTAGAATTATAATGTTATAGGATAGATGCCGTTCTAGATACCAGTTCTGAATGATGCATTATAATGCTGCTTTTTTCACTGAATACACGCCACTAACGCAGAAATAAAGACTTCTTATTTAGGACAATTTTATTTATTAAGGTTAAAAATAGGCTTTCATTATATAGTAGAATAAACTAATCACAAAATAGATTCCAAAAGTAAATTAAAATATGCGTAGTACTATGCGTTTGTGTGCTTTTTATACCCTTTCCGAGTACAATTGAAAATATAACATATATTTCAATTTACCCTGGAGCTAATTGTGGGCCATTTTGTTTTCTGTTAGGAATTCGACGTTGAAGGTCGAGATAAGGAAGGGGATGACGATAAAAATAAGAAACCAGGCGATGAGTACAAGGTCATCTTGGCTAAGCCTGAGCCTCAGAATGATTTCTATGGCGTTGGAGATGGCGATAAACGATATCAAGATGAAAATGAAAACATGGATGATGCCAAGAAGAAGGTTACTGCAAAACATTATTTACACAACATCAATTACCTTATTATGCCATTTGACATTGTTTATTATAAATCCTATATTTTCTCAATTCATTCCTTACAGTCATTTTGTAATATCACCATAGGGAATCGGGTAAATTGATGTTGGAGTAAATGACATGTTATACAGTACTTTGCCTTCTTTGCTTTTTATAATGCCTTATAACTTACACCAAATATTTGAAAACCTGGTGTGTAGAAAATTGGAAATACTTTCTCACGATAACGGCTTTTGAATATTAGAGATACTGTAAAAGATTTTATGTTCGCTGACAGTTGAGATATTATTTTATTTTTATACAATTGATGAATTAAAGTTAATAATTTCAAGGCAACAGAGTTAAAAAAAAATTATATCTCCGAGTCACAGGGAGCATTACCTCTTTTACACTACTTTTAGGATGCATGTTTTAACTGTTTACTTTTGGACAAGGGCATGCTGTTATATTTTGGCGCTAAGACTTCAATCCAGTTTATATGCATAGTTTTCTTTTTTTAATTATTGCATTCTGAACTTTTTCTTGATAACTTATTTTACCTCTGACACAGTCATCAAATAAACATCCTTGAAAACTCTTCTGCTTTTCATGTGCTTCAAAGTTTAACTAGCATATTAGAAATTTTATTTTTCTTCTAAATTCTTCTTTACCATGATCAATTTATGATACATCAAAAACATGCCCATTATATTCTATGAGTTATTGCACAGTATAGTAAACCAAAACCACACCGCCTCCAACAAACCTCATTATCTTAATGCTAAAGGTGATAATGTACCAAAAAGTGATAATTTCTCAATGGTCTCATTAGAATGGCAAAAATATTGGAATATTTGGGAAATTCAGGCTAAATGGAATGTGAGTGATGTTTAGATTAAAAATGTGTTTTATCACTTATTATGTCCCCACCACATAGTGTGGGGCCATATTGTCGGCCTAGGCGCGTCCGTCTGTCCGTCTGTCTGTCCGTACGTCCGGCAGTTTTCTCCAAAACCGCTACAGATATCACCTTCAAATTTTCAGGGATAACTTATGAGTGCATACAGATGTGGATGAAAAAAAATTAACTCGATACCTACTTCCTGTCGGCCATTTTGAAGTCAAATGCTAAAATCCTTGTCTGCAAACTTTAAGAAAAACTGCTTCACAGTTGCTTTTAAAACTTTAACATCTTGTTCAGCTCACTTCATTCTAGATCTGATTAGGTTTTGGACCTGCTAGCTCAGTCATGTCAGCCATTTTGAATGTCTTAAGAAAAGTAAGCGCGCGATAATACTTTGTATCATATTGAGTGGTGTTTTTGAGTTTTCATACTTTAACTATTTAGTAGCTTTATAAATAATTTCAGATGTACTTTGCTGTAAAAGCCTACTTTATTGTTAACAGTAGTTATATGTGATAATTTTGTAAAAAGAAATCAGCAAAAACTCATAAGGACTTTTTTATTGTCGGCCATTTTGGATTTTTCGGTCCTAAAATCTTGTCTGTGAAGTCTTGTCTGCGCGTTTTCAGGTGAACCGTTTGGTGGATCAATTTCAAATTTTCAGGGATGATTCTTAGTATAAAAATCTAGATCTCATTAGTTTTTTGGCATTCTGGGTAAATGTCAAGGCAGCCATTTTGGATTTTCCGTCCTAAAATCTTGTCTGTAAAGTCTTGTTTACTCGTTTTCAGGTGAACCGTTTCGTAGATCAATTTCAAATTTTCAGGAATGATTCTTAGTATGAAAATCTAGAACTGATTAGTTTTTTTGCATTCTGGGTAAATGTCAAGGCAGCCATTTTGGATTTTCCGTCTTAAAATCTTGCCTGTAAAGTCTTGTCTACGCGTTTTTAGGAGAACGGTTTGATAGATCAATTTCAAATTTTCAGGGATGATTCTTTGTATGAAAATCTACATCTGATTACTTTTTTTGCATTCTGCGTAAATGTTAAGGCAGCCATTTTGGATTTTCTGTCCTAAAATCTTGTCTGTAAAGTCTTGTCTACCCGTTTTCAGGTGAACCGTTTGGTAGATCAATTTCATATTTTCAGGGATGATTCTTAGTATGAAAATCTACAAACAGATTAGTTTTTTGACATTCTGGGTAAATGTCAAGGCAGCCATTTTGGATTTTCCATCCTGAAATCTTGTCTGTAAAGTCTTGTTTACATGTTTTCTGGTTAACTGTGTGACGGATCAATTTCAAATTTTCAGGGGTGGTTCTTAGTATTAAAATCTAGAACTGACTAAACTTTTGGCATTCTGGGTAAATTTTAAGGTGGCCACTTTGGATTTTCCGTCCTCAAATTGTGTTGGTAAAGTCTTGTCTACTCATTTTCAGGATAACCATTTCACGGGATCACCACTTGGTGGGGACATTTTGTACACATTTGTGTTCTTGTTAAATTATACTGTGCACTCTTTTACACTTGCTAGGGGCTAACTACTAATAAAGGCTTTTTGTGATTTTTAGGCTATGGACCTTGTATTATTATTCATCAACTGCATCATCTCTTACTTTGAGCTTTTCAGGAGTTGTGTTGGTTTCAGCAGCCTAGCAATTTAAAAAAATGTATACCAAAACAACCATGGTGATCATTTATTTTTAAAAGTAACAACCTCTCATTTTATTCTCACCTATGAAGCCATTACTCTGGTGTATATTCACAAGTGATACCATGGAGTGATTTCACTATTAACTAAGAGCAAATATTGATTTTTTTTAATGAATGTTCAGTATTTACACCAGCTTTGTGCAAAAATAATGTAAAGTTTGAATGGATTATGTTCTTGGACTTCATTGGCTCATGTGACCAAACAAAATTCTCAGAAATCATCTGAAACTGATTAAGCACATGATCACTATGCGAATTTGGAGTCTAGGTAGAATTGTGCATAATTATAAACTTTGGCGCAGCTTCATAGGATGCTTTCACATACAAGTGTACGAAGTGATTAGTGACGTTTGTGTGATTGCGTTAACACAAGGTAATGCCAAGCAACTAGATACCTGAGTGCTCAGGGCAGTCAAATTAGAAAATAGGAACTTATTTAGTATCATCTTGGCTTGGTATTCATGAACATTTGAGACTAAATAGGTGGCTTCTTGTGTTAAGTCACGTAGTTTTACATGAAGCCACCTCAATTTGACTTCCCTGAATGCTTAGGCTTGGGCATGGTGTGGTCATTAATAACAAGCTCTTAATCAACTCCTTAAAATCATATTAATTACTGTTTTAGGATAATGAAGGCTATGACAGGGAAGGTTTCAGCTCTGAGGATGAGGGACACAATATTTCGACAGATCGTGTAGGTGGCCAGATGACTACATATAAGAAGACTACGACTACATTGACCAAGACGACTGTTACGGGAGTCCCAGGCAGCCAGGATGATGAGAACAAGGTTTGCCTTCATTTTATAGCTACTGCTTCGTGTTGGTGAATGTTGTATTCTTAATGCTTTTTAGTGCAGTCAGAATGTGGGTTTCGGCGTGCGTTCAGAGGGATTTTATGAGACATAATTTTTCATGTTACTACTATGATTCTACATATTTTTATGGATTATTAGATCTTAGTTTTTCAGCTTTTAGATTTTGTGGCCATTTAACCCCCCATGGGCTAAAATTTGGACCCCTACTATAAAATTGGGCAAGAACTCAAAAAATACTCAGTGGAATGTTTCCAAATTACATTGTTATATTGGTATAGGCTAATTGAATATATGATACAAATTTCATGTCACATGGTTAAGTGGTTGCCATGGAAATGGATAAAACATGCCCTTCGGGTGTCAATTTTCAGGCCAATTTTTCAGGACTGACAGAGTCATTTCATGCATATTTTGTCCCCAATGTGATAGGAAGGGTTAAAATGTAAATAGAAAACTTCTATAATATATTAGCAACAATTGTATGTAAAGATCAGTCCACAAAACCTCAGATTTTGGCCTTGTATTGGTCCATGACTTATACAGGGGTCTATTTCATAGACTCGAGCTCCCACATTGGATGGATGCTATAACTTTTGAAATAATGGAGATATAGGTCTCATTTTTTCAGATCTTCATAAATGATTAGTTTTAAGTATTTTAATATACTTTGGGAGCTGACATGTGATTGGTTGCCATGGTAACCAGGGTTTTAGGGAAATTCTGGCCCCAACATTGGATGGATGCTATAACTTTTGAAATAATGGAGATACAGGTCTCATTTTTTCAGATCTTCATAAATGGTTAGTTTTAAGTATTTTAATATACTTTGGGAGCTGACATGTGATTGGTTGCCATGGTAACCAGGGTTTTAGGGAAATTCTGGCCCCAACATTGGATGGATGCTATAACTTTTGAAATAAGGGAGATAAATGTCTCATTATTTCAGATCTTAGACAATGATTGATTATTAATACTAAATTAGACTTTGGGAGCTGAAATTTGATTGGTTACCATGGTAACTAGTTTTTATTGAAATTTGGACCTCCTCAATTGATAAATGCTTAACGTTTGAATTTAAGCAGATACAGATATCATCATTTCAGGTCTTAAAAATTAATTAGGTTTGTGTATTGAATTAGACTTTGTAGCTTAGCATTTACTTGATTGCCATGGTAACCATGTTTCGTCGTCATGGTACCCTTAATTTTTTATTTCATTTTTACCTTCATTTGAGAATGGTCAATTCACAACATGTTATACCAAAACGCTCAAAATTATCATTTTGCTCTTAAATTCAGCAATTTATCCTGTATGTCTGACAGTATAGCCTCATTCCATTCTACTAGTTCTCACACATATTCTGACTCCCAACTTGTTTTTACTCATCATTATCGTTTTCATCTTCCCAGTTACCTCTTAATTAAAAATATCAACAATTTCTATTGGAAAGAAGGATTCTTTTGACCATTTTTGTGTTAAAGATTTGTCAGGGAATTCACAGTTCATTCATGCAGTGTTGGGCATAATGGTAGAGCTGGGTTTAGGCTGGTGGGAATGTGTCCATACATAGGTTTGATAATTTACCCTCTTCAAATGTGAAAGAAAATGTCAACACCTTCGAAAGTGAGGGCAGCACTGTTCTGTTTTGTTCTGTATCTCATGGGAAACAGCTCATCTTGTAATCTATTAGTGGCAGTTATTTTTCTATTTCTGCTGTATTTATGCAGGTGAACAATTCAACTTTCGATTTTATGGTAGCGGGAATTCCTATATTGGCTTCACACAGGACTTAGTCCTAGGTTTGCAGCTACAGGGGTTGGGTTGAGCTTCTGACATCTAATGGGACATAGTTCACATTTGAGGTTCTTAAGGTTGTTTTCTTCATAATAGGAATCAATATAGAAATTTCTGACACAAAAAAATCGTTGAATTGTTCACCAGTAAAAGTACAGCAGAATTACAAAAATATGTTTGTAACTTACATCAATAGATAACGATATGAGCTGTTTCACATAAGATATTCTGCAAAGCAGAACAGTGCTGCCCTCACTTATGGAGGTTTTGACATTTCAACTCTTCCCATCTTTCAAGACTGGTCCTTCACTGCTTTCATTGCAACTAATATAATGCAATGAATTAAATGATGAACTCTTCCACCTTGTAATGATTGCTCATTATAACATTTGAAGAGGATGGATGATAAAACTTAAATTTGGAAGTGGAAACGTTACCTCCCCCCCCCCTCGTCTCCCATCGAGTTCACTATAAACCTTGAAGGGATCCTCAGCTCAGGTGTGGTACTTTTGACATTTGATATGGCAATGGACCCAAATTTTAGGATCTGGTATGAGAATGCTCTCCAAATTATGACTTGAGAGGTATGGCAATGGTCGGATTTGGGAATGGTTGTGAAAAATATGTTGCCCCACACTTGTTTTACATGTATGGCATTGATCTAGTATATTCCTAATGTGAGGTTGTTTTTGGTTGTTTTCCTCAATGATCTGCCTTCTTCTCGAGGCATTAGAAATTTTGAATGGCCATGTTTTCATATCTGGATATTTGGTATGGCACTGGTCCTATATTTGGGCATTTGGTATGGCTTTTGGGCATTATTTTGGTTGATATCGGAACACATTCAAATTTGACAGATTGGATGGGAACATATTGATATTTGAGGGTTCAGCCAAGGATCCCAACCACATTTTATATACAGTGAACCAACAGGGACCAGTCTTAACCCATTCTACCAAGTCCAATACTGCATGAATGGACTATATCCCCTAAGGATCCTTATCTCCAGAATGGTCAAAACAATCCTTCATTCCAACAGAAATTGATGATAAGAGGAAATTGTGCTAAATGAAAACAGTAATGATGAGTACAAATGAACAAATTAGGAGTCAGAGCTTTTGTAAGAACTAGTCCTATGGAATAAGGCAATATTGTCAGACATACATGTATTGTTTACTAGTATTTGATATTTCATGAGCCAAACAATGTTTGCATCTCTAGTATTATTGAGTCATGAGCATGTATATCATATAAAATAGAAAAAAATCCCAAAATTAAGAATAAAATGGTAACTTTGAGCAACTTGGTATTTTAGAATAAAGGTAAATCTGAAAACGAAAACAGCAGTTACCATGACAATGAAACATGGTTACCATGGCAGACAAATAAATCCTAGCTTCCAAAGTCTAATACAATACACACATATTATTATTATCTTACATCCGAAAAGATTATATCTTATCTGGCTGTATTTAAGAGTTATAGTGTTCATCAATTGTGTAGGTCTGAATTTCAACAAAACCCTGGTTTCCATGGTAACCAATCAAATTTCAGCTCCCAAAGTCTAAATCAATACTTTAAATCCATCATTGTCAAAAATCTGAAAAAATGAGACATGAATCTCCCTTATTTCAAAAGTTATAATATCCATTCAATGTCGGGGTCAGGATTTCCTTAAAACCCTGGTTACCATGGCAACCAATCATATACCAGCTCCAAACTTATATTAAAATACTTAAAACCAACCATTTATGAAGATCTGAAAAAATTAGACCTGTATCACCCTTATTTCAAAAGTTATAGCATCCATCCAATGTGGGAGCTCGAGTCTATGAAATAGACCCCTGTATAAGTCATGGACCAATACAAGGCCAAAATCTGAGGTTTTGTGGACTGATCTTTACATACAATTGTAGCTAATATATTATAGGAGTTTTCTATTTACATTTTAACCCTTCCCAACACATTGGGGACAAAATATGCATGAAATGACTCTGTCAGTCCTGAAAAATTGGCCTGAAAATTGACACCCGAAGGGCATGTTTTATCCATTTCCATGGCAACCACTTAAGCATGTGACATGAAATTTTTATCATATATTCAATTAGTCTATACCAATATAACTTAGTAATTTATAAACATTCCACTGAGTATTTTTTGAGTTCTTGCCCAATTTTATAGTAGGGGTCCAAATTTTAGCCCATGGGGGGTTAAATGGCCACAAAATCTAAAAGCTGAAAAACTAAGATCTAATAATCCATAAAAATATGTATAATCATAGTAGTAACATGAAAAATTATGTCTCATAAAATCCCTCTGAACGCACGCCGAAACCCACATTCTGACTGCACTATTTGTGTTGTACTTGTAGCTCGCATTTCAAAGTGTTGGGCAGATGTATCCTTATTGTTTAGTGTTGTAGATAGATCTGGCTATTGTTCATGTTTTATCATGGCAACATGTGTTTTATTCTTACTCTCATGAAATTCAGTTTGAACATTATGGCACTGGTAGCAAATGTTCTTAATGCTTTCATTTCTTCACTTAGCAGCATGACTCAGAGCAACAATGTTATTTTACAGATCAAATTCATCACTGATACAAACCATTGTTAATATGAGCCAACTGTTACTATTTTCTTGCAAACATATCTGCTGTGCATTATTGCTCTGTGTATTTATTCACTCTACATTATTGCACTGTGCATTTATGCACTCTACATAATTTCACTGTGCATTTATGCACTCTACATAATTGCACTGTGCATTTATGCACTACATTACTGCACTGTGCATTTATGCACTACATTATTGCACTGTGTATTTATGCACTCTACATTATTGCACTGTGTATTTATGCACATAATTGCTTATTCTTTGCTGCACTTTACAATACTTTAACTTTAGGCTAGGTGTCATTATTTTATCTACAAAACAGATAATTACAGTTCCTTATGCTTATACTGCGTGTGTTCCTTGTGCTTTGTTTTAGAATTGAGTCTCGGAAATACAATTGCTGTTCTGTATATATGTGCTATTCTATATAATGTGCTTTTTGCTGTTCTCTGTTATCCTATCAGATTGAATAGTTTTAGCAGTTTTATACATAGCACTTTTTTCATCATTATTTCATGTAAGTTTTTAAGTACTGTTGATATCAAATCTCATGTGTTCAATTCTGGATAGATAAATTAGCTAGATATAATTGAAATAGGCACAGGGTATAATTTTCGTTTTTCATCAACGTTTGAGTCAGTCTTCCATCAGAGGTGGCGTTAACGCAATTTTTTACGTTTTTTACTCACATTTTTGCAACTCTGACGCAAATATTCATTGTCTACCGAGTCTTTCTGACGCACGTTTGTTTCACATGCAAAATCCCCGCTTGGTACTTGGTTATATTGATCCCTATACGTGAAAATACGTGATTGATCAAATTTATAATTTTGCTAATTCCGGAAATCTAACATTTCGTTCAGCGCAATCGAGCCTCCTTCCTACCGATCATTTTCTCATTTCGGTATTTCATATAATTTTCAAAGCCCTGTGATTCAGATTCAATGATAAACTTGAAAACATTGATCGATCCCTCGATTTGTTTTTCTCGTGAAGCACGTTGCTAGGGGGCATATCAAAAATGCAATAAAACGAACATAACATTGAACAATAATTTATTAATTTCATACTCCCTTCTAAGGATTTTAGTGATCGTATATTTATCTAAATTACCGCATAAAATCTTCCCTTGAATGTTCACACGCTAGATTTACGAACCTTTAGTTTCCTTCGCAAGTTCGCAAAATTCCTTCGCTAAGTTCCTTGAGCCGTCCCCTTCATCAGCATGCGCAGATGTAATGCGCAGTAGGTTTATCAATGGTACTCACAGTGACCGATCTATCGTAAGTTTTCACCAAGTATTTTCAATTAACTCCCTCAAGTTAAGATCTTCGATTCACTAGATCTGAAGCTGATCCTATGAAGATAGATAATGGGCACATGAAAATCCAGTCGATCGCACATTAAGGGGGGTAATGATGATAAATTAGGTATGAAAACAAATCTACTTTCGGTTTCATTTGATCAGCTATAATTACAAGATTCTACCATATCAAATTTAAATGATGCCCAGTATTGTGGTCGGACTTATATTGCCGTTTTAGACTTTGGAATGATTGCAGAAATGTTGAATTTCAACATGAAACGCTTTGACCCCAATTTGTGTAACTCCACACAGGGAGAAACTCCTCTCCCACTCCATTCACACCCATGACTCGCTGGACCAGATAATCAGATGATTCATAGTGACATTTTTCTTGCAATTGCCTAATTAATTAATTGTTAGTTGTTAATGTGCTATTAGAGTACAATAAAAGGTATGCACAAAATCAAAAAATAGATTTTGTATGTGGTTTCTACATTTTGTATGCATTTTTACTCAAGAAAAACACTTTTATAGCTTTGACTCAACTTTTTTTCTTGTGACTCACTTTTTTGAAACTACCTGAGTCATGATGACTCACAAAAATATATGCCTACCGCCACCGCTGTCCATAAATGTACTCTCATTATATCTTGTTTTATAATGTAATTTTATTGTAATGGATTCTATTTCTCTATTGCCAGGAGGTTGATGAGATCCAACCCAAGCCTGTGGTAGATGAAGAGTCTAAACGCCAGGCAGCACTCATAGCAGGGGAAGCCATGATGGCAGCAAGAGTAAGTAGATAACAACTGTATTGTAACTACATATACTATCTTACAACATATCCCAGTATTTCATATTGATATAAGGTAGTTGTGGAAATTTCGGGATATTTTGTAGATGAGTATATCATTATAATGTTCACAGCTTGTTGAGTTCAGTATAGTACATCATGCACATGACTGTGTGGTTTATATTGAGCTCACCATTGTAAATACACAATCTTGTATCAAATCCCTCTAATTTATTTGAATGAGGAGAATACATAGGAGAGGGAGGTATGATGGGAGTTGATGCCAGGTTGAGTAGATAGGTGTTCCATGTTATGTGCTGAAGGAAATTGACATCATATAAAGTAGCATGCAGCTGGAATTGCACTACTGGGAAGACATTATGTAAATGCATTGAATTGGGTGAATCCATTGAAATGGGTGAATAGTAGGTATTGGGGACATGATGATTGGTCTGCATGGACTGAGATAGAACTGGGTGAAAAACTAAGTAAAACATGTAACATTTTGAACATCTCATTTGAATTTTTGTATTTTACACTATATGCACTTAATGTGAAAATAACAACATGTTTACCATTTGTATTAAACTTCTCTACCATACTCATATACCCAAACCGCATGGATATGGAATTTTAAAACATTAGACCTTGGGATTTTAACTTTTTGATGTGTTTTTTTTGTTAGTATTGTACTGTACAATGTTTTATTTGGTTTAACTATTCTTCTAGCATGGTATGAGTTACTCTCTCATAACTCTGTCCATAACTCCCTCTTTAATCTTAACTCTGTTAGTTGTCAGTTCGGAACATGCAGAGGCAGTAGATGCACTTTGATTACGGTCACTAAAATGTTTGGGAAAAATAGTTGGGCTGAATGCTCAAATCAAAAATGCACCAAAACCTTTATTTAAATATGGATTTTAAAAGTAATGGGTCAAATTGTTTAAAAGATTTGGGTGGGATGTCAGTAGAACCTTCTTTCAAAAAACAGGAAAGTTGTTGGGATATTGAAGCTATCAGGCAATCAAATTGCAATCTACCGCCACTTTCATGTGCCGCCATGTTATGTTCAAGGCTGATCGTGAGCGAGAAGAAGAGGAAGCTCGCCGTCGTGAACAAGAACGTCTTGAGCGAGAATTTGAAGTTAACGAAGAGGCTAAACGTCTTGAGCGCGAGGCTGAAATGGCTCGTCTAGAACGTGAAGCACGTCGTATGGTTGAAGAAGAGGACAGGAAACGTCGTGAGGAAGAAGACCGATTGGCTGAGGAGGCTCGGCAAGCTGCGGAGGCTGCTGCCTTAGCTGCTGCTGCCAAGGTCAATAACGTCTTCCTTCCTTCATTAGTTGCATACATGCCTAGTCTTGTAAACACTATATAGACTATAGAGTAAAAACTTTACCATCTTTGTAAAGCCTTCAAATTTAGAATTTTTTACTGTATTTTACCTTGTGTGCTCTTTTGCTGATAGTGTATTGTATGTTATCTAAGTTTTATTTGCTTGATAATTTTTAGTTTGATTTTAGCATGCACATTTTTTATTTTGTTTATATTAGATAATCTAGCATGTAACCAATTATTTATTTTCATAAATTACACCATACACCAGAAAAAATTATTGCATCACACCAATTTTATTTACCACGCTTATTATTATGCTATATTATGTTAAAGCTTCATGTGTCGTATTCCTGTAATTTCTTTTCAGCTAGATGTTCTTAATTTTTAGGCTTTCAGTTATAATTTTCACCAATGCTCCATTTGATGATTGTATGAATATGATATTTCTAGCCGAATGATGAAGTGGATAACACACAGGAAGAACCTAAGATCGATCCAATGGATTTGGAAAAGAAACCAAAAAAGCGTGGTTTCTTTGGCAAAAAACAAAAATACGAAGTTGCCCAGGTCGATATTCTGTTATTGAGAATTGCTTTTTGGTTGAAGTTTATTATAATGTATGACTTTACTACAAGGTTTTGTACACTAACTTGTTCCTAAGGATTGCACTAATTTAACAATGTTTTGTAAGTGAATGGTCCAGACCAAGGTTGGGAGAATATGGTAGTGATTTTAGAGGAAAAGGTAGTGATTATAGAGGAAGGGTTTGGAGAATATGGCAGTGAGGATTAATGATGCTGGGACCTGTAGACTTTTGAGCCTTTGGTGGATTTCTTGCTTTGTATAGGGTATTTAAAATTATAAAGATATCATATCATTTGTATAGTCAAGCACATAGTGTTTTCATTACAAGATCAGTTTGTCACTTTCAAAAATAATGTTCTATTTTTAAAGAATAACTTTTGAAGTAACTATACTGACTTGCATTTCATATGGGCCTGTCTATGGGTATTTGATATCTGCAAATGATGGCTGTATTCATGCTTATCGAATTGTATTACCAATGCAGGAACTATATAAATCTTTTATTTTCATTTCTGCAGGAAAAGGAGAAAAACTTGCGTCGTGGATCTAAAGATCGTCTTTCCAATATCATGTTGTCTACCTATCCTTCCGCTGATGTGGATATTCAGGTCCTCGATTCTTCTCTTGCTTTTATATGAGGAAACCTAGTTGGTGTAGTTTCTTGAGGCAGATGTTCAGTTTAGATTTTAGATATTTGGGTTCTTGGACTAAAGAACATAACATTATATATACAAGCTAAGATCATAATTATCTTTCTGAATCTGAGGTGTTTGTTAGAAATGTATTTTACTTTCTGTTGAACTGAGAGATGTAGGGTAAGAGCTAGAGGTAGAGGTGGACAGGTCAAGATGTATGGCTTGTGTAAAATCATTAGGGTTGGTTTTGGGTTGGAATTAGATTTTCCCTTATAACTTGTCATGTTAGAATTTTTCACATCATTCTGATGTTTTCTTTGAAAAAGTATCATCATATTTTTACAAGAATGTCATTTGAATTGTCATAATGGAATTTGTTGAACAGCAATCTGGTTTTGAATTTCAATAGTTGTTGACTAACATTCAGGAGTGAATATTTACCTGTTATCTGATTGGTTGCACGTGCATGTATTTTAGGGAGCCACCCAGGAAGACCAGACAAGTGAAGTCCCACCACTATCCATTACCACCACTGACGTTGTTGTTACTGTTGCGCCTAAAGAGGTGCTATACCCAATCAATAGAATAGCAGCCATCTTGATAATCTAGAAATATTTGAATCACATAAACTTTGGTTTTGTATTCATAACTTCACAGAGAGATATCAGCTGAATTAGATGTTATAAACAAAATTGGATTAAATGTTCTTGGAAGATGGCTGTCTATTTATAGAATATTTACAAATAAGTTATTATAAGTTTCATATATCACAGACAAGTTGCTTGAGCATAGGAAAGAGAGGACCAAGCATGATGCTTTGAGCGCAGATAGCATGTAGTTTGCAGAGCAGTGGATCTTATATTAAGTGACTAAATAGGAAATGTGATACTAAATACAGGGTGTTCCTCTATATATGATATGTGGTACTGTATTGGGAACACTCTGTATATTTCAGTTTTATAGTCTTATAGATGTTGATATAAGTATTGATACAGATACAGATGGCAGAGTGCTTGGAGACTGAGATTTGATACCCTAGTTATAGGAAACTGGTGTGGTTATTAGTTCACATGTTATTATATTATATTACTAGGTGTGGCTATTACTACATGTATGATGCATTTGCAGTGTTAAGTTATGAGTTGGTTGATGGGTTGTTTTGTTTTTGGCTTCCTATTATTACATAATTCTGCCAACAGTGTTAAAATCTGAAATATGTGTCAACTTGGGTTATGGCTTTTTCTAAAGTGTGCTTAAAACAAGCTAGAATATATCATTCAAGCTTTAAATTGATAAGACTAGAGTACATATAAATTATCAATATAATCAATATTCATGTAACTCAGATTTTTGATACATAAATTATATAATTTTACATGTACACTGCTTAAAGAGAGAATCAGAGATAGCGAGCAGGCTAAACAAAAAATTGTTTCAATTTTAGAATATTTTTGGCTCATGTCATTCCTTGTCATGTCTATTTTCTAAAAATCACAAAAGTGCATACTTTATTCAAGGAAAACGAAAGATTTTTACAATGATGTATTATTTTTCTATAAGAATGGTTACCATTCTCATTATTTGGGAGAATTTAAACATTTTTCATCCACTTTTACACTTTGAATCGTTAATAACTTCACCAATTTATAACATATTGCGAATCTTTTGGGAGATATTGTATTTGATATTGTAAGGAATAGATTGATAGGTCAATTATACATGTTGCTTGTAATTTTGTCACCCCCTATAGATCTGATTCTGCCTTTAATAACAGATAAACAGCTTGTGCACCTGAACACACATAGCGTCAATTGTTAAAGTAAGATATATGAGCTTTCTCACAAATCAACCGAACACTCGCATTAAACAAGTATGTGTCTTGAAAATATTGTGAAATACATTATATCACCTTGGAAACATCACAATAGAATTGCATTCTCAAGAAATAATCACCTGATATCAGAATGGTTTTGTGTGATGGGGCTATATGGATTGTTCAGTTAGCTTCACTATTGTATACTGATTCTAGGAGGAGAAAGATAAAAAGAAGAAGAAAAAGAGTAAGATTCCCAAACGTAGCACGAGTGAAGAGGAGCCACAGGTACATTGTACTTGAAACTTCTATAATACTCAAATGAATATTGAATGAAACTTAAATCAAGATGCTCTAAGAGTGAAACATGGATAAGATTGGGCCTCAAAGACTCTATCCTGTTATTTTAAAAAATGATCTAATAATAAAACCAACATTGTAGCCTTTGTGATTCAAATTAAATCTTTAAATTTTTAGTTTATAACTCTTACTTTCCTACACAGCTTTCAGTTCTATTTTCCCTTTTTTGTACAATTTAATTTATAGTTTCACTTGTTAAAAGCATATGTTTGAACACTCAAGTATTTGCTTTGATTAGGTTGCGACAGAAAATGTCAAAGGAGAAAAGACTGAGAAACGTGGATTCTTCTCAAAACTCCCAACACGTAGAAAGTCTGGAGAAAAGGTCGGCATTACATAGATATGTAGATTAGTAGCACTTGTTACTCTGCTTTTTCCTGTAACTTTCTACTTTCATTAAAATCACCCAATCTTGAATTGCGCCCGCCTTTGAATTGTAAACCGTATATAACATAGACAGTTATGAACCTGCTATGGTGATTGGGAACTTTTATTAGATAGATTTATGTTGTGATTACCTAAAACATTGTGATGATAAAAAAGATTAAAATGACACGCAAAAATCAACCATTAGACAATACAACTTCCTGGAGAATCATTTAATGATCTAAATAGTTTTTATTTGGTAAATAAGTTCAATTAAGTTGCCCTCCTTGCTCACACACAACAGTTAAGGGATAACTGACTTGTTGTGTTTCAGAAAGACAAGAAGGGGAAGAAAGACCAGGAACCAGTTACTGATGAGGTTAACGACTTTATTTTGTCAAGTCAAATAATTTTTTTTCAAAAAAGCATTTTTATTTACATGTATTTACTACTTGTATTATTATGCGCATCCTTAGTGACATATGGATGGATAATATTAAACAATGACAAACCATCAATAAACTTAATAAAAAGGAGTTTCAACAATAGTTAAGCAATGGTGGATCCAGAAACAATGTCTTAAATCTTAATTTCTGGCTCCACTGAATGAAATGAAGGAACTCCACTGATCCAATATTGTATTTTAGGTTGTTGTTAAACCAGCTGAAGATACAGCTGTTGATGAAGCAGCTATTGCAGCTGCAACTTTAGCTGCAGCTTCAGAAGCGCCACCTCCTGGCTCTGAACTGGAACCAGCTGACCAGGTCTATATACAATCATCACGCCATCTCTATGACAACATCTTAGTAACAATTGGGTTCCTTAGAAACCATTCTTTAATTTTATGATCAAGTTTAATCATATCAGTTTTGAACATGAGAATGATCAATTCTTTACAGTACATCAACAATTAGTTTCAAAAGAACAAGATCTTTGAGCAATATTGGGGGAGAAATGGTATTCTTTATTGTTTACTACTCATAGATGTTGATCATAGAGTATGTTGTGTATGTATGTACTGACAGCTTGGGGTATTGAGAGTGTGACTTGCATTAGCTGTCCGCTATTGTTGGGGTGCTTCATCGCTGTATTGTGTAATGCACGCACTTGTTCATTTATAGTTCTTTCAGCATAGGGACCTGTCATTTTGAAACCTGATGGGTTTAGTTGGATTTTATTATTTATCAAACTAAGTTATGAAATCTGTGACTACCTTTATTCTGTTTTCACTAATGTCTTATTTTTTATTTTTATTGTGACTCAATGCCTGTTCTTGGGGTAGAAGCCTTTTAAGTTTGGGAGTAATACTGCATAACTTGTGTTTATGTATTGTGTGTCACCCAGTAGGCCTCATATGTGTGTACTAAATACATCCTAGTAGGGCTAATAATAGCCATATAAGGTCGGATAATCAACATTGGATGTCATGGTTAATTGTTTTTATTACTACACTGGCGATTCTCTACTTCCATGCTTATGGTTTTAGTCATTTTTATTCCATCATATTTAGTGATCCTATATTCATTTTATGGTCGAGTGTTATTTGTTACCTTCTACTCCATGTAAATTATCATCATTTTCTCATCTTGTTAATAAAAGCATCAGTATTTTTGAAGTTACATTTTGGTTAATTTCTTTAAGAGCAAAAGTTCCCCTCAATCAGACTTCTTCTACTTTTTCTGGACACAATATAAATGTACTTAATGTGGCAACTTCATTATGGCTTTAGTTTACTTGGGTTCATAAGTTGCTGAAATCTTTCTTTTTGCATATTCTATAGCCTTATAGATTCCCAGCTTCTGAAATATCTTCATTGACGCCAAGTCAAAATGTAATGTTTTATTTTAATTGTACATCAAGTATAAGAACAGAACTCTGAACCAAATGTTTATAGAAGGTTTTCACGCTATATGTACTGCTATATGTACTATATGTGTACCACTATATGTACTTCAATGATCACAAGATAATACTGTGCTGTACTACACTATACACTGTTCGTGTTACATGTGCTTCTGTTTAATATGCTTGGTTAGTAAACACTACACCAGGCCTGTGAGTTCAAAAAACACTTAAAATTCTGACAATATTTTGTGTTAATTGTATGCATCTTTTTCAGATTGTTATTATTAATGATTCTAGGCATGCATAAATTTACCAATGGTGGCGGACTTACATTTTATCTTTTTCAGCATAGTCTAGATTTTAGGAGCTTATTGAAACAATGCTAATACATTTATATAAGCAATTGTCTACACGCTTATGTAACAATAACATTCTTTTTTCTTTATTTTGCCCAAAAATTACATTTTAATCTCCCTTTTGTATATTTTAGCTTTGCATTTTGATGTACTTCATTTCTTACAGATTTTTTTATAACCAGAATAATTTTTTTATTGTTGAATTATTTTCACCATAAGCCCTTGAAGTAACGATAAAATGAAAAATCAAATAAACCTATATAAGTTGATCAGAAATTATGCAGGAACTAAAACATTAGTTTGATCCAAACACAAATTGATGTTTAAATGTAATGAACTGGAAATAACAAACATTTTGTTTATTTACAGGACCGTGCAAGTCGTGATGTTGATATTGCTACACGAGACATCAACACACAAGAAGATGTCACAGACTCTAAGGATGTCATTCTCGGCCCTGGTGGTGAAATAATCGGCTATAAGACCACTACAACAACTACTACTACGAAAACCATACAGCAAACTGTTCGTGGAACAGAGCACGTCGAAAGCGACATGACTGCAGTAAGTGACATCTATATGATAACTAACAAGATTGCCATCTCTGATATTTTTGTCGATATTCATTTTACATGGCTCATAATGTTAATAGATGGCAGTCTGCTTCAGTTTGTCTATAGCTAGTTTACCCCCATTTTGTTGCTTTGTTATGTTTGCTTCTCATCTCACACTATTAAACACATTAGGCTACTACTTGTCAGTTCATTAAAAAGTACCTACCAATACGACTATTTACATGAGGAATTTTATGAAATTTGTATAGCAAAAAGTGTTCTCATTAATTGAATAGTGTTCAAATTATGGAACTTTTCATATCATAACTAAGTAGTGCCTCAGTCACATTTGATCTACGGCGGCTGTAGCTTCTCAAAATTGAGAGAAATATGCAGCATAAAATATAGGAATTGGCAGTATAAGGTAGATTTTTATATCGATTTTGTGAAGCTACAAATTTAAATTAAAGCTTAAATTCCAATGCCCTAACTTTACTGTCCTAAGCTATCCTTATCTTGACTGACAGCATAAGATGTCAGAATGTAGCCTGATGTATTTTTATTTAACTTGAATTTAGTTTGAAATCTTCACCATTTTCATCTTAAACACTGCATTTTTAATCAGTTTAGTTGCTAATCCTAAATTTTGCATGGAATTCTCTAATACCGTAGGAATATTTTTTTAGATTGGGTTGGGATTCTGTTTTAAGCTTCTTATCTCATGATACTTGACTGAAATTATCAAAAGACTTCTAGTAAAACATTTTCTCATCCATAGTTGTACATTTTCACCTTAGTTATATACATATTTCTTTCCTTTATTGGCTTCTTTAACTATGAATTGTGTATAGACCCCTGAGTTTAAACTGATCCTTAGATTTAAAGACATTTTAAATTACCTCATTTTATTCTGTATTAAAAAAGCATGTTTTATTTTTGGGGAAATAAAAACTAATATAAGTACATGTAGTCTATTCTATATTTACCTGCTTCGGTTCAAATAAATCTTACTTTTTTAACAAATTGTTAAGTTTCTTAATCTTTATAGTAGAATATAAGAGAGATAAATAATAAGTTAGCACTATAATGATAATCCATAAATCTGTCTATTAGTTTCATGTAAATTATACTCAAAATTTATTTCATAAATGTTAAATGAGAGGAATAAAGCAGTAAATCTACAGTAGTGTAAAACAATTGAATCAATTTTGGGCTTGGTTTTCATTGGTGCCTTAGTCTGAAAATAAGTCACACATAATGCTTTAATTTGAGACAGTTAAGAAAATCCCTTTCAACATTTTGCACACACAGAGCTTATTTAACCCCAACCTTTCCGGGAACTAAGTATAGTATAATTTGGCTAAGGTACTCATGTAAAACAGTGCCCATGACCTTGGTCTACGCATGTGTATGTATACGGGTCTATGGACCCAGCAAAGCATGACAGGTCCCCTTACATGTGTGGTGGCTATATTTGTGTATAGATGGCCCTAGTTGTTCTCAATCTGAAATCTCACTGTCGGTTCTCTGGTTATCTTCTCTAGCCCCCTACTGTGAAAACTGAGAGCATCAAATACAACCCTGAGGTTCACTCCCAGCTCAAATCAACCACTGACGTCCCAATAGTAAAAACCCAGACCCGTACTGTTGTATATGAGAACGATCCCGGAGCCTGCCCTGATATGGGCATGTTAGTTAGCGCCTCTGCACATACAAGTGGCAATGAAACCATAGAAACCACCACGGTAAGGCACACCCTCTTGTTGTCATGGGCACATAGATTCTCATCAATAATGTTCTTAATATGAATGATTTCAAATTGAATACACAAGGGGTTAACATCTACATGTTTAATCATTCTGATTTTGTGTTCTGTCTTGAAAGTTAATTGGGATCTCCTGTTATTCTAATTGAGATACCATATCTGCGTGAGTTGTCGTTGTATATAATTGTCATTGAATATTATTGTCATTATATACATTGTACTGCACATCTCTCTACACAGTTTCCCTCTTACTCTTATAGTGTATAAAACATTCACAATGATGGCTAACTTTATGCTCTAACTTCATTTTGATATCTGTTATCAAATAGTCAAAAATGTAAGAACAGCTCTCAGAATGTTTGTGTGGGAATGGGATATAAGTATGTTAGTTAAGATATTCCTTCCTTGTAAACCTCTCTATTGTTTGTCGATTCATATTTTAATTACTTTGAAGACATCGGTATAATTGTTGGTTATTGGAGATCCCTAAATACTGTACTAATATCCCTGGCACAGTCTACAATTAAGCAAAGTTTGATGTACATTATACATTTATGTACATTTTACATGTACTTCTATCTCAGCTAAGATGCTCATGTAATGTTAGACTTCTCTATGACGCATGCTTAATGTATAGTCTGGAATCTAAACTTCTTCTTCTAGCATGGCTGGCTTTCTCTGTATTAAACATGGCACAGTTAGCTCCACAGATTAATCAATTTAAAAATAAGGACAATATTGAAGTTTCTCACTATTTCACCATTTGCAACAACATGTATTTAAAAAGAGGATACATATAGGTCCAGATGGCATTCTTGTGAACGTTCTTGTATTTTTTAAAACAGGGTCACATGCCAAAGCATTTGAGAATAGGGTTCTAGTGCTTTGAAATCATTTACATGGGTATGAAATAGCAATATAGTATGAGCTAAAAAATAGTGAGAAACTCCAACAGAAATAATAATAAAAATGTTAGGACATCTATATATACTCTGAATCATATCATATCGTGAAGTAAATTAACAAAATTGCAAAAAGCAAAACCATGTTCATATAAAGCAAAGACATGTGAGTGCTATGAATTAAATTGTTTCAATATGTCTTTGATATATATGCATTTGTGCTTTCAGTACAAGAATACAAAGGATGGAGTTACAGAGACTAGAGTAGAGCGTAAATTTGTGATTACAAGCGATGGTGATGAAGAAATTGATCACGATTTGGTAAGCATTTAAAATAATACTATCTGTTTTTGACCAACAATTAATAAAAAATGGAGAACTATAGTTTAACTAAACTCAATTCTCATATATCAAAAATGGAAAAGATTTCTGATCTTGTGATATAAACCATTTCATGTCAACCATGTCAAAATAAGTGTCAATGTAATACATTCTAAATTCATTTGTATCGTTAAATAACTTAATTAGTGATATTGGATTGTTTTCCAGGCTTTGGCTGAGGCCATCAAATCAGTGACAGACATGAATCCGGATCTGTCAGTAGAAAAGATAGAAATCAAGACAGAGTCACATGACAAATAAATAGGTGAGGTGAAAGAGCAATCCTTAAAGGGACACAGTTCCTAACTCTGATACTATTCTTCTTAAAGGGACATAGTTCCTAACTCTGATACTATTCTTCTTAAAGGGACACAGTTCCTAACTCTGATACTTTTCTTCTTAAAGGGACATAGTTCCTAACTCTGATACTATTCTTCTTAAAGGGACATAGTTCCTAACTCTGATACTATTCCTCTTAAAGGGACACAGTACGTAACTCTGATACTATTCTTCTTAAAGGGACATAGTTCCTTACTCTGATACTATTCTTTTTAAAGGGACACAGTTCCTAAGTCTGATACTATTCTTCTCAAAGGGGCTCAGTTCCTAACTCTGATACTGAAATACAGCAACATTAAAGTAAAAACAAAGATTTGTACACTGTATTTTGATACAGATCTTCTTTTCTGAAAGTATCGCAGCTTGAAAAATATGTAATTATAGAGTGAGTATATCGCCTATTATTAAAAATTATAATGGACTTTCAATCTCTAGTTTCTATTGAAAAGAAGTTCAACATCTTTTATATTGCAAAGAACATGCAGTTTTTGTATTTAAGTAATATATCGGGTCATGCTTCGTTATATTGTTATTTAATTTTGTGTATTGTTTGTTATAGGTTTGTCTGTCTGTGTGTCCGGACTGAGGGTTACTCAAATTTAGAACATCGCTTCCACTCCACATTCATGCCAACCAACCAAACCTCCATTAACATGAACAATTATGGAATATTAAAACTATCCAAGAATGAAAATATTGAATACAGACTAAGTCTACCATGGATTACTAAATCAGGATATATTTTAACATTTGGTCATACAGTCTAAATGCGCAGCAGATTATAGAGTAGAATGTATGATATTTTAGTAGAAACATGATGTTACATTGGAACTTATTTGAAATGGAGAACATTCAGATTCCATATTGTATTGTATATTGCCGAGTGAAGGTTGCTTATAGTGTATTACGCTAGTGGTCATGTGACGTTGCATTGTTAAGATGCGGTACCAGGAAGAAAACGTGTAATATATCCCGCGTGTAGCTTATGGAACAATGGAGAGAATTGAATATAATGTATAGAATGTATTGTATGTGTATTCGACCATCTATGGGATATGCTTTTTATTCATGTGCAACATATAGATTATAAAAATATCTGTAACCCATGCATTTACGAGGCTGTCTTGTTCATGTGTATGGATCCAAATCTATGACAGGATACATTGGGTTTCATTTCTCAAAAGAAATGAGATGCAATATATTTTTGTAAGGGTTTATAGTTTGCATATTCGATGAACAAGATGTGTGTAGCTTACATAGGCTTGTTTTGTTGCCTCAGCAAACGTTTTTACGATTTTCATAAAACATATTTTTGATGAGCAACCTTTGTATTTGCACCTTATAGCCAATCATGTTCATTTGTGTACATTTACAAGGGTGCAGTTGTGTAAGGGCCTAAGACCCACCATTCTTTAGATGTACCATTTTTATGGGGTGGGACCCATCATTAAGCTATTATATCTGAACACAAAATAAATATAATCGTAACAAAGTTTGCCACTTTAATACCATTTTAGTCATTCTTCGGATTCCTGAACCTGATACATTGTACATTTATAGTTATTGTTTTTTAATTCTATGTGAAATCCATATAAAAATGATTTTTAAAAGTCCAGTTCAAATTGAAATGATTTGCGTATTCGTAAGTTCATAATTGAGTTGTAAATGTTAGTATTACGAAACTTGAAGCCCTCTGCGATCTTGTAGAACTTTCTCATATGTGCCATATAATACCACATGTTCTTAAGCATTGATGCTAACTGAATTTAAGATGAACCATTCTTATGATTCTTGGCAGTTTTTGCCAGAATTTTACACTTTTTATGGATATATCTTTATGGTGTTCCAAATATTTAAAAAGTGGCAATTTTTGACAAGAATTGTCTGAGTTTAAGGGAGAGAAATGGCTGTACTTAATTCAATTTTAATTCAAGATCGCTGGGTAGAGGAGTTATGTAATAATCATAATTTTAGTACAAGAACGTACTTGACATAGATATTTGACACACTTGTATTATATGCTATTTAGATGACGCTAACTTTTATCAATATATTGTCATGTTTTATATTTTGTAAATATTATGATATAAAGATTTAGTCTATGATTATAAAACACAAATTGATTAGGACATTTAGAAATTATTGATTGAATAATTTCAATTTTCTTTTAGTATGAAACCAATGGGATAAATTAATAGCACGCACCATAGATTATGATTGATTATTATTTCTTTGTAAAAATCTGACGCCTACTCTTGTATATGATATAATCATGCTAATTGGGATCAACGGTCTTCATATAAACAATAAAATCATCCTCTTTTATACAAAATAAACAAGAAATTGTATTTTTGTTGTTGATTTAGTTTTTACAGAGTGATCACTAAGTTCTGGGAATTTATTTGTCATTTCATTATTTTTCAACCAATTTACTTGAAATTTTCAAGGTAGATGGAGAATGTAATTTTGGGTTGGATAAAACAGTCTCATAGCATCTGATGTCACAATGGATAATTATTGTTACTATAGCAACATGACAAATGGCGTAGCGGGTCAAGTAAAATAAAAATGAATTCAAATTTTGCTTGATCCAAAATTATGGTTAATAAATACCTATTTGGTGGACATATTTCTGTGATTTTTATATTTTTCAAATACTTCCTACCTTTAGTTTCTAAAGTAACATCTTTATTGTTATATAAGAGTGTACTTTGCTCAATTTTCGTATCATTCATCAGCATCTCAAAGTCACAATCATGGTAAAAATAGCAGGAAGTTATCTTCCATTATGACTATGCTCCTTCCCATTACTCAAGCTGCTCATACTACTCTTGAAGAATTAGGGTTCACACAATATATTACTGCCCCGTATTCACCAGACAATATTCACCAGAAGAAGCACTATTAGGCTTCACTACATTTTGGGTGCTAAAGCATTACATAAGAGGTCATAAGTTTGATTCCGATAGGGGACTGATTTCAACGGCTTGAGCAAATCTTCAAGGGATACCAAAGGGAGGACTGGAACACATCTTTATTGACTTCAATAGTACTGTTCTGCCTCCAGTACAAGTAGTTTGAAGCAACCATCTAGGCAACATGAATATGTTTTGGCAGGAAATTTTCAAATTAACATCAGTTAAAATTAGCTGACCCGCGAACCACTTTTACTTTTTTTGTAATTACAATAAAATAAATTGTAGATGTGATATGTATATGAAACATTGCTTGTCAATTCAGAATTATACAATGTACACTTGCTGAAAATTTCAACTCAAATGGTTGAAAAATCTTGAAATGGCAGACCAATTCCCAGAACTTAATGATCACCCTGTATGTCACCACCAAAAGTGGTGACATATTGTTATGGTCTCCGTTTTTTTTATGTCACCACCAAAAGTGGTGACATATTGTTATGGTCTCCGTTTTTTTGCGACGGCGGTTGGTGGTTGGCGTCCGGCGGTTGGAGGTTGGCGTCTGTAACAATTTCTTACAACTTCCTATAACTTAACAAATACTGTTTAGACTGACTTCAATTTTTTTCTAAATCATCTACATGTTCTCAGAAGTTCAAATCTGACTTTAGATTTGACATTTGACCTTCAATGACCTTCTCAAGGTCAAAAAGGTCTTTTTTCAACTTGCTTCACATTGACTAAATTTTTTTTCAAAATCATCTACATGTTCTCAGAAATTCAAATCTGACTTTAGATTTGACATTTGACCTTCAAATCTGACTTTAGATTTGACATTTGACCTTCAATGACCTTCTCAAGGTCAAAAAAGGTCTGTTTTCAACTTGCTTCAAATTGACTAAAAAAAATTTTCAAAATCATCTACGTGTTCTCAGAAATCCAAATCTGACTTTAGATTTGACATTTGACCTTCAATGACCTTCTCAAAGTCAAAAAAGGTCAAAAAGGTCTTTTTTCAACTTGTTTCAAATTGACTAAATTTTTTTTTCAAAATCATCTACATGTTCTCAGAAATTCAAATCTGACTTTAGATTTGACATTTGACCTTCAATGACCTTCTCAATGTCAAAAAAGGTCAAAAAGGTCTTTTTTCATCTTGCTTCAAATTGACTAGATTTTTTTTTCAAAATCATCTACATGTTCTCAGAAATTCAAATCTGACTTTAGATTTGACATTTGACCTTTAATTACCTTCTCAAGGTCAAAAAAGGTCAAAAAGGTCTGTTTTCAACTTGCTTCAAATTGACCAAATTTTTTTTTCAAAATCATCTACATCTTTTCAGAAGTTCAAATTTGACTTTACAAGTTCTCAGAAGTTCAAATCTGACTTTAGATTTGACCTTTGACCTTCAATGACCTTCTCAAGGTCAAAAAGGTCTTTTTTCAACTTGCTTCAAATTGACTAATTTTTTTTTCAAAATCATCTACATGTTCTCAGAAGTTCTTCTTAAGGTCAAAAGGTATTTTCCAACTTGCTTTAAATTGACCAAATTGTTTTAGGTGGTGACATTTTGTCATGTTAATGCCTTGTTATAATACTGCCAAATCGTTGGCAATATATTCATTACAGAGGACTTACTCTTTGATTTCTCTTTAGTTGTCTTGCTCATTTTCATTTTTGAACATAATATTTCAATAATACATCATACAGCTTGATAGTATTCTTTAGTCATATTTTGATGTTCATCATGCCCTAGATAAGACACTTTCATGTATGGAAAAAAGTATGAGAGTACAGTATTTCCTTCAAATCAACCATGTCCATACCAAACTAGTTCTAGACAATATCAGTGTAAAATTGTTATTTCAGATATCATCCTGAAATCTGCATATTTTCAAATACACCCCTAGTGTCTGTTTACCTTTTCGATCATTCAGGCAACCATGAAGATTTATTTATCCCATTTCTGGAACAATTGTGAAAGTGATTTCTGCAATTTAAGTGAAAATTTTTATCAAAATCTATACATTTTCTGGCTGACCCTGTAAACAAGATGTACTTTATAGCATCCATATCTGTCTGAATGGTCTGGATGCAATGAAGAGTGTCAGTATTAGTCTCAACGTAGTCAAGAAGTCGTGGCATTTAACAGTTCCTTTCAAGAAAGCTTAGCTGAAAAACAGAAAAGTGATTGGTATCAGTTTTTCGGAATCACTCACAAGATCTTACCCTTGTTGCTAGTCTAGCTACAAGTCCTTGAGAGCCCCCCCCCACTACACACTTCCCCCATAAGGTAGGCGTTAGTGACATAGGTAAGGGGGGGGTCCAAAGTCTACCCTACCACAATAAAATCACAAATAATAACCATATCTAAAGACATTTATCATCTACATGATCTATATTCATTTAATTTAATCTCAACCCAAACGTATTTTCATTAACTCCGTTTAAGTACAGGGTGGTCCAAATAACGGAACCCCTACATTTTCCTCATATATTTGTCATTATAGGAAATTACTCCCTGATATTTGACACATTTGTACATCATTCAATTTCCTTCCACCATACCATATTTTATGACCATCAGACAGAGTTTCAGCTATTTGAACAGCATGCTCCAGGTGTGGCCATCATCGCGCTGTAGGCAAACCTGCACAGTTGTCAATGGCCCGAATGCATTCTTCAGCAGCTATGGCCTGAAAGGCACGGATAATCTTACTTTTGAGGCCTGCAATTGTCCTGAGGTCATTCTCATACACTAGATATCTTTGGCATATCCCCACAGGTAGAAGTCAAGTAGGGTCATTTTGACGACGTGCGCAGGTTTGCCGACAGCGCAATTTAGTGGTCAGTGATGTATGTATGTATGAAACTTTAAAGGGCTGTAACATTGTGACTATCAGTTTGATGGTCATGAATTATAGTAGATTGGTAGGAAATTGAATGATGTACAAATGCTCAAAATAGCCTATTAGGGAGTTTTTTCCTAAAATGATAGAGACAGGGAAAATAGCGAAAGGGTTTCCGTATTTTGACCACCCTGTATGTCTGTTTACAGGCGATTGTCTAATAAAAAGTAAGTCTATGTTTTTCTAAAGTGCTAAAATCTACTTGTATTTGTTCACGGCATGCAGTTTGTTTTAAAAGGATTGCATTTCATAATTATGTTTATGAAAAAGACCGACCTCACCGACCGGTCAAAGGTAGCTTTGAAACAGGGTTTGAGGAAAATGCGTAGAAGATCGACCATATTTGAAGCCATAAATTATTTATATAATTCGATTTTGAATAAATGGAGGCAACGTTTTTCGCTCATTTTGTTTTTTTCAATAGTAAGCAAACACTTGGGTTCCTACCCGGGGCTCCTGACCTGGCAACCTATCATTTCAACGGATATCTTAATTGTTTAATGGAATTTAGCGTACCTGCCTATATTATGAACAGATGTATTTCTATTATATTGATTTGTTACTGTCATACTGATTCATCCTCCTAAGCAGGTGTCAAGAATCCGTACCTCCTTCTTCCCCCTGGGGGTAAAAAAAGAATATTTTCTGGATTTTGAAGCCCTGTGATTGGAGGTTGTACTGATTACTTAACACGGTGTAATGTTACGTGCGTACAACTGAGAAATCAAACATTACGTATTGCGTATTAATCTTTAAAAAAATGACAACGTGATTTTAAAGACCGACAATGTCAGTGTTTTTGTTTTTTTATACTGGACATATTGTTCGTGCGTTTTCTCATCATCATCAAACTAACTTACCAGAATGAATATTATGTATATGTATGTATGTATGTATGTATGTATATTAACAACTGAGACATCACTTAAAAATATGACATTATACAGAATGACAGACCACGATGATGCTACGTTTTTCATCGTGATTTAAAATAGTTAAACATATTTTAATCACGATCTTGTAAACGTGATATATTCATTGGATTCCCAAGTTAGTTTTTAGTTTTATTCTCCTCTTCTAATTTTTAATTGCATAGGCCTATTGGCTATCCAAAAACATTTTTATCACAAATGTCTCTTGACAATGTTTAATTATGCTTAGTATGATCGACCATTTCATTCGAGAAATGGGAACGTTTTATTTTGATAACGCTGAGTCAGAAAATCAGAAAATTTTTAAAAATCAGCAAGACATAAATCAATTTGGGATATTAGATTAACGGTCACCTGAGAGTGGATCAACTGCAAACGTCACTAGATCATATTCGAATACATTTTTGGACAAATAAAATTATTATGTAGGCCCGTTTTATATTTTATGCTCATAAAACAGAATACATTTTCCATATGATTTGTATCCTCCAACACACTACTTAAATCAACGTTGTTGGTGGATAATTTGTTGAAAGCTTCTCAAGGAAAGCGCCATTATGTGTTACTTTTAAATGACAGTCAACGAAAACATCAGACAAAATAGTGTTATTTGTGTGATGGCTTTAGGTTTTGCTGTCCAATATTCTTCTCTCCTCTAAACAGTAAAATTTCAGCTACAGTATGCACTACTACGATTTCAAATGATTATTTTGAGAAATGAAACATTTAAATGCTTATTAAATAAATTCTCAATTATATTTAGTTTCTTAGTAAATTGAAGGTGTTAAGCATGTGTTGGAGAATACAAATTGCACATAATAAAACGTGTTCTCTTAATGAGTATGAAATATCAAGCAAATCCCTTTCAAGAGCTGATTACAAACATAATTTATTAACAATTTGAAAATTATTGGAGCACATTTTGTTATGTTGTCTGTTTTTAAGAATTAATAAGCAATGTCGTTGATATCAACACACATGGCGCGGGCTTTGGTAGAATAACAAAATTTGACTCAATTGAAAATATCAATTATCGTATATTTGCCCATATAGCCTAGGCCAAGGCTAGGGCTAATAGGCCTAGGCCTACTTTCATGTAAAAGGTGTACATAGAATTGGACACAGTGCTCGATAAACCTGGCCCATTCTACAACCGCATATTTTGTCACTATACGTTGTCGATTGTTAGGCGTGTTATAAGGGCACTGCATTGTCGGACGAATTTTTAATAATTCATTGCTTTGTATGACTCATTGAAACTTCAAATTAGACACATCGTGATACGGATATATACATTGAAAGAGTTTTTTTTTCTTAATGTGATAACGCCCCAGATTTTCACCTGATGCCAATTTATCCCGTGCCAGGACTATAACGGGATAAATGCCAATGGTTTGTCCGGAATGCCCAGCCTACAGTTAAACTTATTAATTATTCATGTGCGTGTAACAGAGTCTAAATCATTCCCTGGATACCCGCTATTTGGCCTAATATTTTGAATTTACCGCCATCAAAAAATTATCAATGAATCTAGTTGCCGGCACATCCGGGTTATTTAAAGATGGCGGCCCCCTTGTAGGAGCACATCACGGATGTTTTTATCAATTTTACTAATAATAGGCCAATAAAGACGAAATACAGTGAGTATAATTATGGTTCACCATCTTGAAATGAAGTGGAGGGTTCCGAATTTTTAAATATCTACATTTTATACGCTGCCTAAGGATTTCAAACTATAATTTTGTTTTTTCTTCAACAAAATTTTTCATATGTACAAAATTGCTTTTTCTTTTGTTGTTCCCGTTCGGAGCATTGAATTTGGCACTCTCCCTTTCTTGTCCAGTATTTGACTCGTTACACAACAGCAAGCCTGTCAACTCAAGGGCGTTACAATACCCGGGAATTTATCGGTTCGTGCAGTACTTGTTTGTGATAGCGCCCTCTGTAGGTCACTGTGCTTATAGCCTACAGTAATACGGGGTAGGATATCGGGAATTCGGTCAGTTTCTATCCGTCGATTTCGCTATGAATTGAAGCAAGTGTGACCACTTTATCCACTTAAACAATTTGATAATTGATTAAATCTTTAAACAAAATCGATAAACACGTTATACACTTCCTATCTCCTTAGAAATTAGCATGTATTTATGGATTGTGTTTTCGAACAAGGCTCGACCCATACCAATAGGGAAATCCTTATGCTAATTAGTATGACGTCATATTTCCCTGGGGAATCCTAGATTTCAAAGCCTCAGTCTGTTATTGTGTCAAATGTGAACCCTCTTTTGCAGACAGAAAATTGACAGATTAGCTTTTAACTTTCAGCTTTGATGTTTAAATATTCTGTATTTCTACCGGACTTCTTGCTGAATATCATATAATGTTATAACTTGATTTGGACCATTGCCTGATTGATCATTCTGAAATGTTGATTGTGATTCATGATTGATTGGCAAGAAAAATAATTCCTATTGTTTTCCAGCGAAGTCAAAATGTTACAGCATGAGTTATAATGTCGAGTTTGCATCATGTTAAATTCTGCTAGTGATTAGAAGTCCATGCACAAGCATACACATAAGAGACAAACACACCCAGGCTCCAGGCCGTGGATGGAAATATAAAACTATTTAAGGCACAAACTGGTATTAATAGACCGATATGCAGTGTCTGCCATGTATTGAAGGTAAACCAATCTGCATTATTAATGTTTCTTCTATCAATACATGGATTGTGCAATGGAAAAGCAATGGCACAATCAAAAATGTGCATATCAATCGTGAATATCTCTCGGTTCAAAGCTTATTTCCAACAGAATCGTGTCAAAATATGTGTCTGAGTTACAGTTATACATTATAAGATCGCAAACTCTTACCAATTATCAGCCGAATGGCTCATTTTCAACGAAATGTCCTTTAAAAGACAACAGCCCTGGGTCGCGCCTGAGACCAAAAACTATTTCAAATAGCCCTCCCCTAATTATATTGGATAATCACATTTATGCGTGCGCGCGCAGCTCATCCACTGAACGAAACGCCACTTCCCGCTGAAATCACCGGGTATTGATCTTTCCCTTGGTCAACTTGGGAACACCTAAAATGAGTGACTTACAAATGTTGAACACCTTTCTTCCACAGGTCAACACCTGACATCTATTGCCAAACCTGAAATAGTCTAGAACGAGATTCTATACTTTAAGGTTCAGCTGGAAAGTAACATTTTGGTAAAAATTGCTATACCTGCACATGTTATTTTCTGGTACAAAATTAAGTATGAAGGCATGTGTGTATTTCCTTGCTTTTTTCAGGAAAGTATCATTACACTGTCTACTTTTAGTAAACCTAAAACAGGTCAATGGTAGCTCCTGTGTTGTCTGGAAACTTTGAAAGAAAATTTGGAAAAATAGAAAGTGTGAAATATCAGAATTTCCTGGAGTTCCCATTGAACTCCTACTAGATATTCTTACAGTTGGGGACAAAAATAAATGACAGGTCGATTTTCGATCACCATTTCCTAATTATGGTGGTCTGAAAGCCCATAATTTCCAATATTGTCTAGATACATATCCCTTAAAATTTGTATATTTTACATTTTGTACAATCTCATCCACTGATTTATGGCCTCTTGTAAATTCTCTTATTTTTAACATGGGAAATCCTCACTTCAGCAAATCCACCTGTCATTTATTTATGTCCCCAACTGTAAAGAAGACAATGATACTTTCCTGAAAAAAGCAAGGCAATTGACACATGTCTTCATATTTTATTTTGTACCAGAAAATAACATGTGCTGGTATAGGAATTTTTTACCAAAATGTTACTTTCCAGCTGTACCTTAACATTAGTAGGTAGGTAGGTCTATATAGTCTTGTCTGGGTATTATTCATCCATGTTGGACCAATAGATGTCAGGGATTGATACAAGTTCCTGTGCTTTCTTCAAATTGTGGACACCTTTGTCCAAATATGAACACCCTACCCCCATAAATGTGGGGTCGAATTGGCGTTTTTTCTTATTTTTTAATATTCTAGTGCCAATACCATAAGAAAAAACACCAATTTGACCCCACATTTATGGGGGCACTTTGCCCACAGTTTGAACACCTTGGTTCAAATTTTATTGCATATTACCAAATTTTGGACACCTCAAAATTTTTGAGGGTTAAAAAATAGTTCGAGGAAAATGTGTGACATCACGGGCTTTCAATTAAATCTAGTTGAAAGCCCATGGTGACATATACAGTATCTGCGTGAAAAGTCAGAAGGAAATGCATTGGTTATTTTTTTCGGCGGTCATTTTTTTGCTGTATCGGCGATCATTTTTTTGAAGTTTTTCTACAGAAATATTTTTGCTTGACAATAATCAGGTAAAATGCGTCTGTCACCCCAAAAAAAACCTGGTGTGACTTCATATTTTCCAGCGAAGCAAATGCTTGACAAATACGCAAATTGTGGGACAGTTGGATGGCCTGCTACAGTCTGTAACCTTCTTCATAATAACACAGCCTTTCAACTCTAGTTGAAAGCCCATGATAATAACCAGTTGAACTTTGAAAATATGAAGACTTGCACTTTAAATCAATAACATTTGTATATTATTTACGAATTTTCATTTGTCAAATTCTATTATTCTACCAAAGCCCATGTGAATTGTGTATTGAAGTGCCGCCCTAGATATGGGTCCCATTTTGATGAAAAAATCCCTAGAGCTGAGTCTACTTTTTGAGAAATCCAAAAACTAGGTATTGTTTTTAAAAAATTGCTGGAAGTGGGTCTTGTTTTTAAAAATTACTTCCTTGAAATGGGTCTACTTTTTATGTGTCATTATTCTCTCAACTACAGTTTTGTAACCCATCTCTGAGTATATAAACTTACATTTGATTTTGAAGTTCTATATCATGATGTATTTCATCAGATCAACAACAATAAATTATGTACTTATGTTTTTATTGTATCAAGCATTTCCATTTGAAGACAACAGGTGGTAATTACTGAATAACGACCACAATTGAAGCAAAATTCACCTGCTGTTTTTTTCACAAATACACCCATTTTATATAATTCATAATCTTGTTTTTACAGTAAATGACAATGTTTCCATCTGCTGTTCTGGAGCTTTCACCATGTTCTATTTTTACTCAAATTCCAGTGAACAAGCTGGTTTGTTTATATTGTGTATTTATTTCAAGGCAGTATGGCTCGTGTGCCCATCAAGGCTGACAAGGTAGATGAGGCCATGAAGTTGGCACAGAAGATGGATGATGACCTAGAAGAATGGGTAGCAAGCAGACCTAAGAGAGACAATAGCAGCATAACTGATATGACTGCTGAAGAACTTGCAGAAGTGAGTGAGTCTGGGAACGATGGTCACATTTATCATTCTGGGCTAAGGCCTAATATTGGAAATTAAATCACCGGGGTTCAGCATTAACATTCTGAATGTCTATCACTCTCACTTGGATGGTGGACTGAATACCAATATGATAAATTGTGGCAGTTATGTTTTCAACTTAAACTTGTACACTACCGTAACTTTAACTTGAATTCACTGTATCAGACAAGTCAGTGGCTTGAAATATTGTCTGATGAACCAACTGAACTAAGTTTAGTAGAGAGAAAGAGAAGCCATCAATCCGATCATCCAATTGTTCATGGGTCTGGGCACAATATCGCCAAGGGGATATATAAAAGCCATTCATCCGTCCATCTGTTCATTCATGGATCTGGACGATAACTGAAATATTGGTTGATGGAATTGGTTCAGACAATAGCACACAAGTAATCTACTTAATCTTCAAGTCATGTCTATATTCATTAACATTGCAGGAATTAAACAACCACCCAGCATTCATCAAGGAAATAGATCCTACCAAGCCATTGCCACCATTACTTGAGGGTCTCCAAGCACTGAAATATGACTGTGAGTCTCCTGTAGGTCAGTGCATTATTTTTGAGTTTGGGGATGTTCAGTGGGAGAAATAACTGATGAAAACGTGTCCAGTGTTGTTTATGTTATTGTGATATTCATGTTTAGATGTTACTGTGATTCTGGAATTTTACTTCACTTTAACAAGAATTGTATTGATGGTTGATAGGATAGTAATGAGTAGAAGCTCCATTAGGCAAACCAAAACAATCATTTTCATATATATAGGCTACTCCTTTCAGAAAAGGCCGAGAATTACAAGGAAGATGGCAATGTAAACTTCAAGCGGAAACAATACAAGATTGCTATAGACAACTACACTGAAGCCATCAAGATCAAATGTCCAGACAAGCTTATTAATGCACAGCTATATACTAACAGAGCTGCAGCACAGATGAGACACAAGAATTATGGATCTGCGCTAAAAGATTGTGTTTTTGCGACTAAGTTTGTTCCCAATCATATGAAGGCAATATTAAAAGGTTAGTTGATGTTTGAATTGATAGATGATTGACAAATAGAAGTGGGTGTGACATATTTGATGCCCGGATTGACAGGTGATGGACAGGGGAGAAGTGGGTGTGACATATTTCAATGATCAAAGACAGTCATGTAACAATGGGAGACATGAGTTGCCATTCCCATAGTTTAGTATTCCCAGGTTGATGCCATAAAATTGTTTCTTTTAAATATTTTCTTCAATTCAACTTTGCTTCATTGGACCTGAATTTGATTTTTTATTGTGCTGTTTGAAACATTCTACTCAAATCACCCTGGAATAACCTGACAACGGTAAAGTCAAATTCAGTTGTCACAAATGGCGGACATAAATGGCTTCAATTAGATTTTCATGAACTGTATGTTTAATAGAGCACCTAGACTAAATTCCTTTGGAATAACAATCAATCAAAGTGTCTGTATACTCATTGTACAGTAAATAATGTTCTACCATCGAAATAAAATCAAAATGAGATAAGGGACAACGGACACTGTAATTATCCCAACGAACGAAGTTCATTAGGGATATAGTGAAGCCCTCCGTCCGTCCGTCTGTCCGTCAGTCCGTACGTCTGTCCGGAAGATAACTCAAATACTAGTTGACAGATTTTCTTCATATTTAGTGGAAAGATGTAAATTGGTGAATAGTTTTACGCAAAAAAAAAATTTTTTCAAGATGGTCGCCGCTTTAAAAATGACGGGACTTTTTCGCAAAAATCATAAATTTTTCATTCTAAACTAAAGTAATAAATATTATTGTTTGAAATTTTGGTAGTGTATTCACAACATTTATCTATTTCACATATATTCCGTGTTTTTCATTCTGACCCCCAGGGGCCATGTATGGGGGGACAGGAAAACAGAAATTTTCGCTAATTTTTAGATCTTTCTGAAGTACAGCTTTATTATACTCAAATGAAAGGCAATTAAGAGTAGATTGCAAATATTGTATCTTTTTTCTGATTCGAGCCTCGTAAAATTCAAAATGGCCGTCTAATGTACGATTTCGCAATAATTTTTCGATCCCTTCAAAGTATGGCTATATTATACTCAAATTGAAGGAATTTTGGAGTAGATCACAATTATGGTATTATTTTTCAGATTTGTACCTCAGAAAATTCAAAATGGCTGCTTTGCAGGAATTCGCAATTCTAAAATCTAATTTTTTCATTTTCAACCAAAGTAATGAGTATAATTGATTGGAATTCGGTAATTGATATTTTGTTCGTTGGGATTTGCTACTCCGCGGAGTTGCCGTTATCTTTACTATATGCTGTTGTCTTTCTAAATTACTCAAATTTAGATTCTGTTTTCATTGACGATATCAAAGACGCTATCGTGGCAATTAACAGCCCATTTTGATCCAAAATGTGATTTCATATGATACATTATCACAAGAGTTTAATACATGCACAGAATTAGCGATGATAAAATCCCATGAAATGAAGACCAAGTGATTAAACAGTTGAAGCGACGGTTATGTCCGCCATTTGTGACCATGGTATCTGACTTTACCATTGTCAGGCTATTCCGGTGTGAAAATAATGTGTAGAAATTATAGAATTTAGATAGGTGAACCTTTCATTATAATCTCTGCTCATATAGGATCTGAATGCAGTGTTAAGCTGGCTAAGTACCAGCAAGTGATGAACTGGTGTGACATTGGCCTAGAGGTGGAGCCAACCAATGAGACACTACTAGCTACAAGGCAAGAGGCACAGAATGCACTGGTAAGATGCTTACGTAGACTGTTTTCAGTACACAGGTACTATCTCTACTGAGTCTGCACAGAGGCAAGACGCTACTTGTATTGGTGAGCTTGGCAGTATGATTAACTCAATGTTGATCCTAAAAAAGTCTTGGTATGATGAACTGTGATGAAGCACTTGTGTGGATAGTTAATGTTTAAAATGCCAGACAAAGTACAGATGGGTTCTTCTATAATTTGCAACAGCACTCTGACTTGATTAGGGGATGTAAAGGGTAGAGGCCTTAACCTTTAATTAAGCAAATACTGTTACTTAACATTGTACTTAATGTTTGAAATTCAGAAATCACAAGAGAGAGACAGAAGGAAGGAGGAAATGAGACAACGAAAGGAGGACGAAAAAATAGACAAACTTTACAAAGCAATCAGGGTACAATGGAGTTTTTTGTTATTTGTAATACATTTTAGCCTTTGATTATTTACTTTGTCAGTTCTGACTGTGGCCAAGAAAAAACAAATTCTAAAAGATTCATTCATCCATGATATATGGTAATGTTTTAATATGGATGCTGATTATATTTAGAATTAATGTCAAAAATGTCTTATTTCAGTCCAGGGGGATAGAAATGGATAGACCTGAATCAGAAATCACTCCTACATGGCTACGTCAATTCTTTGAACCACTGCATCCAAGTGGTAGTGTGATTCATTTAGATGATGCGGGTGTGCTTCATTGTCCCGTCATGTTTGTCTACCCAGAGATTGGCCAGACGGATATGATTGAAGATTTCACAGAATCTGACAGGTCAGATTAAAATAAAGTGTCTTTGCAGTAATTTTTGAAACCACAAAATAAAAAAATAACAAGTATACTAAAAATAAATAATAAATGAGACACATGTATATAAAAATAAAATAATAAACGAGATATGTTGATGTATTCCTATTCATATTGTCTAAAATTGCCGCTAATGTTTTTATAAAAAAAACTTTGGCAATCAATTGCATGTCTATTATTGTTTACTAAAGGAATAAATTTATGTATAATAAAAAAAAAATTTGTATTTTAGATTTATTGAACACATTGAGACAATGTTTGGGGAAGGTGTAGCACCAGCTCCATGGGACAGAAATCGCAAGTACACTTCTGATGCAATACAGGTAAGTGGAAAGTTGATTACAGATTGGGGCTGGCACAGTAAAGTCTATACTATATACAATGAATATTCATTGATTTCATCCATTATGTCAACACCGCAAGTGGTGACATATTGTTATAGTCTTAAACTTTTTTGCTGACATGTTTGATGGTTGGTGATTGGCACTTGGAGTTTGGCATTTGTAACAAATGGCAGGTGGTGACATTTTGCATGTTAATGCCTCGTTTATTGGTGTAATCAAACACTCACCAAGGTGTATATAATGAATATTATGAGGCCATATAATAATTAACTCTGCATATCATGTTTGTAATGAATATATATCATATACTGTAGATTGGGTTAATTTGGCGCCCGCTTTAATTTGGCGAATTTGGCGAAATTGAAAAATTCGCCAATATAAATCTTCGCCAAAATTTAAAATGAATCCCCGGGAATTATCTAGAGTATTTCCTCCAGTGTATTTAGGTCACTTCCGGTTTAGTTTCTTTCAAAAATATGAAAAATGTCTCTCATAAATTGGCTCAGAACTGGTCAGTCACTCATTAATATTCAGAAAAGCGTGGTATAGTAGCAGCATCGATCGAGGTGCAAAATGTAAAGGATGATCGCCAGTGGTCCTCAAAAGAAAAATGGACATAGCCAAACTTATCCATTTACATGGTAATTCGCAAACAGTGCGTAAGTTAATTTTCTTGCATATCTGCCAAATTAAATAGCCGCCAATATGCCAAAAATGGCAAAATCGCCAAATTAAGTAGCGCCAAATTAACCCAATCTACAGTATACACAAGAATAAATCATGAATGAATACAAACGAGGTGGTATACAGTAGGGTAACATTTGTCTGTTGATATTGTAGATTTATTACGAAGACAAGAATGAAGAAAGATTGGTCAACATCCCCTCTACAAACACTTTGCTACAGATCTTAACTGATAAAAGGTATATTATTTATATAGAATTAAAAACTAAATTATATTATATAGATATACATGATATATAGACTTTCCAAACATCAAAATACTTAATCTTGACTTTCAGTTCAATTTAGGAATATTCATGAATTTTTTTGTTCTGTTATTCTCATGTGTTTGATTTTTGGGGTTTTAAAATAATGTGATAATGTAAGATTTAAAGTGCCTTTTCTGCATTTCCAGGTTCACCCTACACTGCAGTACAATAGCATTCATCCTTCTTATACGAGGAGATTCATTCACACAAACATTTTTAGACAGATATAAAACATCCTAGCACTATTTTCATCACATCAATTATTTTAGTATGGTTATTAAGGTGGACCAATAAGAATGGAGTTATCAAAATGAGGCACATTTCATGGACTCGAATCCTTTACATGTTGGCTTTCATTATTAGGGAAAAGTTACCTCTAGAGGCCCAGTTGATTGACAAAACTTATGAATTCAATATGTCACACCTGTGTGTACACATATATTGAGAATATGGCAGAATTTACTATTATCATATTAATTTGGGGATTTTAATAAATGTGATATAGAAGTCATTATGTATGAATTGATGATTGGAATGGGGAATTCTGTATTGTGGGGTTTTCATTTGATGCAGGGCTTGGTTGGCACTGCGTAAATTATCGGTTTTTGTGTTACCACAATAAGTGGTAATATTGTCATAATCTAAAAATCTTTGGTGAATTGTGTTTGAGCGGTTGGTGGTCAGTGTCTGCAACAAATGGCAGGTTGTAACATTTTGCATGTTAATGCATTGTTCTACATTTGGCTTCATTTAATTCTTCTGGCCAAATTCATGAAATATAATAAAAAAAAGATTTGTTATTAATACATTTATGTACAGATTTATTTTAAATAAATATTGTAATCCATACTTATACAAGTAAACTATTTCTTTTGTTTTTTGTACTCTGGAAATGCAAGACTCAATATTATAAACTTGAGCTCTTGAGAAACGGACAGTGAGGATGAAGCATTTCCTAAGAGCTTGATAGACCTCATTAAACCATGAGCAATTTAGGGATCATGTTGAGCTAACCATGCAGCTGAATTCTTGCATGAAGAAATAAATAAAGTAGGTCAGATCAGCTAAGAATGATTAATCCTGATCAGAGGTCACATGATCAATAACATCAACAACAAAAACGTACCAACAGTCTCAGTTGCCTTCAAACTAAGAAAATAAGGTGGAAAAAATTTCATGTTAAAGATGAATCAAGGAAAATACCAGAATGTGAAGTATCAGTGTACATTCAACTAAAATCTGTTTCACATTGGAATATTGGACCAATTTTACAAAATACTGTGAACTAAAATGTAAACCGATTGATGCCATTTCAACGTAAACCAACACAGTTCATATCGCTATATATTTCCCTCCATATCTAATGATACTGTCCATATCTAGGAGTAAGATAAGATCACCACACGATATAGAAATATTTTTCATATTCATGTCCAAGTGCTTGTAGTGCTTGCAGATTCCTGATGGTTGTTGTATGTTCTCACCAATATATAAAATCAGGAGAAGTGTACCCCGTTTGTGTTGAACAGATTCAGTAACCTGAAATAAGAAAGTTCAGAAAAACACATTACATTACACTATACTTGTATTACCACTCATGTTTGGTACTGATTGAGGTATGTGTGAACAATGTGACTCATCTTAATTGAACTTGTGTGAACAAAGTCTTGATTGAGGTGTATGTGTGTAAAAATGCTTTAGTAGGAACACACTCATTTTGGAAGATTCACGAAAAAATAAAAAATAAACAGAAACTGCCCTAGTACATTTATTATAATTTAAATCTCAATTTTGGGGAAGTACTTTACAGATCAATATTTTAATAGACATGATACTGGTACTTAAAAGTGAGATTGAAATATATACTACATACCCAAGAAAGTCATCAATGTCCATAGTTCTTGCACGTTTCTTCTCGTAGTCATTCTCAGTGAGGAGATCTTCTATTTTTTTCTTCATATCAAAGTCGTCTCCCAAAGGCTGAAGAGAAAATATGAGATATAGTGAAATTATGAGGCATGGTGAAATTATGAGGCACTATGATTCTAAGGAACTGATCATCATTGTACAGGGTTGTGGATGATTTTTCCCAAAATAATTTTTTGAGGCATGAAAACTAATATTTGGATGATTAAACAATTAAATTTTGCACAGGGCCTTTAAGAAGAAAACTATTTAAATACTTGATAAAATAATACTTTTTCATGTCTGATTTAAATTTTCAATTAGTATATCAAAAACAGATACTTACTATATTTTTTAATGAACAGTGTATTTTGTAGTTTTTCTCTAACATATCTAGAACTTTAGTACACCTACAAGTATAAACATAAAATATAATTCAGTAATAATGTCATACTGATCTTTATTCATAAATATTCACAATCTTCATTATAAATAACCATGTACATTACAATGATTTAAATAAAGATCCACAATTGCAGGCTGAATTTTAAGATGTATTTTAAAACAAGTTCATAACAATGATAACAATACAATTATTGACAATAGTAATTAAAAAATAAAATAGAATACCGACACACTACATAGTAACGATACATATAATAAGATGTGAAATATTATACACATACCTAAAAGATGCTCCTAAAGTTTTGTTTTTTCTCCCAAAGCAGATTCTAAGTAAGCCATCCCATTCCTGTAATAGCAGAAAACATCTTCTATTAAATATTGCTGACATTTAGATCCTAAAGAACGAGTTGTTTTAATCCATGATGGTGTATTTCCATCAAGTTGATTGGCTAATGCAACAATTAGGACAGTAACAATATGTCAACACTTCTGGTGGTTACATTAAAATCAAGAAAATAAAAGTGAAGTATCCCCTCTCATATTAAGCTCATACTATATTTCTATTAAAGAACACATTTTAAATGGTATAATTATTAAACTCAAAAAGGTTAGATGACAATTGATCCATTAATCTAATTATTTCAAGTTCAGGGGAAAGTCCAAGTTAACCACCTGGTGGTGAAACTTTGAACTAACTACTAGGAACTTAACTTATTTATTGAAAATTATATCAAATGTGGAATTTCATTCTCATTGACAAAAATGGTCTACTGAGTCTGTTGCCTAAGCTTTTGCCTGAATAAACAGACTATATCCCTACTTTATTCATGGGGATAATGATAGACATATGTATGTGTGAATATAAAATGCTGCGGCTTTAATTTTTGCATTATTGATTCTTGTAACATATATTCAATTATTAATCTAACGGAACAGAAAATGAATTGGTGGAAATTCAAAAAGAGATATATTTATACCTCTATACCTATATTACTTGGATTGGAGCTTTTATTTATAGTTTGGATACAAAAAGGTAAGAATGCATTTTTAAGAGAGTCATTACAGAGTATAGACATATGTCTCATAAATGATAAAGCATCTTTTTTCAATTGAAATCTATTTTCAGTTTTCACCTGAAATTGTGAGTATTCAATAGTACTTTAATAATGAAACAAAAATACAGAGATACCATATAATACTTTATTTGAATAAAGTGAACTTTTAAATCCATATCTGGTTGTTTAACAAAATAGCTTTTGCGAAGTGTTTTATTTTGTCAAAAACTCTGCATTCACAGATTTTTCTGCTTGGATACCTATCTTCCTGTATCTAAACGAGGTTCCTATTTTATATAAGATATAATCTAACAGCAAAAGATTGAGCTAAATAAGGTCTGTTATAAGGAGTTTTAATGTTGGAATATATGACCAAATTGATGTAAAACAACATTTATGTGTTATTTAATTTGCTCTTGACAGTTTTTACATCATCATCGTGGTTCAGTGGTTTGTATTTACAATCGCCAGAGTTCTAACTTTTTTCATCAATAACTTTCGAAGGGTTGTGATTAGTTTTTGCTATACTAAATATTGTGACACAACTATAAAATAGTTTATTGATTGATTCCCCTGTATTTTTAAAGTGATTATATGTGCCAATCATTGAATTATTATTATTTTGAAAAAACTTACGACACGTGTCATGTCTAAGAGGGTGTTCAACCAGTAAAGGCTTATCAAGCTACATTAATCGGAAGGTCACTGGTCACTAATATCATATCTAGTACTATCAAATTACAAAAATCTATTGTTTCAATTCAATTGACATTTCGATACTATATAGATATTTGACCAATTCAAAACAATTGATATTCATTTATCCTCTGTACTAATAGTACAGCTTTGACCTTAAATTTTTATTTTTTATTTTTATTCATGTAATATAATTATTATCAAGTGTTACATTTACACACTAGATAAAAAAAAGGACAAATACTTCTAAAAGAAGAATCGTGGAAAGATTGAGTCCAATCAAACTCAAACCTTGTTATATTTCAACATATTCCTTTGAATTATTTGAATAATAAGAATTTGTTGGCATTTCCCCATATTACAGTAAAACCTGTCTAATCTGAACACCCACAGGACCAGGCAAAAGCGTTCAGATTGGCAGGTGTTCAAATTTCGAGGATTTTGTTGGTTGGGGGAGGGGGGGATTTTCATTGTTCAGTCCACTATATTGAACACTTAATACTAAGTCAGAAAGCAATAAATGTTGTTGATGAGTTAATTCTACAATAGTCATATAGCCTATATGCTATGTTTTATTTATATTTTGAACAATATCATCGTTTTAGTAAAAATAACTCTTATAATTTGGCAAAAACTTTGTAATACACTGTAAAAGTATATGGTAGTCTTGTATGAAATCTTATGCTTATCAAATGACTTATCCCATATTGTGGTAATATAGCACTGCTTTACTTTTGCTTGAAAAAGTCCTTCATTGTTGTTTGTTTCTTGGCACTTCAAGTAAAAAGAATTTTTCATGAGTATTCATTCGAGATGATGTATAACCCTTCAAAATATCAAGGGCATTCAGGATGTCAGATGTATGCCTTTTAGGAGACATTTTAGTGATAGGATATTACAAAGTTGAATTTTTTCTCTTTCTCGTGATATAATCTTGTCTGCAAATGTCATCTGTGTTGTCCTTGTGATTATAAAACATTTGCTGATTGAATCTTAGCTATCATAACAGACCCATGGGATATAAAACAGTTAAGACCTGTTCATAATCCAAATCAAAAACATCCAGTTAATTTACAATAAGGATAAATCAATTATCTCTGAGATTCTCACCTTTCTCCTAATCCAAATCAAAAACATTCAGTTCTTTTCTAAATCTTGTCTGCAAATGTCGTCTGTATTGTCCTTGTGATTATAAAACATTTGCTGATTGAATCTTAGCCATCATAAAAGACCCATGAGATATAAAACAGTCAAGACCTGTTCATAATCCAAATCAAAAACATCCAGTTAATTTACAATAAGAATAAACCAATTAACTCCTGTATTCACACCTTTCCAAAACATCCTGTTGTTTTCCACAAATTAGGGATGTCACTGAGACTAAATAAGTTAATTAGGACAATAGTGGTTCTTTGATTACATTGTATATGTAAAGATAAATAACAACTATAACATTGACTCAATATGTGGCTATAATTGAAATGTTCAGACATTTGATTTCTGATAAAAATGTTCAGATTAGACAGGTCACTTTTTCAAATCTGGTTGTTCACTGTTCAAATTAGGGGGTGTTCAGATTTCAAGGTTTTTTTAACATGGGAGTCAATGGGAGGAAAAAATGGGACCGAAAAAAAGTGTTCAAATTGGAAGGTGTTCGGATTAGCCAGGTGTTCAGATATACAGGTTTTACTGTATATTGCAATATAAAATGTGAGAATAATATATATATAAGAGAGTAATAGGTATCTAGCAAAGCTGTCAAATTTAATAACGTACTTTATAAAGTATACCTAGTGTTTTTGATAGTAATATAAGAAATGAAATATTTGAAATAATATAAGATATATGTTCATTCCAATTGAGTTTATTGTCTATTATTACTCCAAGAAAATTTGTTTTTTCGATACATTCAATAGTATTTTTTATAAATCATTAACTGATATCTTGGATCAACGAGTTTAGTTTTTGATTTGAGCTCATATACATGTGGTTAGTTTTATCAATGTTGAGTGAAAGTTTGATGTTCTGTTAAATGCTGAATAACTTCATCAAACTGCAATAATCCACTCTTAAAATGTCAGTTAGGTGGAATTCGCTAAGAAAAGTGATTTTCATGGAATTTAGATGCCAAGATTTATCGAAAAAATTAAAAACCTATAAAATGTTGCTCTTGCATCTGTAATAATTCTAAGTTGAATGGATTAGCTGTTTTCCTGGAATTTCTATATATTGTTTATAGAAGAATTTGAAATGACCACCTTGTAATCTACCCAGAATTCCCAAAGCCTAATCAGATGTTGGGACTAGTTTTTCTCTTGTATTTGTATAAATTTGAGAATGGAAAAATTCAAAATAGCCGATTTATCAAAGAACTACATATCTTAGTACAGCACTATTTATAATAAATTTAATTATAGTGATTTGAAATGGTTGTTTGCCGAGTGGTCTGAAAATTACTTTACGATAAAGAGTATATATTTTATATTAAAATAACCATGACATAATTATGCAAAAAGTTGTCACCCACTTTGTTTTTTATTTAAAGCTAGAAAACATTTTGATCCCCATGTTAGGGAATATGAGAGTAGGGGATTAACAGGTTGTATTATCTCCTAAACTGAAAGACAGGACTTCTTTAAAAATTTAAGTTAATTCTAAGAAAAAATCATATGCCATGAACTTCGTTTTAGTTATTGCTCTTTGAAAAAATACATATTTTTGGATGTTTTTGTCTAACATGTTGCTAATTATATACCGAAGTTCAACAAAAATAAATTTAGAAATGCCATTACTGGTTATAATTCATTAAATCCATCATCCATCACCAATATAAAATAAAAATAAATAAATAAAACTCATTTTTCTAAAGTGTATCACAAAAAGACCACGTTCAGTAAGGGTCTAACGGTGCACCGAAACCGCGGTGCTCCGCGGTTCTTGGGCCTTGGTCGATACGTTCGGTTCAAAAACTCCGATGTTCGGTTTTTTAACGGTTCGTTAATTCAGAAAAAAGTGCCGTTCGCTAAAGTAGAGGAAGATGAATCTCAAAACGAGAGGTGAAGATTTCGGCATTCTAAACGCTCCAAAGTCATACAAGGCCCATTGTTGGGGTTATTTTGGATTTCCAACGAGAGATGGTGTTCCTCTCCCGAAAAGAACGATATGCCGGCTTTGCAAAATCGTTATGGTATATGAGAAAGGTACGTGTGAAAAAATGTGAAAATTTGCTGTCTGCAGAAATAGAATAGATCAGAGTTATACATGCTCCTGGACCGCTTATTTATTATGAAATCGCGCCATCTATTTATCATCACATAAATAAAATACAATACAAAGTTAATGATTAATTTGTAAATAAAACTGACTTAGATCAGAGGTAAACATGTTCCCTGGCTGCTCATTTAAATAATGAAATCGCGCCATCTTTTTTGAGTTATTTGATTTTTTACATTAAAGTACGATAAGAACCGAAGAGATAAAACCGTGAACCGAACCAAACCGAGGAATTATGAAACTGTGAGAGCCCTAACGTTCAGTATGGCAAGTGATTTTAGACAGTCACATCTTTCACCGTGAGTACTTTCTGGGCATAAATACAGTGGTTTTTATTAAAACAATATGTTTTCTTTTAAGTGAAGTACCCATGATGATAAAAATATAAATCGAACAATTCGAAAAAATATGAATAGGGACCCCATGTAAACATTTTTTTCACAATATTGAACCTATTTACTCAAAAGAGGATCTCCTTTTTCTGATTTTTAATGCATGAAAGATTATTCAACAAGGGGTCTAAAACATCTTCAAAAATAAAATGGTATTGAAAGTCTAGTTTTGAAGATATCAATTTTCGATGACCAAAATGATGCTGAAAACAATGGATAGCACGGGTTTTCCCTATGGGAAAGTAGCATGGGATATGTGGTTTTTAACTTTAACGCATTTCTATATGCATCCCCTTTTCAGAAATTGTTAAATAGTTTGGAAGAAACTTTCTATATGTTTAAATTGAGAAAAACAAGATCCTCTTTTTAGAAAATAAGCCTAACATTTTTTAAAAAGTGCCAAGGTGGGGCCCTAATCCATAATTTTTCAGAGAGTTGGATTTTTATTTTACTATCATGGGGACTTCACTTGAAAGAAAACGATTGTTTTAATAAAAACCATTGTATTTATGGCCAGAAAGTACTCATGGTGAAAGATATGACCGTCTAAAATCACTTGCCATGCTGCACATGGACCTTCATATTCTGAAGCTGAACACTAAACAACTACCTTTAACTTCTGTTTTTAATATCATCATCACTTTAAGTCTACTGAAGAAAATATAAATAAGTAATCAATTTGATTAAGATAAACGGACAAGCTGCATAATATTTTGCATATTAATAGGTTCTTCATCAAAGCCTTATTGTATAGAGGATTGTGTAGAAGAAAATCAGATCAAGATATGTATTTACTCAATAATCCAAATCCGGTTATTTAGTCTGTCTTAGAGACGTGAATTGTTAACTTATAAAGTGTTATTTCTTGATGAAAAATAACAGTGAAAGGAGCTCAGATTACAATAAATGTTTCTAGAAAATGTTGTAGATATTTTTAAATGCAATTTAAAATGACGTCATGATACTTCTTTGATGTTCCCTTGAAAAGGACAAGACACGGTGATAAATATTACACTTTCTTCTCAAAACATTTAAAACGCCCTACAAATAATGTACCCAGCATGCCTAGCACTACTTTGTGATAATATCGATAAAGTACAATAAAAATGAAAAATAAGGCATTAGCATGACAAAATGTCACCACCTAGTTGCTCACAATATTATGAATCTTTTTTGAACTTGACAAGGTCATAAGGTCATTAAAGGTCAACATCTCAAATCTATAGTCAGATTTGAATTTTTCAGAACTTGTAGATGATTTTGAAAAAAATAGGTCAATTTGAACCAATTAAAAAGTTGACCTTTTGTGATCTTAAGAAGGCCATTGAAGGTGAAATCTTAAATCTAAAGTCAGATTTGAACTTCTGAGAACTTGTAGATGATTGTGAAAAAAAATTGGTCAATCTGAAGCAAGTTGAAAAAAGACTTTTCTGACCTTTTAGGCCCTTTTTTGACCTTGAGAAGGTCATTGAAGGTCAAATCTTAAGTCAGATTTGAACTTCAGAAAACTTGTAGATGATTTTGAAAAAAATTGAAATCAGTCTAAATAGTATTTGTTAAGTTATTGGAAGTTGTAAGAATTTGTTACAGACACCGATCGCCAACCACCAACCGCCAACTGCCATCCACCGATCGATGTCACAAAAAATGGAGACCATGACAATGTCATCACTTTTTGCTAAACATGGTTATATCATTAGCAGAGGTATATTTAGTGATCAAACAGGCAGAATTCCGTCAAATACACAATAAGGCGGCTGAAAGCAAGGAGCACTAAGTAAATTAAAAATTGCCTTTTACATTATATATTCGACAGTTAATCTGTAGAAACAGATGTCACAGAAAGCAATTAAGAAATCAAATATTTCAGCATTTGATACCAGTGCTACATTGAAATATATCCAAGAATTTATCCAGCTGTTAAAAGAAATAAAAGTGTTAAGGAAAAAATTATTTACTCAGAACCCATTAAATAAATAGTTTTATGTCCTAGAAATGTAACTGAGTATAGAGAAGAGTATAAGAAAAGAGAAAATCCTTTTGTTGTAACAACTATTGATAGAAGTAAAAGATATCAAAATTAATAATGTTTTAATTGATTACCTTTCTTTTATATTGTTTAAACATATAACTTTGTAATTGAGTGTGTAATGAATCTGAAGTTTAGAAGCATTTTATTTTATCTTAATACCTTCACACAATCTTAATAATAATACAGAGTGGTCCACAAAACCATTTACTCTTTTGACAATGTAGCATTTTCTAATGACATGAAAATTTGCCAATTTGTTTTCATAGATCTGTCCTACAGACATGTAAGTTTTGTGTGGTGTAAGTTTTATTACATGTACCATCGTAATGAGAGCAAGGGCCAATAGTTTGTGATGTGCTTAATCCAAGTTCTTTGGTGCTGAATCGCTGTAGTTAATTGCACATTCAAGCTAATTCCCCTTTAACTAATAGAAAATGCACTATTTGGCCCAGGTTTTGCCTTCTGAGCATCGGCAACAAACATATGATGTAGAGAAAGTGACTGGGGAAAGTTAGGTCATGATGGTGACATTGCACTGCTCCAATGTTTCACTTGAATACCTCCATCATTACTTCCCGAAGACTCATCTCCCATTGTTTGGATCCTACCCGACCTGCACATTCTCAAGACATATTCCCTATATATAAGTTTTTGGTGGGGATACTTTAAAGGCAGGATCTATGCAAATCATTCCCAAACTATGGATGAGCTAAAAAAAATATTAAAACAGAGATCGGGAGAATTACTTTTGACAACATGGACAGGCTGGGGACATTACAATGTATGCAAGGAGTTTGGATTGAGCTCATTACGAACTGTTGATCCGAGCTCTCATTATGGCCATATTTGATAATAAAACTTACACAACACAAAACTAACATGTCTGTAGGACAGGGTGTGAAAAAAGAGAAATCTTCCTATTGTTAGAAATGCTACACTATCAAAAGTGTAAATGATTTTTTGGACCACCCTGTATATAGTAGCCAGGACAGAACAAGTCATACACCTCTTTTTTCCTAATAACTTTTTCAATTCTCAATAATTTTTCATCAAATTTTCACTGGATAAACTTTGAAGCATTACCAACATACGAAATGTTTTGTTTGACCAATCATCTATATTCTTTTAATATTTACAGCTTTTCAAAAATGATGGCCATGATATTCTGCTAAGGTACCAATTTTGCATCTTTTGTTTAAAAATGATAAAGTATCTTAATTTTCTTTCTAGAATAAGTTTCGTCTTTGTTCCAATCTAAATCATATTTTGCTTTTCACCATTATGACAAAATAGGTTCATTTGTTCATTTTGTGCATTGACCTTATTTCAAATGCAAATTGAATTAAGGCTTGATAATTTAATAAGCCTATGTCTACCTCGGATACTTGCAAATAATATTCATTGTCATCTGCTGTTAGACATAAAGTATGTGACATGTACTGTCTCATGTTTTACTTGGACACCAGTTTAAACATCATGTCAAATGACTTGAATTGAATATGTCTCATTTGCTATATTTGATACAAGCTAAAAGGGATTACATCTTGAATTATGACCTACTATGGCATCTATTATATGTACTTTCCATTCAAGAGATACATTTCATCAGCTACACAAAGAGATTAGGACAAGATATTGAAATATTTTAAGGTCAGGGCTTAGGAGAAGAAAGATATTAGATTGTACAAGATATATCTTATTAATCATTTATAATTTATATTATTTTATTGTACCATTTTAAGGAATAAATTATATGAAATAGATGACATGCATGAGTAAAAATTCATGTATATAAGCTAGTACATGAGCTAGCACTCAAAGTCAATAACTGCTAGAAGTGTCATCCATTTCAAACAAAACGGTCCCTCAACAGAAGTTGGCTATCATTTTTAACAGATGTAATTATAATGAAAATTGATAATGACTTTAACATAAGATTTGTTATGTACGAAATGTTTTAAAGCTTATCCAGTGAAAATTTCATGAAAAATTATTGAGAATTGAAAAATATCAGGAAAAAAAGAGCTGTATGACTTATTCTGTTCCAGCTACTAATATAAAAGTGTCACATTGACATCACGTATTGATCGTCATCTTATAACTGACATTTTACATTGTATGCAAAGTTCATATTGGCTCCTAGATTCACCAAAAGATGGCTAATTCAGGTAGAATAGCAATGCAAAGCATAAAAACTTGCTTATAAATAGATTCAACAGATAATGGTATAATCCTATGGTACAGTGAGATCTGGACGAGGATACCAGATACATTACCAAAAAGGAAGATGCAAACCATAGGAGTTTACGAAATATTATAATTTTGTTCAATTGTAATTTACAGACCAATTGTACGCAAAATCAAGAACACTTGAGGCTTTGAAATATGCCAGAGATGGAGGTGAAACACACAGTTCAACTTTGAAAAAGAACAATAGGGAGATTAAATGCCTCACGAATTCCTCCAGAATCCCTTGTCAACAACTTAGGTTCTCAAGGAAAGCTCTCCTTAAAACAGCACTCTTTAGTTACCCAGGTTCTGGCAACACATGGTTACGTCACCTCATACAGCAAATAACAGGTTTGTATAAGTTACCATGGTAAACTCACTTCATGCAACAAACACGTGTTTGTTGTATTTTGTATATGTTGTGGTTGTGGTAACAAATAATAACAGGTTTGTAGATGTTCTGGGGTTATGTCACCTCATAAAACAAACAAAAACATTTTCTAAAAGATTCTTATTTTGAATATTTTATGTCAGATATTGCAGAAATGTAAAAACTTATTTTAATAGAATGCATAAGATCGATTGGTGTACTAAATGTATAATAACATTAAAAAATAAATTTGATATCAATTGGCAAAATGAATAACCGAAAGATATCGCCACGATATACTCCGCTTGTTGATTTCCCATCAAATTGAAATATTTGACATGAAAATTATTTTTCAATGATATTATACATTTAGTGGACTACAAGTAAGTGTAGGATAATAAGAACATCCTATGATGTTTTCAGAATATCATTTTAATCTACTCGATGATATTGATATATGCACTCGTTCGCATCGCTCTCACATGCAGATATCAATATCACATCGTAGATAAAAATGATATTCCTCAAAATCATAGGATATCCTATAAATAATTCAAATATTCAAATATATTTGAATTGCATGATCATTAAAAATTGATATCATTTATTTGCATCACTACATGTAATCTAATAAATCCATAATTTGGAAAAAATCACAGAAGAAATAAGACAATTAACCATTCTTATGTCCTTATGTCTTCACATGATAAGAAACAGAGTCATTGATGCTCTAATGCACTTTCTCTTACAGGATTTTACACAGGCTCAATATACAATGATACCATTCTGAAAAAACGTGGCTTCCCGGGAGAAGGACACACGGGAAGGGAAGTGGTAGTGATTAAGACCCATAGCAGAAATTTATTAACAGAATTATATGATCGGACCATTGTTATCATGCGGAATCCACTACATGCGTTATATACAAATTTTCAACAAGGATACAAGGGTCACATTGGTGTTATCTCAGAAAATACTTTGAGGCAGAAGGTTGGATTGAGAAAGGAATTAACGAAAAGTATCACTAATAACACATTACAATACGGACTTAGTAGCTGGTTCCTTGACAATCTCCTAGCACTACAGCAATACAACAAGAGCAAAATGCTTATTGTACATTATGAAAACCTTAAAACCAACCTCAGGGGAGAACTGTTAAGAATCTGTGATTTCCTGAATATAACTGTGTCTCAGAGTGTCATTGATTGCACAATATGTAACACTGAAGGCCATTTCCACAGAAAGAAGAAGGCTTTTAATCCATATACAAAGGCTGATACATATACAATAGCTTTACATGTAAAAGCCATGAATGAAACATTAAAAGAAACATGTGGTTTGTCATGTGTCTTACCATATTCTAATATTACAAACTCCCCTTAGGGGTCATGTCAGGTCAACATATCAGCATCTTCTCCACACAAATATTGTTGTTTTGGGATGGAATGACATTTTCATTGTTTTAATTTCACTGGGTAATGTTAGTGTATTTTATCCTACTGGTTGTGGCTTGTCAATATTATAGCATTCTTGTAATTAATTCTTATGAGACTGTCTGTCATCAAGTATACTGTACTCACGAAACTGGCATTTTTCTAGTGTCTGCCCAGAAGGATACCCATTCAAAAAGCAAGTTATTGGAAAAAACAAACAGGTGCCAATTCACTGAAATGGTCTTAATTGCTGAGGGTTAAATGCAAATTGATATACATATTCAGTAAAACCATGACATGGAAAATATGGCTGTATCATCAATTGTTTTGGTGAATATGTGTTTCAGTATTTACCTAAACCAACCTATTTTCTATACAATTTGGGTATTGTTGTGAATTATATTTAGGTCTTACCTGAAAATTGATTGGAGGTGGTGGGTTCCTTGGTTCTAATCTGACTACACTTGACTCTACCTTAGGGGGAGGTCTAAAGTTATTCTTTCCAACCTAGAAGCATATACAATATTTGTATACATGTATTATACAAATATTTCATCCTGTTGAGGAGATACGTGTGTGTCTTTTGGTAACAGGAATATTACAAATTACTCAGTGATCTCCCCAGGATTTGTCAAAATATGCCAATTTTTTATGATTTTTCTCATTTTCAAGTGGGTGCAAATGGATTTTCAGGTTGGTGCAAGCCTATTTTCAAAATTTCAGGAGGGTGCTGCGCCCACTTGCTTTGATGCTAGGGAGAGCACTGTTACTTATGAATGAGATGGGATTTTTTCACATTTGTTTAATTACTCATTGTTATATCTCACATTCTGTTATGTCATTAATTATAAATTCAACAAGACTCCCAATGAACAGTATACATCATAGGGAACCACAGGGTATAATGTAAATAAATAAATATTCATTTTTTAAAAAATAATACTATCATGTACAAATCAAAATATTTGAAATACAATGTATTATATATATTATATATTTCTTTTATTGACAAAAGTGTCAAAGCATTTTACCATGCGTACCATGGGTACCATGCGTATTAAAAACATAAAAAACAAAATACATTAATTTGTTAAGTTCAGTCTCTGGTGCTTGAGTCTTAAAATTAAACAATAATGTTCCAATATCAAAGACAAGATGGAGAGATGAGAGACTATACATATACTATACTCATGTATGTAAGTGAATGTATATTTATTTATCGTATGATCCGTAAAATTAAGCCCTCTGATTGGTCAGTTCATGTGCTGTACCAATCTGTATTGCTACTGAGATTGTCCCCATTGATCATCTTCATACTACAGTAGCAATACAGAGAATACAAAATATTTCAAATGGATTATTTCCTTAGTAAAATGTATTGGCCTAAGATCACACGATAAAAACGTTATAGAAATTCCGTATTGGTACAAGACAAAGTCGAGTGCCAATACAGAATATCGAGAGCAGAATATATCCTGTATTGCGCTTCAAATCATTCAATAACTTATAATACTGAACCTTCACAATTAGGTCTACTCTGGTCTAATCAAATATACTGTACCTTCATAATTAGGTCTACTCTGGTCTAATCGAATATACTGTACCTTCATAATTAGGTCTACTCTGGCTAGAAGTTGAGTGTTCACTGACAGTCTACAATATAGTTTGTCCCCAGGTTTTGCCACTAGTCTCTGTGCAAACTCCCTTTGAAACATGAGAATTGCACATCTACAAAAAAGGTTGTGGAATTCATTCATAATGTAGAGACATTAAATATGTAGTCCAATCCTAAAGTACGAGCCTCGAGAATTACTAGTCATTACGGGCAAAAAGGAGCACCATCCTCGTACGAAGCTCGTTTTCGAGGCCCGTGCGAGCTCGTACGATGCCCGTAATTGTTGTTTCCGAGGCCCATCCAAGCATGTACAAGGCTCGCAATTTCAAGGCCCGTACGAGCTCGTACGAGGCCCGTTATCGAACTCCGAACAAAAAAATTAATTGCTATCATGCTACATGCACGAATTTCGTATTTGGCCAAACATTCACACATTCGATAGCAATAACATTTATTCACATCACATTTCAACTCATCCTAATAAAGCACGCAAATGGTTTTATATACATTTACTTCACTTGTAGAGAAATATGGTGTCTCTTATTGGTAACCCTCCTGTTTATTTTGTTTCCTAGCTATTATACTGTTTATCATGTTGATACAGACATGTGAATATTTTGAAATTATTGAAGACATATTAATTCATAATTGGATATAATTAAATTGTCATTTCTCATATATGCTGTATTTTATTTCATCGATCAAAAAGAATTCATCAAAATAAACGAGCAATTACGAGCCTCGTTCAAGCCCCGTACGGGCAAGTACAGTGCTTGAAAATTACGAGCCATAACGGGCCTTGTTACGGGCATTGCACAGGCAAGTACACGGCTCGAAAATTATGAGCTATTACGGGCCTTGTAACAGGCACCGAGGAGGTACGGGGATCGAAAATTACGATTTATTACGGTGCTCGTTACGGGCACCGTACGGTAAAGTACGGGGGTCGAGAATTACGAGCTATTACAGGCCTTGTAATCACAAGCTCTTACGAGGCTCGAAAATTACAAGCAATTACGAGACTCGTAACGAGGCCCGTACGAGGTTGTACAGGGTCCGTTGACACAACGAGCTCCGTACGGGCGTGTACGGGGTCCGATGTAATTTGCCTGTGTAGCAATTACACCAACAAAAACATATTAATATAATATAATAAGTGGACAGGCACATTGTGAAGACAAACTCACCTGAAGAAAGGTCTGTGAAGCAGTAGTTTAAAGACTATAGGCGAAGAAATCTGAAATCACATTTTATTCATTAACATGAACTGAAGCTGCTCTTAACATATGATTTGCTTAAGAAGGCAATGAATGGTATTTATTTGATCATTCTTGCTCAAATATTAAAAAGATGGAGCTACTGGAAGACTCAGACCTTTGTAATCTTTGTCACAATTTGTTAATCTAAATGACAAGGATTTTACCGGTCAATTTAGGGTAATTTATGTAATGCATGAGTATATTATGTATGAGTACTTAAAATGTAATGCATGAGCAGGCCCGTAGCCAGGGGGGGGGGGTTCACAGGGTTCGGGCAAACCCCCCCCCCCAAGCCAAAAATTCTTTCAAAATCATGCAGTTTTTCACCATTTTGAGCACTTCTCAAGTAATTTTAGCCATATTTGGGCCAAAATTGTCAAAAGTGAACCCCCCCTGGAAATTTTGGAAAACTAAACCCCCCTTGGCAAATCCTGGCTACGGGCCTGATGAGTATATTATGTATGAGTATTTACAATGAAATGCATGAGTAATGAGTTTGTATTTACCTGATATGGCAGATTAGCAACACATATGTCGAAAAATGGTAATTCTGTTTTAAGCACATCACCAACAATGATCTGGAGCTTATTTTGGAGAGGCCTGAAATAAAATCATGTACATGTACACTGCAGGATAACTATTATATAAGCTCTTATAAAATTCATTTTACTGAAATTATTTTACTTAAATATTATTTTACATATCATGAAATTAGTTTTGTCAAAAGATTTAACTAGAACCTTTCCTTTGAAGTGAACATCTTAGTATGCAATTCAAGACAAAAACTATATCTCTTGTCATGAGCAAGAAGGTTAGTTCACTTTAAAGACAACAAACCAATATCTCATTTTCCTAAATTTTCTTCCAAAATGATGATAAGGTACATGAATCACCTGCTACAAAACTAGCCAAATCTATCATTGTATTATTCAAAATTGACCACGGCTTCTTGAGTTTTGTATTCTTTCCATTACAAAGCTATGCTAAGCACAGTAATCAAGTGAAATAAAATGAGAGATCCAAAGCCACAATTATTTTTACCATTCTTAAATGCAGGGCAATTAACCTCTTGAATCCCATTTTTCCCATTTTTGCCAGCTGAAAATTGTTGCAATTAGAGCAATTTAAATGAAAAGATTTGTGATGGATTTTCTTGTCACTGGGTTTCAAGGTCATATCTGAGGTGACAAGAAATCTCGTCACTCTGGGTCGTCAAGAGGTTAACAAATGTTTTGAGAGCCAATACTAGTTGGCCCCTCTTACAATAGTGAGGGAGTCATCTACATGATGGATTAGGGTTATACATACCCTCCTAGGACTCTTTTTTGTAACTCTGCCACTAGACGTGGATCTATTTCACAGGCTATGACCTATAATATAAAGCAATCAGCTTGCAATTTACATTTATGTTAAACATAAGCTAACACACAATACTTGTATAATGTACATGTATATCTCATGTTATTCAGAAAAAATAAAACAACTTTTATTCTAAATTAATTATTATGGTTTAATGAAAATTGACAAAATAATTATGAATTAATGAAAATTGACAATGTCAAGATAGTGAGATGAAAGGAGATGAGTTGAATTGAGTAAAATTATAATATTATTGAGACAACATGTAATGTTTAACTTGAAGCATAAATGTCTTAATTGACTCTTCTTTAACTATAGGCAGTACTTCATGACTGAATTTAGCAACTGAAAAATAAGTTACTGAACAGAGAGGTGGCAAAGATTTCATTCCATATGCAGTTAGTTAGGGATATTCTTCAGGCAATAGATGAATGGCATTCTGGTAATTTATGGCATCTTGTGTTCAAACTAAGACATGAATCCTGCAAAGTTCCTAGAACCATTTGTAATTGCCCTCCATGTGTAAATACATCACACAGTGTACTTATACACAGCCAATATAATTCGGTGCCGTTTCGGCATCGAAAAAATATGGCGGTGTTTCGGCACCGTTTCGACACTGTTCTGGCACCGGAACTTTTCGACACCAAAATTTGCCACCGGACTAGTCAGTCCTTTTGGTGCCAAAACGGCACCGAAATTTGGCACCGAAACAGCGTCGAAAATCAGATTGCATTTTGGGGGTGTATATAAGTCTGTTGTCTCATCATCTAAATATGATTCCTGAAAATTATACCTTTTTTGTTTTCTCTAGCATTTTGACAGTCATGTTACCAGTACCTGGCCCAATCTCCAACACAACATCTGTAGGTCTAAGCGCTGCCTAGAAGCGAGAAAACATAAACATAAATTATATTCTTATTAGATCAGATGAGCAAATGTGGCTTGCTCTATTGACAAACTTTTTTAATAATTGAATGTGCCGAAGAGGCAAAGGAAGAATCAATTGTTTTTACAAATAATACAACAATGCCCATTGTGACATGATTGAGCATTGTAAATAAAGGTAGAATCAATTGTTTTTACTTAATAAATAAATAATACTTAATAAATACTTATAAATAAAACAATGCCCATTGTGACATGATTGAGCATAGTAAATAAAGGTAGAATCAATTGTTTTTACTTAATAAATAAATAATACTAAATAAATACTTATAAATAAAACAATGCCCATTGTGACATGATTGAGCACTGTAACTAAATATGCTTGAATATTTACCTTTTCAATCATACTTGTTATGACAAGAGGGTTCTTTAAAATATGCTGGCCAAAGTCTTTGTTAAACGCAATCCCTGCAAAAACATTAAGCAAATACATAAATGTACATTATTTATGGGATCTTATTCATTTAGAAGTATAATACAACTTATATTCTGCATCCCTCCAATCTATTCCCCTCTAAAGTGGTGGTAACAAAAACAAGTCGAACAAGGCATTTACATGACAAAATGTCACCACCTAGTTTCTCACAATATGAGTCAGATTTGAACTTCTGAGAACTTGTAGATGAATTTGAAAAAAATGGTCAATTTGAAAAAATACCCTTTTGACCTTTTTAACTTGAAAAGGTCAGTGAAGGTCAAAGCTCAAATCTAAAGTCAGAATTAGTTACAGACGCCAATGCCAACAACCAACTGCCAACCTCTGCCAGCCATCACAAAAAAACGGAGACCATAGCAATAGCTAGTGCAATAGCTGGTGGTGACAAAAATTGTTTGTCACTTTCAATTATCTATATTTGAAAAGACAATATAAAAAGTAAAAAATAAAATTTACTTTTAAAAAGTGTCACTAGGAATCATTCCAATACAAATGTTGACCAAGTACTCTTATTTAAACCTGCAATAAAGACCATAAATTTAAGAGTCATTTTACCTTTCCTGAGCTATTAGTGTAACGTTTGGCCTAATATCTTCATTACCATACCTATTTTCTTAAAATATATGCATGTGTCAATGAAAACCAAGTCAATGAAATAAGACTTGCAAATTGAAAGGATGGACGTCAATTTTTTTATTGTTTGAAATATTTTTGAATATACGATTTGAAGATTCTTTCTGCAGCTGAGCTTTTTTGTAGCTTTTCTTTGTATACTATAAACCGCATGTTAACAGTATAACCATATCAATGCATGGTACAAGATATGACCGTGGTCGACGGTCTATTACTGGCGTTTCTTGCAGTTAGCCTGGCCCACTGATGAAGAAAAATAAAAAACTCAAAGACTAAAACACCTCAAATTTACCCATATTCAAGGTCTTCTTGACATATTGTGCATGGTCTATAGCAAACAGAATGTTGGACAGAACGTTAGGTGAAAACAGGGCTGGAATCCAATGTCAATGTTTTATGTCTGTCAATGTTTTATGGATTCCAGAGAAGATTCCCAGCGATTTGGGTTGATTTGATTGTGAATATCGGCAGAAATAAGGTACGTTCAGGGTTTTTCTTTGTAGCTAATGAAAATAGATGTTAGCCTTAATGAAATAATCAAACTTCGTTATATTTTGATACAAGGTCCATGATTGTTGGATACGTCTCTGCACTAATTATTCAACCTTTAAAAAACAAAAAGTTGTGTTTTCAAAACCAGACATCGATTGGTGACCGAACCTGGAAGAATATTCACATCCTGAAGTAAATACTCTTCCAGGTTCAGTAACCTATCGATGTCAGGTGTTGATACAGGTTCCTGTACGAGGGCGAATAACATCGACTTCATTTGGGGTAACTTAGACAACTTGTTAGGCGGAATCCATGTTTTTTTCTTGCATGGATCGAGATTTTATTTTTCCAGAAATCAGACATGGTAGAAAACAGAAATAACTAGATTAGTAAATTGAACAAAGTTCAATTTAAGACTCCAGATTGATTTACTTGAGTAAAGAGCTGAGTAGGAAGCTGAGTACGTAGATGATTAAGTAATTGAGTAAGTAGCTGAGTAGGTAGCTGAGTAAGTAGTTGAGTAGGTAGCTGAGTAGGTAGCTGAGAAGTAGGTAGCTAAGTAGGTAGCCGAGTAGGTATGTAGGTAAGTAGGTAAGTAGGAATTGTTGAAAGTATATTTGATGGATCTGCATTGTGGATACTGGCAAATGTGAATTTTAAACAAATGTGAATTTTAAAATGGCATAGAATCTAAACTGGGAGTCGGATTGAAAGTTGATTTGCAGATTTGGATTCCTTAGAAAATTCTACCCTTAATTCATAACTCATAAATTAAATTTGGAGAACTTTTTATTTTGACCTACTTTTCGGACACCATATCTCAAAAGTGGGTCAAAATACTTTCTGACGGCAAAAGGCTAACACTATTAGCACACTCTTTGTTACCTGTATACAAAATTTTGAAGCAAATTATTTAAGTGTAATGTCAGAATCGCAAAAATAAGGAAAATCTATGAATTTGACCTAGATTTTGACCTTGGCATTTTGGTGTCCACATTTTGAAGCTTGGTAGCCTTTGAGGTCCCCTTCTTTCATAGACTTTCATTATGTTGAGCTGTACTCAGTCTATACCTGGTATTTTACACTTCAAAAAGATATTTTTCCCTATTGATATAACATGGGCCACCAAATTTAGCAATTTTTGAGCTTTCAAAATGCCATAACTTCCGACCTGGAAGTCGAATCAAAATTTGGTTTGCAGATTCGGATTCCTGAGAAAATTCTACCCTTATTTCATAGCTCATATGTTAAATTTGGAGAACTTTTTATTTTGACCTACTCTTCGGACACCATATCTCAAAAGTGGGTCAAAATACTTTCTGACGGCAAAAAGCTCTCATTATTAGCACACTCTTTGCTACCTGTATACAAAATTTAGAAGCAAATCATTTAAGTGTAGTGTCAGAATCGTAAAAATTAGGAAAAACTATCAATTTGACCTAGATTTTGACCTTGCGATTTTGGTGTCCAAATTTTGAAGCTAGGTAGCTTTTGGGTACCCTTCTTTTATAGGAATTCATTATGTTAAGCTGCACTCTGTCTAAATCTCATATTTTACAATTGAAAAAAGTCTTTTTTCCCATTGACTTAACATTGGGCACCAAATTTAGCAATTTTTGAGCTTTCAAATCGCCATAACTTCCGAACGGGAAGTCGGATCGAAATTTGGTTTGCAGATTCGGATTCCTGAGAAAATTCTACCCTTATTTCATAGCTCATATGCTAAATTTAGAGAACTTTTTTAGTTTGACCTACTTTCCGGACGCCATATCCCAAAATCGCTAAGAGTAATAAAAAAACGGATGGCACACTCTCGATTTGTTTTTTTCTAAGCTACATGTTGAAAAAAAGATGAAGGAGTTACCACAAGTAACAACGAAGATAATTGACAGAATGTTGATTTGACCTAAATTTGACCTAGTTCTTGACCTTTGACCTAGATAAAAATTTGACCTAATTTCCCAGAAACAAGGTTGATGGGCTATGTTAGCCATGTAAGTAGGTTAAAGTAAGTTCTTCTAGTTGCTGAGAAAAAGTGTTCGGAAAGAAAGAAAGAAAGAATGAATAATAACTAGATTGGTAAATTGAACAAAGTTCAATTTAAGACTCCAGATTGATTTACTTGAGTAAAGAGCTGAGTAAGTAACTGAGTAGGAAGCTGAGTAAGTAGATGATTAAGTAATTGAGTAAGTAATTGAGTAAGTAGCTGAATAAGCAGTTGAGCAGGTAGCTGAGTAAGTAGCTGAGTAGGTAGCTGAGTAAGTAGCTGAGTAGGTAGCTGAGTAAGTAGCTAAGTAGGTAGCCGAGTAGGTAGGTAAGTAGGAATTTTTGACCGGAAGTCAGATTGAAATTTGGTTTGCAGATTTGGATTCCTGAGAAAATTCTACCCTTAATTCATAACTCATAAGTTAAATTATGAGAACTTTTTATTTTGACCTACTTTACGGACACCATATCTCAAAAGTGGGTCAAAATATTTTCTGACGGCAAAAGGCTCTCACTATTAGCACACTCTTTGCTACCTGTATACAAAATGTTGAAGCAAATCCTAAAAGTGTAGTGCCAGAATCGCAAAAATAAGGAAAAACTATGAATTTGACCTAGATTTTGACCTAGGCATTTTGGTGTCCAAATATTGAAACTAGGTAGCATTTGAGGTCCCCTTCTTTTATAGGAATTCATTATCTTAAGCTGTACTCAATCTATATCTCGTATTTTACACTTCAAAAAAATCTTTTTTCCTTGACTTTCTATCAGGATACCATCAGATCAATTTTCCGAAATTTCAAAACGCCATAACTTCCGAATCGGAAGTCGGATCGAAATTTGATTTAAAGATTCGGATTCCTGACAAAACTCTACCCCTAATTCATAACTCATACGTTAAATTTGGCGAATTTTTATTTTGACCTACTTTTAGGACACGCCATAACTTTGGAACCGGAAGTCGGATCGAAATTTGGTTTGCAGATTCGGATTCCTGAGAAAATTCTACTCTTCATTCATAACTCATATCTTAAATTTGGAGAATTTTTCATTTTGACCTACTTTTCGGACACCATATCTCAGAAGTGGGTCAAAATACTCTCTGACGGCAAAAGGCTAACACTATTAGCACACTCTTTGCTACCTGTATACAAAATTTTGAAGCAAATCCTAAAAGTGTAGTGCCAGAATCGAAAAAATAAGGAAAAACTATGAATTTGACCTAGATTTTGACCTAGGCATTTTGGTGTCCAAATATTGAAACTAGGTAGCTTTTGAGGTCCTCTTCTTTTATAGGAATTCATTATCTTAAGCTGTACTCAATCTATCTCTCGTATTTTACACTTCAAAAAAATCTTTTTTCCTTGACTTTCTATCAGGATAACATCAGATCGATTTTTTTCGAAATTTCAAAACGCCATAACTTTCGAACGGGAAGTCGGATCGAAATTTGGTTTGCAGATTCGGATTCCTGAGGAAATTCTACCCTTATTCCATAGCTCATATGTTAAATTTGGAGAACTTTTTTAGTTTGACCTACTTTCGGGACGCCATATCTCAAAATCGCTAAGAGTAATCAAAAAACGGATGGCACACTCTCGATTTGTTTTTTTCTAAGCTACATGATGAAAAAAAGATGAAGGAGTAACGACAATAAGCAACGAAGATAATTGACAGAATGTTGATTTTACCTAAATTTGACCTAGTTCTTGACCTTTGACCTAGATAAAAATTTGACCTAATTTCCCAGAAACTAGGTTGATGGGCTATGTTAGCCATGTAAGTAGGTTAAAGTAAGTTCTTCTAGTTGCTGAGAAAAAGTGTTCGGAAAGAAAGAAAGAAAGAATGAATAATAACTAGATTGGTAAATTGAACAGAGTTCAATTTAAGACTCCAGATTGATTTACTTGAGTAAAGAGCTGAGTAGGAAGCTGAGTACGTAGATGAGTAGGTAGCTGAGTAAGTAGCTGAGCATGTAGCTGAGTAAGTAGCTGAGTAGGTAGCTGAGTAAGTAATTGAGTAAGTAGCTGAGTAGGTAGCTGAGTAAGCAGCTGAGTAGGTAGCTGCGTAAGTAGCTGAGTAAGTAGCTGAGTAAGTAGCTAAGTAAGTAATAACTGATTAAGTAATTGAGTAATTAGTAGGCAAATAAGTAGCTGAGTAGGTAGGGAGGTAGAGTAGGGTATGTAGGAATTTTTGAAAGTAGATTTGATCAATATGCATCGTGAATACTGGCAAGTGCGAATTTCAATCTTTAAAATGGCGTAGAATCTTAACTGGGGGTTGGATTGCAATTTTAATTTCAGATCCGGATTCCCGAGAAAATTCTACCCTTAATTCATAACTCATACGTTCAATTTGGAGAACTTTATATTTTGACCTACTTTTCGGACACCATATCTCAAAAGTGGGTCAAAATACTTTCTGACGGCAAAAGGCTCTCACTATTAGCACACTCTTTGCTACCTGTATACAAAATTTTGAAGGAAATCCTAAAAGTGTAGTGCCAGAATCGCAAAAATAAGGAAAAACTACGAATTTGACCTAGATTTTGACCTAGGCATTTTGGTGTCCAAATATTGAAACTAGGTAGCTTTTGAGGTCCTCTTCTTTTATAGGAATTCATTATCTTAAGCTGTACTCAATCTATATCTCGTATTTTACACTTCAAAAAAATCTTTTTTCCTTGACTTTCTATCAGGATACCATCAGATCGATTTTCTGAAATTTCAAAACGCAATAACTTCAGAACCGGAAGTCGAATCGAAATTTTATTTAAAGATTCGGATTCCTGACAAAATTCTACCCCTAATTCATAACTCATACATTAATTTTGGTGAATTTTTATTTTGACCTACTTTTTGGACACGCCATAACTTTCGAACCGGAAGTCGGATCGAAATTTGGTTTGCAGATTCGGATTCCTGAGAAAATTCTACTCTTAATTCATAACTCATATGTTAAATTTGGAGAATTTCTTATTTTGACCTACTTTTCGGACACCATATCTCAAAAGTGGGTCAAAATACTCTCTGACGGCAAAAGGCAAACACTATAACCACACTCTTTGCTACCTGTATACAAAATTTTGAAGCAAATCCTAAAAGTGTAGTGCCAGAATCGCAAAAATAAGGAAAAACTATGAATTTGACCTAGATTTTGACCTAGGCATTTTGCTGTCCAAATTTTAAAGCTAGATAGCCTTCGAAGTCCCCTTCTTTTGTAGACTTTCATTATGTTAAGCTGTACTCAGTCTATATCTCGTATTTTACACTTCGAAGAAGTCTTTTTCCCCATTGACTTAACATGGGGCACCAAATTTAGCGATTTTGAGATTTCAAAACGCTATAACTTCCGAACCGGAAGTCGGATCGAAATTTTGTTTGCAGATTCGGATTCCTGAGATAATTCTACACTTATTTAATCATTAACACGTTGAATTTGGAGAACTTTTAATGTTCTGACCTACTTTTCGGACGTCATTTCTCAAAATCGGTAAGAGTAATCAAAAAACGATTTGCCTTACGGAATTAGCTTTTTTTCTAAGGAACATGATGAAAAAAACCCGGAGCAAAAATACCGAAGGACGACTGAGAAAACTTGTAAAATAGTGAAAACCCACGATTTGACCTAGTTCTTGACCTTTGACCTAGATAAACATTTGACCTAATTTTCCAGAAACTAGGTTTCATTACCTAGTTGACTATATTAGCAGATTTAAGTCAGTCCTTCTAGTTGCTTAGAAAAAGTGTTCGGAAAGAAAGAATAATAATAATAATAATAAGAAGAAAACTGGCAAAAGCAATAGACTCCAGATTTTCATCTGGAGTCTAATAAGAAAACTGGCAAAAGCAATAGACTCCAGATTTTCAATCTGGAGTCTAATAAATTCTAATAAGTAAGTGTCAAAGGTACCCTTTATCTCATGTTGACATTACCCCACATGTTGACGTTACCCCCCTTTCAAACGAGGTAGACTCAATTGAAACGTGTAAGATTTGTTTTCAATTTACAAAAATATATATATCGCACCCCCTCCTGGCTACGCCTATGACATTGTATGACGTAACAATTTACACTTCAATGGACGTGGGATAACTTAAATTATGATTATTAATCAAAATCTTACACGTTGCATCATGTAAATTAACACACATCACCTTTCTGCTAAAGTAATGATAGCTATTTACAGAATTAAATCATAATCAAAACAATTCACATACCAACATATGAACTATTGAAAATGGTGCGATCGCACCCCCCCCCCCTCCCCCCATAACCAATGAATATATGAACATGATGATAAAGGAAGAGCCTTAAGGTTCAGCTGGAAAGTAACATTTTGGTAAAAAATTGCTATACCTGCACATGTTATTTTCTGGTACAAAATTAAGTATGAAGGCATGTGTGTATTTCCTTGCTTTTTTCAGGAAAGTATCATTACACTGTCTACTTTTAGTAAACCTAGAAACAGGTCAATGGTTGCTCCTGTGTTGTCTGGAAACTTTGAAAGAAAATTTGGAAAAATAGAAAGTGTGAAATATCAGAATTTCCTGGAGTTCCCATTGAACTCATACTAGATATTCTTAAAGAAGACAATGTAATGATACTTTCCTGAAAAAAGCAAGGCAATTGACACATGTCTTCATACTTTATTTTGTACCAGAAAATAACATGTGCTGGTATAGCAATTTTTTACCAAAATGTTACTTTCCAGCTGTACCTTAAAAATGGCTTTTATTTGTAGCTTCTAGCTCAATTTTTAAGGAAGTTACATACATTTTTGTAAATTCAAAACAAATCTTACACTACACGTTTTCTAATGATATATGTTATATATTCGTACTTTACATTCTTTTGGGGTACCCAGTTTTTTCGACCGGGTACCAGGTACCAATTTTGAACCCAGCATTGAGGATTTACTAACAGTACACGCTTTTTTCACAAACCCCATGTGAATATCCACTTCAAATTTTTAAGTTCCAATTTGTTATTATGGGACACAAATTCCACAATATTTGGACTTACTAGGACGGAGAAATGAAAAACGTGGTGACACTTTCCTCACAATATTTTTGATTTTTAGAAAATGTACCTTGTTTTTGGATGGTTTGATGAACCCTCGATTTCTTGGCTGCCCTTTCTTTCGGCATTTTATCGATTTGGATCCGAGAAGATAGCTAAAGACGTAAATATATGTTTCTTCGATATTATTTTCAATCGTGCCGGAAGTTAAAAATATTTTCGCCTCTTTATTTGAAGAGTATTTGAAGAGTACCTATGGGCAACTGGACTTAACATTTTGAAATGTACATTATGCTATCCCAATCAGCAGATCAGAGAAGGGAGTTATATGGTTTTACTTTAAAAACACGAAAACATAGAATAGATCAGTTTAAATAGCTCCATGTGGTGTCAAGTTGTCAACCAGGCATCCAAATTCTCTAATTGAAAGCCCATGATAGAACCCAATCCCATCCTTATCGCATCCTACGACAATCTTTCACAATCTAAAGGGGTCGTAGGATGCGATAAATCCCATCCATGTAAATATGAACCTTGGTAGCAAGGTTGGGTATAGTTAGAAAGTAAAGGTGAATGTTAGATATGTTGATCTATGAATTCTGGGACATTCCCCCTCTTATGTTTACAAAATATATGTCACGTGACCAACTGACAGCCGGAACTTGCAACCCTGAAATTTTGCAAAATTAGTTCAATTTTACATAGTGTTTTATAGCTTATTGTTCATGCTAATTTAGTTGTAGTTGAATGCAATTATTACATTGTTATTTTTCCCCTGTTTTGCATTATAATTCCTTATAGGTGCTTGGACATGCGCTGCAAATATCGATGCTATCCGATGTGACCTGCAACAAAGAGAAACCAGGTCAGTCAGCTGATAGCAGAAAACCAGCTGTGATATGAAGATGGAGCGTAACGATTGGAAAATCTGCAATATTTCATCAAGTTTCTTCGAATAAATTTACATTTAGATTCTGAATGCATCACTACAGCTTGCATTCAATGTAGATTTTAACGTTGGAACATAGGAATGGGCAAACTATAGTCCTCAGCTTAGACCGAAAAGTGAGAAAAGAATTCATCATTTTCACTTTTTTGGAACAAACAATTTCAAGTGAAGTTACTGGCCTATCTTTGAAAGGTCTTCTATGTGATACCCTTGTACTTGTTTTACAAGGGGACATTTACATTTACAGTTGATTATATGCTGACTTCGTAAAATATATTAAACTGCCTCAGATCTGATAGACTGCAAGGTAAGTACAACCGAATTTCTTGTAATTCCACAGTTTTGTTGTTGTTTTGAAAATAGCTAGCCCATCCGAAGGATATCCCAAGAGAGGGGGACATTTGCATACGGTCGGTTGATACTTTTATAGATGCCGGCACGATGCACGTATGTAGCAGTGTCAGTATCTCAATGATTATACAGTGTAATCAGCTTTGTATAAAAAAAACTATCTCATACCCACCTATAACCAAACTCGTCTGGCCCAGTTATCTACTCCTGACGTCGTAGATCTGGGCTTACTCACTTCGAGAGCCATGTAAGATTTTGAAACTTATGGCTCTCAAACGGGGAAGTGAACAGCTGATTTATAGTGACCTTTGAAATCGAATTAAGTCGATCCGCGGCTTACTTTTGGTCTCTAACTGTGTCTTACATCTGTATCATCAATCCGTGTAAGTATTGGAGCGCTGAAGTACTTCCTTTTCGATCAAGACTTGTAATTGTTAGTCGAGTGAATGTTTTTACTGCCAAATTCCAATATGGCGTTTTCTGCTCGGACATTTTCGTAAATCTCTGGAGGTTGTCCGAACCTAACTAATTTTCAAAATTCATTTCGTTCGCAGTCTACGATTTCATTTTCAGCTCATACTTGCCAAGAGTGACTACTTAAAATTATTAGTTCTCGCCATATGAAATTTGCACTAGTCCTGTTTAATAATTAGAGCTATTTTGAGATTTAAAAATCTTTAAAATTAAACCCTTCAATGACTGTATCATGTCCCATGTAGGTGGGTATGGGGTAGGAGGTATTTTATACAAAGTCAGTGTAATCTATGAAAAAGGCAAGCAGTTGACTTAGAAATATAGGGTTACCTCATGGGTAGGACCCTTATTTGCCTTCGAGATGGTAGTAGACATTCCATGAATTAACACTGTAAGCTGAATTCTGTCTACATAGAGGAAGAGTAGAGTTAAGTCCTTAAGTATGTTTTCAACTTTTCCATTTTTCCATATCTCCGAGCAGTTTGTTTCCCAAAATAGTTTGTTCAGAACATACCTTCATAGTAATCTTACCTGGGATTTCCAAAATTTAGACATTTCCGGAAATAATACATGTGATATATCAACAAAACATGTCATATACGAAAATATGCATTTAGAAGAAACTATAGGAGGATAATATGTAGCTAGAGCTAGGATTAGGGTTAGTGCTTGAGTTAGGGTTAGTTTAGAATCGGGGTTAGGGTTACACCTAGGGTTAGGGGTTAAACCTAGGGTTAGGGTTAAAACCAGCTAGGATTAAACTATCCTTGGGGTTAAAGCTACCCTGCATGCAGAGTCTATTTAAACTACACTCTGCCTAGTAGAGACCATATTACAGTTTAGTAGCCCCGCCCCCACGACGTGTACCGGTGACAGTTTGGGTAAATCACTTTTGACCGACACACTGACCTTCCACCAATCAGTGAGCTTGAAGAAACATACGCAAAATGCGTTCTAATTAAATATGCGCATGTCATTGGTCAATTTCGGGCTCAATGATGACGTCAGAAAGAGTGACCATATAAAGAATGTCGGTCCTTGGCTGACGAACGCTGATTGGCGTGGTGAGTTCACAGGTTTATTTTAGTTTGAAAGAGTGAAGACGAAGCTCTCTTTTAAGAAGTGAAGTCAAACGAATGCAAAGGGTAGGTTAAAGCTAGGGTTAGAGATATAAATTGGTCCTTTACGCGTGTGTTGGGGCTGGTGTCAGATGATTGAGACTTTAAGCAATGCACATAAAATCGAACAGGAAACCTGTACGTTTAAATCGCCCTATGCAAATGCATGTAGTTTTCTCACATAAAACAATCGTTTGGTCACAGTGTTTACTTAGTCCGTTACTTAGACTACACATCATCGCGTACTATGCCATTGATAGTTATACAGCTGGTTTTCTATGATACATATTTTAAACATGCTCGTTTCGTAAGTTAAAGCTAAAACATGTATGACATACATCATTTTCTTCAGAATGATCAATCAGACAATGGTCCAAATCAAGTTATAACATTATATGATATTCAGCAAGAAGTCCGGTAGATTATCAAAGCTGAAAGTTAAAACCTAATCTGTCAATTTTCTGTCTGCAAAAGAACGTTTACATTTGACACAATAAAAGACTGAGGCTTTGAAATCTAGGATTCCCCAGGAAAATATGATGTCATACTAATTAGCATAAGGAATTCCCTAGTGGGCTGGGTCGAGCTTCGTTCGAAAACACAATCCCTAAATACGTGCTAATTTCTAAGGAGATAGGAAGTGTACAACATGTTTATCAATTTTGTTTTAAGTTTTAATTAATTCACAAACAAGTACTGCACGAACCGATAAATTCCCTGGTATTGTATCATAAATGGTTGTTAGATACCACCCTATTGTAGGCTAATATCTTATGGAAATAAGACCTCTGTTCAAGCAGGAATTTAAACATGGCTGCTCCATTCAAATCGGCTGTATTTTTTGGCTCACACAGTGACCCTATGGGATCGACCAGGCATATGTCAGTCTGTCGGTCCGTCGGTCCGTCCATCCGTCTGTCAACATTGGCCGCACAAATTAAAATTGCTATTCAGATTGAGTCATATCCACATTCATTTTATGCATATCCATAATGCCTATTTGACCTATCATCGCCATTTCCCAAGTTCGGTCTGTTTCCGAGAAATGGCTGATTTTGACGTCAAAAAGTCAAATTTTCTGTAAATACTAGACACTTTGTTGAAGTAGAACTTTCAAATAACTTGTAGTAGTTGCTGTCTATGCAACTTATGTTCTCTGAAGATTTCAAAGCTCTTGAAATTACAGTTTTTGGTGTTTACTCTATAAAATTTGACAAAAAGTAGGACTTTGTCATTTTCAGGGAACTTTCTCATGTATAAAGTCAATCATCATTGGCTGCACAAAACAGTGTGAGCACAGGACTGTGGGTCCTATTTTCATAAAATAAAATTGTGTATAATTTTTATGTCACCACCAAAAAGTGGTGACATATTATTGTATTGTCTCCATTTTTTTGTGACAGAGATCGGTGGTAGGTGATTGGCGTCTGTAACAATTTCTTACAACTTCCAATAACTTGACAAATGCTGTTTGGACTGACTTCAATTTTTAACAAAATCATCTACAAGTTTTCAGAAAACTTTGTTGGGTCAAAAAACTTGTTTCAAATTGACCATTTTTTCTAAATCATCTACAGAGTTCTCAGATATTCAAATCTTACTTAGTTTGAACCAATAATATTGTGAGCAACTCGGTGGTGGCATTTTGTCATGTTAATGGTTAATTTTGTTCAGATTTCATTTTATGATGCCTGATATAGGACCCTGCTCATGAAGGAGTTTTTAAAATTGTTGCTGAATTCAAAATGTAATATCTTTCTTTTTCGATATAATTTCTGATTGGCCAAATACCCATTATTGAAATTGGTTCAAATCTTGTACAGCCAGGCTAATGGCTTACCTCATAGGACCTCTGTTTCTAATAAGGTATCACATTGTGTCATGGTTATAGATTTTGCGAATGTTCTAAAAATGATGATGTAATTGACCTTTTCCCATATAAATGGAAAATAGATGGCATCATGGGTATTGGTAGGGCTAGGGTAAGGCAAGAATACATGGATATGTATTGCCAGAGTCACTTAATTTCTTGATTTAAGAAGTTATTCCATTTGGATCAACTTAAAACACCATTGGAATATAACTATATGATCTTATTGACATGTGAATTGTGATTTCACATTAGATTTGTGATCCTTGTAAGAGTAAATGAACTTTTAAAGCTTTTTCAGCATTGTGTCTACTTGGATTTAGCCCGACCTTTTTTTAGACAACTAGAAAATCATTAGAATTTGAATAATGGTGCAAATCAAAGCTGTTTTGATAGAAAATGACAGACAGAAATGACAGATGAAATGCAGATCTCCTAAAATCTCTTTAAAAAACGAGACTTTAATGAGATTTCAAAGCTATATGGAAATAGGACCATTTGATAAAATTTGTTTTTTCTTTAGGTTTTGTTACTCCGAGGAGTTGCTCCTTTTCTCATTGTAAACAGGACCTTTTAGGTGAATGGAGTCACCATATTTAAAGTGAACGTGTATTTTCACAATCTTGTTCCCTCAGATAACACCTCATGAAATATTCTAATGCATGCTCTCTAGCATGTTCACAACAATAACTAAACAGTCCGAGTTCACAATGTTCTGGTATTATGGTAGTTCAGAATGTTTCCTTCAGCAGTGCTCAGTGTAAAAAATACATTCAGTCATAGTTATGAATATAAAATGAAATATTATATTTTTGACCCTGTATTTTTCTTGATTTTAACATTTGCCTCACAAATACCAACAAATACCAAGAGTGCAAAAAGTTATAAAGATTCTAGGCTAAACCGCATGCATGACACTACAAACAAGTATGATATCTTAACAGTTAGCTTATTTCATTGCCTTGTTTACATGTAATCTGGTGCTTATTGAATGAGTTACTCATATGTTGACTTCTAGGTTACATTGAACCCTCCCTTTAGTTCCTGTTTATCTGCAATATAAAAGTGATATATATAGTACTTCAAAATATATAAGTGAAAATAGAGCATAACAGAGCATATTGTAACATACTTGAAATATGATAGAAAGCAACTTTAGTGTATCTTTAAAATGTAATTGTTAACAAGCTAGGCCACAGTATATAGGATATGATCACATGTTCATAATATGCAATAGTCAGATTGGGAATTCCAAGTTTTAGATAAGAGTTCTAAAACTCAGATTTGGGGTTCTAAGATAAAGGGCCACAACAAAGGAAATGGGATCTTTTAGACAGGTAACAAAAATTAATTATTTTCAGAGATTTATTCACATTGATTATGTCTCTAGCACATCCAAATCAGATTTTTGCTAATACAAGTACTTATATCTAATGAATCTCAGTGCACGAAATAGACGTCCGACATCGGCCATTGGCCTGACAAAATTATAGATGGCTTGTTTTGATAAAAACACCCAGACATTTTGGCCTGCCAGACATTTGTGGCATTCGTTAGATTGCCCATGAATAGAACCCACATTTCAGTCCGGAAATCCTCCGAATTCCCCGCGATTTCGGCTTATTCCATGACTTTTGTTGAAGATTTAAAAAAATTTCAAATATTTTTGTTTTCATACTGAAGCCCAAGATATAACGTGACTTTTGATTGGCTGTTGTTGTTTGTTGAAATTACGGTGATTTTGATTGGCTATGGATGACTCATTTCTTCATCGTCGTTCGCAAATCGAGTGCATTATCAGTATGCCGGATGTAGAAAAGAAATTGAAAAATCGAGCCGGCATCTAAGTCCAAAAAGTCGGCAGTTTGGAAGTATTTTGGGACTCTGATATCACAAGGTAAACGAATTGGTGATAGTTCACCATGCAGACTATGTGAAATGCCGATCACATTCACGGCAGATGCTTTATATTCGATTTTAATTGACGTATTTCTGAATATGATTTTGAAAAGTGAAACTGAAAGTGAAACTGTCATCATCAGACATTGTATCATTTTTAATGTTCTGTCCCGTCCTGTCTCGAAAGTATCGTGTCCCGAGACCATTTTTACCATTCCGTACCGTACCGAAATTTATTTGGACCGTGACACCTCTAATATATACCTTGAATTTTAGTCTGTTAGTGGAGTCTGTGTACATAGTATGTGTTTTTGAATACCTTGAAGCTTCTGAGAGCAATTCTAAACCGACCAAAATCAGTACAATTTAGTTTGATCAATATGTACATGTTCCTCATGTTTTTGTAAGGTGAATCTAGGGGGGAATCAACACACCCAGGCTGTTGGTTAAGTCATCAAGTACAGTATAGTGAATGATACATGACATGCAATGGAATTAGTTTTACTTTGTTAATATTGTACTAAACTAAATCTCATTTTAGAGTGGTTGTGGAGAAATATGGAAAATGAAATTTTTGGCCAGAGAAGTAAGAAACAGGGTGCAAAAAATTGGCCTGAGAAAAAATGATATGGCTGGTTAAAATCTGGCTGGCCTGCCAAAATGTCTAGGTGAAAAAAATCCTTATTTCGCGCACTGATGATACATTTTAGAATATTACATCATGTGATAGAAGGAAGAGTTGTGGGTGTTTCTTTTACCTGAGTGGGAGAATGCAGGGGAGGATCTAGAAATCCAGCGTGGGGGGGGCAAATATCGCTGAAAATCCAGGACTAATTGTACTAGGCATTGTAAAACTTGATCTTGGCAAAGCAAAAAGGCTAAAGGAGGTATATTACTACATTTGGACTGTATATCAAAATTATGAGTTTGAAGAAATATCACTCAGTCTGTTAGATTTTCCCATTTGCCTCGCCTGCCTGATTGTGCCCTGGTTATAAGCATGATAAAATTCAAGAGTATATCACTGCAAAAAATATTACCTTACATTGAATGCTAAATATAACCTTGCAATCAATGTTTTTTTTTCGATAGACATCATATAAAATTGATGATTGATGACTTTGTGTAAAAGTTCACCTATTGAACATAATGTGGTGTTCCATATTGAACATAATATGTAACCAAGATCGATGACTTCTAACTCAACAATAATCTTTGTGTGAAATATTAAACTTTGATAGGGGCGATAACCTAATAATATCGCAACTTAATTGAACCTAGTTTCATTTTGCTCAAACTGACAAGTATAAGGTTAACGTGAGTATAATACCACATATTGATTATTTCCACGTTCCTGCTTTATGGTCGAGAAGAGTTAGCTGATTGGATTATTCATTGGAAATCTAGTTCCAACCAGTTCCTTGCTGCAGAGGAGGCCTTGTATCTAACCTAGATTCCATTATATTTCATAACACCTCATTTCAACAGAGGTTCTAAAAAAGGAACTAGTTACTTTAAAGAAGGTGTAGTTATATAGAACTGAGGATGATTATTAGCTGGTTTGAAATTGTATGATAGAAACTGAGAATATGCGAGTAGAAAACTGGATTATTGGAGAAAAATGATGATGATGAAATCAGCTGATTGTTAAGAATAGTTCAAAAGTGCAACAGAATTTCCTTAATCTTGTTCCTTGATCACTCTTAAATCACATGGTAGGTTAAATAGATTTTTGATGAACTAGTATATATAAACTTATATGAGGTCATATCAGGTAAAGTTAAAGCTATTAGTATATTAACCTGGTCCAGGAAAATGGATTAAATTTAAGGTCAATTGGATTCGTGTCAAAAGTGAAGTTCACTTGAGGTCATCTGAATGAAACTCATTGAGTAAGCTGTGACCATCTCAATTCAACAGATGAACTAATTCTGATAAATAGATACTGGAAAATGGAGCATCTTTAGATGATGCATGTTCTCACTGATGACCTCAGAAATTTACATTATTCACCTGTTTTTATGTAGCTGTGCTTTAGATTTCTTTTTTTTTGTTATGTGTATAGTGTTTGTCTTTTACTGACACTAAGATGCAGTATGAATGACACATTAGTCATTGCTTGGATTAAGAAATTCCAGATTACAAATTATTGAATTTTATTAGTCATTCAGGAAGGAAAATAGAAAATAACAGACAGCAGGTATTTTTTATTTCAAATTGTCACAATTCTCCAACTTTACATTGAACAACATCTTTTTGTATTTCCAGGCAGTGGACAAGCAGAAGAAGACACTAAGAGACAATAATAGACATTCAACCATGACACAAGTTAACACTAGAGCTCCTCTTGAGCCATTTGAAGGAGAATACTCCTCACCTAACCAGCAGTCTGATCCTGCAACAGACTCAAGGGAGGATGATCCCATGTTGAGGAGAAATGAGATAAGTGAGAGCAATATTGGAGAACATTGCACTGACATTAAAGAAAACAATGATAAGGACATTGAAGGAAACAATGATAATGACATTAAAGGAAACAATGATAATGACACTCAAGGAGCCAGTTCAGATATTGATAGTGAGGAAGATCAGTGTTCTGAGACCGGAGAGGAGAAATATATGGCAGGTCTAGCAGGACCCACACAGGGTACCTTAGAGTACCCTTGTAGTAGCAAAGAAGCTAATTCACCTGATGGTAGTGGTAGATTAGATGGCTGGATGCCTGTAACCCCCCTTATCGGTCACCATTGCCAGCCCCCCGCCACTTCAACAGCATGCAGTACCCCCCTCCTAGATGTCAAAAGCTTTATCCCAGTGCAATCAACATCTCCACCAGTAGACTCTGATAATACATCTCTATTCATCCCAATGTGTCGGATTTGTCACATGCCCGAAGATGACTCAAATCTGGAGAAGCTAACCTCCCCATGCCGTTGTGCAGGGACATTGCAGTACATACACAACTCTTGCCTAAAGGTAAGCATCATAATATTGACATACACCACTCATTACACATATCTAAAGTTCATAACATTCAAAAATAAATAAACCTCCCTGGATGTAAAGCATAAAAATAAACAAATAGAAATTGTTAACTGGCATTGGCAGTAGAACAGAAAACTTAAAAATCTAGGTCCTATCATTGATAATTGCAGGCATATTGAAGAGCAAATCATAAACTTTTGTTTAAATAAATTTTTATTTTAGATTGATTTAGTTTTAATTTTTTAGTCTCAGCTCAAGCTGACATAAGTACAAATAAGAATTAGCCTGGATAAGTTTAGATCGTGTTGACCTATGAGTAGTGTTTTGAGATAAATCATCTTTTTATCCTTAGAAAATATGACACAAAGTGATGGTTATCTTTTCTCAAGTTTTGCTTCGAGGTTAGGTTATAAACTATGTTATTTCCAGTAAAAAATCAGTTCAGTTCACCTATATTGTAATTAACAGAAAACCTGTAGAAAGGCATGACTTCAGGATAGGGACTGATACCTATCAAATATGCAGTACATGTGATTTTTTTCTGTCATTAGAGAGGTAAAGTTACATGTATTTGGAGAACTTGAATGGTAACATGTCAAATTATGAACCCTTCCGATTTTTGTCCAGGGTCCATCTACAATTACTTTCTGTATACCAGGGGAACCAAAATTATAGTTTTTAAGTTCGCTACAGAAGGTATCAGTATTACAATCCTCCCAAGTTTTGGAATACAAATTAAGAAGAAAAACTTGCAGCTACATAATTTAAATAGGTTTATACTTTATAAATGTACGTGTGTAGGTAAATCTCTGAGTGAGTTCTAGGAATTTCTGCATATCACTGAAAATGGTTACAATTCGATGCCTCTTTCTATGTGTTTTAAGTTACACCTCAGGTTTTGCATATCGTTTACTGAACTTGCTAAGTTTTGCAATTTAAAAGGCAACAATCAGGGGCTCACGGCCTTCCTTATAGTACATGTCACTACATGTATAAAATAGCAATTTGGAAAATCAATAAGGTTGCAAAAATATGAGCATTTACAGCGGCGTAGCCAGGATTTGGTGACCAGGGGTTCTATTTTTATGTATCCACAAATCTCCCCATTCATCGGTGTACCTCACATAAAAGCATTTTTGTATTTGTCATACATACAATTTGCACCCCTCCAAAAGTTTGGCAACCACACCCCCATTGAGCGTTTTTGGTGAATCTTTACTGAAAAGATATTGAAATCTGGGGGCAAAATCATACATTTCAATATAACATTTGTTTAATGAAATCCAAATCAAGGATTAGCATACACTGAGCTAAGTTTTGTTCAGGGCAAATCCTAACATATCTTTAAGGAACATATTTTTAACGAGCTATTTTATTTTGATATCCTCATTCCTAATTCGTTCTTTAGGGTTCAAGGCATTCAAAGATATGTCAAATTCTGAAACATGTAATTTCCACACTTTAATACCGAGATTAGATGAATTTTTTGAAAAGATTCCAAATCAAAAATTTTTATTTTATTTTGTAATAAAAGAGTGCTCGACCTCATTTGCTCCATAAGTGCTAAAATTAAACATTTCTTTTAAATTTCAATGCCTTGCAACAAAAAACACCTAGTGCTGAAAACGCCTATTTGTTCTTTCTTTGAATTGAAAATAAAAAATAATCTGTACTTAATAACTTAATAACTAATTTTTTTACGGTTTGGCGAATGTAAACAAAGGAGGTTACTTCGCTGAGGCTTTAGAACCACACTATGCCCAGGTTTAGATTTGTTACCCCTGGAAAGTAAAATCAATTCCCTAGAGACTGGGCGCTGTTGTATCACCCTCAGAAATAGCTGTGGAACATTATCTCCATTTCTCCAGGGTAAGGTCACCATTTTTACTGAAATGATCAGTTATATGCCGTGGTTATGTCAACAAGATCATTACCACGGATTAGATCATAAACGGACGGTGAAAATGTTTCTATTATCTAATATTTGCTTTCGGGGACTTGTCAGCCCAGGGGACTTAGCAAGAATTTTTTGTTTGAAATAAAACAAAACGAAGACGCAAAAATTTGAAAGAAAATGTGTTTTCATCAGTATGTAGACAGTTGGTTTATTTCACCGGAGATGGAGCAGCTTTTAAGTTGGAAAATAAATTGTGCGAAATAATTGATATTTCTTTTTTTGCATAATGTCATGATGCTCCGGGGTCTTCCCAAGATTAAACAATACCACCCCGTGCCTAAGGTTGCCAAACTTGGAGAGAAGTGTAACTTAATTATTTTTTATCTACTGGTCATATAAATTGAATATATTTTTCTAGTTATTGCAATGAATTTTTCCACAAATATTTTTTGGGGAATTCAAGACCGAGGGTTCGTCTGAACCCCCAGTCCCTACGGCTATGATTTAAAGGTACTTAGATCCAATCATATATGAACATGGTTCATAAAGGATCTAATTCCAGGGCTCTATGCCAAATTGTAGGATTCACATGATGTTAGGTTATTTAACAGAAATATAGAATTGAATAAGTAGTTGCAGGCCTGTCAACTGTCCCGCAATTTGCGTATTTGTCACGCATTTGCTGAAGAATTTGAAGTCACGCCAGTTATTTTTGCGTGACAGAAAATGTCACGCAAATACGCATTTTACCTGGTAATTGTCAAGCAAAAATATTTCTGTAGAAAAATTTCTAAAAAAGATCGTCTACACAGCAAAAATACGAACGCCGCAAAAAAAATGTACGCATTTCGTTCGGACTTTTCACGCGAATTACGTATATGTCACGCATTCCGTTCGAAATTGTTCGTACCTACCCCCCCCCCCCCCCCCCTGTTGACGGATGTTTGAAACGGGAGCGTAGCGATCGCGAAAAATTTGAGGTGTTCAAAATTTGGCAAGATGTAATAAAATTTAAACCAAGGTGTTCAAAATTTGGATCAAGGTGTCCAGATTTGGACCAAGGTGTCCACATTTTGAGGGGAGGTGTTCAACATTTCCAAGTCACTCATGTTAGGTGTTCCCAAGTTGACAGGCCTGTAGTTGATACCCTTAATGTGAATTTCCCATATGTTCAAAGGGTTTCAGCAACCAATATTTCATCATCAAGATTTCTCAGTCTTGCATCATGCCCCTGTGGCGTTCACAACGTTTTTGCGCATAGATCCTATAAATGGAGATCAGAGGTGAAATTCTAGGTTGCCATAGTAGTGGTCTCCTGGATCATTCAGTGCATTTCTCATATTCACAATTCTGCCTTAAATGTTTAGAATATCCAATAGTATGTTTTTTATGTTTTCAATAGGGAGTTAATAGGTATACTATTTAGGTGAATGTGAGCTAATTTTCAAAATCTAGTAGGTGTGATCATAGCATGATCAAGAATTTATTTGTTTTGAATCAGATTGTGTGTTGATAAAAGAGATTTTTCAGTTATTTACCATGACCTAGTAAGAGTGTTGTCAGAATGTAAAACTTGATAAATGTTCGAAACTATTGTTATATATTTCTTTCGTCATAAAGTTTTCTTCCAGTGTATAGGTTTTCCAGAAAATGTTCATTTGTAATATAAATCAACATCTGACATGTATTTGTGTTGTCATATTCTCCACAGTAATGATTTGATTTTTGCTTTTGTTCCAGAAATGGTTGGAAATTACAAGCAAGAAATCCAGAAAACCACCAAAATGTGAATTATGTCATTACCAGTATCACAGGCATAAAAAGTTCAAGGTAAGTTTACTGCAATGAAGTAGGTTTTACAGGAATGCAAAAGAGTAAACACTTCATATATGACACGATACCTTTTTCAAATAAGTTAAAATAGGTAAATGTTTTGTGAAAGGATGTGAATTATGTGCTAAAAGCACTATAAATAATTTTGATTGAAGGATTAAACAGGTCTATGAAGTTTCAGTGTTCAGTTCAAATAGAACTACATTTACTGGGAGGGCCATGTTTCTACATTTACAGACTGGTCTGTGTAATTATATTTTCAATGTGGCCCTTATAAATATTTAAGAGAATGCATATACAATTCTTCTTTCAGTTTCATCATTGGCGGCTTCCTAGGGTATCTAAACAGGACAAGATTCTCCACCTTGTGTTTCTTATCAACATCCTTATCATGATTGGCTGCGCTATTGCCACGGTGATGTGCTTTCTCTCGGACAAAGGACAAATCAACAAATTCCCCCGGAACAAGGTAGATCTCTCCACTGAGGAAATAATTACATTATCATGCGGGGTTCTCTTCTTTGTATCATTCTTTATCTCAATGACTGTTCAAATCAAGGCAAGGCACACTGTGTATCAACTCTGTATGAGGTTTATTATGCAAAACATGGAGTGGGAGATTGACGAATATGACAAGTCAAAAGACTTTAAGTTGTTTAAAGCGCCATCTATGGTGTAAGATATTGGCTTGGTCAGATAGACCTTGTTTCAGAAGTGCAGTAAGCGTAGGATAGAATCTAGCATATGTAAAGAAATATGCAGAAGAAGCTAGGAGAACACTATCAATATATGTAGAAATTTAATTGTTACGATATAGACTTAGCTGATTTATTAAGGGAATAATATAATGCCAAAATCTCAAGAATCCAGCTAGACTTGGCTTATCCTATTTATATCTTGGAATACCATATATAGGGCATGGGATATACACAATAGTTTGGAAAATATCATTTTATCACGGATCATTTTGAGATATTTTAAAAGGCGACTTATAACTTTGGGACTTCTGCTCAGACAAAAAAGTCTGAAAAGTCTGTAAGTGTAAAAATCAATTATCATTTAGTGAAAGTGGATATTTTTTGCCCAAACAGAAAAAATGATGTTTTTCTGCTTCCATTGATATGTTGGCACTGCCATTTATATATATTGAGCTTTTGTACAGACAGTTATAAATATTCCAACTATTGTAAACTTTAAGATATATATGATTATTCTATACATTTATAACAATCATTTAGTTGTTCTGTACATAGATAATTCACATAGATAATTGTACAAGCTGGGAGCAAATTACCCAACTTATTTAACTTCTAATAGTCTTATGAAAAAAATTAAAAAATGTAATTTAAAAATGAGTGTATCCATCTAAGCAAGAATTACAGTTTTGCCTGTTTTACAACGTACAAGGAGGATTGGCTCCCAGAGTGCAACATCGATATTCTGTACCATATATTGGGGTGTCATCCCGGGATGTTGTGCTACAAAATTTGAATTCCAACAGCCGCCATTTTGTTCACTTCAACATTTGAATTGTGAATTTTGGTTTTATTTCCTCACGAAAAATTCCAAAACTCACAAGAAATGATCGAGATATTGATTTGAATCTTTTGAACTCTTTATTTTGAATTTATAATCAGTTATAATTTAAGAAAATAACAACATTACGGCGTTTTCATTGTTGGAAAATATCATCAACTTGGATTCTGGGAGCCAATCCTCGTTGACAACATATTAAGCTCTGTATTTAACCTATATGGTTATGAACTGTATTTAGCACAGGGTTGAGTTTATATTAAAAATAGTGAAATGTAAACATAGTTAAGATCAAGCATACAATATAAGTTTTGCCCTAGTTTGATTGATTAGCCATCCCTTCTGATTGCAGTCAATTATTCATCATAAATATCAAGAAATTTTTTTTGTACAGAGTATGTGTTAATTCAAGCATGTTTCTTTTTCATTAAATTAAATACATACATGCTAGAATCCTATGAATGGGCCATTATTCTAACTGTATTGATTGCCAAATATTTTTTCCCAATCAGAAATCCCTATATTCTTATTTATGACCATCACCCAGTATAAAGTATGCTTGCCCTTAATTTGTTTGTGCGTTACTATAGCAACAAATACATGCATGTGTCTGTGATTGATCCCTTGTATAAAAATAAGCCATTTTCATTTAAAAGACTAAATGTTTAACTTGTTTTCGGGCGCTAGGCTTTTTTCATTAATTGCCAATAATTGGAATACAGCATGCAATGTGAAAATTATTGTTTGTGTAGAAAGGCATCCCTCATATTGGGGGAAACCAATTGTCATTTTTTGATGACCCATTTGCAATTGTAGGAGCATGTATGGCCCTTAAAAGCAATGTAGTTCTTTTTATTAGATATTTATTTTTGTTTATAGTCGGAACTAGCCTAATTGTAGACCCTATGTCAAACAGATGTAGGGTTATATTTGTGTGGATTTTTATACATTGGTACCAAATCCAACCTAAAAAAGTGTATCTATACATTCATGTTCAACCATATGTAAATTTTGTATTCAAAATACATTTACATGTACTTTTATAAATGTGTTTATTGTGTTCCTTTTATATATAATGTCACCTGGAAATAGGTTAGTAGCCTCATTCATCTTTCGCCAGATCATGGCCAAAGCTAAAAAATGTATTGCAAAATTGAAGTACCTTTTGAAGTAGATCTTTTTTATATTTTTGGTGTCCCAGGGTATCAGATATCCAAGGCCTCAATAATTAAAGCCTTGATCTTTGAATGAAAACAATTTTTTTCTTTTTAAACAACTCCATATTTTAAAGTTAAATTACAAAAACACAGTCGTAAGTCTTCAAAAGTTTATAGAAGGGGCGATTCATATATTCTGATAAAAATGCTCTCATTTTGTGATTTTTTCACATATCCCTCTCATTTTTCAGAACATAAAAATTATGTAATTACACATACAATGCTTAGATATAGTGTATTTTAAATTAATTTTGAGATAAGGTTGCCATGGTAACCTGTAATTTTGAATTTTGGTGTGTCTCATGACATGTAATGCCAATTGGCCCATTCTGTCATACACTACTATTGTGAGCTGTTGTGATGTTATAGTGAACACAAATAAACATTTGTTTAGCAACAAACAATGAGCAACAATACCAATTTTTTTCTTGAAAAAAGTATGATTTCCGCATGCTTTAAAATGATTAAAAGAATAAGCTATGATATTTTATAGGGATTGACCTGCCTACAGGTTACCATGGCAACCTTAACTCTAAATTAATTTGAGATATAGCTATACTATTTTAGCATTGTATGTGTAATTACATAATCTATATGTTCTGAAAAAATGAGAGGGACATCACAAAATAAGAGCATTTTTATCAGAATATATGGATCACCCCTTGTAGATTTAACATTCACTCACAATTGCTTATTATCCCAGTAACAATGCATTTCTACAATAAGCAGAAAGCAGAATCACATCCAGAAACATTTACTGAAATCTTTGACTGAGATGAAGATGTCTTAACCTTACTCACTTCGAGAGCCATGTTAGATTTTGAAACTTATTATATCAAAATCCACATAGCTTTCGCAGGAAGTAATCTAAATCCAATCTTCATATTCAATTTCACTCCCAAAAATGACTTCAAAGAATTTCCCAAACTCCATATTTTTAACAGCTTCATATTGTATTTTTCTGAACAATTGTTTTTATATTGTGCCAGTGCCTTGGATCATGAATTATTCATTGACTTTCTACAATTTTTGCTACTATCACAGACTAAGATTTAATAAAGGCACAAATAAATAAAGCATGAACAAAAGTACATTCACAGCACATTCTGATACAAATCGCATCTTCAAACCTGTCTGTGTTTTAGTTCAATCTACGATGGAAGAAAAGAGTGCCATGGTATTCCATGGTGACATTCACATGTACTGAAAGGAATTAAACAAAGTTAAGATAGGATAAACACAAGATTATTATTACAATTATTTTACTCTTATCATGCCTATTTTCTAAAAAGGCCAATAGCAGGATAACCCTTTAATATTAAAGAATTTGAACATTTCTGTACCTGTGATATTCAATATATATTCTATATTTTTGATCAGGTAGCTTTCCTTTTCCAGAAAATAAAATCATAATTCACTGATAGGAAAACATGACACGCTTTTTTGCCTTAGTCATGTTAAAATCATTAATAAAAGATGTCACTATCACACACACCACGACAAAGGCTACGGATGTGGTTTAACCTTTTTAAAGGGGTACCCATAATCAAGAGGCATCCTGTTCTACTTTTAAACGGTACTTCATTGAAATGACGTAAATGTAAGTCGAATTTCAGAGCTCATGACCTCCTCGGAGGTAGGTTTTGGGATATCTGGACAAACTGAGTGATGTATCTAGTATATCTGATGTTGATGACCTTCCTAGAGAAAGACAACAAATGTTCCCCCAATTTTGGATGGTTGTACAACCACAATGCAACATCAATTACCTAATTTCATAGTAAAATCATTCTTTAACATTATGATTTACATTATCCTAAAGATTTGGCGTTGTTGACACAGTGGACCGAACTAATTTCTTTCTTGAAGGCAAGATGGCGTAATGGTAACATATCTACCTTGTAAAAGAATTGAAAAAATTGGTCAATTTGAAACAAGTTGAAAGACCTTTACACACCATTGGTCCGAATCCCAATCATCCGAATCCCATTTGTCCACTGAAATCCCAACGGTCTGAATCCCAATCATCCGAATCCCAATGGTCCGAAACCTAATGATCCAAAAATTAACAATTGTCGATATGATATTTTCGAGGGACCACCTAACACAGGGAAATAGCATGATATTTCATTAACACCGTTATAACGTCTGTAGCTCGACGTTTCAAAAACCTGCATCCGTTCTACTATCTGACTATGCGAATGACGTTTCTCGCTTTATGTGCAGAGACGTGTAGGGATACAGATAAACGCGAAAATGAGGCTTTTTTTATGTTGAATAATAACGCATCTAATTTGAACATCCAAATTAAATTGTTCATAATAATAATACGTACGATGGAGACGTTTCGCATGTTACAACGTTTCAAGCGTCCCGTATCAAAACCCACAATGCACCCTTGGTATACGCAGCTAACGAAAATTGACCGGTACGGGTCAAAAGCTGGACCGGTACGGGTTAACGGTTTTATTTGAATTTAAAACAGCCATAACTTGCTCAATATTGACTTCCTCGTGTCTAATTTGAAATATATGATGCCTCTCGATGCTTTTAAGTACCCCAATTTTTTACAGATTTTTAAACGGACCAAAACTCTCTAAATGCGCATTTATGCTCTTTTCACTCGAGAACGACTGTCTCATTTTCACGATAACTTTTATTTAGTACTTCTAACATATAAGATATATTTTTCCCCATCAAGGTATGATGTAAATGACATGCTATTTACATCTTGTGAGTTTCAATGACGCGTGTTTGATTTTATAAAAAATGCCAAACTTTGTGACAAAGAATTTCATCCTGCTTGCAGCAAGAAGACGGACCGGTTCGGGGCAATCTGCTTGCAGCGAGAAGACGGACCGGTTCGGGGCAATAGCTGATGAAATTCTTTGTCACAAAGTTTGGCATTTTTTATAAAATCAAACGCGCGTCATTGAAACTCACAAGATGTAAATAGCATGTCATTTACATCATACCTTGATGGGGAAAAATAGATCTTATATGTTAGAAGTACTAAATAAAAGTTATCGTGAAAATGAGACAGTCGTTCTCGAGAGAAAAGAGCATAAATGCGCATTTAGAGAGTTTTGGTCCGTTTAAAAATCTGTAAAAAATTGGGGTACTTAAAAGCATCGGGAGGCATCATATATTTCAAATTAGACACGAGGAAGTCAATATTGAGCAAGTTATGGCTATTTTAAATTCAAATAAAACCGTTAACCCGTACCGGTCCAGCTTTTGACCCGTACCGGTCAATTTTCGTTAGCTGCGTATACCAAGGGTGTTGTTATAGAAAACGTATAATGCGTCTCAGCTTATTGTGTATGTGTACAAGGTGTCTGTAAAGTATTTTTACACATTTACACAGCATTTGTAAATGTAATTGTAAATAGACTTTGTGGACACCATGTACAATTCGATAACCTGATCATAGTACCGTCCGACATTGCTTCAGGTGTAGTTATCCTATCGGGTATACTCTTAAAAATTAAGATAAGTTACAATCTTATCTATCATCTCCATAATATTAACAAGATAATCCAGTGAAAAAATCACTGAAAAACTACAAAGACCCGAAGTTAGGTATAAGGGGCGGAAAAGATCATGGAGTGATAGTGAAATGTTGCTTTTAGTGGAATCTATAAGTAAATGGTTATATTGTCACAGAAGCATGTAGCGCCACTTATACTATTAGGCTATACTGGTATACTGTTCTGGATGGGGTAGGGTTACTTACAACATGGCAAGCGCGTAGCTACGTTGAGGCAAATGAGGCAGCTGCCTCGTCGCTTTTTTCAGCCTTTGAAAAATAATGTTCTGATATCAAACCATTAAAATGAGCATCTTTTTCTTGAAAACGTACCATTAACAGCTTGTTTTCTGTTTATTTTATCTAAATATAATTTCATATTCTCTTTATACAGAACTTAAAGTAGCCTACAGTACTCTCAAGACACTTGCGTGCGATTTTATACCGTTCGCATATCGCATCATATTGTTAGCCTTCGTTTTTGAACCAAAGGCGCCATTTTCTGATTTTTGATTGATATTATGATATAAGACTCACTGTGGCAAGTAGATCAGGTATTCCTTATTATTAAGGGTATTTCTTTTTTATCGCCCAGATATAACGACCTAGGAAGGTCTAAAGTGCTGTATACACTGTAAATAGTGTTTCAACCGTTTCAATCATTTCAATCGATGCGTCTTGAAAAATGAAATAAGAGTTTCGCTGTTTGCGCCTGTTTCGCCGTTTCAAGCATTTCAATCAATTCGCCTAATGTACTTTCACTTTCACTTTCGTTTCAATCAATTCAAGCAACTTTTCGCCGCCGTTTCAAGCATTTCGCCTGCCAGTGTATACAGTCATTTTTATAACTTCCAGCGTAATGTGTAAAACTTAAAAGTAATCAATGTGCACTGCGCTGAAACGCCGATCTTTGAAATTCTTTTTTTTCTGTTGAAAGTATAATATTTTATATCTCAAACGTACTCAGATAACCAATTTTACTTTCGTCAAACAATACTCCAAATTACAATAATAGCATTTAAATCACTGACCTTTTTGAATTACGAAAATAGACAAAAGTAATATAATCTGATTCCATCGTGTAGCGACAGGATATATTATATACAGAATATCACATCATCTTGAGTGATATCATTTTTATCGCCGAGTTGATATCAAATATCAACACGAGTTCGAGCCCCTTTCTGTAAAACTAAAGAGTTGTTTTATAAATAAATTGTTCAAAAGTTGGGAGCACTGCCTGGCATTGATGCTTTAAAGTAAATAATCAAAGATATTTTACAAAGGAGTGGTATCGATATGGAGAACTGAATTCAACAATGTTTTCTCTTAAACCAATCATTGAAAACATTCTGTAAAAAACGGTATTTTATTTATTGTTGACTGATTGACAACAATTTAATGCAAAAATTATTTAGAAATATTTTATATACTAGTAACTGTTTTTGTTAACATTTTTTGTTTTTATAGTGCAATTGTTTAATTTGCTCCTTTCTACCAATTCTTGAGAATGAATTTAAATGTCTTTCCGAACCTTGTTGGAACGAAATAGCATATACAACATGTTTTTAAACCTCTCAATATTATGATAATACAAAGGAATATTTGGTTGATTTTAAAAAAGTATTCAAAAAATTAAAACAAAATCCCCCAAAATAGATAAAAATCGAGATAAACCTTTTATTTCATTAACAAGATACTTTTTTAAAATCAACCAAAATTTCCTTTGTACAATTACAATTTTGAAAGACCTAAACATGTTGTGTTTATGTCGTTTTGTTCCAATGAGGTTCGGAAAGACGGTTTCATTTCACTCCGGAAACGTGATACCAAGAACAAAACAAGTGTTTGATGTGTTTTCTAAAACAATATAGATATAAACAGGGATCAGGGTTACACACTGGATCCCGTCTATTTTAAGATGTTATAGTTTATATATTCATATTCATAATGTCTTAGTGTCGTTTCTAGGTGGTATGTTGTGTAATACCTTAGTAACGTTTTTAATTGTATATTACATCATTGAAGCTTTTTATGGTAACGGTTGCTATTTTTCTCAATTAATTGTTTAATTGTAACATCAATGAAGTTTTCTATAGTAACGGTTGCTATTTGTCTCATTGTTATGTAATAATTAATTATTTCAGTTTGATTCAAATATAATTTTTTTCTGATGAAGTAGGATGGACATCCTACGAAACGTCAAATAATAAAATAAATATCTCTGAGAAAGAAAAATCCACAACTTTGTAATATAGATAGTATATATATTTTTCAAATTATATTGTTACCATTCAAAAGATGGGTTGAAGTATTATAATGATGGAAAATTGTGTTGCCTTGATGTATGCCCGGCTGTACGTATGGTGTACGTATGCGTTATGCCGCGTTGCGACAATGTGACAGAGGTTATGAAATATTTTTGCCTCGTCGCTTTTTCCTTCCTGGCTACGCCACTGCATGGCCTCTAAGGAACTCTATTGTTATTTTTGTAAATGACTTTTTTACCAAGAACAATATACTAGATAGCGCTTCGTGCTCTTTTACGTTATGTTACATTTTGCAAGGGGTTTTAAATCAGATTTTCAAACTTTGAACACAATTTCTATATCTGTTTTTTTGTGTTTTGATGCAGTATTGCATTACCAAGAAAAAGTTTACGAATAAACTCTAACAAAACTTCATTATGTCACCATCTCTACACGGTGACATAAAACAATCATGTAACTTAAGCACATATTTCAGTATATTGTGGGAAAATTTCATTTTTATATTGAGCCTTTTAAATTTTCCCATCTGTGCAGTTAGGGAAAGCCCTGTTTACTAGAGGGAATTCCAGGGTATTCCAACACAGGAAGGGGAATCCCCTCAATTGCTGCAATGCAGTGCCCCTGATTTCAAAATGTGGTCACCTGTGCCTGTGACTCATGCCATCACGAGATCAGAACGAAGGTCGCCATCTTGAAGGAAGCAGCGTGAATCAAAGGTTGGGAGGAAATCCACATTTATCACACTTTAGAGTAGCCATCTGCCAAGGATTCGGGATTAATAACGAATGATAAAGCGGGAAGACGCACCAGGAGGTTCTTGAAGGAGAAACAACAGAGAAAACCTGAATTTTTGGCAACTTAGAGAAAGAAGCATTTATTCGGGTGAGGTTTTTCCTTTTTGTAATTTGATTTTATGGCCAGCATGCTACTAGGTGCCTCTGACTGACTATAATTTTTAATTTCATGTGTACCAGAATTTGTAACTTTATGGCCAGCATGCTACTGGGATGCCTCTGACTGACTGTAGTTATAATTCAACGGGTATTGAGATTTATCGTGCGTCGCCATTTTGTGTCCCAGACTTGCTAAAGTGAGATATTTGTCAGATTTAATGTAAAACAACACTGTGTCATTAATTGCCTAAAGTGTTGTCAAGAATTCTTCACAGTTCAGTGCTGTCCTAGGGGAAGCAGCAAGGAACAACCTGGAAGCAGCCTTGCATTATCGTTAGGTGAAATTGGGAAACTTCCCAAAACGGCGAACTAATTTTGTCAGTTGGTTTCACCGCTGACAGAAATAGTTCCAGGAAGACTTCCATCGCATCGGGCAGTGAGGAGCCTTCCCAGAAAACTCAAGAGCCATAGAGGCAGAGCAAGGCTAAAGAGCCAGAAGAGTCAAGTCAAGAGACAGCGTGAGCTTATTTTGTCAGTTGGTTTCACCGCTGACAGAAATAGTCCCAGGAAGACTTCAATCGCATCGGGCAGTGAGGAGCCTTCCCAGAAAACTCAAGAGCCATAGAGGCAGAGCAAAGCTAAAGAGCCAGAAGAGTCAAGTCAAGAGACAGCGTGAGCTTATTTTGTCAGTTGGTTTCACCGCTGACAGAAATAGTCCCAGGAAGACTTCAATCGCATCGGGCAGTGAGGAGCCTTCCCAGAAAACTCAAGAGCCATAGAGGCAGAGCAAGGCTAAAGAGCCAGAAGAGTCAAGTCAAGAGTCACAGTGAACTATTTTGTCAGTTGGTTTCACCGCTGACATAAATAGTTCCAGGAAGACTTCTAGAGCAACGAGCAGCTAGGAGCCTTCCCAGTAAGAAGAGGAACTAAGCTCAAGGGCCAGAGGAGCCAGGCTAAAGAGCTGAACGAGGAGCCAGAGGAGCCACGTTCAGGAGCCAGAGGAGCCAGGCTAAGGAGCCAAAGAGCTGAACGAGCAGCTAGGAGCCTTCCCAGTAAGAAGAGGAACTAAGCTCAAGGGCCAGAGGAGCCAGGCTAAAGAGCTGAACGAGGAGCCAGAGGAGCCACGTTCAGGAGCCAGAGGAGCCAAGCTCAAGAGCCAGAGGAGCCAGGCTAAGGAGCCAAAGAGCTGAACGAGGAGCCAGAGGAGCCAAGTTCAGGAGCTCAAGGAGCCAAGCTTAAGAGCTAGAGGAGCCAGGCTAAAGAGCCAAAGAGCTGGACGAGGAGCCAGAGGAGCCAGGCTAAGAGCCGAACGAGGAGCCAGAGGAGCCAAGCTCAAGAGCCAGAGGAGCCAGGCTAGGAGCCGAAGAGCCAAGTCCAGGAGCTAAAGGAGCCAAGCTCAAGAGCCAGAGGAGCCAGGCTAAGGAGCTAGAGGAGCCAGGCTAAAGAGCCAAACGAGGAGCCAGAGGAGCCAAGCTCAAGAGCCAGAGGAGCCAGGCTAGGAGCCGAAGAGCCAAGTCCAGGAGCTAAAGGAGCCAAGCTCAAGAGCCAGAGGAGCCAGGCTAAAGAGCCAAAGAGCTGAACGAGGAGACAGAGGAGCCAAGTTCAGGAGCTCAAGGAGCCAAGCTTAAGAGCCAGAGGAGCCAGGCTAGGAGCCGAAGAGCTGAACGAGGAGCCCGAGGAGCCAAGTTCAGGAGCCAGAGGAGCCAACCTAAAGAGCCAAAGAGCTGGACGAAGAGCCAGAGGAGCCACGTTCAGGAGCCAGAGGAACCAAGTTCAAGAGCCAGAGGAGCCAGACTACAGAGCCCAGGGAGCCAAGCAAAGAGCTAATAACGCAGCAACCGCCGACATCCATCCTACAAAGAGAATTATAGTGACATTTTAGTTTATGAACATTAAAGTGTTATTTTCATGTATTAATAGTTGTGTTAAAATATATGTATTAAATTGGAAGCCATTTGTGACTGTCGTTTTATCCAGTCCACCAAACCAGGACTGGGCCCACAGAGAAGTGTAAGGTGAAAAAGTTACTCATCGCTTCCAGACTATCAGCAAAAGTCTGGAACGCGACAATATTGTGGCGTCTTATAGCCCAAAAATATACAACAAATCTCAAAAAGTCCAATTAAATCCCTAGTGAATGACATCTGGACCCTGATTGAAACTCATTGGATTTTGTCGTGACATCATTTGGAATCTGTGGAAAGTTCTAATGTACATCATCCTTCTTGACCTTTGTTATTATTACCGTGCCCTGGAAATATGAGATAAAAGCATATCTTATATGTGTGGCCTTAGTCAATACATTTCCTGCCTGTCTTTGTACAACATTTATACATTTGAATGAAGATATTTCATGTATTCACACAGTTCATACTAATAGTTTTTTAAATACAATATTATTGTATTAGTACTTCTTGCAACATAAACCGCGGCTCAGAAGGGTCGAAATTACTTTGTCAGAAATAGAAAATAAAACAGACATACAAATTACGTTTCCTCCGTTTTTAAAGTAGCACGTTCACAGAACGAAAACGGTAATGTATAGATTTACGTTTGTGGTTCATGTAATAAAAATGGTATTGCTTTACCTCTCTATTGTTACAAAATATACCTTAGCTTTTAGTCTTTTGATCTCTTGATTTGATACATACCTTGACACCTTAGCATATACACTTCTACAGTAAACTTTTTTATTGTCTACTGAGCCCAAGTTTTGCCGATTTCACACCTCTTTGTTGACATAACATTTACAATTGTTTGCGTTATTTGTTGTTGCACTTGTTGTTGGTGTGCGTGGTCGTATGCATAGGATCTTGTTGTTGTTGGCGTTCTTGTTCTGAAAAAGAAATGAATTGGGGCAGTCTATATACATTTGAGTTCCGACCTTGACCTTCCAGTTTAAAAAACTATCGTTCTTATGTAGATGGCAATAGCCAGTCTCGTCACATAAGTCTCGCGGGAGGCATCTAAGGTTCAATGTCGACGGATAAGCCTATAAAACTAAATAAATCTAGAAGGGGGGGGGGGGGTCAAAGCCATTTCAGTTTGCTATCAGACAAATTTTAACATTTCAATTTTTGTGCAATTTTGACTCGGATCAGAATTCCTTTGAATGGTTTTAAAATAAAGAGTTTAGACTAGGCTACTTGATGTTTTCTGCAAAAATGCTTTGCCTACTGTTGTTGTCACATGTTTTAAGAATTAGCCTACATACGTTATGGTAAGCCTAATATCCCAATGAAAATCGAAAATCCACGAAAGTCCACACGCGAAAAGCCCGCGATGATCACGTTTTTTGGGGGGAGGGGGTCAAACTCAAAACTAGATTAATTTAGTTTCCTATCAGACATTGAACTTTTGATACCTCTCCTTGCGACCACCATAGCATCATACTAACATGACTAACCATTTACAGAACATTAAATATATCAGTGTTGACTATTTGAACCATCTGAAAAACTCGTTGAACCATGAGTAGAATCTAACTAAATTTCTTCAAGTTCATAAATTGATTTTAAGCTAGACTCTAGTCCTAGATTTTAAGCCACTTTTGGCTCGAATAATGATTCAGTAAAATAAGAAGTTACAATTCTATTCATTTCTACAATCAAGTTGAAGTGAAATTCGGCGGATCTGGGAACCAACAAGGGGGGGGGCCCAAACTTGTGGTCTGAGAAAAAAACGTCCGCGCTTGCGCGGAAAAATTTTTTGGGCCCCTTAAACCCAAAAGTGGGCCCAAATTTTAAAATTTTGAGGCCCATTTTCTTCAAAATTTGGCCTAAAATTAACAAATAAGGCCTTACAAGGCCAATTTATGACCAAAAAGGCCTACTTTTTGGGGCCTTCAAAATTTTTTTTGGGCACAATTTTTTTTTCTGGGCCCACCCAAGGGGGGGGGGCCCGGGCCCCTGGGCCCCCCCCCCCATATCCGCCAGTGGAAAATCAGGCTTTAAAATGACAGAAATGTTAAAATACGCTTACCCATTCAGACAAAATTGAGAGCAATGGCGGACAATGCGTTCTACGTCACATGACGACATTACTTGGAAACACAATCGATCCGTAATCGCGTCATATGACGACTTAGTAGTTCCCTTGACAATTTGCCATATAAGGTAATAAAGGCGGTCTTTAGGTCACGTGACCGATCTACTGGTCCATGTCGGGAATAAGGTACAAAGAACCGCACTTCGTGGGGGTCTTTGTAAAAAGAACCGCACTTCGTGGGGGTCTTTGTAAAAATGGCGGGTTTTATTATCCAACATTTTTGCTTCAATGGATGTTTCGTTCAAACAAGGAATTAACTGAGAGAAATTGGTGTTTCCTTTCCAAACTCATATTTTATGTTTGAGCTACAATCGCAAATGAAGCCTGACGTTGATGGCAGCAAAGACAAGGTGAAAATGCTAAACGTAATATTTCGAATAAACATGGTTTAACACATTCTGATTTATCAGAGCCCCTCTTTACCTAACGCTTTTATTCCAAAAGGATAGTAAAGGCTGTGGATCCCACAATGGGTTTAACAGGGAATTGATTTTGTTCAAAAATCACACATCAACGTGCGTGATGTTTTATTCCATATTCTCGCATTTCTAGCATATTTGTTTATTTCTATTAAAATTAAGCGGGTTTACGAAAAACACCGACCGCCGACCACCGACCACCGACCAGTCACTCTCCACAGTTGGGTACATGTAGTCGGTGGTCGGCTGACGATCTTTTACATAAAGATGAAAAAATGCAAAATTAGAAGTAAAACTAAAACTGGGAATCCAATGACTATACTTACCTTTACTAGGTCGTGATTTAAAAACGTAGGCTTATAATTAATCATTTCAAATCACGATGAAAACGTTACATCGTCGTGGTGTGTAATGTCATATTTTTAAGTGACGTTTCAGTTGTTAGAAGACCAATTTCATCCTGGTTAGTCAGGAAAAAAACGCACGTAACATTGCATTAAGTTCATTCATATGAAACGCAATAACAAAAACACACAAACATCGTCGATGTTGACGTCGTAACGTTATGTTTGATTTCTCAGTTGTTAAACGTCAACTGGTAAAAACTACATTTGATATGACAAAAAAAGCTTTCTAATGGTGTAAAAAAATTAGGATAGATTCTCGTAGAAACGATAGGTTGGTTAATCATAGGTTAGGACCTAAGGCTGGACAATTAATCGTGAGGAGACGGACATGCCCAATTTGTTTGCTTGCCATTCGTTGCAAGGTACAAAATCGGTAAAAACCGTTGCCTAGCTAGTCCCAACGATTGACATTCAAAATCAAATTATTATTATTTTAAGGCTACAAAAATGTTCGGTCTTTTACATGATATGGTCGGTCTTTTACACATTTTCTCCAAACCCTGTTTTGAGGCTACCAGTGGAAAACACCGACCGGTCGGTGGTCGGTGGGGTCGGAATTTTTCGTAAACCCAAATTAAGCGTTACAAGGAGGAATTCGGACCATTTGGATTCGGACGAATGGAATTCGGACCAATGAGGCGACACCGCGAATTGAAAAAACAAAATGTTGAACAATTTAATAAATCCCTACTCAGACGTTGACGATCGTACCCCCTTCCTCCCATTTATGAAAATCGTAATTACAGATGACAACAGATTGCATAGCTCTCATACTATGTCCAGATCTCATGTACATTTACGTTGCAAACAGTGAAAATAATGCTAAAACGACCGCCTATTGATGCTTTGAGGTGTCTTCAATCACAGGCTGATATCGAAAGATTTGTCCGCTGTGACAGAGCATGCTATTTTTCATAAAAAACACTAAGAATACTTCACAATTTATTTTTTAACTCATATTTTATTTATTTATTTTTTTATTTATTTATTGGAAACGCTTTTATTACAGCGGAACACAAACGGTTCTTCCAGACATTGGCAAAACATTTAAAAGCATATATCAGTTTACAGGCATTATATATAAGAAACTAAAACATGTTATTGGGTCTGGGGTTTATATACACATTTTAAAAGACCCTTTACACATTTATCGAACTTAAAAGCTTCTTCTTGTCCCCACAATGTAAAAATGTCCTCACCTAAGGCCCAACATGTTTTAATTTGCACACTGGCTGATAGAAGACCCGACGATAGTGCTGGATTACATTTTTCAATAACATTTTTATAAAAAGTATTTCTATCATTACCAAAGAAAGGGCAAACAAAAAGTCTATGTTGGATGGTGTCTTTTACATTTTTATCACATAACGTACATATTCCATTTCCCTGTCCCCATTTTTCGTATTCTGTTTTTAAGCCAAAACACCCTGATCTAGCTTTGAACTTTAATTTTTGCCCATAGAAGTCAAAATCTGTGGTCAGGTAGTTTTTTAAGAAGGGATGGGGATTTAGACATCGATACAGTGAGAGTGAAGACTTTTCATTCAATGCAGATTTAAAATTATTAAGCCTTTCTTGATCTGATATTTTGATAAGGGCCTGATACCAGTCAATATCATCTCTGTAGATAACATCATCCAGTCCATATTTTGTTAGGATGGATTTTATGTTTGAAAAGTAAGGGAATGCTTTGCTTTCATCATTAGCACAGAAGCCATCATACATAGAATTAAATATCTTTTTGTGTAATGACCCTTCTTTGATATTACATTTTAGATATATAAAGTAATCTATTTGCCTTTTTTCAATGACATCAACAAGAGGTCTCCAGCCTAAATCACCTAAAAGTGCTTCTCTGGCTGGGCAACACCTAATTTGGAGAATTGATCTCCCAATATTATATTGCATTGATTTCATTTTATCCGTGTTAGTTTTGTTTAACGTGAATATAGGACAGCCATGAAGAATGGCAGGGACAAACATTGAGTTGTACATTTTCTCCCCAAATTTGAGACGCATGACATTACAGTGTTTTGTCAAAGTGGAGACTATCATACCTTGAATTCGTTTAGATTTTTCAGCAAGGAAGTCAATGTGGCCAGAGTCTTTTAGAGACCGATCAAAATATATCCCTAGATACTTATAACTTTTAACCTCAAATAATTCATGGCTGCCTAAGATCCATTTTTTATTTTTGTCAATTCTTTTCCCAATGACCATAACCTTTGATTTTTTAGGGCTAAAATTGAACCCCCATTTAATAGAAAAGATGTCAGCAATTTTTAACATTCTGTTCATTGTAGATTCATTTTCGGCAAGTAAAGCAACATCATCGGCGAACATAAGAACTGGGACCTTTTCATTTTCAAAAGGTAACCCTATATCTTCATTGTTGAACATTTCAACAAGGTCGCTCATAACAAGGGAAAACAGAGTCGGGGAGAGGCAGCAACCCTGTTTTAGGCTATAGACAGGGTTGCACTCTTCCCACTCTGTTGAAATTGTTCCAAAAATCACTTTGCTTTTAACTCCCACATATAATTCCCTCAAAATGCGCCAGACTTTGCCTTGAATCCCCTTTTCCCATAATCGTAAAAATAAAAGGTCCCTGTTGACCACGTCGAAGGCTTTAGAGATGTCCAAAAAAGATAAATAGGTCTTAAGGTTGTTGTTTTTCCTCATGCTACAGATACCTTTGAGGGCAAAAATATGATTTTCTAATCTCAAACCTGATCTAAAGGCGCCTTGCAAGTCACCCAAAACGTTATTAACTTCGAAAAACTTCAAGATCTTAGATTCCATAATAGAGGTGAAAAGCTTGTAAATGTTAGAGTTTATTGTTATGCCTCTATAGTTGTCAAGTATTTCCTTATCTGAATTCTTGTGAATGGGAAATAAAAGACCTTCTTTCCATTCTTTGGGCATTTGTTCTCTGATCTTCACTTGATAAAATATTTCAGATATTGATTTAATTATAATAGGCCCCCCTTGCTTCAGAAATTCATTTGGAATTTGATCTGTTCCACATGCTTTACCATTACTTAACCCTTTGATACATTCGGAAACTTCACCTTCATCAAATGTAACATCAAATAAAGCATTGTCAGAAAATGTAGATGACATATGAAGCTCTCTAAGTTGCTGAGACAAGTCTGTTTTTACTGAACGATCATTTACATTGTTGGGACCAACATTTTTCCAGTATTTAGCAATTGACTGAGATACTTTCCGAGGGTCAGTTATTATACATTTCGGGTCATCTGGGTCTTTTATTTGTATTGGGTGTCCTGCTTTTGCATTAAACATTTTTAATGTTTTCCAAAAAGATTTTGAATTAGATTTCTTTGAGGCATTCTTTGTGATAGTCTTAATATGGTTTTGAATGTGTACTTGTTTAATCTTATCACGAACTTGCTCTTTTCTTTGAATATATAAATCCCACATTTCTTGCAGCACATTGGGGTCGCATGTTTTGGCGCGTTTCCAATACCTAAAGAAACGACATGCTTCCCTTCTATTTTTGATTAATTGTTTGATTTCTTCATTCCAGAATGATACATAGTTGGGGGAGATTACCTTAGTTCCCACGGACTCATAGGCTGCCTCTTTGACTTTACCCTTCCAAACTGCCCATGCTTCCTCAATATTAGAGTATAATGAAATATCCCAGGAATTAAATTGTTTTGTTATAAGTTGCTGGAACTTTGTCCAGTCTGTATTTTCTGAGATTTTCCAACTTGGTGTTTTAATTACTTCATTTAACATTTTATTTTTAGATTTGGATTTAGAATCTGACCCGCAACAAGAGCCTTCAACAACAAGAAAAGCGTGGCTGCTGCCAATAGACACATCGTGATTTTCATGAATAACCATTTTATCATAAATACTCATAAATCTGTCATTGACCAAAATATAATCAAGTGTGGATGACTGGTTGTTGCGGGCCCATGTTACCTCACCTTCACATTCTTCAGTTAAATTAAGTATAGTACAATTGGTTGCCTCACTGAGGACTTCTATGAATTTACCATTGTGACTGCTTTGACCACTATTGAATTCTTTTATGCGTCCATTAAAGTCACCCATAAGGAGGGTACATTCGTTGCTATTATCAAATTGAGAAATGTCTTTGATTAGTTCCTCAGTAAGGGCTTCTGTAAGAGCAGGATTCTTCCCATCATTTGGAAAGTATGCAACTCCAACATTAAGAATTACATTGACTATCTTTACCTTTAACCAATATCTTTCAAATTCATCATTAAGTGAATCTAAGTGGTTTTCTTTTAAAATAGTAACTTTATCTCTTTTTATGAAAAAACCAACACCACCACCAGATCTATTGACTCTGTTCTTACCAAACCATTCATATTCCTTATTACTGACAGTAGGGGTATTCGAGTCTTTGAAAAATGTTTCACACACTCCTACAATGTCAAACTGTTTCATTGACAGAAGATTATCAAGTTCGTGTTGTTTTGCTAATCCTAAGTATTCTACATTGTTGAATGCGATACTTAAAGGAAAATTGGCATTGTTCTTGCGTTTGTGTGCACCCCTTCGTGAACGTTTATGTAATTTACGAGGCTTTGTGTGTGATCTAGGGACATTATCTTTGCATTGTGGGGATGGGGCGATAACTTCACCAAGAATCTAGAACCGGTTGAAATCTTGGTGCCCTTGGTCCACCATCCTGTTTGCAGGACATCTTGAGACTTTGTGTCCAAGCTGATTGCACCCACGGCAACGTACGGTGGCAGGGTGCCAACATGAGCTAGTGAGGTGGCTGGCCTCCCCACATTTGATGCATCTTAAGGAGTGTCCTTGTTGAGGTTTAGATTGTTCGTGAGTTGTCGCATCTGTTTGATTATTGGGAGATTGGCGAGCGTTATTTCTATGTTTCTTGTTCACTGTTGTCCAGTCATTGGTTCCATGATTGGGGTCATCATTATTGTTATTATTATCTTGGTTCTGTTGATTCTGTTTGTTGAAGGCATTCTTGTTACGGTTATAGTACGGTTTGGTAATGTCCTTGCCTTTCGTTTTAAGCTTCATATTGATAGCCAATCGGTTTGTTCCTGGTTTCGATAAGTGGAGGCCATCACCATGTAAAAACCCATCATTAATGGAATTGTCTTGGAGCTTAAACGAGAGGTCATTGTTTATGAAAGTGACACTTGCGTCTTCATCAGAGCAGATGCCTTGTAGTGTGGCATTGACAGTGTCAACCTTTTCTTGGGCTGCTGGTTTATCTGTGCGAGGGCATATACTAGACACAACTACTTCATTAGCAATGTTTTTGGCTCCTTTGATAAGCAGCTGGTATTGTTTAGCGATATCTTCTGGGGTGTTATCTTTGCTGCAGTCGTTGCTACCTACTTGGAGAATGACCCTGTCATATGAAGCATTATTGTCCGTCAGTGATTTATGTACATCGTCCACTGTTCCACCTCGAATGCATTCAACTTCTGTGTTATGCAGTTTATTTGTATCAAAGTCTCGAATAATTGAGCTTCCGATAACCAGTGTCTTTGGTAATCCAGACTCAGTGCTATGAGTTTTTGACAGCTGTGAGCGTAACTCTCGGCATTCTTTGTCTAGTTCGCAACATTGTGCTGTTTTCATAGCTAGCTGACTGACCAAGTCCGCATTAGTCTTTTGTAGGCCCTGCATCAGCTTATTTGTTGTATCTATACTAGACTGCATGGTGGATAGTGCTTTAAGGACTGCTGTTACATCATTCTTTGTTGTAAGTGACTTCTTTGGTCTCCCTTTGGTTTTTGGGGTCTTAGATATAATAGCACGTGGTCTCAGAGATCGTATGGCACTAGCATCAACACTGCTAGTTTCCCCCTCCCTCTCATCTTCAGATTCCAGTTGTGTTTCTTGGATCAGATTGACTGATGTAGTGAGGCCAGAGGTCATTGAAATGTCACCATGTTCTGATTGTGTTGGTGATTGTGAGCCCAATAGTTGGCTTACAGTTGGAGAATCAGACTCTGAAGCAATATTAGTAGCCATATCAAGCCAATTACTGGTCTACTGCAAGGTTGTCCTTATGAGCTTAGCCTACTGACTGAAGCCAATTAATCCAAGTGTTTATCAGCCTGTACTATTAGTTCTGAACTTTCTCAAAATATCCAGAAAAGTTTGTGCTAAAAACTCTTTTGGTACTAAAGTTTATTCTTTAAAAGTTTCTCTATGCGTTCTCCATATGTTCATGAATGTCTCTGCAAAAGTATGTGATCAGACTTTGCGTCCTTCTTGAGATTTTTGTAAATTTGTCTGGAGCAAAAATTGTGTGACTTTACACTTTACATATGTTTCGTTAATATCAAATAAAATTACATACTCCATGCAATGGATATATCATTTGCGCGTAGCCTCCACTTCTGTTAAAGTCCAATAACGCTAAAAGCTATTGAAAACGGCGCCAAAATATCATACTCTAAAATGTACCATTTCTTTTTTACCTTTTAATGGCATGATAAAGTGACACGATAATATTTACATATGTTTTCAGCATAACTCTGAATGTATTAATTAGATCTGGATGTATTGGGTCTTTTTAATTTATTTTATAAAAAATTATGTTCAAGTTTTTTGTCCGCTGTGACGGAGCAGTTTCACAGTTCATATTTGCAACTGATCCGTCACAGCGGACAAAAAATTACACATTATTCTTTATTTACTCAATACATCAATATTTCATTAAATATGCAACAATTAGTGCAGAGGGGGGCATTCAACGATCATGGACCAGTGTCAAAATATATCTAAGTTTGGATATTTTATCCAGACTAACATATATTTTTATGATCTACAAAGAAACCCCCAAGATGAACATTATTTCAGCTGATATTCCACTTGAAACATCGTGGATCTTAAAAAACTATAAGTGGTACTCCCTTTATATAAACTTTGAACTGAATTTACACTTCTTAATGCTGAAACTGATAGTTTATACATACATTTTAAGAAAATGGGTATGTCAAAGAAGAGGTTAAGCCAAATGTTGGCTTTTTGTTGCCCTGATACGGGGCAGGAATATTTTTTTCGAATTTTCTCTCTACAGTTTCTTGTTGCCCCTTTAATACCCTCAGAGTTGTTGAAAACATATGTAAATATTATCACTACATCGTGCCATTAAAAAGTTAAAAAAGGCGGAATGGTACATTTTGGAGTATGATACTATGGCGCTTTTTCCAATAGCTTTTCCTCCTTCAAACAAGAGTGACGGTACTCGCAAATAATATATCCATTGCATGGAGTAGGTAATTTTCTTTGATATAACGTCGAAACATATGAGTTAAAAAATAAATTGCGAAGTATTATTAGTGTTTTTATAAAAAAAATGCTCCGTCACAGCGGACACTAATCTTTCGATGCCAGCCTGTGATAAAACGAGTTTGTTCGTTTTTGTGATGTCTTCAATTCCGTTCGTTTTTATCATACATTTTGTGTACCCATCAAACGGTGACGTACTACACAGCCAAATTTTTTCTTTTAAAAAATAATGCAAAGAAAACTCAGAAAATGAGTGGACAGAGGGCCTTCGCCCAAAAACTTAACAAGTAAGTTATGAATAAAATTCACATTTTATCTACTCATATCAAAATATAAGTATATACTGCTCACAAACCCTGGATAAAATAGTTTATTGGTCATGCGAATAAAATTCAAACAGAATTTCTCAACTTCCGGGTGACTAATCTCTAATAAATATTGATTATTTGATCTTATCAGTCTAAAGTATTATCTCTCAGTCTCATTCATCAACTTTGTGACCCTCATGCAACCTCACATTCACAAGGTCGTCTATGCTCTCGGCCCACTCGGCCATGGACCTGTAGTGAAAAGTATGTATATAAAGTGGGGTGCAAAAATAAATCTCAACCCACAAAAGTTGTCACAATTAGCTGAATTGTAAGTTTCGTGTCTCAAACTCTCCCAAGCGGTAGAAAAATAATTCCCATTGACTAAGTAGCACAATAAATGAATCCAAAGCTTCATACCTGCAAGTGATGGATAAATCTTCCTACCAAATCGAACGAATGTTTTCATGAATCGCCATGGTTGTGATCCAAGGAGGATTGACTTCAAGAATGCAACATCAGGTAACCTTATTTACTCGTGACAGATTTCAAAGTGGCGGAACGGCATTTTGAAAGCTGACACGTGTCATGTTGCATTCTGGGAGCCAATCCACATTGATATCGATAAGCTTACCTCTACTCATCCCTGGGCTCAATCTCTTGAGAATTCACAGACTCTGGATATATGCCAGAACAATTCAATTTGTTTGTGTGTCAGTCAAACCTAAAAAAATAAGCATCAAAAGGACCACTGTTCAATATTATATAGAAAAGTACATTCTTATTTTTCACAACAGAATGTTCGTATATTTTTGATTGCTCGTGGTTTGGCTATCACGCTTACAAATGTGTGGCAGCTTATATATTGATGCTTCTTTGAAATGTTTTCAAAATATTATCATCGTGGAAACTTCTTAAATTACAAAAGGTCACAGGTAAACTGCCCATAAAATGAATTTATCTGAGAATGACAACAATTTTACAGGTAAAATATGAAAGTGTGACATTTACTGAATACAGGATCCTACCCAGAAATTCAAAGGGTAGTATTAAATGCAGCCTCTGATACATTTAGTGGTGTTCCATGTTCAACGTCTGTAACAAATGGCAGAGATGACATTTTAGATGGTAATGCCTTGTTATATTTGTGGTAAACATGAGGTTGAATGGTATTTTTCAGACAAGGCGCAGCTGAGGTTCGAAAAGCCGTGTCCTCCTCATACTTTAAGGACCTACCAAAGAGCACTAGTGGCATATCATTAGCTAGTACACAGTCAGTAAGTGGCATAGTTCCCATCACTTTATTTGTCCGTACGTCATAAGAAAAACTGAAGCAAAATGTTTAGATCTTGTTCATAAAATAGATCTTGTTTCGTGAAAAGTGTTCATATTTTAGAGTTTTAATAACATAAAAGTTGCAACATCTGAAAGTAAAATCAAAATTACATTCAAGGTGTTCACATGCAGTATTTTTAACAAGGAAGCGATCACGTCATATTTTATGTATAATGAAATATTGTCCTTAAAACTGTTGTATACTAGTACATTTGCCAAATGGGATTATGTTTTTCTACATAAAGATTTGAAAATACTTTTAATTTTTAGGTTCCTTTGGGTGAAGTTGTTGAACCATTAGACTTTGAAGAATATGTGTACCAACATCAGAATGCCATTGACAGGGACTCCATGCCTCAACTTCTGCGCTATCCCTTTGATGATCTTGAAGTGACATCATTGCCAAGAAAATGCCGCACAATAAAGCCAATAAAACCAGATGGGTGAGGATATGTATTTTTCTCACAATTTAATAAAAGTGCTGTATTGTCGCCATTTTATGCTGATGGGCATGTGTCTGCAGATGGGTGGGTTGGCCAATTATCACTTATCCATTCACTTTGAAATTTTTAAAGATTCGAGACCAAACTAGGGGCAAGATCTAATTAAGTTTTGGGCATGCTGGTAAATCTTATACATGTTGATGTTTATCAATATGCGATTTGTTTGGTAAGACTTAGATTAATGCAGAAAACTGAATTCATGTCATCCATATGATAAGAAAAGACAAAATAAACTATATTTACCTCACAAATAAATAAATATACTTGCTGTTCCAGGGCAGACCAAGACTTGTTGACCAGAGACTGTATGCAGTGCTACAGTGCAGATTATACTTTGGTGAAAAGAAAGTAAGCATTTCTGAATAGGTGTACTTGACAATTTTGATTAGTTGTGTATTAGTTGAGTTTTTTGGTGTTAGAATAACAAGAGACACTTATACATCCTCTATTTTGCCAGATGCCTTGATGAATAAATACAAACTTCTATTGAAGGTACCAGGTGCATAGCTCTAGCTTTAAGGTGACCAATGAGACAGTGGAGCGTAACAATACACTAGAGAGAACCAGTAGACAAGAATATGAAGTAGATGTTGAGGAGAGCAAGATAGAGGCTGATAAAGTAGGAATTAAGTATAATAATGAATCAATAATAAATTCATAAATTGTTTTGACATTTTGTTAGAGTTATTCTTTTCATCAATTGAAATTCCATTTTTTATAAGATTAAGATTTTTTATAAGATTTTTTAAGATTATTTTGATTGTTTGTAAAATAAGCATGAGCTAAAAATCCCAAAAAGTTCAAGACAGGTATTTATTTTTTATTTCAGTCCAACATAAAGCGTCAGTCTCTCCACTCACTACACCTAAATGATACCCCAAGGGGGAGCTGGGCGAGCAGTGTGTTTGATTTAAAAAACTCTCAAGCAGACCCTTTACTACCGAGGCTTCTGGATAGAATCCCATTGGATGAAACTGATCAGTTCAATGCAACTCAGCGTCACCAGTCCAGACTTAATGATCTCTATTCTGTTTTCCCAGCGCAAGATGAGGTTGATATTTCTAGATTCATACATAACATTTCTCATTATGTACATGATATCAGAATATATCCAATGGCCTGGGGCGATTGGAAATCTGAATTTGTAATTCAATTTTGAATAAATAAATCCTAATAATAATAAAAAGGTGATGCTTAATTTGGACATTTTTGCTTTATATATAATAAATAGGCTTTTGTATTCAGCTCAGTTGACTCTTATGGTATCTAACTTACAACCCATGCTTTGTTAATAGTAAATACATATGATTTTAGGATGAGGTAATTGAAAGACGCCTCCCAGCAGAAATACCAAGAGAACATTTTGGACAGAGGATACTCGTCAAGTGTCTTCAACTCAAGTAAGTATTTATTCTACGAAAATGTGAGATTTAGAGTATGCTGAAGCAATTGTATTTTCCCATTACCTGCACATTATCTACACATGTGCGTCAAATTTAGAATTTGAAAATGTTTTGGAGAAAAGATTTCAAAATGTTGGATCAGTTACTAGATATTGCATCTTTGGCTTAAAAATATAAATTGTTCCTAACAATATCAATGTATACATGTTAATTCATTCTTATTTCAGACTAGAGCTGGAGATTGAGCCAATTTTCGCAAATGTTGCTCTGTATGATGCAAGAGAAAGGAAAAAGGTTGGTGCATTTAAAGTTCATTGATGATAAAGCATTTATAGATACATTATCAATAGTGAGACTACATGTAAAGGGTTATAGAATCAGATTCTTCTTCTTGTCGCTAAGTAACTACATTTTGTTTGACTGTGAAATTCTATGTAGATATCTTAAAAAGCAAAAATCAGACTTGACACAAAAATATTTTAATTGAAATACGCATTTTTTCGAAGATATATTATCAAACCATCCTTGTGAGGCTAAGTTCCCAAGACCTTACTGTTCATCCCATACTTTCACATAAAGAGTTAGTTCACTATTTAATTACAGATCTCTGAGAACTTTTACTTTGATATGACTCCTGAGCCTGTGAAGAAGATGCTTGGGGCGCATATACCATACCAGGACATCTCAACACTCAGTAGATCATGTGTGTTCAGTATTACATACCCCTCACCTGATGTGTTCCTGGTTATTAAGGTAAAGGAAAAGACAGAAAGGTTTTTACTTATAAATATGTACTTTCATCAGTTTTGTTTTAAAATTTCTTTTTATATTATACCAAATGAAGCATGGTAATGCTTGAGATGTACATGTACTTTGATTGGCTATTTGGAATATGGTGACTAAGCAAATAATTAGCAAAAATTAAATCATCCGGGAGAGAAAGTTGACTGTTGACTTGGCCTACAACTCTACATCATTAACATCTATGTAAAGTATACTGTTCAACTTTTAGTTAGAGAAGGTGCTACAACAGGGTGATATTTCTGAGGCTGCTGAACCTTATGTAAAATTTGACGGGGTAAGTTACAACTACTTCTCTCAATCTAGACCTCTCTGAACTATAGTCGAAGAAATCTTAATCTTAATTAAAACATTTGATTTGCTGAGGTTTTTGTTTATAATTCAAGCTACCTATATTGTACATGCATAAGTTGAAATGGCTTTGCCAATCTAAATGTGAAGGCTAATATAAAATTTTCAGCATGTTTGCAAAATTTCATTCCATTTTATTCATTATAGCCAAAAGACAAAGTTAAGAACAATGCTGTTTATTTCTGTGATCGACTCGGGAAATACCGCATGCCATTTGCCTGGACTGCCATCTATCTCATGAATGTTGTGTCTGGAGGGAACAGCATGGATAAAGACACTCCCGGGAGCGAGAAAGACAGCCTTACAGGGAGTTTGGGTAAGGTGTCAGCAAAAGATTGAAATATGTGTAAAGTTCTTGATATAAAATGCTTCAACTGATAAGTGATGAGTAGGCTTTCAGGGTACAGTTTGATCAGAAAATGATCATCAACACACCAAACATGTTTGAGTAGGGATTTAAAGAAGCAGTCTGTCCATATTTCAGTCGTTTAATTCCTATAAGGTTGTTTTAATGTAACTAAGAAAAACCACACAACAACAAATTCAGACATAATGTGATCCATGAATTGACATACAAAGATCTTACCTGCACAAATATATATGAATTTCCTTTTTACACATAGTCCCACACTATGGGATTCAATATGTTCTATATTGCCCCAATACTTTTATAGATAAAAGAATGAGTGGTTTGGGATACCAGAACCTCTGGAAACGTCAACGTGATGACAGTCTCACACGCAGTGGCTCTGGCTCGATGGAACGTGGGGCTAATAGTGGGAGCATGGGGGGCTCCATTGGGGACAAACGCAGTAGTTGGTCACCAGAGGATCTTGCCAGTAGCAACCTTGAGTCTTTCAGACCTGTGACACTCACTGTCTCAAGCTTCTTTAAACAGGTTAAGTGAATAATAAGATTTCTATAATTATATAAATGTGGTATGGTATGTACAATATGAACCTTCTTTTGAAAACAAAAATGGCATAAAAACAATTTGCATCCATGTTAGAGGGTTTGCAGGGAAGTTGTGTAAGAGAGAGGGAAGTCATTGGAAAGATAAGGGAGTCAAGGGAAAAATAGGGGAGCCATTGGAGAAATGGGGAAGCTAAAGGAGAAAAAGGGGAGCTAAGGGAGAAATATCTGTTAACTATTTGCTTTTCTTTCAGGAGTCTGATCGCCTTAGTGATGATGATCTTTACAAATTTCTACAGGACTTGAAACGTCCTACATCTGTACTGAAGAGGCTGAAATGTATACCGGGTAATATAGTGTTTATATTTGTATCATGTTTTTGTATCATGTATCATTGTTAATTACTTTTAAAAGTGAGGCTAGCCATATAGAACACTGATTGGTTCTTACTGTAATCTGGTTATCCATTTAGACCTTAAATCTTGATTTTATCCATAATTTAATTCGTTATCAATAGTAATAAAGTAGATAATATACAAAAAATAAAATCATATTTCAGGTTCGTTGAAGCTAGATATTTCCCCGTGTGCAGAAGAACTCAAGTACTGCCTGAGCCCTGAGCTCTACAAGATCTCCCCTTATCCCGATGAGAAGAGCAGACCTACCAAAGAGATATGTGAGTTCCCATCAAGGGAAGTCTTTCTGCCAAATGCAGTTTACAGGTAGGGGTTGTTTCATATTGTTTGATTTTTTGTCATTTGAATACCTTGCTTTTAATGTATCATCGTCTTGATGTGCATCGAATATCAATATTTTTATATGACATTTGTGCCAGCATTCTGCATCTTGATATTGCAATGGGATGGTGACATTTTGTCATTTTAATGCATTAGGCTTTAATTCATACTTTACGTTACAATGTAATCTGTCCTTAGACATGACGGTGAAAATCAGCATTCATTTTATGTTATAGTTCTTATTGCATAGTACTGTATGTGCCTGAGATGAAAAAATCAATCTATTTAGAACCGAAGCATTAAATCATGTTAACTTGTTGCAGAAATCTGTTGTATATCTACCCCAAGTCATTAAACTTCACTAATCGACAAGGATCTGCCCGCAACATTGCAGTGAAGGTTCAGTTCATGGCGGGAGAGGATGATAACCAAGCTTTACCAGTGAGTCATTAAACATATTAGGACAAATAACTCGGCTTTTGTCTTCATACTTTCATGGAAGATATAAATAAAGATTAATTGTGAAATGATAGAATATTCATGGAACTTTCCACATATCATTGGGACAGATTTTCTTATAATCTAAGAGCCATAGCCCAAAAGCCAATTATTGATACCCGCGTAATTGATTGAAACCAGATGCTGCTTAATTTTTCAAGAGAGATATTTTGTTCATATTAGAACTGCTATGTAACATGATTCATTAATGACACACTACTTTTCAAGGTGATATTTGGCAAGTCTAGCTGCCCTGAATATGCCAGAGAAATGTATACATCAGTCACCTATCATAACAAGTAAGTAGTCAAAGACATGGGAGGGGAGGAATGTGGGGGAGTAATGAGAAAGCCATTCATACTTGTACAATAAAGTATTGTTCATATATTTCTATCTTCTTTGTGTGACCAGTGATATTTCTCTTATCTGTTGACAAAATTATTACCAGTAATCCAACCATACAAAGATTAAATAGACTATTTAAAGTTTTGGGAATTTGTGTGCCAAAGAATAAATGTTACATAAAAAAAGTTTGCCAATTTGGAATTATTTTCAAAATTATGATGGTATTTTCATACATTTTGATGAATGTAACAGACAAAACAGGCTATAAAAACACATTTGCTGTATATATTTAAAAATATTGTAAAAGACATAACAGGATATAAAAACACCTTTATTGTAATATATTGAAGTTTTAATTTTATTTTTAGGAATCCTGATTTCTATGATGAGATCAAAGTCCGTCTGCCTGGGGCCTTAGGTGATGAGCACCATCTATTGTTCACTTTCTATCACATCAGCTGTCAGAAGAAAATTGACATGACACCACTAGAGACCCCTATTGGATATACAGTATGACCATACTATTCTGAATCGCAAAATATCTTGCAAAAATATAATTAATTCTCTTTTGTGCGTTTATAAATTCAACTGTAGTAGTCTATGTATTCCCATGTTATATTTAGCGTTTGAATCAAGATAAACATATTTTTTTATTTATGATTTGGAACCAATTATAAGTGAATTATGTTTTATAATAGTGTTGTGCCTTACAGAAGTTTCATGTAAATAGATATATGGAAAATTAAAATTGTATTTTAGTGGTTGCCTCTGATGCGGGAAGGTCACTTGGTGTGTGGAGACTTCAACTTGCCAGTGGCAATGGACAGACCCCCCAACAGATACTCAATGCTACACCCAGATGTTCAGCTACCAGGCATGAAATGGGTGGACAACCATAAAGGTCTCTTTAATATCAGCCTACAGGCCAAGTCAACAGTGCACCCACAGGTATTATGCATGCACTTAGGTTGTGTGAATAGCATCTTAAATTATCCACATCATATAGATGAAAATGTGCTTTTTGTCCCTTGATAATGTCAGTAAATCTGTACATAAATGTTGTTTTCTTTATCGAGGGGCAAATAGTGCATATCCCCTTTCCATATAGACAAGTAGCAGCTGGCAATATTTTTACAGATTAAACCTCTGAAAGGTTACTGGCTAATCTTTGTACCGTTAGAAAGCATCCCATATAATAATGTATCATATGTTGTGTGTCATCATTTGCCAATGATACAAGCATAATAAATGATTGCAGGATGAGAACATCATTGATTTTCTCAATATGTGCCACGCTGCTGAGATACAAAGAATTCCTCAAAGAATCGGTGAGAATAACTTTGAAAATGAACTGAAACGGAGTATTGTGGAGTTGGTGAATGCCCAGGGGGAGCCACTTGTTCATTTCCTTCCTGTTATCCTCGACAAGCTGATTCAGTTACTTGTTAGGCCACCAGCGGTTGGTGGACAGCTAGGTAAGCGAGTTATCCTATAAATTCACACTTATTCTGAGACAATATCACCTATTATATATACTATATTATAAGGGAAATTACAGGGTATGAGATGTCATAAAAACTTAAAATCACATTAATAGGACAAAAATAGCTTTGGGATTATTTTTATTATTTTTTTTAGCCTTATTAGGAAGTATTCGTGTTCACAAAATAGCCTTATAAGGAAGTATTTCATTTTGACCAAAATAACCTAAAAAACTATGTATATTCATTATTCATGTATATCATGTATATATTTCAGTGAACATTGGTCAGGGAACCTTTGAATGTCTGGCTGAGATTGTTCGTAGACTGGACCAGTTGTTACCAGAGCAAAGTGACCATAATGGCCGCAATTCACTCCTTACTACCTATATACAGTACCAGTGTACACTGCCTCACATTGACAGAAATGACAGAAAAGGTAAGCATCTTGTTTATATACAGTGGAAAGAGGTCCTGGAACATGCATTTTGCTATAAGGCATTAAAGCTTCAAACTTTTAACATTATATGTACGAGCAAAAAGAAGTCCTCAAGCTTGTACTTTGCTATATACAGGGTGGGCCAAAAAAACCCACCCCCCTAGCCAATATTCCTGATAAATATTTATTTTTTAACAATCACACCAACAATGATATATCATATTAAAGATAATTTAATTTGCAACAACATGATATATAATAGCACCATTTTCAACAACCCCATATAAAAATATGACCATTTATGTGACATGTGGGTAAAAAAACACCTTTTCAATTTTCGTCGATTTTGCGAACAATTGCCTATTTCTACCAAATTTTAGTAAATTACAACATTGTCATGAGTCTTTCATAATTGGATATTATATATTGTTTTCATACAGTTTTTGAACCTTGCATGTTCAATATACATGTGTATCCTTATAAAACTAATTCATTTCTTCTTCAGTCTGTCCAAAAATAGCTCAATAGACCCCCCCCCCCGGACCAATCCTCTGATTGGATTATTCGCTTAAGACACGGAAACCATTGGTTGATGGCATAATTGATGGATGTATGCGGAAGTACCTTTCAACTACTAGTTATTCTTTTTTTTAGTTCCTCTACATCCCTGATAGGCTGGGTATATTTAAATACCAACTGTTCTAGATGCCCCCAGGTATGGTAATCAACATTATTGGCAACTGGACTGCCAGTAAGCCATTTTTCTGGGCTAGAGATGGTGACATTTCGAATCTCCAAAAACTCCATGGTAGCATTGGACCTGTGTGATGGAGCACTGTTCTATCAGAAAATGAAATTTCTTTCACATGTTTTTTATATTCTTGAGGAGTCCTTTTTACCACCTCATGTCATTAACATTCAGAGTATATTTTTGCTCCTGGTTCAAAAACAGGGCCTGTATGGTCTTTCCTTTTTGGGAAACACCGAGTGGACACCACCTACCTTTCAGAAAAATGTCATCTCGATTTGAGTAGCCTTTTATCGCAAAAGTCACTATTCTTGCTTACTGATATAGAGTATATAGCCTTTTGATTACATGTATAGTACTTGGGGCATTTAGAACAGTTGGCCAATGGATATCCCTAGACCATCAGGGGTGTAGACAAACAGAAAAAAGGAATAATTAGGTGTTGGATGGTACTTCTGCAGAGGTCCATCAATTATACCAATGGCTTTAGCGTTTTAAGCGAGAAATCAAATCAGAAGTTAGGTCCGGGGGTGAGTCTATTGAGCCATATTTGGACAGACTGAGGAAGAAATGAATTAGTTTTATAAGCATACACATGTATATTGAGCATGCAAGGTTCAAAAACTGAATGAAAACAATATATAATATCCAATTATGAAAAACTCATGACAATGTTGTAATTTATTAAAATTTGGTAGAAATAGGCAAATGTTCGCAAAATCGACGAAAATTGAAAAGGTGTTTTTTGACCCACATGTCACACAAATGATTATATCTCAAGCCAGAGTTGTTGAAAATTGTTCTATTATATATCATTTTGTTGCAAATTAAATTATCTTTAAAATGATATATCATTGTTGGTGTGCATGTTAAAAATTGAATATTTATCAGAAATATTGGCTAGGGGGGTGGTTTTTTTTGGCCCACCCTGTAGATAAGCTAAAAACTTAAGCAGCTTGTGTACATGCAGAATGTAGTTCTCCAACATGCCATTTGCTACAAGGCTTTAACCTAAAAACGTTACCATTTGTATAAGCACGAAGGAGTTCTCAAGCAGTTTGCTACTTGGCATTTTAGCTAAAAACTTAAAGCAGATATGAAATGGTATTTTTAACCTGAAGGAATCAATATAATTTTTTGATAGATGTATTTGGACATGTTTTCTCATCAGTAGTGTGAAAACTATTTCACTCTAATGATCGTTATAGCTGCTTAATAAGCAATATTCGAATTGGTTGTGACGTTATTGGCCCCCACGTGATCTCTCACTGGTCCCCACGTGGCCCGTTTTGGTCCATTAGATCATGACGTCATAATGCCAAAATGTTTTGTTATTTGTTTACACAACAATTCTATGGTTGCCGTGACGTTGTGATTACTATGGAACCAATAAACCAAAGCTAAATTTTGTATATGACGTTACTAATCACGTGGGGGCCAATTTGATTTATCAGTTAGTTTTATTTCGTTATCTGTGACCGTTAGCAGTTATCTAACATTTATTTTATAATGGCTATCGCAAGAACTCTACGGTGGGCTTACAATGGAGAAAACCGCATTTTTTGTAGCTGCAAGTTGAGAAAAGCTATTTCAGTTGTCCTTTAAGCATCTTGTGTACAAGCAGAAGTTTGTTCTCCAACATGCATTATTGCTAAAAGACATTCAAGGTATAAAAACTTAAACATGTTGTGTACAAGCAGAAAGGAAGTTCACCAACATTCGCTACTTTCTGAAATATTTTGAAGCCGCACACACTTATTTATAATTGCTATGTTTGTTTTTCCAGGTGCAGCAGGTAACCTTGGTACTCCTCCAGGTAACTATGCCAGTCTAAGTCGTCCTGTCTCTCTCCCTGTCAGGAACCTCCCTCGTAGCAGCAGTGACACTGAGCTCTCTGGGAGCAGTCAGACAACACCAGATGAAGAGGTAGCCATGGTAACAGGTAGGCCAAACATTTGTTAAGAGATTAATATAGTTTCAAGTTTAAGAATAACTCTTAGAATAGCATTTACAGTATATCCTCCTAATTGATATATTTTCCACTTCAGCCAGTAGAATAGACCGCACCAACAGTCTGAGACATACAGAGTCAGTACCTTATTCTATGCCAAAACTGAACCAAGTTCAAAGCAGGAAGGTATATATAAAACTACAACTAAGCCTTTGTCTCAAAATTTTATTAAATCTTGTATAAATATTTAGCAAAATTAGCAGATCCAGGAAAGAATTTTAAGCTTAAATGATAATTTTTAGAAAATTGAACCTCATCTGACCTTCACTGAGAAGTAAATGTTTGGTAGAATAGTGTGAGAATAATATAACTCTGGAATAAGGCTACAAATGATAATTATATATCCTAGGTGGTACATGAAGAGCTTGTGTACCAATGGGTCGTGTCCAGTGGAACCACACGAGATCTGGCGTTGCAGAATTCTTGGTTCATTTTAGAGCTGATGGTATGTGTCTATTTATTTGAAACATACAGTTTATTAAGGATTCTATATTGATCCAGTGTGTGGCTTTCAATCTAAGAATTTTTCATATTGCATATAACTTATAATTTTTGTTAACTTAATATTCATAAGTAGTTATTGTCACATGTTGTGCATTTTGTAAAACAGGTTTCTATGAATTCTCGGTATTGTTTCAAATTCAGGTAAAAAGTATGGCAGAACATTTGTCGTGGACTGGGCGTATTGACATGATACGCAAACAGAGATTTCCTCAACATTTCTTGGATGATGTTTTCTCCTTGGTTGCCATGATAACAAGGGATATTGTCGACCGATATCTGAAGGTGAGATAAGAAAGAATTCAGCAAGAATCTTATAGTAAAACTTATATTGTTTAAATAAATGAGAATTTGTCTCCATTGGACTGACAAAGAAATCATAATAGTTTGGCTGTTAAGACAACAGATTGTAAATAATCTGTTCAGGATAAAAAAAATGAATGCACGCATTCTTTTACTCTACCTTTCAGGAACCTGGTCTGATAAAGTCTCTAAACACAAGCCTGGCATTCTTCATATATGACATTCTCAGCCTAATGGACCGAGGCTTTGTCTTCCAAATCATCAAGCACTATTGCAAGCAAGTAAGTCATCAAACTATTTCAGTCTTGTATAATCAAATACTCCATGCAAAGTTTAAAAACATGTATTTTGTTTAATGATCCAAATATTAAAATAGAAGCCAAAGTGATATAAACTTTATAAGGCCATTGAAGGTAATTCATACCAGTCTGTAACCAGAAATCAGTCTATGTGTTCATACATTTCAAAAACATTTCAAATTTAAACAGTGATTAGACTGGTTAGAAATGCTTATATTGTAGATGTTCACACTGTGTCCAACAACAATATGAGTGCTGTATTAAAGTTCATATTGAAATGAAATAATAATTGAATAAGATTGTTTCAAAAAATTATATCTTCACTTCTGTCTGATGAGTCGCTCAAAACAGAATTGAATGTATTTTCTAGGTTACAGCTAAAGTGGCCTCTCTGGCTGATGCTACAACTTTGATTCAACTAAAACTGGACCTGTTGCGAATCATCTGCAGCCATGAGCATTATGTGCAGCTTAACCTCCCATTTGGTTCTGCCCTAACACCATCAGCACCCTCTAGCCCATGCCCTAGTGTGGCAAGTTCCACCTCACAGACGTCTTACACTTCAAGTATGACGCTAACTGAGCGAACTGCCTCATTGAATGAGTTATCTACTGAATTCCGCATACAGCATTTTCTTGTTGGATTGGTTTTATCTGATCTCACAACTGTGTTAGACTTACAGTAAGTATACTATGAAGTAGTGATGTATGTAAAATACTACCATATAAGACATTTATTACAAAATCCTCATTTTTCAGAATCTTTTTAATAACACAGTAGAATCCGGAATGCCTGTTAATCGAACACATCTTCAATTCGAAAACTTTTTAACTTAAAACTTTAACTTAATGAAAATGAATTTTTGTACATTGGACACCTTTGAGGTTGGAAAGACATTTCACTTTCATAGGTTTTACTACACATGTAATATTGAATTTAATTTTACCTGCCTGACAAACAGACTTCATTAGCATAAGTGCATCATTTGATGTGAAAATGATAATCATGTACAATGTTTATATTTCAGCCAACCAGCTGTTCATCATAATGCTATTAATCTAGTCCGCAACATTCTTACTAGTCACGATGAGGACCCGCGATATGTCGATGTTGATGTGAAAGCGAGAGTAGCGGCCCTCTATCTCCCTCTATTGGGCATAGTCATGGATGCACTGCCCCAACTTTATGACCCCATGCAGGATATGAAAAATAGAGGTGAAGGATTCATGTGCTTTCTGTTTTAATAAAATATTAGATATCAAAACCCGTCTCCAATCTGAACATTCTCAATGTGAACAGTTTTTCTGCCACATTTTGTTTAAAACACCTTGACATGTGAACACTCTCCATTCTGAACACTTTTAGCATATCCAAGAAATATCCAGATTAGATATTTAACTGTACTGTTATATGCATAGTTCCAAGAAGATTAGTATTGATCAAGATAGGTAGAGCCTTGTATGAATATTTCCTGATGTGGTGATTTGCCATTTAGCAGGTACTGGGGCAGAAAACAATAGTGCAATTGGTCCAGAAGGGATTGACCATAGTGTTGCCATGGCAATCGCATCATCTAGTGTCTATGGAGGCGTTGCTGAGGAAGATAATCTCTCTGATGGCTATGATAATGTAAGTTAATAAATTAATCATCAAAATTCTGTGTGGATTTGAAATACAATCATATGCAACACATGTAAACTAGATTTACTTCAACACTGCATGATATACTGCATGAATATGGTTCATTGTGACTCACTAATGAATGTTTGGTTATCATGCAGGCTTATATCACTTCAAAATTACTTTCATGTGGTCAACTTGAAATTATATGCGGCTGTCTATTGTCAGATCTTCCCTTTATGTTTTTTCAGAAAAGGAAATGTATGCTGGGAAAAGAATGTACTCGCAACCTGCTGGTTTCTTTCATGTGGGTTGTTAAGAATATTGACCAAGCAGCACTGAAGAATTGGGTGTCGACTATGCAAATGAGTCGAATATATCAATTGTTAGAAGTGCTATTTTTCAGCCTGTCAAACTTTGAATATAAGGTATTTACTATTTAGACACTGTCTTTAAATATATTGAGACACTTTAAAGAAATCGAATTTAGATTCTTTATACAAGGAATTTAGACACTTTGAGTGTAAACATAGACACTTTTAAAGTTAAAACCATTGTCACCATTTGAATATATTCAAAAATCCAAATATTGGCCACAATTAGGGTATTCCTTGATACCAATGAATTTCATAACAGTCTATGTGACATTTAGGGTAAGGCTGCTATGACACAATGTTCCCAGCAGACCATAAAGAAGAGTTCAGACATGAAGTCCAAACTGGAGGATGTCATCCTGGGCACTGGGAGTGCAAGGAGTGATATGATGGCACGGAGAATGAGGCAGAGCTCAGCTGCTTCAATATATATAGGTAGGCATATTACTATACTTGGTGAAATGTTTGTATTGTACCCAGTGAAGGATCTAATGTGTGATACATTCATTCCTAATGTGGACAGCAGGACAAGAATGTTTTCCTCAAGGTTAGCAAAAAAATGTGCAACTATTATAACTTGAAATTTAAATGTAGTAGTAATCACTAATGCATTTAGCTTATTGAGGTATTGCAGTATTGTTCTCACTTATTACCATTTATTTTGATATAGACCGTGATAAAGGACCACCATCTCCAAATATGGACACAAACAAGCTGAGGTGGCGGAAAGATATGACACATTGGAAGCAGACAGTGGAGCAACAGGAAATGAGGTGCATATATATTTTAGTAACTAATGTAAAGAGAATCTCCTTATCAAGCACAAGATGACACAGTATTATCTTTTATTTGTGAAATCAAACTACAATTGATGATTGTCCACGTTCATTATTTGTTACATAGTCATTTATTTATTTATTTAGAAAAATGTCCATTAATGTTTGGTCTATTTAAAATCTTTGTTCTCCACCATATGTTGTAGGTTGCGGGGAGATGTTGAGGGTGCTGCACATATAGAGGGCAACCTTGCATCAGAGATCAGCCTCATTGCCCTGGATGGGATAGAAATGATAATACAGGTAAGACTTACGTTGGAATATGTTTGTCTCTGTTGCCACCTTATAGATTAATACTACATTTTTTAATACATGTATAGCAGTAAATTAGCTTATTCACATTTAATAAGTTCTGATGAAAGGGATTTTTTCTTCTGTTTCTTCTGTTTTTGGAAATATCCGAAAATTTCTTGTAACATTTTTTTTTGTAACACGAGCTTTCAACTAGAATATTTGAAACCCCATGATTTATAAGCATAGTTGAAAATCACATATATATCCATGAACTGTATTCATATGTATGAACACGTACAGTCATATCATTTATGTGGTTGACAGATAATCTCGGAAAAACAAGATCTTGAAAGTTTGCTGGGTATGGTGTTGAGGGTGTTACTGCATGGCCTTGCCCTCAATCAGAGCACCATTGTACTGCAGAATATGTTTGCTACGCAGCGTACCCTTGTCTCTAAGGTAAGTCCCACTAGATCAGTGGCTGATTAAGTAATTTTTTTTTGTAAAAAAAAACTAAAATAAATATTTCTTATCATGACGAACTTTGATGCATAATTGCACAATTTAAAAGTGCAGTATTGTCATTGTTTTGGGCTGATGGACGTGTGTGCTTCTGGGCAGGTGTTTGCCTTAAATATCTTCCCATCAAAATTCAAGGAAAAGCACTTATCCATGCAATTTTTACAGATGAGCAGACTAGTTCATCGATCTGATTAGGTTATAGGCATGCTAGGTTTATACATGGCAGCCATTTTGGCCTTTAAAAGGCAATTTTTATCACTGTCTTATATTCTTTTTGTATTTAACATTTTTAGTACCCAGAGCTACTGTTTGAGGAAGAGACGGAGCAGTGTGCAGATCTATGCTTGCGTCTCTTACATCATTGCAGTTGTTCCATAGGGGACATCAGAGCCCATGCATGTGCCTCGCTATATCTTCTCATGAGACAGAATTTCGAAATGGGAAATGTAAGCATTATTTCTCTTGTCTTTTTTATTTATTTTGTTTAATATATCAAATAAAATTTCTGAAACTGCGGTTGAATATTGATAATTGTGGAAACTTCAGCAATTTAGCAAAATGTTTTTTGCAAAGGGTTATCAACTCCATGCAAATTCAAAGTCACATATTTATAGTCCACATATTTATGTCACCATCAGAAGTGGTGAAATATTGTTACAGTCTCCAACTTTTCTGTGGATGGTGTTTGGAATTTGGCAGTTGGTTTTCAGTGGTTGGCATATGTTACAAAGGGCAGATGGTGACATTTAGAATGTAATGACTTATTTTTTATAAATAAAACTTTCAACCAGTGCTTGTATATGATTCAATGAACTATTTCATTTCAGAATTTCGCCCGTGTGAAGATGCAGGTGACGATGTCTCTGAGTTCATTAGTGGGGCGACAGAATCAGAGGTTTAATGAGGAATACCTTCGTAAATCTTTGAAAACAATTCTAACATACGCTGAAACTGACATTGAGCTACAAGAGACATCCTTCCCTGAACAGGTATGACAAAAGAGAGGTTTTCAATGAAACTTTTAGAAACCCCATACTGTTTCAAATGAGTTTGAGCTTTAGTAATATGGTTCTTTAGAGGATTTCAGTACTTTGCCAACACCCTGTAATTAAAGTATTTGCAATTTAAAAAATATATATTTATGTCAAAGTTACGCATGGAAAGTTCTTGCATTTATTTGATTCTTTCCGATTCAAGGTGCGTGACCTTGTGTTCAACCTACATATGATCCTCTCAGATACTGTCAAAATGAAGGAATTCTCTGAGGATCCTGAGATGCTGATAGATCTCATGTATAGAATAGCTAAGGGTTACCAGAACTCCCCAGATCTTAGGCTAACATGGCTACAGAACATGGCAGCTAAACATAGTGAGGTATGTACTGTATGTTTTCCATATGCATTTTTATTTTTGGCAATCCCTTATATAGCAACTACCTGGTGAATTTTTTATACTGATGAAATCAGGAGTTTGAAGATCAGTTAATTCTTCTAATTAGAACTCATTCTCCATGCATAGCTTCTACCAAAAGAAACTGATGCATAAATGCTGAAAATTATTCCATTGAACAGTGTGAAAATTAGGCTCAAATGGCTTTATTTTAAATCTCAAATTTGCTTGTGTTTCAGAGAGGTAACCACGCAGAAGCTGCACATTGTCTCGTACATGCTGCAGGGCTAGTAGCAGAATACATGAATATGTTAGAGGACAGACCATACCTCCCAATAGGCTGTGTTGTCTTTCAGGTAATACCTACTTAATACATTTCATTAAATTCATTAATGGTCAGCTTTGGCAATTTTATTCTTCGACGATTGTCCCAAATGCAGGTGCATGAAGATACTGTTGCTCAGTTTTATTTTGCATTGCATATGCTCATGAAGTCACTGATGCTCAGACATATTATTTGCAGCATATCTCCAAGAATGTTCTGGAAGAGAGTGCAGTCTCAGATGATGTAGTGTCGCCAGATGAGGAGGGAATATGCACAGGAAGATATTTCACGGAGTCTGGACTCATAGGTCTCTTAGAACAAGCTGCAAGTTCATTTAACTTTGTAAGTTAACCTTATTTAACCTTGTGAACATAAATTGTTAACTGACTGATTCCACCAATGAGTTTCCAGTTCTTAAAAATTGTAAATGAGATATTAAAAATAAAAATACATAAAAAATTGGTACTTTAAGTTTCTTCCTATATGAAATCAAACAGGTTATGGTTTCCTGAACACCGTGAAACAAAATTCTTCTTCACTTGCATACTTCTTCCTGTTATTTAGGCTGGCATGTATGAGGAGGTGAATGAAGTTTACAAGGTGCTGATTCCTATCTTTGAACACAACAGGGACTTCAAGAAACTCTCTCTTATCCATAACAAGCTACATGAGGCTTTTGCCAACATCATCAAAAATGTAAGTTTTACTAATAGAGTAATATCAAGTGTACAGTTATAAAACATGCTTTGAAATTAAATTTCAAAATACAGTCAAACCTGTCTTATCTGAATGCGACTTGGACCAGTCAAACTTTTTCGGATTGGCAGGTGTTCACATTTCAAGTTTTTTAACATTGAAGTCTATGGCAGATTGAACCAAAAGAAGTGTTTGCATTGATAGGTATTCAGAATAGGGAAATGTTCAGATATCTAGGTATTACTGTACATTTGAAAATGTTATTAAACCTTATTTAAACATTTCCTCCTAAGCACGTGTCCAGGATCCGTACCTCCTTCTTCCCCCCTGCATGCTATAACCAATTCGTAAGCCCCCGATTTAACTGAATCACGTGATCTAATTATGCGCAATGACTTATACATGATTTCTGTCGCATTGTTGCGACAGCCAATCAGATTGCGAGTTCTTAATCGGGGAAATGCTAACTGCTTATCGCAGGGCGTATAAAGAAAGAATATATTCTTGATTTTGAAGCTCTGTGATCGGAGGATGTCTTAAAACTACTCACCTAAACTTCAAGACCAAAACTTGTACTAAATCATTGAGGCTTTAATTTGTAATACCTCAATCAACAGGACAATGGAGGACCAAATATTTAGTCTGTTATATGTTCTCCTAAAATAATAACTGAAATTTCTTGTTTTAGAATGGCAAGAGAGTTTTTGGTACCTACTTTAGAGTAGGCTTCTATGGTGCTAAATTTGGTGATCTTGATGGGGAGGAATTCATCTACAAAGAACCAAGTATTACAAAACTTCCTGAAATTGCAGAGAGGCTGAGGGTAAGTGTCCTTTCAGGTTTCTCGTTTTATGCAGGCCCGTAGCCAGGGGGGTTCGATGGGTTTGAGCGAACCCCCCCCCCCCCCCTCCTGGCCAAAAAATCTTTCAAAATCATGCAGTTTTTCACCATTCTGAGCACTTTAAGTGATTCTTGCCATTTTTGGACCAAAATTGTCACAAGTGAACCCCCCTGGAATTTTTCAAAAAGTGAACCCCCCTTGGCAAATCCTGGCTACGGGCCTGCTATGTTACTCATTAAATAGAAATTTTGTAAATGCAGTGAAAGAATTGTTATTCCAATTACTGTTTACAGAGGCTTTTTGATTTTGAAATACTGTGAATAATGAATCTTGTTCATTTTGACAAAGTCCTTGATGATTATAAAGTATACACCTGTATCTAAATGAAAATATTAAGATAAATTGAGTGTTTGTGCACATGGATATGTATTGTGTTTGGCTCTTCTGTTCCAGGGATTCTTTGAGGGAAGATTTGGTTGTGAAAATGTTGAGATGATCCAAGATTCCAAGACTGTCGAGAGAGAGAAACTAAACCCCGAGAAAGCCTACATTCAGATAACATACGTTGAACCATATTTTGATTCTTATGAATACAGGGAAAGACTCACCTACTTTGAGAGAAATTATAACATAAGTAAGTTTATTTTCTTTAAAAATCATGAAGGAATTATGAAGCCAAAATATTTTATGTCAATTAGAGATGTTTTGATTAACACTTTTTCATATGAATACAATGTAAGGGAACTATTTTTATGATTCTAAGCAACTGCATGAAGTTCGGTAATTTGCCATGCACCAAGTTGAAAATTATTTGGACCCAGTCGATGGGGGCATATGAACTAGCGTACGTGGGTTGTCCAAAAAGTCTTGAAAAGTCAAGACTTTTCTGACAATCCTTGTATATTGTTTTGAGTACGATTATGTGAAACAAGCAACAGTAGAAAAACAGAAAAACACCACAAGTCCTACAAAACCGTTATACATCATTCAATTTATATCTTATAGAGAGATTTATGTACGCCACCCCATTCACCCTGGATGGCAGGGCCCACGGGGAGCTACAAGAACAGTACAAGAGGAAGACAGTGTTAACCACAAATAGAGCATTCCCATATGTTAAGACTAGGATGGGGGTCATCAATAGGGAACAGGTACAGTGTTGATCATCTAAAGCTCATTGACATGTCCCTTGCATTTTAGCAAATCATATTTAAGAAAAATGTGACAGGCATTTTGAGGTTGAATTCAAAATGTTTGATCTCACCAAAAACGAATCAAATTGTGTACAAATTTATATCTTTAATACAGTTTAAAAAGTACAATTTTGGCATTTGAAGCTTGATTGAGTAAATTATATCTTGGCCACAGGTGATCCTGTCTCCAATAGAAGTTGCTATTGAGGACATTCAGAAGAAGTTGAAAGAGTTAAGTGTGGCCTTGAACCAAGAGCCAGCAGATCCTAAGATGTTGCAAATGGTCCTACAAGGTTGCATTGGAACTACAGTGAACCAGGTATGCCACCATGTTTGAACATTTCAACTCAGTATATTTACTTTGTTAACAGGTATCCATTAATGATCAGCATGGTTTGTAATTTTGATTTATCTGCCTTTACAGAAGTTGCTAAGTTTGTCATACTTTGTTTCCAGCTGGCTTGCCATATTGAATATTTTATGGTTTGTTTACAGGGTCCAGTAAACATTGTCATAGTGAATGTTTGTTTTGTTTGCAGGGTCCAGTGGAGGTTGCTATGGTGTTTCTCACTGAGGTAGTTGAAGGCAGAGTCCCTCCATCAAAACACCACAATAAGCTCCGCATATGTTTCAAAGATTTCCTCAAGAAGTAAGTTCACTTTTAACTGTTTTAACTGTCAATGTTGCAGTCGTCATTTGTGTTTTCAATACGGATAAAACGAAAACATTTATTTAACAGTTAAAATTAAACATGGATTTTGGAAGAATTTTATTCAAAAAATATATAGGTGTACTTTTTTTTGGTCATCTGTGAACGTTTTTAGGACTTTATCACTTGGCAAGAATCCTAGAATCTGTATCACTTAACAATGTTTTTGACATTTAGGACGCACGATGCTTTAATCCGCAACAAGACACTCATACAGTTTGACCAGAAGGAATACCAGAGGGAACTAGAGAGAAATTACCATGAAATTAAGGAAAAACTTTGGCCGATGATCACCAACCAAGTCACGACTTTAAAACGTAAAACAAGAAAGTGAGTTAGAGATGATATTTTCATTTAAGTCAATTTTTCAATCATATGAATAAACGTCTGAACGTGTAAAAAATGTGTACTAAAATTTGAAAACAATACCACAATCAATATTATTTATATTATGTTTGAATATTATTTCCTCTAAAAAAATGTGCATTTTTGGTTGTATGATAACTCCCCCTAATTAATGCATGATTATCTCTCAATTGTTTTTTTCTGAAGGAAAAAGAGGTATTTATTTCTAGATTTGTTGTGCTTTTGTAGTGAACTTCTTTCTTAATTTCTTCTCCCCTAAGGTTAACAGTAGTGCTCCGACAGTGCAGCAAAACTGCAAAAATGGAATCGAACCTAACAATTTTAAAACCGTCTGAGCCCTAGTTGACAGCCTTTCTTTTCTTTGGTGTTAACCGACAGGGAGGGGGTGACACGAGGTGATACACCTCCCCTCTCTTCTATATAGTGTACTTGAGAGTCTGGCAGTGTGCAATCATAAAATAGCAATACCTGTGACAACAAATATGCATACTATTACTCCATAGTATTATTCAAAAAACAGCAAAATCAAATGTTTTTATTTACCCATTTATGGAATTACTGTGATATGTTTGCACTATGCCATCCTGCAAATGGTATATCTGAAGTGGCATTTCTGTGAATGAGCAGTGATGTTGTAGTTATGTTAGCAATTTTGCACTCCTTCCAGTTTTTCCAAGTTATAATGTAAAAATTATGTGAACTGCAAATCAAATGTTACGGAAATAAATAAGATCACATCTGCAAAACTTTTCGACTAAAATAACAATTTCCAGTGCATTTTATATTTCCATTTGCTATTTTTATACACTGGCAAGAAAGCAGAATATTTAAGCTCGGGAATTATGAACAAAAAATGGAAAAAAAACTTGGAGGAGAGCATCTCTGTACATAGATAAGCTTTTTAATAGAAGTGTATATTTTATAGTCAGTCTTACACCCTGGCCCCTGGGCTTGAGTTGAAACTGAACACTTGCAAAGGATATAGATTCTGAATGATTTGGTGGTTGGATAGTTAAAAGGCATGCTCTATGTGAGAGTGCATTGGAATACTAAGAGATGAGATGAGGCCTACTTGCACTTCTTCATGTTTATTATTAAGGTTGTACTGTACTGTGCTGATAAAGAAAATGATTTTGAGTAAATCAAAACTATGTGTGTCAGTATGTAGTCAGTGATTGTAAATGTAGTCTTTGTACATGTAGTCTATGATTGAACATTGTGTCCTAGTCTAGAGATGTCAATTGATAAATAAGCTTATTAACTAATCGTGTTTCTTTATAGAACAAACTACACTCAGCACAAAACCAGTGGTAGTTAATAAAATACTTTACCATTAGAAATCCAGGCAAATGCATGAATCCTATTATAAAATATATTACTTAATCTTCTACTTTTTTGCATCAATATGATTCTATTGGACACTAAGTCCAGTAATTGACATACTAAATGACTGGCTGATATGTATATAGTTAGAAACATTTAATTTACAGTAATTAAAATAATGTGCTTAAAATAGTTAAAATTACTATTAGCAAATATTTTATTAGAAAAAACTCTTATCGTAACTTCTGATATTTCAGTCGAGACCGCGAGAGGAGTGTTGAATCAAGGAATCGTCGCTATAGTTCGAGAGAAACTACCCCAGTAGCAGATAATCAGTCAGTCAGGAGTCTCAGTATGATATCGAGGACAAGTTATGCATAAATCTGATTTAGCCAGGACAAGTTATGCATAAAACAGTGTATGGTCAGGATAAGTTATGCATAAAATGTGTAAAGCCAGGACAAGTTATGCATAAATCAGTGTATAGTCAAGATAAGTTATGCATAAATCAGTGTGCAGTTAGGACAAGTTATGCATAAATCAGTGTATAGCCAGGACAAGTTCTGCATAAATCAGTGTATGGCCAGGATAAGTTAAGCATAAATCAGTGTATAGTCAAGACAAGTCATGCATAAGTCTGTATAGCCAGGACAAGTTATGCATAAATCTGAGTATTACATTGAAGCAACCACTATGAATTTTTAAACGAGGAATGTGCAATGATTGAACCTGCTTCTGCAAGAATTCATTCTTGTAATATGTGATGTCACACATTGAAAAATAAACACATGTATATATGTACATGTATATCATTGCCTTAAACAAAACCAACATTTCTAAGCTCTATGTATTCTATTATATTGTCTATAGGCCTCTATTATGTTGTACGCTTTATCTGACCATTAATATGTTACCCAACCATACAAGTCATATGTTAATGAAACTGTTGATCTCATTAACTGAACAATCAAAGAATCTTTTCATGCATTTATACGAGTAAAATCATAATTTTGCCTTGAATCTCAAAATCATCTTAAGTAAAATATAAGAGAGTTTTGAGTGTTAAATTTCCTGACATGAGTAACAGAGACTGTTTTCTGCTCCATGTAAACTATGTAAAAGCATGTAAAATATCTTTGTTCCTGATGTGAATCTCATGTTGTAATTTGATTTGAATTCTCAGATCATGTGTAGAGGGAACATCTACAGTATGATAGTGTATCTGTACTGATTGACGTACTGACCAGAGGCATGGACACTCAGGCCATAGTCCACCCAAGGCTGAATGGATCATATTATTTCTATGCTATACAGTAGCTGGGCTATGCTACCATTTTTCCTGATCCATCCATTGAGGGATTTCTTTCTTTGCCATTTCTTTCTTTGTCATTTCTTTCTTTGCCATTTCTGAATCATTTTTGGGATTGCTCTCATATACATTCTCATCAATATATCCTGTCAAATCAATTAAGCAGAATAACTTTGTAATTATGCTGAATTATTTGGAAAATATTGACCAATAGCCTACAGATTTCTGAACCTGTGATTTAGAGTGATTTTGGCATTAGATGAAAAACTGATAGCTCTCATCTGAAATCCTTGGTCATTGCTTCATTCAGTATGTTAAAGATTAATTTTTTTTTAGATTGGCAGATTGCATTCTTTTGTGTCATCCTGTACATCCAGGTCAATTTCGTCAGTTCAGGTACCTGAGAGATGATGTGAACTTTTGCCATCTCTCATGTATATTAATGTACATCTATGTGAATGTATTTTTTATTCTTTTTTATCTGTGAATATTATTATATACAGTATGTGTGTAATAGTTCAGTCATTGTATGAAATAAATAGCATAGCAATGCTGGCATTACAAATAGTCAATTTTTATGTTAATTTAAATTTACCTTTAATATTTAATTATCTGCATTGGGTCTTAATTATAAGTTATTGCATCTGATATCATAGAGTTTGAAGCACCCACTTGATGTAGTTTTGGAGTTTGACCACTACGGAGTATAATGCCAAAAGAAAAATTATGATGATTATACCCTTTTCTCACAACCTATCTCAAATATCAACCTAGTCTAATTAACATATATCAGAAATCACAAAGGGCAACAATAAAGATTATAAAAAGAAAGTTATGCAAGAGGTATGATGCACATTATCTTTGTGATTTTGAATGTCAACTTACAGACTTAGGATGGCAATTTTAAGCTACTTTTTCCTTTGAATATTTTAGGAACATGTTCATTACACAGTTTGAAGTCAAGCTATATTTCAGGATAAATGCATAAAAACCAAAAGATACCTCTGGTCTGGTGGTACAGACCACCCCTGTATCTGTCAGTTATCTTTACCCAGAAGATTGACATCCTCCAAATACTAAGCTTATACAAAGATAGACATCCTTGGCTTCATCATCATCATTTGGATACACGATTGATCAATTTTACTGATCATTATATCGCGGGTTAGTACGAGAAAGTTAAAACATGAACATCAACACAAGTTCATGAGCTAAAAACAGTGTTAGGTAATAAAAAGCTAAAACAATAGGTTAAAAGACAGTATAAGATTAAGGCATGGGTGTAAGGTAGTGAGCCCTTAGACTAGTCTTGAACTGGTCTAAGCTCTCTGCCAATACAATGCTGTCAGGTAGTATATTCCACTCAGGTATGGTGCGTGGGAAAAAGGAATGGAGCATTGCATCCTTCCTGCAACTGTACCTCTGGAAGCTCTCACTATTTGAAGTCCTTGATCTGCGCTGGAGAGGCATGAGGTATGTGTCTGGTTGGATTGCAACAAGTTGTTGTTTGATCTTAAACATCATCGTCAACCGTTGTTGCTGTCTCCTCGTTTCAAGTGGTGTCCATTGTAGTGTATTCAGCATTGTTGTCACTGAGCTGTAACGGCTGTAGTCATTCATCACATAGCGTGCAGCTCTTCGTTGGACCATTTCTAGTGCAGCTATGTGGGTTTGGGTGTGTGGATCCCATACAGCAGCAGCATACTCCAGTCTTGGTCTTACTAGAGTAAAGTAAGCCATCTGCTTTGTGTGGCGAGGGGCCTTCCACAGGTGTCTTCTCAGCATGCCAAGAAGTTGGTTGCTCTTGGATATAGACTTGTCTATGTGCTGGTTCCATTTGAGGTTGTCTTGTAAGGTAACACCAAGGTAGCTAGCAGATGGTATATGCTCCAAGGTGTGTCCACTCATTTCATACTTGTAGATTTTGGGATTCAACTTGGCAGACAATGCAGTACATTTGTCAGGATGAAACTTCATCAGCCAAGTTTTCTCCCATTCTACAGCTGCATTCAGATCTTCTTGCAGAAGAGTGGCATCTTGTGGTGTCTTAACTTCTCTGTAGATGATGCTGTCATCAGCGAATAATCGGAGGGTTGTATGTTGTAGAGTATCTGGGAGGTCGTTAATATACAGCAGGAATAATATCGGTCCCAATACCGTTCCCTGTGGCACGCCAGATGTTACCTGTCCGATTTCAGATGAAGCACCATCCACACTGACTTTCTGGGTTCTATCAGACAGAAAGTCAGAGATCCAGGCATTGGTTTGTCCTCTGATGCCATAGTAGTCAAGCTTATAAGCAAGATGACGGTGAGAGACCTTATCAAAGGCTTTAGCAAAGTCCATTATGATAATGTCTATCTGCTTGTTGGCATCATTGGCTGAAACAAGATCATGATAGAACTCAATAAGCTGCGTCTCACATGACCTTTTCGACCTAAAACCGTGTTGTAGAGGATATAGTATTCCTTTGGTTTCAAGGAATGACATCATGTTGCTAGTGATGATGTGTTCTGTCAACTTGCAACAGATACAGGTCAGAGACACGGGTCGGTAGTTGGATGCCTTGTATCGCTCTCCCTTTTTGAAGACTGGCACGATGTTCGCAGCCTTCCAATCCTTTGGTACTTTGCCATGGTTTAAGGAGCGCTGAATGATGGTTGTTAAGGACGGAGATATCTCGTTAGCCAGGGTCTTCAGTACTCTAGGAGATATTCCATCAGGTCCACTAGCCTTGTTGGGGTTCAGGCCAAGCAGCATCTTCAGTACTCCCTCTTGGCTTACATGACAATAGGCGGGGCTACCCCGCCCCTAGTGACTTTGACTATTAAAGTTTTAATAGTGTCCGTAACAAATCTCAGATATATAAATAAAGGCCCAAATGTGCATTATGCTCCCAATAACATCTCTGGAATGAATGGGGTTCAACCCCCATCATCATTTTTTTTATTAATCATCTCTGCACCAGACTGGTTCCAGTATTGATTGACATAAGGGGAACGTTTTGACTACTTGATACCAGATTGAACCAATGCTATTTTAGTCTGAGATTAGGTGCATTCATGCACCCTCCGGGTCTCTGAGGATCGTGTTGGCCCCAGGATATGCAAGTCCTTACGACAATCCAACGCATTAGAGGCGGTGTTCACCGTCTAGTCTGAGATTGGATCAAACAGCAAACCATTTGTTTACTTCCGGGTATAAGTGAAGTCCGAGGTGAATGGTGTCATTTATTCAATGTTCTAGTAGTTGATCTTATGCATGTATGTCTTTTAGGCATTCTAAGTATATGCTTTCTATTATATTGAAATGATTAAAATAATATATTATTATGTATAATAAGTCGAACAATTTATCCAATTAGGTATAGACCAATCAGCTTCGAGTATTTATTCAGATAGTTCAAGGTGAAGTAAATAGGAAGTTCAATTTTTCAGAACCGAATTTCTCACGTTTCCACTTCGAAGCCGATTATCTCCACAACTGATTGACCCCAAAGTGTCTCGTTGGTGGCAAAAGAAGTCTAACGACGGCAAGGTTCGTATGTTAAAATATTAAGAAATTTCACGAAGAAGTTATTGAGTTATAATCATTTTTGTAATGCTATGTGTCCAAATGAAAGTTTGTGTACATGACATTTCTCACAGAATTAGAACACAATGGCCCACAATGGGATACCTTGAATCTAAAAAGCCCATGCTCTTTTTGTGAATCATACTGTCATTCTTTATGCATAGTTATAAAATGTTACTATAGTGTTTCTAATTTGAATTTAGCTATTGTCCAGTCACGGAGTAAGTCACCCCCTCATAATTATAATAGGGGTATTCTCGGACACGAGGCATTGTAGCACGATCTTCAATAATTCTTTGTTTTACATGATTTCTCTATTAAAACTTCAAGTTAGACACATCGATACAGTGATATATATTATAAAGGGTCAAACAATACCACAGATTTTCGCTTGATGCTAAGGGTTTGTCCGAGAATGCCCACATGTACTCTACATGTACTTATGGGTATAAAAGTGGGGGGGGGCTTACTTTTTGGGATTCAGTGTAGATTTCGATTCGCCAATCTTGCTAACTTGTCATTCAGTCTGAGGCTGAATCATTCTCGTAACTTACACTCTTGATTGTAGCATTGTCTGATAGGCCTGATGACATTTACTATTATAGATCTCCATGTTCTTACACTAGCATCCCACCTCCACGACCACTCTGCATTTTGGTCATTTTGGAATTGACATATATAAGCAACAACATTTATCAAAACATTGTGTAATTCTGGCTGTTTGACTGAGTGGTCCACAAGGCCACAACTCATATAATAGGCTGTGATATATGTACTTGTATGTCTGCATAGCTGTATATTTACCACAGGACTCCTCCATCAGGGGGTTTCTGGCCCTGTCTCTTGTGTAAAGTACATGAAATAAGGAATATACCAAAATATGGCAGTAACCAAAGTACAATGTAATTCTGCAGTAGCTGGAGATTAATTTTCCATCTTGCTTACTAATACTTGAAAAAACCAAGACAAAGTGACTGATATGCCTATATGCAAAGTGGTCCTGGTGGCTGGTTAAACATACAGTAAAACCTGTCCAAGTAGAACACCTTTGGTACTTCTAAAAAGCATTCCACTTGGAAGGTGTTCCACTTACTGTAGAGGTTCATTTAACATTAAGCCAGTTGGTCTTGGGACTCTTAAAAGTGTTCCACCAACAGATGCATTCCACTTCTAGAGGTGTTCCACTTTACAGGTTTCACTGTTTATCCATTTATCTTATTGCAGAATTCAACATTTTTTTGCTCATTATATGGAGAATTTTTGTTTCATCAACATCTGAACAAAATTGGTACAGATGCAATTTAGTAAAGCCATCTATCTGTCAATCTCTCTATCCCAGGAAGGACTGAGTAAAACATGACAGTATGTGTACAATCTCTAAGAGGAGGGAAAGCCACAGAGCTTTAGAGATGACAGACATAATTATATCTCTTGCTTACCACCTTCATTTGTCAGAATTCTCACCAGCTAGTTTACAAATACAATGATGTTTTAATTGGTGCTAGCATATGCCTTACATCTTTGTTTAGCATGATGTAAAATAACAAGCTATGATATTAATTAACACGCCAGAAATAAACATAATATTGATAGACATATGTCTTCTTTGAACCCTGGGGTTATTCCCCCTCTAAGTATATCTACCATTTCTTTGTAACGTACTCCACCCTCCGTCTATATAAAAAAAACTCAGTTACTGAAGTGAATATCCATCCAAGGTGACATTTTTTGTGACTTCAAAGGTGTTGATGTTTACTATGCCCAGATTTTGCCATACTTGACCAATTTTTCAATTTTTGTAAATGTATTATCAATTCAAAGGGCTTTGAAAAATGTAGATTGGATAGCTTTTACTTAGTTATTTTAGATTTTCCCATATAAAATTAGAGCCCTTTTATAAGTAAAATATCTGTGTTGTTAGATTTTGAATCAAACATAAGCTAAAAACCGATCTTAAGAGGGTTTAGAATATGGAAATCCAGTTAGAAATCACCAAAATATGGTTTTTAACTCAAATGCTATGTATTTTAGAATTTAGAGCACTGTCTTTCTGATTTTTCCAAACTCCAAAATAGCCACAAAGTTACCGACAGAAAAGTAATTCATTACAAACAATGTTTTTAACAATAACTATGGGGGTGTTTATAAGAAATAAGTGTTCACTAAAAGCCAACATGTACCAATGGGGCACATGATTTTTGCTAATCGGTTAGTGATTTCCACTTCTGGGAAATTTAATCACCTTACCGATTCAGTAATGCTGTGATTATCCATAAATTACATGTCAATAATGTGTTCATATTTATTTCTCTCTAGGCTCCACATTTCCAGATGGCATGATCGGAACATACTTCGTCTAATCGTGACCCCTTGTATATTTGACCATAGGCAACTCCACGGCTGAATGTGAAATTTGCCATTGCTCTTAATCTGTATTGTTTATTAGTCATGTACCAGTTAGAGACCATTGTCGCAAAGTGATAGTTGAATTTTACAGGAATACTTCCTTTTACATTTCTGAAAGGAAAACAGTTAGATGTATTGAATTATATCATTAATAGTATGTGACATTTTTTGATTCTGTTCATAATAAATTTTTATTTTATCATTACTTTTATTTTAATGACTTTTTATTTGTAATGACCTTCTTTGTTCATTTGAACTAATCTTGAAGAACTAGATTTGCGTTTATAATTTAGATTTCTTTTAATAACTTTAAATTGTCTCTTGAATGTTGGTTCACAAAAGATCCCCAAGATTGCATGCCGACTCTGTAAAGATATTAGAACTATACTCATACTGAAGAAATACATTTTTCATTGATCAAAATGGTATATGAAAGTAAACATATTTAGTAGACCAAAATTGACTTTCTTATTCTGTTCAGAATTTGAGGATATATATTCACACAATATAGAGTTTTTTCAACATTATTCAAATATCGTTGGTGTTATGTTCCAGTTTACAATCAATAGAAGTCAGTATACATTGATGATGAGGGAAAACATACATAAATATTAATGAAAAATTGATATTTGTACATGTAATTGAGTTTTCGATTTCCAAGTTCTTACCTGCCCATAGAATCTTTGAAGGTATAGTCATCAATAGCAGAACCTTCAAAGAATTGAGGTAGGAAACTTGACCTTGTGATTTTGGTGATAACTCTTCTGATTATAACTTCTGATGCAGCTAAGGGAAAGCATGTTTGATAGACAGGAAGGACAACGGTACATGATCCTCTGCCTGGTCTATAAGACTCATCTGGAAATGAGATTCACTACTTAATTAAATTCTCAGTTTTCTGTTAGGAAAGGGTACAACAGTATATATTGTCTTTCATGTGTACTTTTGGTCATGGTCAACTGGGAAGGATTTCCAAATCTGCAAATCAAGGAAATGATACATACCATGTGAATATGTATATACTTCTATATTATATAATAATAATATATATATATATGCTTTCACTTTAGATATTATTGAAACTGTATTACATTTACTTATTTGATGTATAATGATAGCACTCACCACAAATTGAGGGTTCCTCATCAGAACCATCCAAACAATCAGTTATCTTATCACAACCCTGGAATATCATCAGTTCAGTTAAAACATGTATCTTATGTAGTAAAACTAGAAAAGGTATTTTATCAAAGAGATGGAATCTAAGTGAGTTAGAATGTAATAAAACCTTCATTTATGTTTAATGGCCTAGTCACATAGCCCGGCCGATGTCCGGCATCGGTAGAGCTCGGTGGATTTTTTTGGTGCCACCGAGCTCTAATCATCGGAAGGAGAGCTCGGTGACGTGAACGGACTTCGTCCGGACATCTTCAGGCGACCGACCGAACACCGGCCGGTTACCGTACGGAGTCTGTCTCAAAATGGTAGTTTTTTCTGCCGATGTGGCAGCAACTACCGGCCGGAGGTCGGCCGGACGTCGGAAGGAATACGGCCGGTACCCGAGCAGGTAACAGGACACCGCGCGATCGCCGGCCGGGTTGTTAACGGGCTTTGAACAGTGACCGGCCGATGCTCTGTCCCACATCGGCCGGAGCTCGGTCGGAGCTCGGCCGCTGTCCGTTAAAAAACCTCGTCCTCTGGTTGTCTCAGATGCACGGGACACCGGCCGATACTCGGCCGTGCACCGGCCGACGTGTTTTCCGATGTGGTTACGATGGGGCTGCGATGACACGATGAGGGAGCTCGGTGAGAGCCCGGTGAAATTTAACTCCGAAGTTAAAACTTCACCGAGCTACCACCGATGCGGTTTTAAGCAACAAACGCCACGGATGTCCGGCCGGTGTCCGGCCGGTGTTCGGCCGAGTTCGGTGAAAATTGCATCGCTGGCTCATCGTAACCTCATCGGCCGGGCTATGTGACTAGGCCATAAGCCAATGCTCTTACTACATTATTTGGGAACTGTTTACTTTAGCCATGATTTTTTATTATGTCACCACCATCATGATAAACCATGACATTTCATTTCTGATCAGGTGAAACAGAAAGATGCTATGAGTATCAGAATGTGTCACCACCAAAAGTGGTGACAATGTTACAGTTGGTTAGTATCTATAACAAATTCTTACAACTTCCAATAACTTAATGACATTTGCAGGTGGTGATACTTTGTCATGTTAATGCCTTTGTTTATAACTTACCAAAAGTGGATGGATACATTCTCCAGAATTGAAACATCTGAAATAACCTCTTTTTGCGCAAGGGTTCCCTAAAAATATTAATTATGTACATACAAGTAGCAATGGTCTCCCAAGGATTTGATTGAATGGCTTGAATGGCAATCACACTGTTGGCTCATGCGACGCACTCTTCATATTATTTGCTTATTGTCAATGTGTTATTACAGTTGTATTATATATATTATATTAGAATGTGTTATATTAATCAATGGCATGAATGTTTTGATGCATTAACTCTATTCTTTCAGATATACGTATGTTGTAAAAACAATTTAAAACAGAGGTTAAACTTATGATACAAACAATAACTAGCTCACATTGTTTGTGTAGAAGACCCTCAAGCCTGTCAGCTGTTGATTCAGCATCTCTCATTCTATCAAGCTTGAATTCATCCTTCTCAATTAATTGTAGCCATCTTGATTCCAAACTTACAAAACAAAATAAGATTGTATTTAAGCAGTGAGTGGCAGCTAAGGATATTCATTCAACCATATAAAACAGCAGGGCTCTCACCAGGAAATATTTAGGGTGTGGTGCAAGCATCTTCAGAATAACCGTTCAATCGTGATAAATCATATTTATGTTATGTTTTATCCTTTTTACATGTGATTATTGTATATTCAGTCAAGTTTAGACTGTGGAAACAGTCATGATTTGCCAATAGGGTGTGGAGGGAGCTAAATAGAGTGTGGTGCTGCGCCACAGTCTAAAAGCCTGGTGAGAACCCTGAACAGTTTGAAAAAATTATCAAACATGATCTTATTGATCAATACCATTGATACTTTGTGCTTCCATATGTTCTTTTTTCAATTAAATTCAAATTATTTCTGGTTTATAACTAAAACATGATTGTTGAAATTCTAATGAGCCATGAAATGTATTGTATGAAACATTGAACGATTGATTTTTAATTTAATAAATTGAATTGAATTGAATTAATATTGAATCATTGTCTTCTAGATTGTAAAAGCATGTCATTTCAATAATTACATAATGCTCATAGAATCAATCCATTTAGGTACCTCAAAAAAAATTTGATCTCAAATCAAAAACAATTATTATGAGCTTCTATGTCTTGCCTTTATTAACATGTAAAAGCTCAGCTCAGACCTTTGTCAAATTACTAGAACTTTTATGTTTTACCTGTCAATTATTTCCTGTTGAGAGTCCAATTTACTGTTGGTTGTTTCTGTAGGCACCTGAGTTTCATGTCCATTGATTTGACAGTCACAGTAGCTTGCTATAACTTGTGTCTGCCAGAAGATGCATATTGCACAATAAAGCGCAATTTGTGTAGCATTCACCATTTTGATACTTTTTAAGATATATGGAACATATTATTTATAGTATAATGTTATCTATTATATGAGTTTTCACTCAATAACCACTAATTATTAACATCTTTAATACCTGATAAAGTGTACTTGATATTACAAAGTATAAAGTGTTCAGACATATGGTTAATCCAAATAATTTATTAAAAAAATCTTTTGAAGGTCATTGAAGGTCAACCAAAGGTCAGATCTAAAGTCAGGGATAAACTTCTGGTGGCTTATACTGTAGACATCTTTAATTTTGTGGTGTGTATATTTTCGCTATATTCGCGGGATGCCCTCCGTCTGTGAAAAAAACAACCTTTAGTTGATTTAAAAATGGGTCTGTTCAAATCAAGTTAAAAAGTGATAGGCCTTATAACCTTTTGAACTCAAATATCTCAAAAATAGTAAAATCAAATGAGACAATACGTACTATGGGGTATTTCCAGTGTTTCATGGAATGCTTACATTGAACCCCTGCAACGGGCTATATTTCCCTTATTACTTGCAGGAATTCTTTTATAATTTCACATGTTGTAGAGGAAGGTCTAAAATTAATGTTGGTACCATACATTTTTCTTAGTCTTGACATTTGCAGGAATTATGAGACATAACCAAATATGACTGAAAATGGATAAAACGTGATTTTCAATATCTGCGATTCTCCTAAACCCTTCAAAACCATTCCCCTGACATTTTTTAAGCTGCAGTCTTAAAGAACTAATATTTTCTGATTTTGTTCAATTTTGAATCCCGCACATTTTGGCTTAAAACTAGCATCCTACCTTTGTTAGTTGCAAAGTTATTGTGATCCAAAGAAATGTTCTAAGCTTCCATAGATGAAAACTTTTTCCAGTGAAATCGCGGACATACCCCTATATGATCTTGAAATGTCAATATCTTCATAAATCATGGACCAATTCTTATGAAATATGGCTCAAGACATTGAATATTGGATTTTCTTTTGATTTTTTAAAGAAATTTGATGAAAGGCTTTTCAGATTCCTGGTCACAGGGGGCAACTTCCTTCCACAAGAGGCCCCCTCTAACTGTTGGAGTAGGTAATATACCCCTGAACTGTTGAACGGTTAAAACTGGTTCAAAATGATCAATAAAAGTGTGAAATGTGTTTTCTGCTTAAACAGTGTCCCTTTTGTCATATGGTAGGGTTTTAAACTTGTATCTCTAACTGAAAGCTGTTAAGATCATCCAATGTGTTTCAACAATTTCTGTGAATCACATTGGTAAAATTTTGCACAATATCTAATTTTCAGGCATGTTTGTTAAACTCTTGTTATTTCTTCAAAATTTAAGACTGAGAATAAATTATGGCATCAACCAAAATTTTAGACCTTTCTCTACAACATGTGATAATATGAGTCTATTCATGCAAGTATTAAAGTGCCCGATAAAGTATAAAATGCGCATGCGTCCAGGTGTTGATAAACTATAAATAGCGAAAACCCAGGGTTTGTCACCACAAGGTAAGCCAGGACGTGTTGAGAGAACAGCTAGTGTTGATATTGAATTTATATGTAGCCAGATAAGTTTCCTTATTGAAATTACATATGGTTATTAGCAATACTTTGTAGGTGCTAAATAATAAAATATTTAGAGTATATATGAGAGAAATTGGTCATTTCAAACCTGTTGAAAAGTTTGTGGCTCTCGGCTACACCGGGGAATTTACTTCCATGAGTACACACATAAATGTGGGGTTCCCCAAGAGGTACGCGACAAGGTGACCTGGCATCAAATGTGCGACTAAATGCTACTATCGAGAAGATAAAATAACGAATACGACAATAAGTTATTGCATGTGACAATTCTGAGCCTTCATCTCACTGAAGTATTTTGAAGTGAAAATAGGATTTTTGTTTTCATACATGGATTCAGATGAACGTAACTTTATTCTGACAACTAATCAAAACTGAACAAAATTGATTGTACGTAACAGACAATTTATTGTTTTACAATGTTTTGATTGGCTAAACGAATGAAACCAACAAATTATGACATGTAAAATGACAATTTTGAAATGTAAAATTTAAAAGTGACAAACACAACCTCCCTATCCACTCTTTGGGAGCCCTAGTAAATTAGTAATATGTTCATGCAGCAGTGTTAGTGTGCAGCTTATTATCACACTACGCTTTGTATTCTAAAGCCTGTTGTTTGTAATAACACTGTTCACTCAACGTATGTTTTGTGTGTGGGCAGTCAACGATAATCATTGTTTTATCCCGGTTATATGACCTCGGCAGTTATAACAAAACCGTACTAAACGAAAAAACGCAAATAAGAGAAAGCTTTCACACACATATAAAAAATGAACTAGTCTAATCCGCCAGTATAAACTCTGTGCTATACGTAGCCGGGTCAGGCGCACACTTTAAGTAAACTATAGCCTGTTGCAGGGGTTCACTTTTTTTGGACCACCCTGTATAATTCATCAAAAGAAATATTAAAGTATGAGGCTAAACTGAAAAACATGTTCATGTAGAGAAACTTTGATTTGACCTAGATTTGTCCTTGAGCTAGATGAAAGATGATTTATTGGCATGTCCAGCCCAGGTCCTTAGTCACGGGTAGTATCTAAAGCCCCGCTATGATTTAAAAATCGCGAGCAAGTTCCCGCTGAAATCGCGAGGAATAAAAAGAAGTCATGGGTTCTTTTTTGTGTTCTTGAATTGTATGATTTACAAAACGTTTTCTTTTAATTTTTCCCAATGATTACATGGTATTGAGACTAAAAAAGCAACTGCTGGAAAAAATGTATCACGAGCGGTCGTTCTGTGGTTCGTTATTTGTCAATTGAAGAGAGAAAGTATCTTTTTGAATCTTTATCTATATATTTCTATACGTTATTGGTGAAGAACGATGTTGTCCTGTGGTTGAAATAACGATAGTGATATGAAATAAAGATGTACCGAGTTTCACTTCCTAAAGCTTTACAGAACATTTTATATTCAAATTTGATCATATCCCTCAAGGCCCCGCTTCTAGCAGGAGCAATTAAGCAAAGATCCCGCTGAAATCAGGAGGAGGCCCCGCTGAAAACATGAGGAGGTCCCGCTGAAAACAGGAGCAAGTGTCTCTCAAAAATGGAGTGAATCCCGATTATACCCTGAAAATCTCCCACTTTCGTACCCACCTTCGTCCACTATTGTACCCAGTTTGATGAATACATTATTTGTCAATACAATTCTCAATAACAGCAAACACAACTGTTTAATATAGTTCATATTATGATACATTGTTATGGAAAACTGCAGTATCATATTTCCATGCCATGAAAGATCATCTGAGAAATGTGATGAGTATTAGATCGGACGAAATGTTAAACATTTAACCTCATTTTCATAATTTGAAGTAATATAAGATATTCTGTATTCTCTGTATTGCAACTGTCCCCTCTGTTCCATCTTTGAGTACAAGTCGATATTCAGTAAGATACACGTATAAGCGTGCGTTTAGGTCAACCTAAAATGATATAGTCAGAATAATGTTTATGAATATTATTCCTATATCAATCTCCTGTTGCTTACTTGCTTGCTCGCTTCCTCCCTTCCTTGCTTCTTCGCTTCCTTCCTCGCTTCCTCACATCCTTCCTTCCTCGCTTCCTTCCATCCTTGCTTCCTTCCTTCCTCGCTTCCTTCCTTCCTCGCTTCATTCCTTCCTTGCTTCCTCACTTCATTCCTTCGCTTCCTCCCTTCCTTGCTTCCTTCCTTCCTCACTTCCCTCCTTCATATCTTGCTTCCTTCCTTGCTTCCCTCCTCGCTTCCTTCCTCGCTTCCTCCCTTCCTTGCTTCCTTCCTTCCTCACTTCCCTCCTTTATTTCTTGCTTCCTTCCTTGCTTCCCTCCTCGCTTCCTTCCTCGCTTCCTCCCTTACTTGCTTCCTCGCATTCTTGCATCCTTCCTTCCTCGCTTCCTTCCTTCCTCACTTCCCTCCTTTATTTCTTGCTTCCTTCCTTGCTTCCCTCCTCGCTTCCTTCCTCGCTTCCTCCCTTCCTTGCTTCCTTCCTTCCTCACTTCCCTCCTTTATTTCTTGCTTCCTTCCTTGCTTCCCTCCTCGCTTCCTTCCTCGCTTCCCCCCTTCCTTGCTTCCTCGCATTCTTGCATCCTTCCTTCCTCGCTTCCTTCCTTCCATCCTTGCTTCCTTCCTTCGTTTCTTGCATCCCCCCTTCCTTGCTTCCTCACTTCCTTCCTTCTTCGCTTCCTTGCATCCTTCCTTCCTCGCTTCGTTCCTTCCTTGCTTCCTTCCTTCATTGCTTCCTCGCTTACTTCCTTCCTCGCATCCTTCCTTCCTTGCTTCCTCCTTTCCTTGCTTCCTCCCTTCCTTGCTTCTTTCCCTCCTTGCTTCCTTGCTTCCTTCCTTCCTTGCTTCCTCGCTTCTTTCCTTCCTCGCTTCCTTCCTTCCTTGCTTCTTTCCTTCCTCGCTTCCTACCTTCCTTTCTTCTCCGACTCTTCTTTTCTTGCTTCCTTCCTTCTTTGCTTCCTTCCTTCCTCACATCTTTCCTTCCTCGCTTGCTTCCCACCTTGCTTCCTCGCTTCCTTCCTCCCTCGCTTCATTCCTTCCTTGCTTCCTCGCCTCTCTCTTTCATCACTTCCTTCCTTCCCTCCTTGCTTCATTCCTTCCTTCCTCGCCCCTTCTTTTCTTGCTTCCTTCCTTCCTTGCTTCCTCGCTTCCTCCCGTCCTCGCATCTTTCCTTCCTCGCTTCCTTCCTACCTTGCTTCCCCGCTTCCTTCCTTCCTCGCTTCCTTCCTTCCTAGCATCTTTCCTTCCATGCTTTTTTCCTTCCTCGCTCCCTTCTTTCCTCCTTTGTTTCCTCGCTTTCTTCATAAATTTCTCCCTCACTTCCTTTCCTCCTTCCTTCCTTGCTTCATTCCTTCCTTCCATGCTTCCTCGCTTGCTTTCTTCCTGGCTTCCTCGCTT